ATGCAGGGCATCCTCCAGCTTCTCTCTCATAGACGCTGACTTCTGCTCCTCCAGATTAAGCAGTTCCTGCAACTCATCCTTCTTTTTATCTGAACTTCCAACCTTGACAACTAGTGATTCATGCATTTCCATATATTGATCCCTCTCCTCAGTCACAACCATTAATTGATTCAGGGCATCCTCCAGCTCTTTCTTGAGAATATTTATATCATTTTGCCAAGCATCATGCATATTTTTGCTTCTGGCAAGCATTTCTTCTTCAGTATCATGTCCATTGGTAGCCTTCCCAAGCACAGCTTTCCCTGATGAAGATGCTGTATAATTTTGAATTAGCTTCGTCACCATCAAGTCAAGAAATTCAATACTGCTACCAGAAACCAAATCATTCACATCCTCGTCTTGCAATGCATTACTTACCAAAGCCTCCAATTTCACTATTTTATGCTCTGTAGAAATTAAGTTCTCCTGCATATTGCTTAATTCATTTTGTAATACTATGATCCCAACTTCGTTCTCAAAATTTCCAAATGCTAGATTCTCATTATGGTGATAGATTATTTCCAACTTTTCAGAAAGTTTCTCTCTCTCCAGCACGAGTGAGTGGAGCTCTGCCTCAAGGTCAGAAATTTTCTTCTGTGAATCATCCAGATCTGCAGTTAACAGTCCACAATAGTTCTCTAAGTAATTGACCCTCTGATGGAGAGAATCCCTATCATGAAAAGCCTCTGAAAGGGATTTGTGTAACCATTCCATTTTATCTTCTGGCTCCATGGACCGCAACTGTGAAGGAATGTCAATCTTCTCTAGAAGCTCTTCCCATCGTTGCACTATGTTATTCCTTTCCATTAATGACTGTTCAAGCATTTCATTTTGTTCAGCTAACCCATAAAACCTTGTTTGCAGCTCCTCATATTTTCTTCTCAAATCATCCCCAACATTTGCATCCATCTGCACTTCATCTTTCCAGGCATCCATAATGACAAAATTAGCATCAGAGCCTGAACCTCCTGCGACAGAACTCCTCTGATCCCAATCGGTATGAGGTAAATTCTCACCAGTACTAGACTTGGCTAACCAATCAACCTTCTCAATGATGTCTCTTGAATGAAAATTCTCTGGCAAATCTAGTTCATCCAGAATCTCCTCTATCCTCTGAAGAACTGAATCTTTAAGAAGGAATGATTCTCTTAGTGCAGTAGCAGAATTTCGAATGTACGACAGCTCAGATTCCAGTGCTTCAACACGCTCACCTGCTTCTGAATAGGCTGTAAGTTTTGTTTCAGTCTCGTGCAGTCTAGTGTCTTTCATCTGTAACTCCTGCAAGCACCTCTCAAGTTCACTAGAAGTTTGTGCTAGTGACTGCTTGAGATTATCCCGTTGCACAATCAAACCTTTTCCCTTGGCAACAGCTATGCTTAGCTTCTCTCTGATTGCAGACACTCGCTGCTCTGATTGTTCTAGTTCATTAGCTTTATCCTTTAATACAGATCGTGAAGCTACTAAGGCTTCCTGTACCTGGCTCAAGCTTTCTTTCAGAATAACAATTTCACATTCATGATCAAGAATCAAGGTACTTAAGTCGTGCACACTTTCCTGCAATTCGGTCAATTTCATCATTAGGGATCCAGACTTTTCTCTAGATAAGCCTAATTGCAACTCAGTCTCCTTATATTTCTGTAAAAGCAGTGATACCATAGATTCCAAATATAAAGCAGGCATTTCAACATCCATCTCAGCATCATCCAGTAATAACACACTTTGAACATCTGTAATCAATTTTTTGATGCCAGGAGAATCAAGGCATCTCTTGCTAAAATCAACAAATCCTACATTCATGTGTTCCAAGTCTAAACGAAGTTTATTGTTTACAGACTCAAGTTGCAGTCTCTCAGTAATACAATCCTCCAGCAGCTTGATAAAGGCCTCAAAGCTGCTGTAATCTAAGGGATCGCCCAGCCCCTTGATTTGCATGTTCATGTCACTTCCACCAACAGATCCACAAGAAGCAATATAAAGTTTCTGCAACTCACTATATATCCTATGCAACATATCAACAGAGAATTCAGTCCTTCTGAACAAATTATCATATTTTTCATTTACTTCTTCATATAACATCCTAAAAGCTTCACGGTCGGCACCTGTAGCCTGAAGTCTCTCTCTCAGATCATCAATCATTTTTACAGCATCTATGACAGACGCAATAATGCAACTAGGCAGTTGGTCATTTGTGCAAAATTTGAGGGCTGCAGTATCAGATTTCCCCAATGATTCATCAAGCTTAGCAATTGACTCAGCAAGCTCCAATAAGAAAGACTGCAAGTCCTTCTCAAGTATCGTTGCCCTTGCAATTTCTCCCTCTCGCAACTTGTCTAACTGATTACATGTCGAAGAAACCATCTCATTTGAGCTTTGATGAAGATCACATAATTGACTCTGCAACTCAGTAAGTTTTAAATCATATCCACGTAATCTTTCAGCAAGCTCACAATTGGAAATTTTGTGGTACAAGCCTTGTTGCTTTAAGGACTCATTAAGATTCTCAAGTTCATAGATCTTCCCACCAGCATCATCCACGTGATGTTTTAAGTATTCAAATAAAACCCCAAGATCAATGTTGGCTATCACCAAATCATTACTATGGTTCTCCAGAGCTTCAAATTGATCCGTGAGTTTGTTCAATGTTGATATAGCAACTTTTTTATGATCACGCTCTCCCTTGAGCAAGACACTGGCATTTTCACTATCCACGACCACTTGATGAAGCAGTAATCCCAAATTGTCCACAAGCTCACTTGATAACTTATATGGATCTTCAGGTAACTGAATTTCAGACTCCACCTCATGTTCTTCATTTACCTTTGTCTCAAAGGCTTCAATCAGTTTTGAAACAGCAGGGGCAGCCACTTTACTACCTGACCTGCTAAAGGAGGCAGAATTGGACTGCAATCCTTTGATTTCCTTCTCGAGTTTCTGTAATACGAGATATGCTTCCTCTAAGTGTCGACCCAAGGTAATAAACTCAAAAGAATCGTCAAAAAGTTCCTGTTTCTTAATCTGGTAAGCATCATTTTCTTGGGACTTATTTACACGATGCCAGCCAGAATCTGCAGTTTCAGTCTGATTCCCATCTTCTATAGATCTCATTTGTTTAGGTAATATTTCACCACAAAGTTCTTCTGTTTTAGATTTCTGTATATCAAGACTGTTGCTAAGAAATATGTTTTCCTCAGTGAGTTTCTCCAGCCGCACTAATGCATCTCTAAGGTCATCCTCAAACCTTACACGTTCCCCATATTCAGCTGACAGTCTCTCATCAAGAACAAGCAGCTCAGATGCCATTTTCTCATTCTCATGAAACAAAAGGGTCTTATCTTCTTCAAGCTTTGTCCTATCCTCTGTTACCAGTGCAAGGTTCTTGATTAAGTTGGTAATTTCTTCTTGTTGAGTAGCTATCAAGTTTCTACAATTTTCAAGTTCAACTGACAATGTCCCATTCACCTGAAACAATTGCTCTCTTTCTTCTTCAAGCTTTGTCTTTCCCTCTGCTACTGAAGACAAACTCCCAATTAACTTGGAATTTTCATCCTCCAAAGCCACCTTCAAGCTCTTAAAGCTACTTAATTCTGATGATATCTTTTCATTCTCATTGATATACAACTCCTTTTCCTCGGCTAGTTTCATTTTATTTTCATTTTCAGAGGTGATGACACCATTTAATCTTTCATTCTCCTCTTCTAACGCTGTTACCAAATGCTTGCAGTCATCCAACTCCTTTGACAACCTGAACATATCTGCATGAAACTTTTCCAAGTTTTTCTCGGACTCAGTAGCTCGAGAAGAAAGATTTTCTATCTCAGCCTCTGCAGTTAGCAACTGATTTTTTAGCTCCTCCCTTGCACTTGAAACATCCCGAAGTTCAGATCTGCACTGTGAAAGTTCATCCACGAGGCTTTGATTCCTCTCAAGAATTTCATTAAGTGAGGTATTGACTAGAGACATATCATTGGTTAATTTACGATGCTGGTTATCAAGCTCCATTTGTAGTACATTTTGTTCAGAAATTTGCAAGTTAGAGATATCTTTTGAGAAACTTGTTACTATTAACTCTTCTTTCACCCTCTCCAGTAAATCAAGAAATTCACTCTCTTGTCCAAACGAATAAAAGGTCCCCGACTGTACTGCCAAATCCGTGGTCATATGCGCATTAGGGAAGATAGCATCAGCATCTCCCCCTTCAGAAATTTTCGCACTTGTTTGTGAAGGCCTTTCATGGCCCTCAGACTGTACTGCAAAATTATCTTCCGGCATGTATTGCACTTGATACATACTTGGATGCATCATATCTTCTGCATGAACTTGTCTTTCTTCTTTCCAATCATCTCTACTACTACTAGAACTACTCTGCATACCTAAATTTTCTCCCGGATTAGAAATTGAAAAGTCATTTGACACAGTTGCAAAACCAGATACAGATGCCACATCTACTGTAATAATCTCTTCCTCATCACAGTGTGTGTCTTTAAAAGTAGTCTCTGCTGCTGACTCGTACATGCCACCAGTCTGTAGTTGCTTGTCTTCTGCAAGCTGTGTTTCACAGACTTGATCAGATTGCATTGAAGCATCCTCCGTCATGCCTATCAATCAAGAAATAAGAATATATTCAACTTATAAAGAACTTTCACTTGGTTCCATCACCACAAAGTTTATCAGACAAATCATAACTAAAATACATTAGCAAATAAGTACCAAAGAATAAGAGGACAACCTACATCTTCCCTTGCTTGCAACAAAGACGCAGACCGTGCAGGCGATATTTCTTCTTCCCTACATCCACTCCACACTTCGACCATTCTTCCCTGCTCGTCCACAGAAGCAGAAGAAATTTGGGAAGAGGATTCAGTGGAAGACAAATTACAAAGGTGATTATTATTCACTTCAGCATCGATCAAAATGGAAGGTCCAGAGGACATAACTCCAGCAGCCTCAGCATTTTGGATCAGCCGATCACAGTCCTCCCTATACCCTACTTCCTCCACCGGAATCTCAGCCTCGTCAATTGCTGATGTTTCAGCTAAATCCATCTCTTGCTTAAGATAGACTGTTGAATGATCGATCTCAGCTGCCGAAGAATGTTCGGAAGGTGATGCTGAAGAGTCTACATTATCTGCATCACAATCAAAACTAGATGCAAGTACCCCATCAGTAGAATAACTCCCAGATGTGGGTTTAGCAGCAACATTTACAATCTCTGTATCTGCGTCCTGCTGTTCCAATTTACTTTTATTTTTAGACGAATTTCCTTGGCTGCCAGTGCCTTTATTATCCTTCTTCTTACGAAATTGCTGGAGCTGATAAATAGATGAAGTAAAGGAAGAGGAGAAAGATAATATTCAGTCTGTGCAGCCAAATGGTCTAAAATTCCACTGTTTAATATTAAAAAAATTTTGACATCCAATAATCTCCCAATCGATGGTCTTCACCAGTAAAATAGAAACTACTACCCAACCTTACAACAATTGATAAACATGGAACACAAATGAATCTCCCAGCTGAGAGACACAAGGAGGTACAAACCCAAGAAAGGAAAACTAAACATAATAAAAGAAATTGAGACTAGTCTTCGAAACATCGACAAACTCCATAGAATCAACTTTACCCTCTCAGCAAGAGAACCATAGAAAGAAAAGGCAACAAAATTATGTATTCCCACCTCAATATATATTAAACATTCAGATGAGGTTCAAGATTTTCTATGAAATTAGTAGTACGAATTTTTCAGGTTCATGAAATTATCGAACAACAAGAGTGAGATGTTTCTATATTTTCCAATAAACTTTTAATTTATTGTTTAAAAAGAAAGGATCACGAATTTACCTTCTTCCTGCCTGCGGCGAGCAGATCGGAACGGCTCTTGTTCTTGTCCATCCGATCCACTCCGTTTTTTGCACCCACACTTACTCAAATGATAATCACCAGTGGACGGTTCATCTTTTCCCAGGCGCAAATGCTACACGGAAATAATATTTCGCATCACAAACTCACAGTTCGTAAACGCCGCATTCGTGTTTGGACAACAATAAAACAAAGCAAAAAAAGGGAAAAAGAGGAGAAAACAAAACGAACTAGTCTTGGATGCTAAGTCTCACTTCAATTCAAACACAAAAAACAAACATGCTCCTAAGCTAAGCCTAATAATCAAACAACAGGTATTAAAAAACTATTCCAATAGTCTCGTATTCCGCTTTGCATGATGTTGTGCATTATTCCGACAAACGAAGCGGCATATGAGAGAGCAGAAGCTCCAATTCCATACAATTGAAGAGAAAAGTGCGACAATATTCAAAGAAAGTAAGGGGATGAAGGAGGAACAGACCTTGATTCGAGTTCGTGGACGATGAATTCGAAGTTGAAGTTGGGTTTGGTTTGAAGGAATCGTCGGCTCCGTCGCCTCACTCCTGTTGGTAATGCTTCCCTTTTTGCTTTCCAGATCTCACGCAAGCTTCGCTTTCGCTGGTGAAACGTAGAGACGAGACGATGGACCAAGAAATTTTAATGAGAAATGAAAATTAAATTTTAACAAAAGAAAATGGACACATATTTTCAGTTTGTTTCGCCCGTTTGGTATGTATGCGAACCGAGCTGCAATTGTTATTCGTTATGAACCGGACCCGGCCGTCTGTGCGAACCGGGTTTGTTTTTTCTAATGACAAACACGTGTCCATTTTGACAATTTTTTTTCCCCTCTCTTGTACAAATATTGACTTTAATCAGTATGAAACAATCAACATCTCAATTGATTTAAAGACATATTTCAAACTGTGTTATACATTAAAAAAATTGTTTGATTGATTCGGTTTTCATATTATTTTAAGCTTACATGATATTTTTTTGTTTGTTTTTCTTTTGTACAATTGTTACTAGTACTGATTTTTCTCAATATTTTTTAAAACTGATTTTGAGTCTATCTTATTTATTGCATAGGCTTTAAATATTATTTTATTTTTTATTCGTCAAAATTTTTTTTAGTTGAACAATGTATGGGTGAGAATTCGAATCTCCAACATTTTTATACATGATAGCTCATATATCCAACCCTATTTTCGTAGCCTATGGCTCAAAATAGTCTAAGTAAATATTTTATACCTTTTGGTTGTACTGCAGAGTTATGTTCGCTTTGGTCTTAAATACAACATTATTTTATCATATTAAACAGAATGACGCCCGTGGCACATCCACCATTTTTACTATATTTGTTATAATGATCTAACATGGTTACTTGAGAAGATATGCAGCTATTACATTTTTTTTTTGTGTATGAAAATAGCATTTTATTATTATTATAATTGGACTTGTCAGGCCCATAATCTGTTTGACAACAAAGTGGGCCGAGCCCGCAATGACGAAATCATTATTGTCCCAACCCGCTATAAATAACCGGCCCACTTAAGGACCTTGGGTTATTGTTAGATCGGCCTTTTCCGGTGTGATGGGCCCAATTGGGCCGTTTGAAATTTAGTTCAGCCCGAAATCATGGGGTCGGTTTCAGTGGCCGCCCACTCTAACGTTCGACCCGGCCGAAATAACCCCACTTGCACGTGTCATTTAAAATATCAAATTTATCATCTTCTTAAGTACATATATTTTTTCAACATTATCCTCCTAATTTATTTTTGTTTCAAATTGACTCTATCAATGTGATTATTAAAGGGAAAATATTATAACAACTTATTTTTTTAGATATAAGATAATTTGAGCAATTAAACAAGTCAGCATATATTTCATATTAAAATATGTAAATTTAAAATTCTTATCGATCTTTTAAAATATAAACTAGATATAATAGTTCAAAATGATACATAATTCAATATTAAAATGTTAAAATCCAAAAAAAAAAGCTGTATTTGCGATTTTGGAATTTTTGTTTGTGTTATAATGAATCATATCTCAAATAATTCTATTAAGTATATTTCGATGATTGATACATTTATTACTTATTTAATGGATCATAAATTTAAATGGTCATAAAAAAGAAAGGGATTTTCATAAATAGTAAAACTTAAATTGTGAAAATTCAAAAAGTTAGAAATACTGATATATAAAAAAAGAAAAACATGCACGCCCAATAAGTTAAAACATCCTCTTATGTGGCAGTGGAATAAGATGTTAGTGAGAGCTTGGGTGCAACTCCTTGCTGCTCAAAAGCTCGCTTGGACTCCAACCTAACTAAAGACAAGTCGAGGCACATCATAACCACTCATAGCCGTCCATTATCCATAATCCCATATTTCATGTTGAAAATCTCACAACCGCGAAAAATGACTAATGATTGTGATCAACTTATCTACGCCTATAAATACATAGAGTATACTCAAAAGTACACATTCGTGATTACTCGTCTTGAGACCAAATATCTCATATCCATTAGAATTCGTCATATAACTTAATTTAAAAACTAGCATTTTAAAAAAAATACAATATCAACTAAATATATTAATTCTACCACTCATTCCATTTATAATTTTAACATAAAAAAAAAAGTCAAGCTCAACTCATCCAAACAATGAATAATAAATATAACTTTGTTGTTTATTTTTAATAAATACTATCATATGAACAAATGTTATTTGGGCCAGCATAGGTAAGGCACCCTTAGCAATTTATACTAGAGGTCAAGGATCGAATCGCAATAAAAAAAAATAAAAAGCAAAAAATAAAAACCAGCTCTCATATTTATGATGTAATATTGGTAAAAATGAAGAGAATAAAAAATGGTTTTTTGATTGGTCTTTTTATGCAAATTGGACGGCTGGCAGGAGAGTTTCGTTTTGACTTTGGAGAATCTACGGTCACGAGTGCAAGCAATAAAATACAGTTTTTTTTAAACCGTAACGTATATTTGAAATTTCACGGCAGCGCTTATCTATTTATTTAAAAGAACAAAAATAAATTAAATTCAAATCAGGAGAGAATCAAATCCACTTCCGTATCAAAGTTGGTCACCTCCCTCAACCAAAATTCAAAATATATAATAATAATAATGATAAATCAATAAATAAATAAGTTTTTTTCTATAAAATTCGTCATCATTGGATATTATTATAAAGTCAACTCGACAGCCCCATAATTTATTGTCCATTTTACTGCGCAAATTCCAACGTATTTCACATTATCCATAATTTCGTTTTAATTTTATTTTGGTGTGTGGTTATTATTTTTAATGCTTCTTTTTATTTTCACACTTTTATGGGACTCATATGGGGGTATTTCTGACTTTTTATTTTCTCCTCTTAAATTAATATCGTCTCTAAATTTTTCGTCAAGGCTGGAACAATATTATTTCTGAATGTGAATTTATGAAATTAAATGGAATTATTATTAGACAAAATTTTTAAATTCATAAACGAGATGTTTTTGTACCTAAGAAAAAAAATACTAATAAATAAAAATAAAATAAATGAGATGTCATGTATTTAAAAGGCATCCCTGCACTTCTAATTTTTGTCTATTTTAATTTTCGTACTTTTAAAATGATCGTTTTCAGTCTCTGTATTTTTAAAAAATGACTATTTTAATCTCTATCGGTAAAATATTAACATAAAATTTATATGCAGTGAAAATCGTTTAATACAAATTTATGACTATATTTGACCTAATTTAGTGAATGAATTGTTAGGTTAAAATTTTAATCTAAATAAACAAAACAAAAATAAAAATAAAAATAAAGCGACCAAAATAAACCTTTTGAAATATAAATACCAAAATGAAGAAAAGATAGAAGATGGAAATTAACGTTTTAAAAGTGCATGTACATGACATTAATTTTATTTATCATTTAGACACTTGATATTGTATAAAACAAACGAGTTTATACTACATATTTGTTTTGATTTATTTCGAGTTTTGAATTTAGTTTCATGAGTTTTCATTTTTTTTAAATAAGATTTTAAATTCGAGGTTAGGGAAGAGGCTACAGTTGGAGTTGGATAATACGGGTCTGTTTAGTAACGTTACCGTTTCAAAATTTTATTAATAAACTCAAGCATTTTGCAATTCAATATGTTTTTTGTTTCTATTTTTTAAAAACATTCTCAAAATATATAGAAATTTTTTAAATAATTAAAACAAACTTGTTTCCGTTTTCAATTTGTTATAATACATTAATATAGATATTATTTGATAATCATTGAATTTATGGTTGTTGAACTATACAATTCTATTTTTCTTTATTCAAAAGGAATAAACATAAATAAAAAACGAGAACGTTGTTATCAAATGAGCCCCATTTTCTATTTCAATCTAAAGGACTAAAAATTTTAAGCATAATCTAACCATAAGATCACACATTTAAACTGGTAGTAAATAATATCATACACTTACAAATTCAACAAAATAAAAATGAAAATACTTGACTTATTATATGCTAATATTAAGATTTTAAATATTTGTTAATGGCTTTTTCTAGAACCCACGCTCGCTTGGCGATTTCTTACGAGTCAAACTCGGACGCGTTTCAGTTTTGACCAGGTCTTCACCTTCTCTTGTTCACTTCTCTCTCTCTCCCTACAAAATTTGACGTTGGATTTGGATTGCAATTTAAGGGAAAAAAAAAGAAAAATTTGAAGTTAATATAACTTTTCCTATAAACACTAAACAGTTTTAAAAAAATCTATTTTTAGTATATAAACAAAAATTATGTATGAGTATCTCGTTTTTTTTTTTCAAAGCGAACATAATTGAATGATAATTGACATATATCTCAAATGAAGAGATTGTGAGTTCAATTTTGACCCGCATTGTACTAAAATAATAATAAATAATTTTGTTTCTTATTTCTTGTAATTTCATCTCTTTTAGAAAATAAAAATAGAAGTGTCTTAAAGGAGTTTTTTGTTTTTTGTTATTTATTTTTTATTGATCAAAATAGATACCATTTATTTCCTATTCTCTAAAATTATATACATAACTATAAAAAAACAATTTTTTAATTAAATATTTAAAATTTGTGTATGTATATATATTTATTATGCATCTAGTGAATAATGATAAAACAATATTTTTATTTACGTTTTGAAAAAAATTTGAAACAAGAACAATAAAAAAAAAGAAAAAAAATGTTGTTTTCAAACTTTCTACATAATTTTAGGCAATTACTTAACAAAAAACTAGAACAGGTATCAAATACTTGTGCTTCTAAAAATATAGAAATAAGAAACGAGAAACAATAAGAAAAACCTCATAATATGTGACACTCGACTAGAGATGAGAGATGCATAAATGAACCAATATCACATCCGAATGAAAGAGATCCTAAGACCATGGAAGTATGGTTAAAAAAAATGCTTAAAAGAATTGATAGTTACTACCTATACCAACAATGTGCACCTTCCTTTTCGGTGGCTCAATCATAAGAACTTCAAAATTAAGCGTGTTTAGCTTGGAGCAATCTTCAGTTGAGTGAGGATAAAGCATGCTGGAAAGACTCCTGTTGGTCTGTAGGGAAAGTGTACGCTCTTCTAAGTGGTTCAGAGTTTGACGGTGGCATAGCTAGGTCGCAGAGGAATGCCCGAGCAAAGAAATACCGAATCCAGATTCTGAATCTTGGATATGGAGAGTTAGATAATATATGTTTAATATAGAAATCGAATGAACCGAATTCGAACAAGGTTACTATACATGTTATAAAATACTAAACCGGCACCTGAAAAGGAATGAAAGAGATGTTTTTTAGTGAAAAAACCACGGGTTGACAATGACAGCAAAGTTTAGTTTCTCCCTTCTAAAAATAAAAATTATTTATTTAAAACTGATAAACTTCTTTAGAAAATGAGAACTATCCTTTTAATTTTTAAATGTTAATGGTAGGTTACGCATAGTCCTGAAAAATATATTATTAAAAATCGCTGCGCAATTAAGAAAAAAAACACACACACGTATAAGAAAAGTATTTTTGAAAACATCGGGTAGGTAAAACGAGTTAGAAAACAAATTCTAAATTTTATAATCTTTTTTCTAAGCTGACGAAATTACCCTTCATTAATAGTCGTCACGTTGAAAACAAGGAAAACAAAATATAAATATAATTAAAAATCTGGAAGCCAAAAAAAAAAAAGTCGTTGTAGCTGAGTCAACCTTATGAAAATGTTGAAAATTTTAATTACGGAAAATAGGGAGTAGTGGGCATGTCTTTGCTCTTTAATGCGATTAACAGCAAATTAGTGGATTTATGATTTTGGTTGGTCCTTTTTTTTAGGCCTTTAATTTGACTTAACCAATACAATAGCCTTTTCTTTTTTAAGTTTAAGGGTAAATTAGTAGAATACTATTTTGACATAAATTATAGATTTTTAAAATAATTCTAAATTATCCTTAAAATCAGATTCATTGTCCCTTTTTTTTTTTTTTTTAACAAAATATGATATGTCTTTTATGTGTTACGTGGGATACTTTTCACTTGTAAATTATTTTTTGTGAAATGAAATAAATAGTTAAAATTAAAATATCTCTAGTAAAGCAACACCGAAAACTCCTCCAAGTCAAGTACGCTTGAGTTTGGAGTTTCTACAATATAGTTACCGAAAGTGAATGTGCACATTGTTAGTATAGATAATAACTATCAATTATTTTAAGCATTCATCTTAACCATGCTTCCATAGTTTCAGAATTCATCTCATTCAGATGTGGTATCGTTCATTAATGTACCAATACTCTCTACTCAAGCGTAACAAGTACGTACTCCTTCTACATAATAAATGATGTTCATGTATCCATACTATATTTTAAATGTAATTCAGTCGTCAAAACAGCACGTAGTAGGAAAAATTTTCCATACTCCTACGGTACAGAAAATTTTCCCTTTTTTCTCCTCCCATTCGCCCTCAACCTCATCTACTCCTCCTCCCTCCTTCTGAAGCTCCCCTTCCCATTAAGATTTCTTAATGTAGTACCCACCAAATACACAACTTTTTCAATCAAAATCTACTCCATTGGCTTCCAAAACCGATATATCTCTATGAAACAATTTGGGTCGAGTTCCCTCTCTTTTGCCTATCCAACTAAGTCAATAGCTTTTTCAATCAACGAGAAAGATGACACTGGAGAAAAAGATGATAGATAAAGATTTGAAGGAAGTTGGCAAAAAATGACACTTACAAGGTCGTTTATTTTTCGAGAATCTAAATAGTCGGCATGTTCAGAAGTCTGGAATATTAATATCTAAAATTATAGATGAACGAAATTTTTAGATAGTAATGTCTGTTTTACATAAATATTTATAAGAATGTTTGCGAAAACTTTAATAGTTGAGTTTGTTTTACCTGACTTGTACATGTAGAATACATTAAAATTAAGTATCATTCAAACAATACTCTTATCAATCATCATCCTATTATTTATGTGTTATCATATATATTAATTTGAGTTCATATAAAATTTTTGCTTTTATTAATTTAATGTGATATTTTTATGTAAATTTAGTTTATGTTAGGTGACTATTGGAAGAGTAAAATAAATTAAATATTGCACACTAAATTTCAACTGAAAATAAATTAAGATCTAAATGTAGAATATAAATTGTTGATGGAAAATTTTGAGCAAGTGACATGTCGAGCACTGAAAAAACAAATAGGCATGGGATCATAGACGATTGGAAATGTACATTGCGGACTCGTACAGTGCACACCACTGTCGTTAAAACTGTACGGGAGGCACGTTGCAGGCCACATATCGTAGCCTGTAGGGGAGACAGACTAACAGGCGACATTGCCACTATCAGACATCAGGAATGTCCGTCCTGATTTGTCAGAACATCGTACAGTAAGACGCGACCCTCGGCCTCAAACTATCAACCAAGAAGGCCTATGAAAGGGAAGAACTCCATAACTAGCCATAAGTGAAAAAGCTGTCAATACTCCCATAAAATTTTTGCCCTATCTTTTACTCTAATCATTAACTTGATCGTCGGAGTCTTTTAGGCGAGACACTGCACCGGTGTCGAGTTTTCTAGTTGTAGTCTCATTTGCACCTTGACGCCTTGTTCGGAGAGGCACGTGTACCTCTTCAAAACTCGCCATCAACATAAATATAATCGTATTTAGCCATTTATGACCAATAAATCAGTGAATACATTTAAATTCAAAATAAAATAAAATCAATGAAAAGCTTATTCGTCTGAAAAATTATAAAGTTTAGGTCTTATTTTCATATATGTGCCTGTATAGTTAATTATCTATGTTGTCAAATATTTTTTTGGTTCCAATCATCTTACTGTTATATTTTAATGTAATTTTCTAAAACTCTCGTTATCTGTCTACAAAACACTCTTGTATGTTACGTTGGGTTGTTTATACATTTTAAAATATTATATTTAAGCCCCAACAATTATTGCATAAAAAAATTACTACTCGTTTTCTTATTCATCATTTAATGCAATTTTAATTGTTATTTTTTTAAGTATAATTTTTAAAGTAGACTAGTTGAATCATGGAGTTACATGAAAAAATAATGTGAACACAAGATAAATATGCAATTTATATTTAAAAATCTAGCTACCACAAGTAAAAGACAATCATATAAATTCAAAATCGTTATTATTACTATATTTTTTCTATTGTTAAGAACATTTGATGGTGGTAATTTGAACATTTGATCTTTTCGTAATAATCTATTTTCTTATGCTACTTAAAAGTTCGTTTTATATAGTTAACATATGATATATACCTTAAACGATAAAGTTATTTGACAAATTTAAAACAATCCAACTACTAAAATTCATAACACAAATTAAATAGTTTTATAATAATAAAAAAAAATAGAAAACAGCATCCATTCCCATTACCTTTAAAAGTCACGAGCTTGACAATTAAACGCATAAGATAATGGTGATTTAAAAAGTAAAATATTAACACCAATTGACTTGATTAAAATTGTAATATTATCTTTTAAATATTCAATCAACCATTCCAATACCTTTTTTTAATGATAATAATTTATTTTATTTCGAGTTATGAAGCAACTTGACAATATTTAATAAATATTCTCATGATTACTCCTAATCCCTCAATTAGGTCAAAAGGATTCGAGAAAGTTATCGCTTACTTTATTAAAGTTGCGTTGCACCACACAATAATTAATAATTAAAAAAAGAACCGAAATATTTTCTTTAATTGACACCAGCTAATTTCCATACTCTTTTAATGCTTCCAACACGTGGCAGAAAACAAAATGCTCAGCCAATTATTAAATGCGAGAAATGGAAAAAGTCGTGGTCAACTCTTTAGGTGAATTCCCACCGTCCGATCGTCACGGGGGAATCCGATGGTTCAGGATGAATCTATCGATCTTTTGTTTCTTTTGAGAAGTGTTCAAATATCTTTTTAGTTAAACTTTAAAGATTATTCTATTATAATTAATCAAATTTTAAGATGTCAACTATAATTACATGGCCGACTCCAATATAATTCGATGGGTTCAAACATATATTATTGAATATAAAGTCAGGTGTTGGAATTCTCATATTCACAAGTTACTAAGCTCAAATAAAACAGCAATCATACAAAAATTATAATCCATGAAATTTAGTGGAAGTTAGCACGATTTTTACAAGTATGTAAATGATTTATGTCCGAATCATTTTTAGAATTCAAATAATCATTTTTTGAAATTTAGAGACAAAATCATGTTTAAATTGTAGGAATCAAAATTCAATAATAAAAAATGGAAGGACAAAAATAGATTTAATTCAAAAATATCATATAATAAAGTTTGGTCAACATTTGGAGGATAAATTACGAGAATAATAGAGTAGCTCCACGTGATCCCCACTTTTGGTCAGCTTTCTTTATCAAAACACAGAGTGGTTCGTCGTTTTGCGCGAATTTCTATATCGGGAATTTTCTCGCAATTTCACGATATGTTCGTGATATATCGTGTGCGAAATAGACGCATTCTAGAAGATGAAATTAAAAAAATAACAATAAACAAATAATACATAGTCAAAATGCCCCGTTTTACCATCCTTCACACAGTGAGCATAGTTTGGTAATGGCAACGTACGTCGTCGTTTCCATAAAGCGGGGAAAAGGAATTGGTCACTTCTGAGTTCTGAAATTTTCATTTACAGTGTGCCCCACTCTGTACGTCTTTGAACAAATCTCAGCCGTAGATCACGAATCCCACTTTGACTCCCAACCAGCTTACCCGGTCACCCGGTCACCCGGTCACCTCGATCGCCATTAAATCATCCCCAACCTCCATCATTCGTCTTACTTTCTCCGAATACTAATCTTCCTCTTCTCTCAATCTTCCTTCTTCAATGATCTTCTTCTTGTAGTCCAGATTTTTCTTCTCTGTTTCTCTGTGATTTTTTTCTTCAATTGTCATCCATGGCGGTCGATTTGATGAGTTTTCCAAAGATGGATGACCAGATGGCCATACAGGAAGCGGCATCGCAAGGATTGAAGAGTATGGAGCATCTGATTCGTCTTCTTTCTCACAAGCAATCTTCAAATCACGTCGATTGCTCTGACCTAACGGACGCCACCGTTTCGAAGTTCAAGAAGGTGATCTCCCTCCTCAATCGGACCGGCCACGCCCGCTTCCGGCGAGGTCCGGTTTCTTCTACCTCTTCTTCATCCTCCGGTTCATCTGCTCATCTATCTGTACCTCAAAATCACGCGATGAATCTCACTCCCACTCCGTTTACTTCTCCGACAACTGTGCCTCCTGCGCCGTTCGCAGCTCCGGCGACCATCGCTCAGCCGCAGGCGAAAGTTGCTGCGGCGGCGAACTTCATCCAGCCCCAGCATCAGAGTATGACTCTCGATTTCACGAGGCCGAATATTTTGAACTCTAATCCTAAGGGAACGGAGTTGGAATTTTCCAAGGAGACATTCAGTGTCTCGTCGAGCTCTTCGTTTATGTCCTCTGCCATCACCGGAGACGGCAGCGTGTCCAACGGAAAGTTAGGAACGTCGATCTTCCTGGCACCGGCGCCGACTGCCTCCGGAGGAAAGCCTCCTCTATCGGCGGCTCCGTACAAGAAGAGGTGTCACGAACACGATCACTCTGAAGACATGTCCGGAAAATTCTCCGGCTCTTCCTCTGCCTCCGGCAAGTGCCATTGCTCCAAGAGAAGGTATCGAATCTATACAACTTCATCTTCTTCGCGCCTAATCTAATTGAATATCAAACAAAAATGAAAAAACAATATAAGATTTCTGTGAATATATTCGTAAGAACAGTAACCCTAACGAAGAACAGAGTTCAGAGAGAATAAAGGGGCGAGAGCGAGTTGACTCGTCCGAGTCGGAGGAGGGAACAGTTAGCGAGTTAGTGGGCGCAGCACGCGTGACACTGACACGATTAGGTGGTGTTGTAATTTAGAAAAATATCGATATTCGGAAAATATATTTTTCAACTTGGCAATAAAGCAGTTTTGTCTCCTTTTTTCTGCCTTAATTGTTGACCATTGACTTTAATCGCATGATCGGCCCCACCCCACTTTAAATTCGCCAACGACCGGTAGATTTGAAAAAAATAAATTACATTTCCAAATTCCAACAAATATTGACCGCCGTCGTTTTATTTTATTATAACGCAGGAAAAATCGGATGAAGAAGACGATCCGAGTCCCGGCGATTAGTTCAAAAATCGCCGATATTCCACCGGACGAGTATTCGTGGAGGAAGTACGGTCAGAAGCCGATCAAGGGATCTCCATACCCACGGTAAGCAACTACAGCAACCCCGCCGCCGTGAACGGCGTCGATTAATCGTAAGTTCCCCATTTGACTTAACGATTTTTTGCGTGATTTTTAATTTCAGGGGATATTACAAGTGTAGCACGATGAGGGGATGTCCGGCGAGGAAACACGTGGAGAGAGATCCGAACGATCCGGCGATGCTGATCGTAACGTACGAAGGGGAGCACCGCCACACGCCGAGCGCGTTGCCGGAGAATATGGCCGCCGGAGTAGCTTTAGTTTTTGAGTCAACTTGAAGCTAGAAAATAAATTTAAGGAAAGGGGAAAAAAAGAAAAAGAAAAAGTGGGGCCAGCGAGGAAAGAGGGAAAAAGAAAAGGGATATTTGAATTTTGACTTCGTGTTATCTTCAAGATGCTTGTACATTAGAAGAAAAAAAAAAGAAATTCAAAAATTTCAGAAAAAAGAATCAAATGGCAGAAAGAATCCTCAAATCTGCCGAGCGCGTGTTTATCGGAGTCGAATATATTTAATTGAATTAATTACTGTTGGTCCTATCTTTTACGGATGGTGAAACGTTAAAGTTTGTCCTTTAACAACTGAATATAGCAAATATTCACTAATATTTTGAATTAAAAGTTAAAACGAACATACCCTAATTTACTTGTATTTTTTCTACATTTTATCTCTTTTCAAATTTTAACCCCATCGAAATTCTGTCACATTATCATATTATTACTGATGGGTCAATTTCCTACTTGAAATATTAGTAGATGTTGTTCAAAGATATTTTTTAAACCCCGTAAAATCAGAGGTAGTAGTAAGAAGAGTGTGGAGAGTTATTTTTAAACAAAATGCAAAGTCGAGGATTATATATATTGTAATTTAATCGTTAGTTTTCAACCTTTTGGCTTTTTGGTAGCGTTTGGGAATATCACTAAAAGGAGGGGTGGAAATGCAAATAAGAAAAGGTCGGGGGTTGCTTCGTGAGATATGAAAAGTCAAAAGATGGGGAAGTGGTCGTCAGTGACCGGTGAGAGGGTGTCAATCAATCACTTCACAAATTGGTATGGTGGGCCCATCGTTGGGAAGGTTGTATTTATTTTGAAAATTAATTATAAATAAATAATATAAATAATATATTCTTTTTTTCGGAAACTTAAAAAGTCCTGCCTGCTCGAGTAATAATACTATATCTCACTTATTCCGAAATTTGACTTTTTTCATTTAAAGATGCAAGTTCTGGCATTTAATTGATTTTTTAAAACCGAAAAAAAAATTGTTCCATATTTTTTAAAAGAAAAAAATAAATATCAAATCGACTTTATGAATTATGGGTATGTTTGGTTGTTTTTTTTTTCTTTGGGACATACAAGACATTTTTTAAAAGTGTATTTGGAATTTTAGACAGAATTATTTATACTAAAAAAATGACACAATTATAAGAGTTTAAGAACCAAAATTTATAATTAAAAAAAAACAAAAGACAAATAAAGGCACCGGGAGGGGCAAAATGTTTTGACTTAATTGGACCATGGGCCATCTCTTACGCCGAACTATTTGAATAAAACGCACAACCCAAATCCCCAAATCGAATCTTATGCTTTAAATAAAGAAGGAAAAAAAAATTCAATTTCCTACAGCTTTATTTATATATTTATTTAAATTTAAAGATTTGCACATATTCAACCTAGTCTCAAAATTATTATTTTTTATAATTAAAATAAGCATGCAACTTTCAAATTATAACGAAAAATCAACAATATTTATTATAAATTTGTCATATACGACACCAACGATGGAATAAAGAAATTGGAATTGAATAAGACGTGTCTTTTAAACCATTGGAGTGAGATCTTTTACGCTCTATCGTTTTTATGGTCTATTCATAGAATAGTAATTTATCATAGTGGTTAGTAAAAAAATTGTCATGTGATAGATTATCATAAACTTAGTCAATGCTCTAATATTAAGTCAACCCGTACAATTATCCATACTTTACACCTCAAACTTAGGTACAACTTCTCCAAATAGATATCAGTTTTTTATCGAATAAGTCATGTCACGAGATGAATGAATAGAAAACAAATTATTCCTCTTTTTTGCCAATATTTTTGCATTCATTTAATTATGGGAAGAAATTAAATTAAACAAATTTCATCCTTTTGATTTTATGGACTGAGTTATCCTTAATGTATATTAAACTATTAATTAAACGTAAATATAAATATATTAAAATACTTGTTTAAAAAAATAATAAATTAAAATATTGTTTTTATACTATCAAATAATCATGTGGAACTATTATATTACTATAAAAATAATTATTAAAATATAAAATGTATAATTATTTAATCATCCCATATATCGACATAAAATATGCCAACTTTTTTTCTTTTTAGAAATAGATCGTTCTAAGACTACACAACAATAAAACTAAAAAAACAGTTTAAAGAAGAATGCGAAAAGAAATCAGCCATCCAAACTTATTTCCATTGAATTTTTGTTTTAGAAAAATGGGATTTATAAGCTCTCACATTTTTTTTCTGCAAAAGTAAAAATAAAAAAATATTTAGATGGTGCTTAATCCAAAACAGTCCCCCTAGATGTTGGTAATTATAAAACTATTAAAGACTAATGATAATTAATTGGGCTACGGGTGGACCAAGTAATTCAATGATCAGCCCAACTTAATATTTTTATTTTCATCTTGATTATTTAGTTTTAACATGACATGACATTTCATTCGTTAAATTTCGAAAGATGTAGCCATAAATTTGTATTAGATTATTATTTCCATTGGTTATATACTTGTGTTAACATTTTACAAATAGAGATCAAAACAGTCACTTTTATTGTGAGACCAAAACATACGTTTTGAAATTATAATGACTAAAAAATTGAATACAAATTAAAAGTACACGGATCAAAATATAAACGTTTTGAAATTACGGTAATCAAAATAGTATTTAAATGTTTAAACTATGTGGGACTACCTACAAAATGTTATCCTATTATATGATATTGTGATTATCCTATTATATGATATTGTGATCAACCAGTTATCTCATTAAATTAGTAATGGTTTTAAAGTGGGTTGGACCACTCTTATTATTAGTTACTTAAAAAAGTTATTTACCTAATGGAAGCTTATCCATTTGATTTTATATGACAATATTATTACTTTCATACCCCTTCCTCCTTTACCTGTCTTACTACCATCAAGTTATCTATTTTATTTTTATACTCCTTATCCTCGAGAATAAGAGTAGATCTACTAATTCTAGAACGAGCGATGCCGACCACAAATCTTAACTAGTTACAGAGTTCATAGTCAAACTTCTTTATGAACTTTTAAATTTAATTGTAGTATAATGAGATTCAGAACTAACATAGATCTGTCGTATTGGTAAAGTTCGTTCATCGAAATGTAGGGTATTGAAGGGATTACTTTGAGGGCCTCTATTTCTCATATCTTGAGAGAAAATGATTATTAATGCAAGGGAGTGCTTCTCATCCGACCCCGATTATTTTACATTTTGTTTAGAGTGATGTGTATGCTCGTATTACTATTTGGATAGGGTCTGCTTGAGATTTATTTTCACAAATGAGTTGTTATGTTTTGTTTTGTTTTGCTTACGAGATATATATGGTATTTCTTTTATTATTTGTCTAATTTAATCGTGTTGTTGACTATCTTGTTCGTTTCACTATATTAACAGGTCCATTTATTTTATAAGTATCTTGATCTCCAACAGTGAGATTCATCCTTGTCTTGGCAATATAATTTTTACTTTAAAAAATCATATTAAAAAAAATATCACAACAAAATTTACGTAAAAAACTCTTACAAGAAAAAAGTAATAGATGAGAACTCAAATATTGACAACTATATTTCAAAAAGTAAACAATATTCATAAAAGAAAACTAAAACATCTGGAGATCAGAATGAGTAATCATATTTGCTATTGGTGAACTTTTATCCTAAAATATTTCTGAAAACTACTTCGTATAAATCTATATTTACTTTTTCTTCAGAAAATAATTATGTATATTTTGAATGGGTGCAAATAAAATCATTACGGATTGATAATTAAAATTCTTGTAAAGCCTATATTCCTAAACAAGGGACAAAAGTATATATTTTTTCTCCAATTTAATCAAATAAAAACTTTCTAATATATAAATAATTAAAGACTGAATTACATTTCAGGACGTTTATGTATATTTGAGTAATTTTCTCTCATTATTGAGTTAAATAATAAAATATCATGTTTTGTGTGTGGGTATAGAAATAGAAAAGTTATAAATTAAACGAGTATACTTGTCAATAATAATAATTGCGAAACTACTCACCAGCTTTTGTTGTTGACATCTCTCCTTATACAAGTTTTCCAAAGTTGTGGCTCTAAATTATCGAATGTGGAATCTCTTAGGCGTAGGAATAGTAGTAGGGACGATGTGGGGTAAGGATTTTGAACTTCCTTTTGGTCGAAGATATATGCATTAATTTGGTGAAATATGTTTAGATTAAGTCTAGACATATCTTTTAAACCATACAATTATTTGAGGAATAAATGTGGCTTTAAGAGGGGAAATTAATATAATATAAACATTTAAAAGGGCTTAAATTAGAGACAACATAAATAAGATGGGTTGGACAAATCGAAAACAAGCAACACTCTAGTTTAAATCAAATGGCAATTTTTTTCTATTTTTTAAGTTATTAATTATGTTTTTAAATAATGTTATAGTCGAGGATAAGTGGAAAATTCGATGATTTATTTTGTTTTTATTTAGCTTTTGATTTATTCATCTTCCAAATTTGACTTTTCCACCCCTCTTTTCCCAATATTAATTTAGTTTATAGTGGGAATTTTTTATATGTATTCTACCTTGCTTTGTGTGTGTGTGTTTTTTTTACTAACCGTATTTTTTTAAAATGTATTTTAAAATCTGTTATTAAAATAATAGTTGAATATTAAAATGTAAAAAGGTAATTTTTCGAATATATATACCTTGGCTAAATTTAGAGTAATGATTTTAAAAGCTACAAATTAAATAAGTAAGTGTTCCCAAATAAAATTAACTTTTAAAAGAATATATGAAACTAAAGATAAAATTATCAATTAACAAATCTCGTAAAAAAAAAAGAATAATAATAAAAAAAAGACTTATGGAAAATATCAACCATAGAAAAAAATATGAAACTAACTAAACCTGTTCGATTTCACAAATCCCAAGACCAAATATAAATATATACACTAAAAAATAAAAAATATATATTGGACAATTTTATTTTTTGGGATTTTGTTAGGAATGGAATCTTTAGCCTCAATGCCCCCTCCAAACATGCGTACAAGTTTTAATTCGGAACGGACGAAACGGACATGCAAAATTACATCTGATTAACTTAGCAAAAACTCTGCTCAACACTGATTTGAAAACACGAATGTCATCTGTGTAAAATCTATGTACAGAGCGCATTGAAAATGACAACAATATTTTCCAAAGCCCCTCTGAATTGCTCACGAACATACACAATTTATATATAGTTTGACTTAAGCTTCGAATGAACATTAGTTAACACTTAGTGTATGTCATCATCTTAATTTGAGTGGACGTACACCTCCAACCATCTCTCTGTCCTTAGTCATACATCAACCAATTAATTCTAGACTCTTTTGATGGATTTTGGTCCAAATTTTCACGTGGTTCATCTCATTAATCAAACTCTTAAAGAAAAATCTCAAAATAGATCGATTGAACTTCGTCTAATAATAAAAAAAAAGTCAAGTCAAAACTTGCTACACCCCACCTACATCACTAAACACTTGTTCGTCTTCTCCATTATGATCTCAACTTCCCAAAGAATAATTATATACAAAAATAATAATAATAATAAACAACAAACAAACAAAATTATCCTCTAGATATTCTTCAAAGATTCTTAAACACCTAACACTTTTAATTAAAAAATAAACGGGATGAGAAAATTAATAGCAAAGTTTGAAACATATATGGGCACGTGCTGGGTATATGCCAATAAATATGCCTTTAATCCACCACCTTGCCTATATCTTGGCCTCGGGATAGCCTACGTGACAAAGGATAAGGTAATTTACATGCTGCATATTAAAAAATATACCCCTTATCCATTTTTTCAATACATATTTAATTAGTGATACAGCTCAAGCACATTATTAATATTACATTAATACAACAAATGTGGAAAATTTCAACCTTTGACATCAAGGAAATGTACTTATGTTACATTTTGATCAACTTTTTTAGTGTCTATGACAACGAGAGTAAGGTATATTATTACTCAAGTAACTAATTTTAGAGCAAATGAGATGTTGTGTACGTTATCACGTTATTTTGTTTTTTCTCTTCTTGATTTGAGACGCATGTCAATTATCGTTAAGCTGTGCTACTTCATATCAATAATATTGTTATTTAAATGTTGACATAATGTGCCAATTGAACTAATCCTAGATGGGCCTAAATGAAGTGATAAGTAAGTGGATATGGACCAAAAAGTTTGATTTTGTATATACTCAGACTCCTCATTACATGACTTGTTCTTTGCCTACTTGCCCTTATTTTATCATCATGACCTACCCCTTATATTTATGCCAATTCATAATGGGTTAATTATCACATTTAATTACTAAAAAAATTGTCACATTTAATAAGATTAACATTAGAAATAGATTCTTGATATGAGTATAAATTAACTGATTAATAATCAAAGTGAGCATAATCCAGTGGTAATTAACATATATCTCCAATCAGGAGGTTGTGAGTTCGATTTCCACCCCAACATATTGTACTTGAAAAAAAAACTCAACTAATGAATGTAGTATTTACGTATTTGTGAATAAGATATGTTCTCGAACCAAAAGAAAAAAGAAATATATTGAAATGAAAATCAATGACTCAAAACTTTTAAGTTTAAAAGCCACATAGACCATTAAATTTATAATTCAACAAAGAAGATAAAACAAAACAGTTCCATTCAAATATAATTTCCCAGAAACAGAATGGATAAGAGGAAAAAAGGACAGATAGCCAAAAATGTTATAAATAGATTTTTTTTTCTTTTATTTTTTGCTTTCAATGGCATTGCCATGTAACGGTGAACGTGTCAAAGGCGTTAATCCCTAATATCCCGCAAGCGGACTCCACTATCCCGTCTCCCAAACACTCCTCTTAATTTTTTTCATGTATTTTCTTTTTTTAAGGTTGCATTAATTTGTTATGTTTGTGGGTGCAAAATGTCTGCTTGTTCCTATCCATTTCTGTAGCTCTTATTTATTTATTTATTATTTTTTAAAATTTATATTTCGTTTTCTGTATTTTTCATTTCCGATTTACTCCCAAAAGAAAAAAACAAATTCCAAACCAAATTCTTCTCCAAAACTCTTAAAATATCCCTTTCCCTGTAAAGTTCACAGACCCCCTTATCTCCTAACCTCTTTCTCTCTCTCTCTCTCTCTACCAGAAAAGTCAGTACCAATCAGCCAACCGCCGCCGGTTGATGACAACGAACCCTAATCCCTGGACGTCGCCGGCGAGGAGAACCAGAGCGGAGGAAGGTGGGAAGCCCGGCCCGTCTCCACTGGGACGGAATCGATCTCCATCCGGTGACTGATGGAGGTTTTGTTCAGTGCTCCCACGTTTAGTATCGAAGTTCCGCCGTCCACGGCGTTCGTCGGCGTCTCTATCGCACCGGAAAACCCCGCCGTCGCAGCTTCCTGCCTCCCACAAACTCAGAGTCGGGTCGTGCCGGGGTTGAGCGGGTCGGGATCCGGATCTGGTAGCTCACTAGGGGAAGTTTCGTCGGAGAGCTCGTCGTCGATTGGAGTTCCCGACGACGATTCCGAGGACGACGGCGGCGGCGAGGAGGTGCAGAGCAAACCGAAGGAAGGAGGATTATGCGGATTGGATTCTCTTGAAGACGCTCTCCCGATCAAGTGAGTCTCTCTCTCTCTCTCTCTCTCTCTCTCTCTCTTAAAATTTCTCAATCATAAACTAGAAACTGCCTAAATTGAAGCCGAGCACGGCGATTGAACCTGAAATTTTCCGATGAAACATGCAATTTCCTGCGCGATTAGAAATTTCCTAGTCCGTAATGTGTGGGGGGAAACGAAATTGCAGAAGGGGATTATCGAGCCATTTCTCGGGGAAATCGAAGTCGTTTGCGAATCTATCAGAGGTGATTCAAGTGAAGGATCTGGAGAAGCCGGAGAATCCTTTCAACAAGAGGAGGAGGATTTTAATGGCGTCGAAATGGTCAAGAAAAGGCTCCTTCTACAACTGGCCGAACCCTAAATCGATGCCTCTGCTGGCCCTCAACGAAGACGAAGAACAAGGAGAAGAAGAAGAACAAGAAGAAGCCGATTGTTCCGATTCAGAGGACGGAGATGAAGAAGACGAAGAAAACGAACGGAGAAGACGAACCCTAGCCTCGAAGTTCCATGATCGGAAGCTCGTTAATGGCATCAAATCCAAGAGTTGTTTTGATCTGCAAGAATATCAACACCGATGACTCGTAATAAAATTTATTGATCTGAGCAGAAAAAAAAAAGGAAAAGAGGAAAAAAACTCTTTTTATCTTTATTTTTATTTTTAAGTTTCATGTGTCAGTCAGTGTAGATAAAATAAATAATATAGATTTTATATAATTATAAATTGCAATATGTTTATATTGTGTGTGAATGAATTATGGTTGGTTGAGGGAGATGGCGAGTGATGGTGAAAACTGAAAAGGATATAATCTAATCTTCATCCTTTTCTTTCATTGTTATTTTTGTTTTGATTTTGATTTTTTTTCTTTGTTTTGCAAAATTTGGCCAGTATATATGCTTGAGGGATCGTTGTCGAGTAAATTGTGAAAAATAAATTTACAAATATTTTTTTTTGTTAAATTATTAAATTGGTCCCAATAATTCATTTTTTTGAGTTCAAGCAGGGGTAAGGATTTGGACGCGTAGATGTAATATAATGGCATAAGGTTGATGGCACAACTCAAATAAGGTAGATGTAGTATAATGGCATAAGGTTGATAAGCACAACTCAAATAAGCAAGTCCGAACGTCTCAATAAAAAATGTGGCGAGTTTGAATTATTATGTGTACAAATCTACACAAGTTCTTGTGCTATATTATATAACACTTTAATCAGTTATGTTTCGTCATTGTTATCTTAGAGTTTCTATTATTAACTTAGGTGATTTATTGGTCTAAATGATCGAGGTAGATCAAAAATATTTTGAAGGGACGAGTTCAAAAATTAAATAAATATGATTGGAATAAGAAATATATAGAAGTTTAGGGACTAAAATGTGAAATTAAGCTAATAGATATGTGGCCGGGACTAAAATGTGAAATTCAGCTAATAGATATGTTATCTTTGGCCACGTGTACTAAAAAAACAAAAAAAATTATAGTATAATTATAATTAAGTAGCTAAAATATCTCCTTCATTTCTTAAAAGGATTATAGGTTTAAATAACCATATTTGCGATGTAATTATTAAAAAAAAAAGAGCAATTCCCATTGTATTAACATTTCTATCCATTTTACTTATTATAAAATTGTAAAATTAATTAAATTGACCACCGCACATAGAATGACTGAACATTATTTATATAGTATAGTACAACTCCAAATTTAAAAAGTTTAAAATATTCGGTATATATTAATTTAGTCGAATATATATATATATATATATTCATTTTTCTAATTGGGCTGGGCCTCGTATTACCCACAGAATTACCGTAAACTGGACTGGGCCCAAGAGCGCAATAAGACGATACCGTACATTTACCGCCAATTTTACATCCTGCCGTCATCCACTCCTTGCTCTCGCTCTGCTCCCATGGCTGATGGTTAGCTTCTCTGCGTCTCTCATCGGCACTCGTCACCACTGCCGGAGAAGATGTTACGGATCGCCTCATTTCCCTCTCGACCATTGGCATTAAGTTCATCCGACTCCCTGAATGTATTTTCTTGTCCAATTCATTCTCGTACGGCTTCCCGCCGGCGTCGGAAAGTATCTCCTCGGAATCCTAATCTCAAGCGGCTGACCTCTCGTGTCGTGCGACTCACTCGCCGGAAGCAGCTTCACCAGGTTTTACTCGTTGCTGTTCATTACCTACCTCAATTTCCACTCATATCGAGTCTACGTTTTTAGAAAAGATTGACTCCGATTTTGTTTTTTTGTTCTGTTGCTTGCCGTTGCATACGATGTCTTATTGTGTTTATTCCATCTGGTTCGAATCCGTAGATTTTCATTTTCTCTTCATTTGAAGTATTGATGGCTTATGCGTTTTTTTGAACAATAAAATTATAATCTCACGTAAAGGATTTACGTAGAACAATGAGTTCGACGTTAGAAATTAACTGATGGTTTCTATGGAGTTTGTTCTCTTCAATTGAATCAGTTTTCGTGTTTAAGTTTCGTTTTATCCTTTACTTTCTCAGGTATTTGAGGAAATTGAAATTGCCAAGAGACGTTATGGAAAGTTGAATACAATTGTTATGAATGCGGTCCTGGAAGCTTGCGTGCACTGCGGTGACATTGATTTAGCTCTGAGGACTTTTTATGAAATGTCAAAGCCAGATAATTGTGGCGTAGACAATGTCAGTTATGGCACACTATTAAAGGTATACTTTATTGTATTTATACTATTACGAGTTTTAGATTACGTGAAGCATTGTTAAGTTATGTTGGGAATTCATTTTTTTGTGTGAGTAGGGGCAGGGGGATTATAGGGAGGAAATTCGTAATTGTGACAGTTATGCGGGAGAGTTGTGATTAGTTCTCGTTTAAGTTTTTTCTTGATCTTTTCTCTGCTAGGGTTTGGGTGAAGGTCGAAAAGTCGATGAAGCATTTCAATTGCTTGAATCTGTGGAAGAAGGTACCGCTATTGGAAGTCCAACATTGTCAGCACCCCTTATTTATGGTCTTCTAAATGCTTTAATTGAAGCAGGTCAGTTTCTACAAGAAGTCGTTTGTTAAGCACCCTTCTGTTCTATTACTGTAATTTATCTAAGCTGCAAGGATCAGAAAAATGCCTTCAGTTCTTCAAATCCAAATGTTTGATATATGTGTAGTTAGTACTAAAAGCTTATGTCAGCCACATTTTAATTGAAATATGGAATGATTGAAAACAGCACTCGACCAACCTTGCGGCTTAATGGCTGTCAGATAGGATCATTTTTCTAATCTTTCCATACACATCTAAAGGCTTAATGGGAGGAACTCTAGATTTTCTTTTAAGCTTCAAGTCTTTATTAAGTCCAGAACCGACCTATTAGTAATTAAATAAGTATTTAATATCATACATTGTATAACTTTTTACTTCATTTATCTATAATTTTTATGCACGAAAATTTTTGCTTTATTTATGTGTTGACTCATAACAATTTTATGTAGTACATTTCGGTGTCATTTTTTTTAAATTGAAAAACAAAGAAATAAGATCTTAAGATTTCAATATGACTCAATTTGATATTGCAACTTTTAAACAGTACTTTTTAGCACAACTAATAATTCAAGATATCAGTAAAATCACATGGATCCTCATAGTATTAGAACTAGCATGCATGATATTGTAATTTGTAATACCAGTATATTTTGTGATAAAATTTTAACATTTTTAGTAGGATAGATTGGAATAAGAAAATGTTGTAATATTGTTCATGTTACTTCTTAAGTTATTTAACCAATTTGAACTTTAGTAATTAGGTTACACATTTAAGTTTAGATATATGGCATTCTCTACAGATAGAGAGTATAATATTAATTTCTTGATTCATTAAATATTTTAAATTCTTATAAATTTATGTTTCAAAATTTGAGCTGACAGCATATATGGGCATGAATTCAATGACTCGCATTATCATATTTATAATTTATTTTTAATTAAAAAAACAAGTATTGATTATATTCAGATGTGAGATTATTTTGTTTTATGTAGCTCATTGATTTATTATACGATTAGACTCCAAGTTCCTCTTCAGTCTCATGCTTATCGATGTGTGAACAATGTTAGTGTACATTTCTCTTCTTTTTTTATTACTGTTTACTAAATGATATCAAAAAAGCTCGATTATTTTTATAACAGATTCTTTGATAGTTGGTAGTTGGATTTAAATGTTATGGAAGCAGTATTCGAATTCGGATGAAGAATTTTTTCATACAAAGTTTTTTTCAGCTCAATTATTTATCATATACCAGTTTGTTGTTTTAAATGATCCATTTATGCTATCATGTTGATTTTTGTAGTGCAGGAGACATGCGCCGTGCCAATGGTCTAATTGCACGATATGGGTTCATACTTCGTGAAGGAGGCAATCTCTCTACTTCAGTTTACAACTTATTGATGAAGGTGTGCTGAAACTGGTGTCTCTGCAAGATAATTAATAATGAGATATAAATTTTCTGGTCATACTGCATCAAACGTTTTACCTGGTGCTACACCTGGAGAAGCCAGTATCACGTGATTACATTGCTTATTGATTTATCTCTCTATGATTTTCAGGGGTACATAAGCTCAGGTGTTCCTCAGGCTGCTATAGCTATGTATAGTGAGATGCTAAATCTCGGGTTACAACCTGATAGGCTCACTTACAATACGTTAATCTCTGCATGTGTGAAGATTAACAAATTGGACGCAGCAATGCATTTCTTTGAGGAAATGAAGGTCACAAACATTTATTGAAAGGCCAGTTTAGAGCCTATAAATATTTTATTAATTGGTTGAGGAATCAACCAGTGTATATATTTTGTTTCTCAGAACTTCATTGCTTTCAGGAACGAGCTGACAAATATGACCAGGAAGATATTTTTCCTGATGCTGTGACGTACACTACATTACTTAAGGTCAGTAAACTTTTCACCACTCTTGTTGATCATGTGAGCGGAAATTTTGTAACAAGCTGAATTTGCTTTGAAATTTTGGGTAGTGTGGGTCATTTAATAGCCAATTTTGTAGTTTATTTGGCCCTCTTTTTAGTAGATATTGGTATTAAAGAGATTATGGGTGTATATTTTGATGTTTCCAGTTAAAGTGATTATTTGCTTGATGGAGTTGGAAGCCTTTTAATGAATAATTGTGAAGATCTGGAATCCCTTTGACGAAGAGAAATTTTGGGATTTTTTATGGTCTTTGTACAGGACACTATTGTCTCAAACATGTTACTGCACAATCTTGGTCTCTTGCTTATCCTTTTGAGATTTTTTCTCTCAATCATCAAAGATAGCATAAAGTAGACTGTAATTATTTGAAAATAGAATTTTGATACTGTTTCTATCCTTCGAGAGTGATGCATAGACCTTCATTGCTTTATCAGATGACACTGTATCTGGATATCTTCTTTTGCTACTATAATGGATGCGCGGAATCAATGTCCATGAAAAATCTGCATCCAAATCAGTTATTTTCTCATAAGCCTTGGGGAGGAGTTTTACATTTTTTCCCCTGTACCGGTCTGACCCATGATAATTCTTGCATTTTAAAAATTTCCTCGGGGTTCTAGCTCTGGGTAGCTAGCGTTACAAGCATGTGTATCTTGATTCACTTTTCAGACAACTTAAGACCCTTCTATTTATTAATCATTATCATATTTTTCTAGGGGTTTGGGATTTTGAGAGATGCCCGTGTAGTTCACATGATTGTGCTGGAAATGAAATCTTGTCATGATTTTTTTATTGATCGAACAGCATACACCGCAATGATTGATTCTTTGGTTAATTGTGGCTCAATAAACGGTATGTAATGATTGGAAGTAACTCTTAAGAAATTTTGAGATTGATTGATTTTGATTGTACCTAGTAGGTAATATGTCAATGATAGCAGGTGCTCTTTCATTATTTGGGGAATTATTGAAGCTTTCTGGATGGAATTCAGACTTTCGGCCAAAGCCACATCTTTATCTCTCTCTTATGAGGGTTCTTTCTAGTAGAGGCGATTATCGGATGGTCAAATGTTTGCATAGACGCATGTGGCTGGACTCTTCCGGAACTATTTTTCCTGGATTTCAAGAAGAAGCAGACCATCTTCTCATGGAGGCAGCTTTAAACGACAATCAGGTACTTTTTCCATTTAAGTCTAAGATTTAACAATGTTTCTGGAAAACATATGGCTTACCGTTCCTTTCCTCCTTTTAATGTTAAAGGTTTGCAGTCTTTATATGTTAGACCCAACAAGTACACCCTGAGTTGAGAGAGATGGTTGGAGTTGATTGTCATATTATTATATAAGTTAATGAGTTAACAAAATATCAGTTTGTCTAATTTACTCTAGCTTGTGCCACGATGAGGGTCTGACTTCTGAGTGGCAAAAGATTAAGTATTTTGTAGTCTTATGTACTTGGAAAGATTTTAAGTAGTAAGTTGTCAAAAGCCACCTGGAAGCAAAAATCTTATTTTCATGGACTTGTCCGGGTTGGTTTGTGTGCAGTACATTTGATAAAATCTTTGCAATGCAGATTGACGTGGCAATAGAGAAACTGTCAACAATTATTAAGATATGGAAGGGAATCTCATGGACAAGTCGAGGAGGCAGTGTATGTATATCTATCCTACTTTCCTTAATTGTTTAAGGGAAAGGTTTCGCAACTTTTCAGCCTCTACTTCCATTTTAAATGGATGGAGAGATTCTCAGTTCAGTTTTTATTGCACTTTCATGATTTTTAAGATTTCTTTTTATGTTCAAAAAATATATTAAAAACTTTATGCTGGTTCTGTTTTGTCATGTTTCGTTGGTTATACGGATGAACAGGCCTTAAGAGTATTCTGACAGACTTATAGGGGTCTGGCTCAGGATATTTAATCGGTCTTACTATTAAACAAAAGCAAAATAATTCCTAATGACTTTTTTGTTTGCTGAGTTCTTCAAAATCATATTCCATTTTAGACCATTTTGACTCTCATAGGGATATTAGCTTCTTGGCAGACATGACTCTGGATGATTATCTGCTGTCCTAGAATTCAGAAGAATTATAATACTACATTATAATCCTAAGAATGTTCAAAACGTCCGACCATGAGAATTTTGCTTCCAAACAGTTCAAGACTTGAAACACTTTGACCCTTTTCTTGCTTTCTACGCAACTAAACTTATAAGTTCTGGTGTCTATCATGAAACTGGTTCATTTTCCTACAACTTGTTGAACATGTCGTTACCCAATCAAGGACATTTCTGACTTTCTATGTTTCTGCCAATGCAGGTTGCTCTTCGCATAGAAGCATTGCTAGGATTCACCAAATCATTCTTCAGTCCTTGCATATTTCCTCGGGTTTAAATTCTCTCTGCTTACAATTGACCAGATTATTTTATGTCTTAAAGATGTCAAAGAAATTGGTTAATGTGTCTGTGCCTAACATAGGCGTCTGCATACTTAACTCTGGACATCATAAATACTTGAGCGGAAGCGTTCAGCTGTTTACTTTTAAGTTTTGGAGGGTGTAAGTACAGTGATAGCGACGGGATGGTTTTTGTTATGAAATTTCTAGCTTTATAGGAAAGGGTAACCATGTTTTAGAAATTTCAAGTCTAGGTATCTGCTGTAATCATCATAGGTTTAAGTTAATTATTTGATCATATAAACGTATTTTCTTAAGTTCAATTTTACACATTCTTTTCAGGTAAATCCTAGTGCACCTATTGAGAGTGTTATGATGCCATTTAAAGCAGTTGAGCCTTTAAATGGCAGCATGCAGTTGAAGGAAGTGGTGATGCATTTCTTTGACAAATCAGTTGTGCCCATCGTAGACGAATGGGGCAGATGCACTGGATTATTGCACCGTGAAGACTGTACTGAGGTGAGTTAGAAGCTTTCTTTCCAATTGCTACTAGTGACATCATAGTTCAAAATGTAGATAAGATTTTCTATATATCCACAGATTTTATTTTACTATGAACTTAATCTTGCAGACGAAATTATGTAAATTGAATGGTAGAAATATTCTCGATTGTTTGAAATAAAATCTTAAAACACTGGTAAGTAATCCGACCAGTGCTTAATTGAATAAGATGGGCTGCTTAAGGAATAATAATAACTATTATTTTGGTAAAAAGACCATTAGGAAATATGAAATTATGAAATGGGAGGAAAGAGAAGGAAGTAGGACTACAAGATTTGAAAGATGGGTAGAATTTACCCCAATAAAGAGCTAGCTACAAAACAACAATGATCTCTATAAGAATTAAAACATAGTCGTTCAGGAATTACTGGAGGGCCAGCCACGTTTAAGAGACGTCAGATCGAATGTGTAAGAGAGTTGTCGTCGAGCCTTTAGTCCAGACATTTCTCCACTCCTCCTTGGTACTTCCGTACAAAACCAGTGTAGTTTAGTTTTGAAAATCTGAATCCTTTACCTAAATCCTTCAATGATAAAGAAATCCAAGCTTTGTTAGACATGGCTGCTTTCTAGTTTTGTTTTTGCTTATTTATCTATTTATCTTATTATTATTATTTTTTATAATATAGTTGCTGTAACCATGTGCTATTTATAAATTTTTTGTCATACTTGATACCATATATTACATCATACGAATTCCTGGCAGTCTATGAAGTACCCACAAGTAAATATGGTACAGGACTGTCATTTAGCTGAATGATTGTGAATGTTCAGAAAAAGTGTAAATATTTGTTTATGGCGCAGTTGGATGCTCCCCTTTGGAAGATTATGAGAAGCCCTCCTCCTAGTGTAACTACTACAACATCCATTGGACACGTCGCGAATCTAATTCTACAAAAGAGGTACAAAATGGTTATTGTTGTAAGACATAGCAAGTTTAGTACATATGATGGCTCGAGTTTGAGGGCTGTCGGCGTTTTTACTGCTGAGAAATTGTATGGGTTTGTTTCTCCCCTTCCCTTGCCACCCCAGCCAAACAACCCACGTAACAGGTGAAAATAACACTCAATTGAATGTCATAAGAGATTTCTAACATCTCACTAGTTCTATCTTTGATTTTATATCATAGCAAATAATGTCTTTATGCATATCTCTAGATTTAGTAATGTAGCTTTGTGCATCGTGCTTATTTCTGGAACTTTAAAATTTTTTGGTTATGTTTCTAATTAGTTTCTACAATCAATACTATTTCGTTTCTTCGACTTTTGAGTATCCGCAGTAAATCCCATACCACAGGATGGACACCGAAATGTGGCTCATTTGAAAGGAAAAGATCGAGAAGTTGAGAGGTAAAACCCCATTGATATGTCCCTTTTTCCAAACCCGAATCTCCATCGTCTTTGGTACGAGATATTCAACTCCATCTCAATTAAATATTTTCCAAAGTGTCATATTTCAGGTGCTTCTCATCATCCATGGCCACTGGATTTGCCAATGCTGGCTTTAGATCTCAATCAAAAGCACCGTTTTATCAAAATCTCGTTTCTCTTATTGTCAGTCTCTTGGAAAAATTGAGGCATTTGAGTTCCTTTTATTCCATCAAAGATTTTTGCAAGTGTCGTGTTTTTGGAGCTTCTCGTCGTAATAGCCTCAGGTTTCATATAAATTATAAACTCCAACTTGGTTTTATCTCTTGAAAAATCTGAAAATGAAACAAGTCTTTCACCTTCTAGTTATTTGGTTTCAAGAACTAATCCCCATATTGGGAATAGTTGTATTGTAGGAGTGATGGCTTTTCTTTTTCCCTTCATTTGGTTATAAGTGCTTTTTTTTTTCTCACTTTCTTTTGGTTAAAAGTGCTTTCTTTTAGTCTTTCGTTTAGGTCCACTTGCAGGCCATATTGTTCACACTTGAGAGAGAATTTTGGTCGTCCACACTCAACACTTTTTCCATTCAACTTTAAACCGTATCATATTTTTCGAGCAAATAACTCGATGAAGATCAAAGCAATTCTTTTAGCAAGATTATGAAAGACCCATGAAAAAGAAATCACAAATTTAAATCTTTAATATGAAATATGTAAAAGTTTTATAAATCATTTAAATTTCATAAAATAGGAAAGAAGATTAGGTGAGATATTAATGAGATAACTACCAAATTTGAAAGTAGCTTAAATATCAATGGACAGAGTTAAGCTTGGTGTTGATAGCCATTATTATTATGCATCACTTTTCAAGAATAGTGGCAAAAGATTAGTGTATTGAGAAGTTTATTGAAAATCTTTCCTCTCCTAATCCTTTCCCTCTCCAAATATTAGGTGATAAATCATGCCTAAGTGGACCATTACACAAAAAGAAAAAAAAAAAGATTTTGAAACTTATTTGAACGATAATATAAATGCTTTGAAATGATAATAAAGTATGGTTATTTATCTGTAAAAGTAGCTATATTTGACCAAAGTTTACATGTTATACTTTTTTAATATTGATTTGATTTCCATTTATTTTATAAATGACTTATCGAATAAGAATAATCCTTTTGAAAAATGATGCTTCCATTATAATTATAGAACTAAACTATGTTGTTGGTTAGAACTTATGTTTTTTTCTTATTGTGAAATTTTTAGTCCACTGTCCACTTAAAGTCACTTCGCTCCAATTTTTATTTCATTATTATCATTAACCAGAGTTAATGATTTTAACTTTACCAAAAAAAATAATAATAAAAAGAGTTAATTATTTTAAGAAAGAAAACTAAAGTGGAAAGACAAAATCGGGCCCACAAGGAAAGCGATAGCGGGCCCAGTACTGCGATAGCCATAGTTTCTTACCAAACTAGACCACTCACTAAATGGGCCGCTGAGGGCCCATTAGTGAGGGCGGCATAATTACGCTTATGCCCGCGGAGCGGAGCTGACAAAAATATTTTCATTTCGTACACTATCTTTAAAATCTTTCAATAATTCATCTGGCACTGACACCATAGTGAAATCGGGTAATGAAACGATGGGTTGAAACTTGAAAGTGATCCTCAGCCGTCGATCATCAACCATACAGAACACCCCGATCCAACGGCCGATATCGCAGAAGCCGCCATTTCCTTCTTCTTGCTGCTGCAGGACGCCACCATTCTTTGAGTCTTCAGTTCAGCTTCTAAGAAAAGAATCTCTCAGTATATTTATACGCACAAAATCTCTTCATCTTTTCCGTCTTGGATCTTCCCTCCCTTTCGATCTTTCTATGGCCGCCATTGTTGCTCGGAGGAGATATTGAAGAAAGTGTCTTCAAATAGTTCATCATTCGTTCTTTTGTCTATAATTTTCCAGAGGAAGGTGAAGATGCGGTGGACTTGAAGCTCGGTGTTGCCGTTCTTCTGTTCTTCTTTCGGTTTCTTCTAGTGTTCAAGCAGGTTGGGGTGTCTAAAGCTTTCCGACTTTTTTGAAGTTCTTTGGTGTCTTTACGAATGGACTCTGCTTTCTCTTCATTCTCTTTTAGAAGCCATCTATGAAAGATCCGAATGATTTTTGGCAATTTCTTTTTGTTCGATTTGTTCAGTTTCTAACTTTTCCATCGTAGCTCTTCCGGTTTAGTTGCTTGAGAATTTGAGATACATTGTAACCGGATTGCTATTCAGGGCTTTAGCTCTGGAACAGGAACATTGTGTAGACGTAATCGAGCAACAGTGAGGTCTTGGAAAATGCATTGAGATCCACCTTCTATGAAGATGGATTATAGCATATGTCCTTTGGATTCTTTTGTTCTATCCTATTAATGGTCTTTTTTCAGAAAGGTTACGCGAGGACCAGAGATTTGGTTTCCTTTTTGAATTATTAATTGGAAGCAATTCCATAATTTTGGGTCTTAGGCATTGAAGTTTACGTCCCTTTCAATCTGTTGTCCTGAATGATTTTGGGGTTTCTTCCCATTTTTTTGGGTAGTATTTTGATTGCTTATTTTCTTTGAGTTAGTATTATCCAATATTCATGTTATATTGTTATATTCAATGTTCTAGTGTTAATTAACTAATTATTCTTTCTTACTCAATAATTCCAAAAGCCAGCAGTTCAAGATTGTGACAGAAGTACAGTAGGAGTGTAGGACCAGTTAAAATGTTGATTTCCTGAAGTTCAATTAACCACGATCATATATGTATTTAGCTTGCTTTTGGACCTTACTACTTTATTTAGTGCATCTTGTTTATGTTTGTTTGACATCAAAAGAATTCAATTCACAATCATGAAAACATTGTTCTAGGTTGAGTCGACATCGTTGAACAAAAAGGGGAAGAAGGAAGACAAAGAAGAGCCTCTTCAAAATTACGTGACAAAGCGATACTCACCTCAGGTAATCACTACTTTCTTACCCTCAGGTCAAAGTGTAAGAACATGATTGGATGGAAGGGTTCTAATATATATACGTATAATCATGGGTGAAGTTCTGATTAAGTGCAAGAGGAAAAGCCCCTCTTGCAGTTAAGGCTATGAGTCGGCAAATTTCTAAGTTTTGCCATCAGCTGTTTGGTTCAGTGCTGAAGATATTTTTGTAATTTTCATCTGTCTCCACAAAATTTTTTGGATGTGAATTTGTGGTTTCATCAGTCATCCTCTTTTACCTCCACGTTTGGGTATCCTTACTGCAGTCTATTTTTATTAGTCCCTGTATTATGTTATCCCTATATTTTTTTTTCCCTGTTTTTCCTGTTTTTCCTGTTCTGTTCTTTTTTTTCTTTTTCTTCTTTTATTCTTTAGTTTCTAATTGGCATACCGATTGACCATTGGTCTACTAGAAGTTTTTCCACTTAGAGTAACTCCTCACATGTTCCTTAATCGTGCAGATTGAAGGTTTGTAGGCTGCAAATAGTTTTTGATGGATGAGTATTCCAGTAGAAGAGTTCACGTGGGAATTGTTAGTAGAAAGGGACCTGGTGTAGTTTTGAGGGATAACATGAAGAACAGGGATCATAGTAATCATGGCAGCCGACTTGGCTGTACTGGCAGGATATGCTCCAGTAGTGGTGCAGAAGTTGGCTGTTCAAGTAAAGCCAGCTCAAAAAGACCATTCCGCAGCTCAAGTGGCAAAGAAATTGTTGGAAGTTCCTCAAGGAGTTCTTCAATCAGAAATTTCAGGAAATCCTTTCCAGATCCATTTGGAAAGCTTTCGTCTAAGCTTGAAACAGATTCATCTGAAGATGGTAGCATTCAGGATGAGTTGGAAGAACTGGAATTCATCTCACCTCCTGGAATGTTCCACACAGTGCTTCATGTAAAATCTGAAAGTTCGGTGCCTGCTGATGCCATATTGATGGAAAGGGGAAGCAGCAGTACGGATTCCAACACTAAATCTAGGAGAAACTCAATTCAAAGATATGGAGTGGACAATCAAGATACTTCTACATCAATGCGATCTAGAAGTCTTTGCCAGGCATTAAATGGTGGTACCAGTAGATACGTTTCGAGAAACCTCGAATGTAATTCAGTATCTGAGATAATTCCACCAGATAGTTCTTCGAAAGAGCAAAACCTTGTGAGAAGGAAGAATGTAACAAAGAAGATGATTTATGATGGTGAGAATAGTTCCAGTTCTAGAGGAAAGAAGGTGAGTGGCACTTCCTGTGGACAGAATTGTGGTTACCGTCGTGGCATCTCTATTTCTGATCAAAGACAAGGTCGAAACATGTTTCACAGACAAAATGTTCTTTCCTCACTTGGAACTCGAAGTTTGGCAAGTGCATGTGATGGGGCGAGCCATTCTTATCAAGGAATTAGTGGTGATCGGTCGTTGCAGGATTCACTGATGACTTCATGGATGCCTCAATCCAACATCTCTGGTTCCTCGCATACTTCTAGCTCACTTCAAAGTCGTTCAGAATCACACTCCAGGCACCACATGACTTACCCTGAACATGAGGATTATAGTCAAAGTCTACTTGACATTGGACAAACCACTGCTGCAGAAGGTGGTATTTCGAGCACTTCGACAAATCTGAACAGTTTTCGATGCCGCAACCTTGATGGCATTGCAGAGGTATCTGTCTTCTTAAAACCCTGCGTCTTATTTTCATGGTCCTGGCCCCCTGGGAAAGAGATCTTCAGTTGTCACTTAATTATTATACAATTTTCAGGTACTATTGGCGTTGGAGAGAATTGAACAGGAGGAGGAGTTAACTTACGAGGTGTGTATTCCTTTTCCTTTTCGGTTTCTTATTTCATTAAAAAACGAGCTGCTGACAGGTATCTTCATTTTGTCTTGCAGCAAGCTATTCTTCTCGAGACAAGTTTGTTCCTTAGTAGCCTAAACATCCATGATCAGCATAGAGACATGAGGCTGGACATTGATAACATGACGTATGAGGTTGGTACTTACCTTTTGAAAGTAAAAGTCAGTTGGAAGGCTTCTGCAAATCTTATGCAATTTCTTGTCATAGTTATCAGTTTCTTGGTGGACTGTTCGATTTATTTAATGCTTACAGCTACAGTTATCATTTTATTCCATGAAATGGTTTTGCTGAATACAATTTTGGGAGTGGCATTTCCTCTGCAGTAATTTCACTCCTATTCTTTCTTCCGCTTTTTAACAGGAACTTCTAGATTTAGAAGAGAGAATGGGGACAGTGAGCACAGCACTGTCTGAAGAAGCATTGACAGAATGCCTTAACAGAAGCATCTTCCAGTCCAAACCTCAAGGAGGAGAGCTCACGAGTTCTGTCGAGGATTTGAGCGATGTCAAATGTTGTATTTGTCAGGTTCCCTTCCTGACCCTTTCTTCACAACTATTAATGCTGTAGATTTTAACACCGGGATGACAGATTTTGTGTCTAGATTGAAAGAGCGCAAACATGAAAGTGAGGTAAAAACTGATCAAGTGAATTGCACATAGGTCAGGTGGCACATACATAATTCAGTCCAAGAAAGGTCTAAGAAATTCACATTATAGCTTTGTTGCCTATTAACTTTGATCATGGCTGGAACAAGAAGCAGCTTGTTTACGTGGTCGTTGACTTTTACTTTTTTTTTTGGGAATTGATTTTTACTGACTTCTCGATGAATGTATTACGTCTTAATCTATTCACTTCGCTGACCTCAACTTAACTCAACTAGTCAAGACATTATTTACCTTTCTAATGGACGGTGGTTCAAATCTTCACCTCTTTGTTTGTTAACTCAAAAATCTACTAGACTTTGATGTTATCTCTGATTGAAATTGGACTACGTTTTTTGGTTTGGCAATAATAATTTAAATCTTTGTGTCAAAAAGAAAACTTTTTTCATTTTTTGCAGGAAGAATATGTGAGTGGAGATGAAGTTGGGAGACTGCATTGTGAGCACAAATATCATGTAAAATGCATACAACAGTGGCTGAGGTTGAAGAACTGGTGTCCTATTTGCAAAACATCAGCACATCAGCTTCACCCTTTCAAATGATATAGAACCAAATAAATCAAAGTTAAAAGCAGATTAGGAATCTCTTTATCTGCAACTTCTTTATGTTTGTTTGTACAAAATTCATCTGTTTCACCTCAATTTGATCTACAGACTCCATCACTTGATCTGTCTCAACTCTCAATTGAACTGTGAATGGAAATTTATGTGTTTGGAAATCAAAGCTGGTCTTTTTTTTCTGTTTGTTTTCGGACAGGATTTTGATTGGTCTCTGATTCGTTATACTTGCATTATTCTTATAAATCAGTTCAACTAATTCGATTTCATACATGGATTTCTAGTCTCCAATGGGTTTGTTATAATATTATAGATCGATATATTAGTTTACCTTTGGATTTGAATGACTGTATCATATGAAATCATTTATAGATCATTCCCTATTGATAGCCTAACTTGATATCTAAATTGTACAATTACTTATCCATTTTGGATCATTTTCATTGAATGAATTTCGTAAAAGGGACAAAAAGAAATTTGGGTTTATTACAAAGGCTCCATCCAGCATCCAATTCAGCCCATTAGGCTCATTTTGGATAATGAACAAAGCAAGAACATATCACAACCATTGTTTAACATATGACTTACAGAAATAGAACAGACAATCTAGAGCAGTAATTTTGAAGAAAAGTTCTATGTCTAGTACAATTAAAACATTATATTTGGTTACAGTAATTTCTTACTCCTTCGGGCAACTGTGAGTGAAAATTGAACCAAAATTTTGCTGCAGAAGCCAACAAAATCATTCTGAGGACCAAAAGCAAACACTACATAAAAATGGGAATTCAGAAAGCAAATTTTCAAAGATTTCTGCTTACCTTTAAGATAAGCATGCCACTGTAGTGTAGGGGTGTGTACTGCAAGGAACAAAAAAACTTCAGTTTGATCATCTTCAAGCCCACGGAATCCAAGTTTTCAACATATTATCACAAATCTTGGATCATTCAGGCAGGGTTATAGAAATTTGATGTAACAAGATATAAATTAAATGAGAGGATAGAACAAGACTGTCTTTAAAAATAATGTACATTCCAAAGTAAAATCATCTATTTTGTAATAAATTTGAACTATCCCTTGTTAAGAATTTTGCCCAAAACCAACTTTACCATATGCATCTGCAATAAAACCCCAATATGGAGGCCAAAATAGAGCTTGTTTCATGATATGTAAAGAAGATTCTGTGTTATCCTTCATATGCATTACAGACTCAGAAACAGAAACTTATTGCATTCAGCATAAGAAATAGTTACTTCATAATATGACTTTATACATGTTCAGCCAGAAATGAAGAAAAGATTTTACTAACAAGCAAACAACATCATAAGAAAATTCTGGGCAACTTCTCAGAAGAAAACTGAAAAGATTATATGACGATGGAAAGGCGCTCATGATAAGACAGCAGACATCACAAGACCAGGTCAAGCTTTTCCTGACACTGCTCGATAGTATTGTAAATGCAAATATGTTCTGTAAGCCAAATCATCTTCTATACATTCCAGCACATATAAGTTCAAATTAGCTGAGTGGAATTGGAAAAATGCTATTTCACAAAAGAGCAGATACCGGTCTTGTCTACTTCAAAGTTCTATCATGGCGTTACCTTTTAACGAGAATTTGCTGCTTCCATATGGCCATGGCAGTTGTAGAGCATTTATCTATTCTTGTAGTAAGCTGGATATCTGGTTGCAGAGACCTATGGTCATGAGACTTGAACTTCTGAGACACCTACAATTCACATTTATCTAGAGGAGCAGCTGCCATTATTCACATCATGAAGGTGGGGTCTAGAATAACTAATTTAAGTTAGAAGACAAGAGCAACATGATTAGATATTGAATTATTATATAGATGAACATGAGAACAAAACTACAAAGCGCCATTGAAATGGATGTTAATTTGTTATTGATATTGAAATTCCAATAAATTCTCAGATTCTAAAGATACATACAGAGCACCCGAAGTTCTCACCCAGGTGATTCACCTTTCACCAAACTAAATAACAGTATCCCTGCAAAACTTTTTTGATTCTCTCAAAAATAAGTTACATGAAAAGGCTAAGTTACATGGTAGTGGCAAATGGGGGCCAACATGAATGCTAAAAATGCAACAGAACAACCTTTTATGGGCATTCTGGCTGAAAGCTTTCCTTGCTTAACTGAATTAATTTAACTTCTTCAGTGGAACAGGCAATAGTGTTACAGTATTCTAGCTTGGAAACTTGGAGCCTGAACCCATTGGGAGCAATCAAGTGTACCCCAGAAAGAAGGGCAGAATGGGGAGATACCCCCCAGGTAAACTTTATAGCCCTTTGGATCAGAACAGACTAGCCAAAAAGGATGGCTGCAGGACTAAGAAACCTTTCCAATTGCTTATTCCTCAAAGGTACGCATACAAATTTTCTCCAACAGCAAAGGCCAATCTTCCCCAAGCTGCTTCGGATTGAGCTCCATAGCAACTTTGAAATCAAGCAATGACACTGAGCAGTCTAAACTCTTTTCCTGCAAAACTTCGGGTCGTCCATTGCTGCTATTCTGTACACGTAGGTGGTTACTAGGCCACATACCATTTATTACCTTCCCTTGATTCTGTTGCTTCTGTATTGGGTGGCCCGTATGCTCAAGTGTAGACCTTGATCTCACTAACTCAAGGCAAGACTTTATCAATTGCTTCAGGTACAAATCCAGAGTACTATTCAGGATGTTAGAACATTCCATGGAGACGCCTTCAAGCCCTTGTGCAGTTGCAATTTGCTCCATGCGCTTTCTCACTGTCTCTGTATCAGACAGTCCAATACTGTCATAACAACTTGAAAAATCACCACTATTGCCAATTGGTAAGGCTCTGCGTGCCCCACCTACACTAGCCGAACAAAATGGAATGCCAAGAGGTGGAAGCAGAGGACCTCTCAGGAAGCTTAAGGGATCCGACTGTTCCACCTCTTCTCCATCTTCAAGAATAGCTGCTTCTGTTGGATGTATCCTTGGTTTTTCTGATGGCCGCTGAACTGCTCCCTCTATGTCATTCTCAGGTAGCTCGGCTACTGCTTGGAGATGCTGTACTGGTCTCTGATAGTCACACAAGGTTACGTTACCATTCTCTGTAATAACTTTGCTGCCACTATCTTCGGTACCAGTTGATGGATATGAAAGACATGTGACCTTTCCGTTTGGTCCAAGTGGACTTGGCCTATCCCTAAACTTTCGATCACGCAAGAGAGACCTACCCTTCCGTGGGGATGCTGGCAGAACTCCATTTGACCAAATTGGTACAGTCTGATTCTGATTTGGAAAAGCAGATCCAGTTTGTTCAGGACCATCTTCCCTGCAAGGAGAATTGTTTGAAGCTTGTAGCACAGATTGGGCATGTCCTGACACATTTATTGGTGGTGGGGTCTTGGCTACACATGCATTCTTCAAAATTGACCTTATTAATTGATTGTGGAGCTGAATATTTTCCCTTCCAAGCACACGGACGCACAACTTATCAAATTCAACCTTGCCCAGCTTCTGACCCAAGAATCTATTCAAGTAGAAGAAGTAGCGCTTTGACTTGTCATTTCCAAGTTTTTTAACTATCTGAGCTTTCAAGTCGCCTAAATCAATTCTGGAGCTGTGCTGAGGTTGCATTTCTCCAGAGGCCGGTTCATACACTGTAAACTGTAGCTCCAAACCCCAGTTACTCGAATTGAAGCTGAATTGTGGTAGTGTACCAATTCAAAATCCCCCAGAATTTATACTTCCACGTCATTCAGGACAAATCATTTGAGAATAAATAGTAGGAGCACCAACCAAGGGTTTTATAGAAGCCTGAAATCATAATTCCAGCAACGACTGAGTAACATTTAATTTCGAACGATTCCGTATGAACAGACCCAAGAAGCATTAGAATGCAAACTCAGATCTATACTCCCAAAACCAAAACCCTAGAGATCAAACCAGCTAAACTGACTAAACCCCTCAAAGAAACAACAGAAAAATCGAGCTCATACCCTCCAATCGATCATCGCGCAAAATCAAAGCCCTAACTTGGAATTTCAGAAAAAGGGGAAAAAAACAAAAAAAAAACAAAAAACCCGGTGCCAAAAACACCTACCTTGAACGGCGAATTGCAGCAGAGCAGCAATAAGAGAAAACCCTCGTCTGTTAGGCGGAATTAGCGAGCTGTGAAGTTCAAAGTAGGGAATTGGAAGTAGAATGATGGAGATCAGTGAGGTGGAGGAAGAGAAAGCGAAGTTGGGGGAAGAATGAAGAAGAAAACGATGGCGCAATGAAGCAGAAACACGAAGCTTAGAAGAATCCAAACATTGAAGGGGTTTAGAGATTGTTTGAAGCTCTGACCTCAACGAAAAAAAGTTGGGAAGAAATTGAAATTTGCAGCCAAAAACCAAACTTCAGTCACTGCCTCTGGGTGGGGTCCCAATCTTCGCCTTCTTGCCTCTCTCGGTCTTTTCTTTTCCTTTCTTTTTTTTCCTTTTTTCTATTTTCCCAATTTTTGAAACTCTCCCTCTATTTTGCTTAAATTACATGTGAAAAATACCACTTCGAAAGTTTCGATATTGTCCTTTGACCTTTCGTAGATATTTAAAAAATATTCTCTTTAAACAAATATTTGTTAATATTTTAAAACGACGTGGCATAAAGATGATATGACACAATATGTCGATGTAGATGATGACAGTGTTTGATTTAACAACTTTTAAGTACATGTTTCTTATGATTATGTGTTACCTCGTTTCATTTAAATATTAAAAAATGTTCGCTTTTTTTATACGTTTATGACATGTCAAGAATAGTACTGAAACTCTTCAAGATAATGACGTTTTCAAGGATAATTTTTATAATTTAACCTTATTATTTCATTATTTTGTTGTTAGTTTTGTTTCTCCCTCCTTTTGGGTCTCCGTCCGAACGCCGGGAGGAAATGCTAAATTTTATGAACACAGTTTTTATTTTAAAATATAATATAAAATCATTTGGATAATTAATTATTATGTGTATTTGTAGCATTTAATTATATAAACTATTTCAATTTTAAAATTCCACTATGAAAGTTAAGGAGAAGATAAAATGTCGTCTTTAATTATTTTGTAATTTGAAAAATAAAATTTTAGTTACACGAAATGGGGAATATTAAAATAAAAATATCCACTCGTTATACCAAGACTAATTTGTGTTAGTTTTCTTTTCTTTCTTATTCCTTCATGTTTTATTTTGTTTTATAAATTTGTAGTAAAAAATACAATTTATATTTATCGGTAAACTATTTTGTATACAGCTTCAGTAGTACCGTCTTGATTTATATTTAAAGTCATGTATATAATATATCAAATATGATATTAAATTTAGAAATAAACGGTCTAAAATTTATAATTAATGCAACACAAATATATTTCACTACAATAATGAGAAATATATTTTTTACATTATTATGAAGAGAAAAATATATAAAATATCATTAAATACGATAGGACATGTGATTATTTCAAATACAAGTAATTTTTTAATTTTTTAATATATAGTTTTAAAATTGTCGACCTAAACATATCAAAGTATGTATTTTCAACTATTAAGAAAAAAAATTAGAAATTCGAATATTCATCTCCGCAGGTTAAACGAAAAGAAATTTATTTGATGGATTCATTCCATTGCCTGGGTTATGTTTGTTTTCTTTTAAATGCAATAGGACTGAAAAAAAATATTTTTTTATGAATTTTATTTAGTTTAATTTTTCATAGTTGTTTAGTTGAAAGATTTATGTTTTATTAATTAAGCACCCATCTCAACCATAATAACTACCTTGACTTGTGGGTGTTACAGGGGACAAAAGAAACTGTCCCAATTTGGTAGTTTATTTCTTCTTCATTATTTCACTCTCTTTCATGTTTTGGTGGTCATTTGGATATTCATTTTGCTGGTTTCAATTAGTTTGATTTTGTTTTAATTTTGGTTTTTTTATTTTACTTAAATCAAGTAGTCGATTTCAGTTGGCTCTATTTTCTACTTCTTTTAAGGACAACTCAATGATCAAACAATAGTCTCGTTCAACTGAGATTTGTTGTTGTTGAGTGACAGCAAATGGAAAATACCATTTGATTTGATTCGAAAACCGACATTTGAAATATGAAAATTGAAAACTCTTTTGAAATCACTCCACCTTCCCTAGACAATGAATTTCTTCGAGGTGTATAATACTCTAATTTCAAAACCTAATATAAAAAAAAACGATTTAGAATATTCTCATCTTTGCTTTTTCCATTTAATTAGATTCGATGTTAAGATATTATTAGAATGAAAAATAGAAAAAACTGACAAAGAATAGAAGTAGTAGTACATTTTACGTTTTTTATTTACTAAGGGTCATTGACTAATTATCATGTTATGGTAATTAAAATTTTCTCGTAAAATTAATTAAATTATTTTTTCATAAAAAATTCATTAACTTCTAACTAACATAAAAGTAACTTGATACATATAACATAACAGCTTGTTTTCTTTGGCTTTAATTTTTTTTCTCTTGCAAAGGAAAAAATATATACACTTGCAGCATCAAAATCAATTAAGCTAAATATATATTAATAAGATTAGAAATATTTGCCCAAACGAGTATAGCTCAGCGATAATTGGTATATATTTTCAACTAAGAAGTTGTGAGTTCAATCCCTCATCTCCACATCTTGTATTCAAATTTCATCCATATTAAGATTGAGTTCGATCTTTAATTTGACTTCATTTAAGTTATAATATTAAAGAGAAAAACACGAAATAATTTAGAGAGATAAAATATAAGGATTAAAAAAACAGTTATAATAATTGTTTCACACATTTTTTATAAATTTCAGAAATTTTTTTATTACTTTTTAATTTTAGATAAAAATTTATAAGCTTTTTTAAAGTATATATATAAAAAAGAATAAAATTAATAACTTCTTTGAAACATTTAAAGATGAAAACTAACAAAATTATTATTGTTAAATTGCATGGAATAAACATGATTTAATGAAGTATACTTCCAAAGTGAAGTTGAAAATAACGAGCGAGGCCCAAATTGGAAGGGTTATGTTGAACATTCAAATTAGAAAACCGGAACGATCGGCCCAATTAGATAATATGGGCCTCAAATTATCAAACCAAAGTGAGGGCTGAAAATTGAGCCCACTTTGGCATACAAACGAGACCCAAAGAGAAGCCCATTTAAGTTGATTTTATTTCATTTTCGGCATCGAAATGGGCCATTAGTAAGAATAGCAGAAATTGCAAAAATAGCCATATTTTGCAGTAATTACAAAAATAGCCCTACAAGGTCATCCCTTTCAATGAAATACCCAAATTAACCTTTGACGAACCTGCCGAGTCAAACATCAGTGTCTTTGTTTAAAAGTTGTAGATTGAAAAAAGAAAAATGTGTCACACCCACAAACTAAATACAAATCAAACTTAAGAATTCAATTTTCAGTCAAAGTTGTTCTTAAAAAAAAATTTGACTTTGAATTTATATTCACGTACAGAAAAGTATTAATTTTTTATGGATATTTTTATATGTTTATAAATTTGATATTGACATATGAAGTGAATCAATATTTTCATATAAAAAAATCAATGAGTATTAGAAAATAATAAAATATCATCAAAATCTCATAAATTTTCGAATGATATTTGATAACAAGAATTTTAAACTTCCTTAAAAATAATAAAATACTTATTTATTAATTTAAATATATATTTTTAAAATATTTATGGATATTGATATTGATATTTTTATCGAAACATTTTCAAAACTTCGCTACAAATGCCCAATGTCCCCATTTCACTTTTTTTTCCCTCTTTTTTCTCTCTTTTTTAGAGATATTGTCGGCTGGATGAATGGTCAAAATTGGCTTATCTGAGACGGAAAACTGATTTACCTTTTTTTCTTTTTTCTTTTTTTCACTCAACAAAAAAAGAACAAACTGGTTTACTAAATGGCCCATTTGGGACAACCTTTTTTCTTATTTCCAATTATATAAAAGAATTATTTATTAGTTAACCCATTATGCCAACTAGGCAACTGCAACTATGTTATCCAAGAGACATATCACGCTAGCATTTTCGTAATATTATTTTTTTATACAACAAATTAGAATTACGGAACTAAAATCTCAGGGATGGGTAATTAATTATTGGACTATGCTTATGTTAGTTTCGTTGATATTGTTAATCAAACAAATTATTGTTAATCTTATTATCGGTGAAGTGGACAAGACACTTATTACTATCCTAAAATTCATAATTCGAACTCACACTCATTCAACAAATAAAGAACAATAGACATTATTAAAATACCAATCTAAATTTTTGATCGTAATTCAAACTTTCTAAAATTCAGAAACATTACTTTCATCGTGTGTTTCTTTGTTTTGTTATCTAATTTTTTTTTAACGTTTTCAAAATCTATATCTATATATATATATATATATATAAATTAACGTTTTCAAAATCCAAGTCAAATTTTGGAAACTAAAACTATATATATAGTTTTTCATTTCTTTTTGAATTTGGCAAAGAATTCAATTGTATTTATAGAGAATGCAAAAAACATGCCAAAGCCAATGCGAGAAATCATGTATAATTAAAAAAAACGAATAGTTATTAAACGGCTCTAAATAAACAACATAAAACTTAAAGATAATATATGTCAATTACCGCTGAGCTATACTCACTTTGGCGGCTTAATTTATCATTTAACCTAAAACAAAATATGAAATAGAAAAATGAAAGACAAAATGGTACCATACATTAACTTATTTGGAAGGAAAACACGTACACCAACATGAATGTGTGGTAGAAATTAGAACTTTGAACATTCGACCATAGAAATTTTATTCACCTGAGCTATACTCACTACTCCAGTCATACTCAAGCTGGACAGATTGATAACCTAATATAACCATTTTAATAATATTTAAAAAGTAAAAGTGACATACATAAGACCTACCTTTAGAATAGAAAAATGTCACAAAGCTCAGTGGGATATTATTTAATAAAGAGTGAAATATAGTTGAGATTATGAATAATTTTAATTGTGATAAGATTAATTAATAAATGGAGTAGTTTGGCACAATGTAGATTGATTCCTTTTCTTTTTGTCCTATATTCCAAAAGAGTGAGTTTTGAAAATGCCCCACCAATAATCCCTTTTCCTTTACTTGAATTAATTAGGAACTATTTTCCTTTGGAGCTGTCCCAATGGCCAATAGTGATTACTGATTAGGTACAAATTAAAAAAAAAAATTGGAAAAAAAAAGAGAAAAAAAAGTGCTTTAAAGTTTAAACTCACATGCAATGCACAAACAAGATCTACCAATGAAAAAACCACAGCTGATTTTAATGTTGTCGGCGTCATTTTGATCCAACTATTCATTTTTCTTCTCATCTTGGAGTTGTTTTTTTTTAATTTAATTTGTTAATTTTTAAATTTTTTATTTTTTTGACTTCTAGACCAAGGCTCGAATCTGGATCTTGGGTGTCAACATTCAACCCTCTTGTCACCGCGTCAACAACCGAGGGTGCGTTATTTTTTAATTTTATTGTAGAGATGGGGAGAGATTCCTCTTTTTACTCATTTTAGAGGTTTTTTTTTGTTTTCAATTTTATTAAAAAAATTTACAAGCCTTACAATGGGGAGGGGGGAGGGAGTGATGTATTCTTTTTTTTTTTTTTTTACTCATTTTGGAGTTTTCTTTTTTCAATTTGATTAAAAAAAATGGTTGGAGAGATTGGGAATTTTTTTTTTCCAATAATAAAAAAATTACAAGCTGGTTTGAGAGAGACTATAAATAGTACATTTTGAAAAGTATGAGGATCATGTAGGACTTATCATGTTAGGTTAAATAGAGCAATTGAGAAAAGTCAAGTTACATTATATTCATACATCATTGATTTATTATGTTAGACCAAAATTGTACATTTAAAAAAGTCGAGACTAAATAAACATAGAGATAAAAACTCGAGAGAAAAATAAAACACACCGACTTGACAGACACAAAAGTAAAACCTCAAAAACATATAAATAATTTGCAAAATTCAAGGATTCATAGAAAAATTTAAGACATCAATCCAATTTTCAGATTGTATGATCAAAACGTAAAAATTCTAAAAGCACATCTAAGTTTTCAATGCATTCAAATGACAACTAGAATAATATTTTAAAATTGAGATTCATTTTCCAAATCTGCTACCAAATGTATATTTGAAAATACGGAAAAAATTATTTATTGACAGCTCAAAAACATTTTTTTTTTATAACCCGAATCGATGTCGTGCGGTTTCGTTAGTTTGATCCATACAATCGAGGGTGTCAACAACCACCCAACACTGTAACTCGATGTTACGAGACTCATCCTCAAATAAAGAGGGAAGCCCCAACTACGAGTCCCGTGGAGTCAAATTAGGGAAGGATATCCCCATCCGGCCACAAGCCCACTACGCCATCACCTGCCCATGGTGACAGCTCAAAAAACGAGGGGGTAAAAGACTTTTTCACAAGGAAGAAAAAAAAAAGAAAAGAAAAGTCCTCGATGGACAGATGGGAAGAGAAGAAGCTGATGGGGGGACCTCCGTTTGGCTCCTCCCCCAAATTATATAACCTCCAACAATCATTACATTTTCCAAACAGTGATCTCACCAAAAAAATGAACTCCCAAAATTCCCCTTTTCTTCTTCTTCTTCTTCTTCTTCTCTCAAGTTCTTCTTTTGCTAAGCTTCACTTCAACTTTTACCAAAACTCATGTCCCAATGTTGAGTCCATAGTTAGAGGGGCTGTGAAGCAGAAATTTGAGCAGACTTTTGTGACTGCCCCTGCCACTTTAAGGCTCTTCTTCCATGATTGTTTTGTTAGAGTAATGCTTCTTATTCCCAATTTTCTTTTTCTTTTGTGTTGTTTTGATGAATTTTTGGCAGTTTTTTACTGTTTTTGCTCTGTTTAAACAGGGGTGTGATGCTTCTGTGTTGCTGCATTCTAATAACCACACTTCCGAGAAGGATAATGCCGATAATCTATCGCTCGCCGGGGATGGGTTCGACACCGTGATCAAAGCTAAGGCTGCTGTTGATGGCGTGCCGGGGTGTAAGAACAAGGTGTCATGTGCTGATATCTTGGCTTTGGCTACTAGAGATGTTGTAGTTTTGGTGAGTAAAAAGTGTGGATTGTTTTTGTTTTTGTCTGTCTTTGTCTTTTTTTCCACTTTTGAGTTGAGATTAGAGGGAAGGAATTGTTGGTCTTTCGCAGACGGGAGGGCCGAATTACGCGGTGGAGTTGGGGAGGCGAGACGGGCGGATCTCGACACGGAAGAGCGTTCGACACCATCTTCCCCAACCCGATTTTAAATTGGATCAACTAAATGCCATGTTTAAGAAACACGGTCTTACTCAAACAGACATGATTGCTCTCTCAGGTACAAGAAATAGGAAGCGAGAAGCAAGAAACAAGAAATGGAAAAGGAAAAAAAGTTGACCAATTGTGTTGTGTTGTGTTGTTTGACAGGAGCACATACAATTGGATTCTCACACTGCAAACACTTCACCAACAGACTATACAACTTCCACAGCAAAAACAGGATCGATCCGACGTTCAATTCTGGATACGTGAACGAACTGAAGAAGGAATGCCCGAGAAACGTAGATGAGAGAATCGCGGTGGATATGGACTCGACATCGTCGTTCACATTCGACAACGTGTACTTCAAGAACCTGCAGATGGGGAAAGGGCTGTTCACCTCAGACCAAGTGTTGTTCAGTGATCCAAGGTCAAGAAAAACTGTGAACCAATTTGCTTCCAACAACTCAGCTTTTGAGGAGGCGTTTGTGATTGCCATGACAAAGCTTGGGAGAGTAGGGGTAAAAACTAGAAACCAAGGAGAGATCAGAAATGACTGTTCTTCAATCAACTAAATCATCCTTCTTTCTTTAACCATCCACTAATAAATGGTAAGAAAAATTCATTTCAAAGAAAGCTCGATATGTATTCAGATAGTTTGTTCCATTTTCGCCGTGTCAAATATGGTTTGATACCTTTTGTTGTTGCAGGAAAGAACAAGTGTAGTTGAAAAACATCATTTATTCAGATCGAGATATGTCTGTCTTCTCTTTCTTACTTTCTCTCTTTTCCTGTTTCGTCACCCCAACCGACGAAGAGGACTATTATTTAGATTCCAGGAATTCTTTTAACAATTATTTTTCTTATTAATTTTTTATATTTAAAAGAAGAGGTATCACTTCCAACAGAGAAGCATAATTGGCACAGAAGCAGCCCAATCAAAGAGGAATGTCTTAATTATGCCTTACAACTCATGAGAATGGGTAAAAGTGTCAAAAAAGAGAATGAAGAGTAGATGGAAAGAAGATCCAATTTTTCAAACACATATATAATAATAACTGAATTCATCAAAGTGGGCAAACAAAAGAGTTTTATTCTCCCCATTCTCCCTTACTTTTAAATTATTCTAATCTCGACTTAGATTTCATTAGTAGAACGTGGAGGGAAAAGAAAAGATCGTAAGATCTTATTTTTTTTTCACTAAAATGAATAGACGTCAAATTTTTAGTAGTGGTAGGTAGAAGATTCGGACTTAAAACTAGCGGCAAATCACATGGAGAAGTAATATAAAAAAATGAAGAGAGAATTGGCAGGAACAGCAAATGGACAAAACAGGAGGCAGTGGCCTAAATTATTAGTGCTCAGCCACTGAATAAAGAGACAGCCAAAAAAGAAAACCAGCTATTCAGTTGAAAGTTGCTGACAGAATTATTATTTGTTAAAAGAATGTGTAGTACTCAGTTAATGATATATACAAAGAGAGAGAGAAAAAAACAGCAATTAATTAAAAGGGAAAAAAATTCCTCTACATTGGCAGAAGATAAAACAATGGCTACAATTATTCGCTAAGGAAGAAACATTAAATCTAAGGAGGGAAAAATGTTGATGAGCTTCTCTTCAAAAAATGTGAGAAAACTCCGAGCTGCTCGTTAGACGGTATAATGTTGGTGAATCGTGTCGATGTCCAATCCCTTCAACTTCACCACCGACTCGACCCGACCCTTAAGAGTATGCAACTCGCGGAGCCTGAAAAAGTACAAAGATTACAAAAAGTTCACTATACTATGCACAAGTACTTCACTTAAAAGCACTTTTGGGAAGAGGAATAAAATTTGGTAGTACCTTGCAATTTCAGCCCGACGTCGGGCTTGCTCGGCGATCTCCGAAAGCTCACCGTAGTTACCCCTATCAGAAGTAAGGTTGTTGGGTTGGGGTGGTTGAAGACCATGGATGGTCCTTTGGGTGGTAGCCCACTGAGCTTCTCTCTCTTCTTTGCCATAATCTTTCTTTGTTGTGAAAGCAGTCTATGATGAGAGAGAGAGAGAGAGAAATGAATGGGAAATGAGAATGTGTTTCATGATTATTACAATGGAAAAAGAAAGTAAAAAAGTACCTTATTTTGCAAAAGATTATTCCAGGCCCTTCCACTGTGAACATAGCGAATGGCAAATTTGAGAAGATCAAGAGGGATATATGTTACCAAACTATAGAGCCAGATCACACCAGCCCATCCCCAGCCGGCTCCTTTTATCCTTGCAAATTCCCAATTTGCATACACTGCTATTAATGTTGCTACCTGTAATATACAAACAATTTCTTGCTTATCAAAGTAGATTTGAGGAGTTATCATCTCAGAAAGTATACCACAAACAATTGAATTATTGAAATCGTCGATATGGATATGGTGACATGTCATTTTCTAAAAATATAGGACACTGAACGTGACAACGACAATGACATGTTTATTAAAATATACAAATTTTTGTACTATTTATGTCGCTTTATTGCGCTGACACATGCTTTGTATCAGATCATATTCCTTTTGTAAACTAGTGTGTGACATATTATACATCTATTGAGCTAACAAGAATCTGATACATGTCCGATAAGTGTCAGAGTACCATATCCAACACGAACACGTGACTCAAACTGAAGTGTTTGTGCTTCTCATGTTAACCATCTGTGTGAAGTAAATGCTGAGGATAAGGTTATAACTTGTTTGATAGTTTGAACAGAAAATGAGTAGTTACCAGCTGGGCAATTATGAAAGCACTCACTAAGAGCAGTCCAGGACGTTCGACAAAGGACCAACTTCGAGACCTTGTGACGAAGATAAGGGCCTGACTCACGATACTAACTTGTAGGTACAATGCTGCCATCATTGCCTCGTCGTTGTTCCTCAGGGATTGTACATGAAACTTGTTCTGCATAAGGAAATTGGAATACAGACATGACTTAGATCAGAATAACAGATGTATGTTGCAAGAACTGCGGTAGACTTCCAATGGATGATCTAGATGTTGTATATTCATACCGAGAAAAAGTCGGTATCTCTCACGATCCAGAAGAATATCACTGTCATCAGTGCCAAGTATCCTCCTAACACAATGCCAGTAGCGAAAATTTCCTTCAACTTCCAGCTGTCCGGCAGAGGAGAAGGCTTAACTCGATCCTTAGAAATGGTCATGATTGTTCCTAGAAAATGGTAGAAAACTTAAATTGCTGGTGCATAAAAATCATAGAAAATACAAGTGCATGATATCAACATTTTTGGTAACCATACCATCGTTTAGAATTGCTATAATTAAAACCATGAATGGAGCGAAATCAAACTTCCAAATCAAAGCAATCAACATAAAACCAAACTGCAAAGGGAAAAAAAAAAGGAGTTATAAGTTTCCAGTTGATATAGATTAATAATAACACTAAATATTTTTTTCTATTTTCATTGTATTTACCACTATACGAATGGTGATGGAAACTGCATAAATCTACACAAAAACAATGAATGGGATAAGTTGAATGTACATAATCAAGTAAATCTAATATGATTGGATAATGTAAATGATAAACTAACGGTATAGTTCTTCATCCTCTGAAAAATAGCCCTGCTAGTCAGTACAGCACTGATAATGACACTTAATCCCGGTTCAGTGAGGACGATGTCGGAAGCGCCCCTAGCTGCATCAGTTGCATCAGCAACAGCAATTCCAATATCAGCTTTCTTTAGTGCAGGGGCATCATTTACACCATCTCCAGTCATTCCACAAATGTGTTTCCTCTCCTGTAACCTTTTTACAATTTCATATTTGTGTTCTGCCATATGCAAAAAACGTTAAGGAAAGCAATGTGTGACACTGGATATATAGGAGAACTTTGCCATCACAAACATATAGATATTTCTTCAATCATTAGAGCAGGATCATTTCTTATTATCTAGCAATGCAAGCTATACTATTTAAGAAAAAGGAAGTTGCAGAACCCACCTGGAAATACACCAGCAAATCCATCAGCCTTTTCAATCAACTCATCCACAGGAAGGGTATCTGCTGATCTATCTCTACCTTGACTAAGTAATGAAGAAGAAGGGTACATATTTGTTCCCATACCAAGTCTCCGCCCAGTTTCCTTGGCAATGGCCAGTTGGTCCCCTATATTTACAGACTCATTCAAATGCTTTGTATATCATAGAAATTATAAATACAGTGATATTTACTTTGCACATACCAGTAATCATCTTGACATTTACTCCAAGGTTCAAAGCCCTTCTGATGGTTTCTGCACTATCATGCCTTGGAGGATCAAACAGAGCTAACAAACCAACAAGTTGCCACGGTTCTCCTGGACTTTCTTTGGTTCTCTCAGGTACTTTCTGTGGATCAGAAGCTAAATAATAAGCTTAAAGAACAAGTTTTGATATTGATAATTCATAATATGAGTGAAGGTTAACATTTGAAAACCTGTCTAGCAACACCCAGGGATCGGAGTCCGCATTCAGCAAACTTATCAATTACTCCATGAACTCGTTTCCTGACGACTTCACTGGAATTGCAAAGGTTTAAAATCTGTTTCAAACAAGGATAAATGATAAAAATACATATCATTATTTTTTGAAAAAAAAAAAAAATTTGTACCAATCAAGAATACAAAGATAGACAACTTTACCTGCTCTGGAGCACCTTTGCTAACTCGGTGCCAGTTATCATTAGAATCAATATAAGTCAGAGCAGTTCTCTTATCTACAGGGTTGAATGGGAAAAAATGAACCTCTCTAATACCAGCTCGTGCCTGCATAATTGTGTCATGCACAATCATGTAAATTCTGATTATAAATCTTTAACTCAATTTGAGATAGAGATGGAAAAAACAGAAATCATCAACTAAAACTACCTCTTTTGGATCTGCTAACATTCCAACAATAGCAGCATCAATGGCATCCTGGTTTTCTGTTCTAGAAGCCCTTCCTGCAAGAAGGAGAACATGTTCTGCGTCGACATCCTCCACAAAGACTTCAATCAAGGTTTTGTCAACAGTGAGCTTATTCAAGGTTAATGTTCCAGTCTTGTCACTGCAGAGGACATCCATGCCTGCCATCTCCTCGATGGCAGTCATGCGCTTGGTAATTGCGCCTTGCTTCGAAAGACGGTGTGAGCCAATGGCCATGGTGACAGACAAAACAGTAGGCATGGCAATAGGAATTCCTCCGATCAAAAGCACCAGCAAATTGTCAATGCCGTCCCTATAGGCACGATGTTGTATTGGGTACATGACTATGATCTCAATAAAAATTCCAATAGCAATGGAGCAAATACAGAAATTCCCAATGGCAGTAAGAACTTTTTGGAAATGCCCAACTTGATTGGTGCTGTCCACCAAATGGGCAGCCTTGCCAAAGAAGGTATGCACACCAGTGGCAATCACTACTGCTTCAATTTCACCCTGTTTACACGTGGATCCTGAAAAAACTTCATCTGAAGGGTTCTTCGTAACAGGGAGGGATTCACCGGTTAAAGCAGATTGATCAATTTTCAAAGGGTCGCCCTCAAGAAGACGAGCATCCGCAGGTATGATGTCTCCTAGTTTGATACTTATTATATCTCCAGGAACCAGAATAGCAGCATCTTGCTCACTCCAACGACCATCTCTGAGAACCTAGTTATACACCACACAAGGACAGAAATAAGAGTGAATTTAGCTAAAAGAACTTTCTGCCGTTGGATGCAAATGATTATCAAACAACGATGGTGTTTAGTATGTTTCAAACCTTAGTTTTGGGAGCAAGACCGGCCATAAGGGCGGCAGCTGCATTGCCTGCGTTGTTTTCTTCAATAAAGCTGATGGTTGAGTTGATGAAAAGTAGGGCAATGACGCCCACGAAATCCTGCCAGTCTGGAGGCCTTCCACCGCCGTTTGCTAAGACAATAGCCATTATAGCCGCTGCTTCCATGACCCAAGATAGGGGATTCCACATAAATCCTAGAAATTTGAGAACTTTGCTCTCCTGCTTTCCGAGAAGTAAAAATAAACCACAATAAATTGATTTGGAACAATAACGTAATTCTTTACTAGTAATTTCACTTGTTCCAAAGTAATTATTAATAATAATAAACTAGTAATTTCACAGAGATGAGACCTTTTTCTCTTCGAGTTTGTTGGGTCCAAAAACTTGAAGCCGACTGGCTCCTTCCTCTGAAGTGAGACCTTCTCTTGAGCATTTTAACTTATCGAACACTTCGTTGATTGGAATACGTTCCTGTAAACAAAAATATGGATCGGTTTATAGTTCATGAAGGCATATACATCGCGAACTTGCATTAGAAGTTGTTCAAGTTTAATCACTTATATATGCATTTGCATACAACGTCCAAAACTAATGAAATCAAGGACAAGGAAGATATTCACACGAAACGCCGCCGTTTTGCAACTCCTTAAAACATCAAATATTAACAGAAGGAAAGGAAGAAGAATAATAAAGAAAACCCTATAATATTCTATTCTACTCAGCCGCTGGAATTACTTTAGCAAACACTAAACCATTAAGTACGTCACAGATTTCAATTCCTCGTCACATTTGACAACCACAAATCCTCGCATTGTTTATTTTTCGATCAAATAAATATAAAAAACTCAAGCAGCCGCCAATGCAATAACAAAATTCCAAAATCTCAACTCTCATCATCGGATATTCAATGAAGTCAAACAATCCAATAAACCAGACAAATAACCAGTTCTCGAAAGAATAAACAACAAACAATAAAGAAAAAAAAACAGAAAAAGCTATTCGCTGAACCTAAAACGCCATGCAAAACACATACAACAGTAAGATCATCAACGTCTCCGGCATATGATACATCAAAAACCTTCGTGATGCGAAATTTTCTCGGGAAACAAACAGAAAACAGGAAGAAAAAGGCGAGAAGAAAGTGGAGGTACCAGATCGACGGACTCGTTTCGAATCTCTTGGAGAGTGATAGCGTTGTTGTTCGCCATTTCAAATCGTGAGTGAGTGATCGGAGAAGTGCAAAAGCGTTGTGTGAATCTGGAACGCTATATATAGGAATCTGAGAAGTAATCCTGAAAGGAAAACAGAATGAGAATCATTTATCCTATTATTCCTTAACTATACTATGAAACCATTTATCGTAGACGGAGCAAAAACCCAACCTAATATGCTACTTCAAATTTGTAATATAATTTTTAAATTTAAAGTAAATTGTTTTTCTTAATTACAGTAATGTAAATGCTAATTATGATACAATAATGTAAATGCTAATTAATGAGTATTTTTAAATTTTCATGAAAATCTTTTAAATTATCTTAATTTATTTACCTTTTTTTTTCCTCTTATTTACAAATGAAATCTTTCAATATCTCTTAAAATTCTGCCATAAATGTATTTTATTAACTAATTTGTATTAGTTTTAACTCTTAAAAAAAAACACTTTAAATTTTTCCCATCTTATAAAATATTGTCAACAATAATGTAAAAAGTATATATTATTAAAATTAACAAATACTTGAAAGAGTCTTTTAAAAATCAAAATTATATTTAAAGTTAAGTATGGCACGAAGAAATATTAAATGAGTTGGCAATATAATCTATTGAAAAGATATATATTTTAATGAAATGAAATTACATTTATTTTCTGCATAAATAAAATGTACATAAAATAGTATATGTTAAATTTTATAATTTTGTCTGTAAAGAATTGCAAGAATAGAAGGCTAAATATATGTGTTTAATGGCTAACGTTGGAAAGTTTTTTTCTTTTTTTTCAATTTAGTCACCATAGTTTAAAAAGTTTAAATTTAATCATTTATAATTCAACCATTTTTAATTTAGTCTTTTGTAATGGATGAATGTTAAAATTGCTGATAAATTTTACATTGTAGATTACTAATTAGTAGATGGGTATAACGTCAAAGGATAAAAAAGATAATCAATAATGAAACTTAAGTTTATCTTAAGTTTTCGCCTCATAACATCTTTCTTCCTCTAAGTTATCGCCAATTTGTCATAAATTTATTATCAACTAATTTTAATATGAAAAATTAATAGTACGTTGAGATGACTTTAAAATTAATAGTACGTTGAGATGACTTTTGAATAATAATATTTTTCCTACAAACAGTTTTAAAAAAATGATTAAGAGTGTGTTTGGATTAACTTCCTGCCTAATTTTGGAGAGTGTTTTTCTTTAATTTATAATGTTTTGTAACAACTAAAATAACTTCTAAATTAATCAACTTCATTTACAATCAATTTTATTTTTTTTACATTATCACTTTGAAGTTGATTATTCAAAAAGTGATGGACTAAAAATCACTTTAGAATCATTTTATGATTATTTAATATTTGTAGAATCGCGGTGCAACCAAACAAACTAGTAATTAAAATCATTCTTAAAAAAAAGTCAACCAAACACACACAATTATTTTAATCAAAGCTATTTGTATTAAAAAAAAAAGAAATAATATATGTATGAAAAAGGATTAAATTAAAAAGTATGCCAAACTCACTTTTTTTAAAATGTATGCATGAAAAATAGTTTAGCTGAATTAGTTAAGACTAGCTGATTTATTGGAGGCCTCTTTCAGCATCACAAATTTTTTTGCTTTTTCGATCGCAAGTATCTTAACAATATTTCCGTTATGAAAGACTAAGCAAAAAAAACTTTTAGATTGTTGAATAACAAACGAAATAATAAAGAAACATAACCATCATAGTATTTTAAAATTAAAAAAAGGAAGGGTGGTTATTGGATCAATTATTGCTCTTGTCTAATAGATCCTCTATTTTCTATTCCTTCGATGAAAGGTAAAAAATAATTTCATTGTGAAGCCGTATGCAAGGATGTTTGTACGATTGCGGTTGAGATATCCATAATTAAATTTACCCAATATCGACGTTATTGAATGATGATTTATTCATTCTTAACAAAAATACCTATTTGACTAAAAAGTTATAAGTCAAATCATTACTCACACACATGATGTGTTGTTGTATTAAAAAAGAATTAAATTAGGTACAGTGAACTTCTAAATTTTACGCACAATCTCTCTCTCGTTCCCAAGTCAAGTAAGCACAAGATGACAAAAGGAAAGGAAAGATGAAAATGAAATAGTCACGGGTAGGGGTGAACATCGATCAATCCGAGACCACAAACCAACCATTCGATTTCGATTGATTGAAAATGAAGAAATTTTTAAGTTTTGTACTACCCGATCAACTGTCCCTCAAACAGTTAGTTAGTCGTCAATTTTTTGGGAAACATAAGAGGACGAGAGACACGATATGAGAGATAGTAGGAGGTCGGAGAGGGCCACGTGATACGAAAGAGGAGATTTTTTTATTTTTATTTTTATTTTTATAATCAACCGATCTGGTCGAAATGAAACTTTCCAGCTACTCCAACCGACCGACCAACGGTTTTTTTTTTGTAATGTTAAAAACCAACCCCAACCCAATATGGGGTCTAAACCGATCGACCGATCAAATTTATTTGTTCACCACTAGTCATGGGGATAGAGAAGCCCAGATAGAGGGGGAGAAATTTTGAATTTTAGCCCACAAATTTTTCACAATTTAAATACACAAAGCTTTGGTGTTGCTTATTCAAAAGCTGATTCTATGATATCTAAGCTCTGTACATCCTCCGTACAACTAATCAAACTACTGATGATACAAACAATACAGCCTTCCTTCAGCTATGCTTCAAAAATATTCATCAAAACAAACTACGTTCTCACCTCCTCATATTCGTTCTCCTTTATCCGCTTTAGTTTCTTCGTTTACCTCGTCGAAGATAAGCCGTTGCGCTTCAGTTTCTTCGTTTACCTCGTCGCAGATAAGCCGTTGCCCCGCTCTTGCCCACTGATGCACTGCTCTGTAAGCTTGGCTTCTCTACGTTATTAACTTTACCACCATCAGTTTTTTCCTTGCTAGCAGTTGCACCATTTTCTTCTGGCAAGATCTTGCCAATATCGTTTCCTTCTGATGGAACTTTATCGGTATATTCAACCACATTTGGAACCTCCATGGATGCTTCACTTAATAGCTCGCATCGCTCCTCCACAGGCGGCCCTTTCGCCTCATGGTCATGACCTGATGAATTATTTTCCTCAACTATTTTGTTGTCTACGACAAGTTCCCCAGAAGAACTGCCATGCAAGAAGAGAAAATCAACCATTATACCGAATTAACTCAATTCAAGCGTCGGGAGAGATGAGACATTGGGATACCTGGGTACCGGAGAAAAACCGTTGGCCAGTCCTGCAACTTCATGTACTGTAGAGCAGTCTCTCTCGTCTAAACTTGAATTAGATACTGCATAGAGAAGGCAAATACAATTTACCAATTAATTGCTAGTGCAGGTGCAGCATACCAAAGTTTTTGCTTCTCTTAATATTTTCATTCTTATAGTTATAGTTTTTTTCTGCCTAGATCTACTTGTTCGTGCTCCAATAAATCCTATGGAACTACTGGTTAATCCGACAACATCAGAAAAATGAGGAACGTTATACCGACTACGTACCTTTCCTCTCAGTTGTAGGATTGGTTTGCAAATCCTGCAAGGGAATAATTGAACCGAATCAAATATCTACAAAGATCAATAAACAATGTACTTATAAGAGGGTTAGCAAAATTTTCATATAGCAAACATGGAGTTAATAATTCTTGACACGGCCGAACATGTGCATACGACAAGCAAGAAATAATTAGCAAAAGCCCAAAAGTATCTAATCTTATTTAGATATGGCAATAACAGAATACAAGCCACCCAGCCAATTCGAGAGGGCTGCTCACTAGATTCTGGAACCTAAAACTAACTATAACTGTCAAGTACATAATTTCCCATTTTGCCCCTCCTAGCATATAGGTTCACAACTGGAGGCCTAACAATGCCCTTTTGGGCGTCTGTTACCTTATCCTGTTGCACAATAATGGTGGTTGTATCGAGCAGGCAGGCTCCATTTTCAGACACGTCTTGTGTGATCTTCGACTCTGAGGAGTGCAAATGAGGTCCAATGTTTAGGGAATTCCAAGTTACAGAAAAAATTAAGAGAACTTTTATTATCTTCTAAAAAAATGAAATTGTAGGATTCACAGTGTCAGTGATGCTTACCTGATAAGTTATGAGTGGCAGTATTGTCTGCAGACCAATACAATGGTTTATCTATTAACTTCGCAGCATGCTGCATTTTATCTTCACTATGAATTTTCGGGTTGTCAGAATGTACAGAACTCAAGTTACTTTTGTAGTCTGAAGTAAGTGAAGACCAATCGAGTTTGGCTGATGGGAGAGTTCTTAGCATTTCCTCAGTTGCTCTTGACCGCACGCGTCGTATCTCCTCCTGGATGTTCCAAGATCCACTGGCAGGAGATTCCCTTTTCATCTGCATTTCAATATCAACAAACAGGTGATGGGTTGTGTTACAGAAATATACATGCTCATGTTCTTAAAAGCATGTATTTTAATTTTTAGACAAACGATAAGGATATGGAAGGGGAAAACCACAACATTCTACCTACGGGCAAATTTGTTGGTCCTCTAGGTATACTACTACCATTTTAAGAAACTTGAAAATATACATCGATTGAACTTTCATATGGCCTCGTGACTTGAAACAGCGACCATCCAATTAACAGCAAAATTTCCTTTTCAGTCGCTATGAAAAGGCAACAGAAGCAAAAACTAAAAAAAAATTGTAACATAGGGGAAAATGTTTTTGTGAAGGGTTGTGAGTGTCGTTCGATGGGTAAAACGGTACCTTAGATGAAGACAGTGGATTTCCAGTAATTGAATATGATGTTTCTTCTTTGAAAAGCTGTAACCCTAATGGTGAAGGAGATTTAAACTCAAAATTATTCGAGGAAGGAGAGGCCCATGGAGGACGTGCCCGCATGTATGATTTGGCTACATCCACAGGTGAACCCATTTCTTCGTCGTTAGCCTGCAGCAGCATATACTTCAATATTCCAAGAAACCAATATAAAAGGATACATACCAACGCTAGATTTAGTATTACCACCACATCAATCTACTATCATCATTGTTGTTCAACATTAGCGAGTGATGAATACTTGAAAGAGGAGAAGTAGTTAGCACTAGCAGTGAATGTATGAGATGAAACCTTTGTAAATAAGTGTAAGTTTGGCTTAAGTTTGATTGAAGAAATAAGCTGGAAGTTTAGTTCAATCAGCCAAAAGCAAATCAGATGTCTATATACAAACCCTTCCCTATACAATGTAATATTTCACTTTGGGGGAAATTATGGGGGGAAAGTGTTGAAAGGGAAAAGGAAGAATAAAGTCGAAGAGAATAATATTGTATGTAAGAAACCAGTTAAAAGAAGCTTGAGTAACAACTAACAAGTAATAATCAAACTTATGTATGGCAATTAGCACATGTTCATGCATGCAAATAAATCGTTTGCTCGGAAAAAGGAGTCCATGACAAGGGAACTTATAAGAATCTTGAACTGTAATGTAAATGAAAATTGCACCCACTACGTGATTATTCATGTGCCATTTAAGAACAGCAAAATAAAGAATCACAAACCACTGTCAACATCGTGGAATTCAAGGTGCATGGCCCATGATCCATGTCCGATGTCGAACTAGATCCCAATCCCAATCGTTTTTCATTCAACCATTTTTTTGCCTCAAGAATTGCTGTGCTGCAGACTGCAGGCCTGTCATTATCTGTACCAATTTGTACACAGCTTAGTCTGGTAATGAAGTTTAAATTCTCGTTCAGAGATAAACATTTTTGTTTTTCTAAATATAAACATGAGTCATTAGTTGCATGAAATTAAAATTGTGGTTTATAGGAAATTGGAAGGTCAACCATTAATTAACAGTACCACTATCAACTGCTCTGTTTGATATTTCAGTCAGCCTTCCTGCAGCCTCAGCATCAATGGTTTGAAATTCTACAACCCTTGATTCAATTATCTGAAATAACTTGTCACGCTCTGCCCTGCTTGAATGTAAGTGAGAACAAATCAGAAGTCACTAGTAACAAATAACTGAAGGTTATCTTTTTAGTGGTAGTTCAAAAGAAAATACCTAGCTCTATTTAGTGTCATTTGTCACTCAAGAACTAAACTATTTAACCATGAGAACATCAACCATTGAACATATAGAAAATTTGGTTTGAACGGGAACAACAACTGATTTCAGCATGTGCAGGAAGTTTAAGACTCTAAAGAAACCGAAAACCATAGCCTTCATCATCAAGATAAAAGCGATAGCAATCTAGTAAAACCAAGATAAGCATTGTTAATCACAGGAAACAAAATGAAGATTCCTTTTTCCTGTTAATTGATAGAGAATTACATGAGAATGTCTGAATCAGGTACATGATACATCAGCACAATGGCTTGATTATAGTGAAAATTTGATATAATCACAACATGAAACAAAGAACAAGTTTCGACATAACTCCTCAAAATATTATTGCCGTACCTAGAGAAGGTCTCCTGCATCAGTAGCTGTTCAATTAAATGTTTGCTATCTTTCTTCTGTGGTGGAAAGTCCTTCCTAAATAAATCAACCGTCTCCGATGTCCCATTCTTCCAAAAAAACAATGTCAATCAGACATGATATTGAAATCTAAAAATCAAATACCATAATTCATAGTATCACTTTGATTTTGTCACATTTTTTTTTATAAGAAATTTTGTCCCGTATATTCTATTCACATAGCTATCACGTTGACTCGAGAATAGATCTTCTGTTCATGTATTTCATTAATTTGTATACCCTCCCCTCGTAGCACTGGCTGAAGATTAATATGAGCTTCAAACCATATAGTATTACGCTGCATCACTTAATCATGAGACCTCTTTCTTTCACCATGAGAAGAATTAAAATAAGGATGATGGTATAAAAACATGATGTTACAACACAATCACATATTAAACTCGATAGAATGTCTGCTAGACTATTGACATATTCTTTACATTACCAACATAACAAATTGCCCGATAGTGAGACAAGCAACCTAATTTCAATTTTATGAGACAAAAACCTAAACGAGTGCATAATTTTACATCTAAATTATTTACCTTCTTCACCCCTTCAGCTCCCTGGAAGAAATGATTTTCATCGTGATCATCAACTTCAACATCATCCTCTGTTAAAATCAGATACAACAGATCTTTAAAAGAGCCATATAAGTAAAACTAAATGCAGAGAACTTGCAGCTCAAATGAATAATGAAACCATACAACTCCTATGTATTGAAACTGAAATCAAATTCAACTTAATTTTGCTTAAAATCTAATGTTAAAAGAATAAATGGATAGATATCAATCTAACTTTCTTCAAATCTCATGAATTCACACCATTTATCAATTCCACTATCCTCAGCCATACTTGCTTCAAACATTAATGATTAAACATAACACCATCAAGTTCCCCATCCAAGAACTATAACTTGTGTTTTCCTTTATATAATGCCTAAGTTTAGTACTCTTTTACTACTGACCTAGCTATTTTTTAGGAGTGGTTTACAGTTTACAACCTCGTGGTGGTGCTATACTTATAGCAAATTCTTTTGTAATTATCCTCTCCCTATGATTCTTCAAGATTGGAAGACTTTCATTTCTAGCTCTTTTGGGAGGGTTATCTCCTCCCCGCCCTTAGGTTGTCTCTTTTTCGTTGCTTAATACAATTTTCAGGGCTCTTATTAAAATAAATTATAAAAAAAGGGGTTCAATACCGTTTCTACTTCTAATCTTCTCAAAACAAACTTGAATTTGGCAGCACATCAAATAAGCATCAAAATTTAACGAAGGGTGGTATTGTCTTTTTGACATTAGAAGACATTAATTTTCAATTATTTTCCCAAGAGAGGCTACATTTCCTTTCATGACTAAGAATCCCCTCACGCCTAAGCATTTTTACTGTAAGAACTTAGTGGTGTTTGCTTCTGCACATCGTAAAGCCATGAGGCACAATCTAATGGGAAAATGGTTCAAGCCAAGCAAGCTAGTAGAGGAAGACTCCATAATAACGTCTTGGACATTCCACTTTGGGCCCCAGAGAAAACCCTAAATGGATGTCCAAGTTTATTTTCTCACCTCTTATGATTGCTGGGCACTAGAGAGTTTCATTACTCTTCAGGAGATTTCTACTTTTGTCATAACTGATTCTTCTTGGGGTGTATTCTTATAAGCTCCCCAAAGGGAGTATAGGTTCTTGATTGTAAACTTTGGTGGAGCAGGAAAAGCGTTATTTTATTAATGATCAAAAAGTGTACAAAAAGGGGAAGCCTAGCCTTTATATATAGGCTTAGCTTATGGGTCAACAGGCTTTAATTACAATAATGGCCAACTAAAGTTAACCCCAGTAACTACCTAATAACCCAACTAATTCTAAAAAACAAAATACTTAAGCTAAAATACAAAGAAAGCCCTAACATTTAAACACCTAACAAACTACTACATCAAACTTTCATTAAAATAATTATAACAAAAATGCAGTCTCCTGTTCTAAAATAGATCATGTTTCAGTTGACATCATGACATGACCTTGAAATACAAGTCAGGGGCTCAGTTGAAGTAGTAGCACGGTTCAAATCTGAAACCATATGGTTGGAAACTTAGAATTGCACTCTTACTAATAGTTTTAGTACGCAAATTCATGACAGAGCAAGCACGCGAGAAAACTAAACCAACTAGGAAAATGAAATATATCGGCTAATTAAGCATCCTAAATAAGGATCAAATTTTCCCATCAGGAAAACACATCATACAACTAAAAACTAGAATTCAATTAACCAACGCCACATCATTACCTCCCAATTTCATCTTCTAGCATCCTTAACCAGACTTACTGAGTATACTTAACAGCAAACACCATTAAGTTCACGAAATGTAGTTCACTTCTTTCAAGTACTTCCTCCCTCTCCCATTCAACTTCAAGGTTCGAAGTTCAAACTACATTCCATCTTTCTAAATCTATTGCCTAAGTTCAGTACTCTTTCCACTTCTCATTTCCTCAAAACAAGCTTACATTTCGCAGCACACCAAACAACCACTCCAATCCATATAATTAACATACACAAAAATTCAGTTCAGTCAAACCAACCTGAATCACCGTCCGAAGAGGAGGAGTCGGAGTCGGAAACGAAGACAGAAGAGAGCAACTTTCCGGCGCCGGAAGCAATGGTTAGAGTAGGCGAGAAAATGAACCTGGATATCCAACTAGGGTTTCCTCCAGCGCCCAAATTCGAAAGTCCAGGACGTTCGTAAGGATTCTTCCTACTCCGAGCTCGCCTAGCTCGAACAATTTTCCCGCCGGATCGTGACCCGGTGATGTCGCGGTACGAAGGAACAGCCGCCATCGAAGTTACCTTACAGAGTTCGCAGTCAAAGAGAAGAAGACCCTCGCTCAGGCGAGACTGTGAGAGGAGTTTGTTTTTCCAGTTACGGAAAAAAGAAAAGTAGCCCTCTCCGGGAAAAATAAATTGAAAATTAACTCCTTGTAATGTGGAAAAGACAATAGTACCCTTCCCGCGATTTTTATTTTGTATCTTGCAGCTGGATTTTTTGAGGGGCTATGTAGTAAATTCGATTTCGGGTTTGATATCTTTGCAAACGTTCAATCGTGTTTCCATTTTGATGCTGTGCGTTGTTCAACGTTTTTACAGTGATTTCCAAAAAGGGTTTGTATTATAAATTTAATATCTATAACTTTTATGGCTGTGTTTTGTCTTTGAATTTTACAAAATTGTAATTACACCCTGGACTTTTGAGATTAATTCTAGTTAATCTCTCCCGTTTAAATAACAAATTACGATTCGCCACGTGGCACTTAATAAATCAGGTGGATAAAGAAAAAGGTATGAGTTTGATAATTTAATAAGGTAAATTAAATACCTTTTGCATCGATTTTTCTTTTTTTTTTAAGGAATTTGCATCGATATTTTATACCTTATTTTATCGCATTGATGATTTACCAACTATACAAAAATTATTACTTGTAACGCGTTTAACCATGTTTAATTATTATTTTGATATCTGTATTTTCAATTTTAGTCCCTATTCTTAAACATATTTATTCTGATCTTTGTAATTTTTAAAAGTGATTATTTTGGTTTCAATTTTTTTAGTACAATATGTGAGGCGAGAGATCGAGCTCACAAGTTTTGACATATTTTGGTCTCAATTTGAAAACTATATTTCCATCATATCTTCAAATAGAAGACAACATCAAATTCATAAAAATGAAGGACATTTTAGAGGGCTTGTATGACATTCAACAGAACCCACTACCTATATAATGGTGGAAACAGATCATGTTTGAGCAATTCTAATGCTAAACGGAGGGGAGAATGAACTCACAGAGGCTAAACAGCTTGCTGAGCTTTAAAATTATCGCGAGTTTCATTCACGTTCAACGACAAGCCAACCAAGTGGCACATGCACTAGCTCAAAGAGCTTCATCAAGGAAAGAAGATGAACGTTCGGAAGGAGAGAGTTTTTCCTTCCTTATTAGAATGTTTGGCTGAGACGGTTTGTGAGATTGTCTCATCGTTAGAAAGGAAAAATATTTAAAGAAATATTTTGAAAGTATGAGTACAAAGTGAACACTAAAACTTAGTAGAATAAAAATTGTAAGTTGAACGCAACCATATCAAAATTTAAAGATTAACTTTATAATCTTAAAACAACATAGTACAAGTTTAAGGAAAGGAGTCTGAGCTTACCATCATCGAGCTTCCACCTACACTCACTTGAGTTATGCTATAAACAAATAAAACTAAAATAATAAACCATTCTTAAAAATAAAATAAAAAACGTTAAATATCTCTTAAATGAGGTAATCATTGGTAAAAAACTTAACCATGGTAAGTTTGAAACCTAGCCGATATTGATTAAGAAGAAAACAAACGTATTTGAATTAAAAATAATAACAATAATAAGTGATTATGTTTTTGAAGTTCTCAAAATTGGGGCGGAATCCTTGTACCAAGTGTGAAGACTTCCTTTACTCATCGAATAGCTTGAAGTCGAACCAGAGTTGGTTTGGTCGGATTCCATGGCGATGGCGACGGCGCTGGATTCCGATGAAATCGGAAACATATACTGAAACGGCTTAGGCGGCGGCATAATCTCAACGCTTCCTTCCAACATCTTCGCCACCGTACTCATCGGCGGCCGATCCTCCGGCGAATCCTGCACGCACCACAGAGCCACCGTACACATTCTCTCCACCGCCTTTTTCCTCTCTCCATCCTCTTCAACATCACAATCGCTGCCCGTCTCCGCTAATTCCCCCTTCTCAAACCGCTCCCACACCTGAATCGGAAACCAATCGATGCTCCCCGACGGACCGACGGTGGCGTTCTTCCTCCTTCCGACGATCTCAAACAGCACCATCCCGAAGCTGTAAACATCGCACTTGAAAGTCACCGGAAAATTGAACATTAAGAGCTCCGGCGCCGAGTAGCCGGGAGTGCCTCGATACTCTGTGAGGGAAACGTGCGTGTTGTCTCTGTTGCAGAGATTCGCAAGTCCGAAATCGCCGACTCTTGGCGAGAAATTCGCGTCCAATAGAATGTTCGCCGGTTTAATATCGTAGTGGATGATTCTTCTCTCGCATTCTTCGTGCAGGTAAGCGATTCCTCTAGCGGTTCCAATCGCAATTTCCTGCAATTTCTCCCACACGATTTCGTAATTTCTTTTGCCGTACAAGAATCTGTCGAGCGATCCGTTCTCCATGTACTCCAAAACCAGCGCGCTCACGAATTCGTCGTAACAGAATCCGTAAAGCCTGACCAGATTTCTATGGCGAGTTCTACCGATTGTTCTCATTTCCGCCATGAATTGCTCTTCGGCTTTTTTTTCGGAGTTTCTCTTCAGAATCTTCACTGCGATCTCTACGCCGTTCGGGAACTGGCCTTTGTAAACATCGCCGAAGCCGCCGGAACCGAGCCGCGTAGAATAGTTGCTTGTGAAGGCGCGGAGTTGCTGAGCGGTAAATCTGACCGGACTTTCGTCGGCGATTTCTAGGAGGAATATCTCCATCACATCCCGATTTTCCGCCGGCGCCGGTGCCGGATCCGGTGGAGGAGTGGACGTGTTTCTCCACTCTTTAACGACGTCCGGCACAACGTTCTTCGCAAATTTGTAAGAGAATATTCCAATCGCCACGAGAATGAGGAAGCCAACCACCGAGCAAACCACAGCTGCAAGGCAATAATTATTTTCGAAATTGTAAGGAGAATTTCAAGGCTGAAACCCTAAGAATTCAATAAAACTTGTACTCAATCTCCACTGTATGTCAGTTTCAGGACTTCATAAATGGCGGCAAGACAACGAGATCACAGGCGTACTTACAGAGAGCGATTATGACGGACGTTGGATTGCCGCCCTGCGCCGATGGAGTGGAGACTCTGAGAGAAATTCAAAAACAAATTCAACGATTGGCTGAAACATTCTTAATTTAGGTTCAACAAATTTAGATCGAGAAAATGGAAGTGATCAGAGATCGAGATGACTTACTGGCACAAGACGATTATTATTCCGATCAACCACGCCGCCGCCACTGAAGCCATGGAGAGAGACAGAGAGCATTGTGTGGAGAAGAAATAAAAAGAGAACACGGCTTCGATCTCAATTCTCCATGGGAGACGCGTGTCTGGAAGTGATTTGATGGAAGAGGAAGAAGAATTTGGCAGGCGTAGAAAATTCGAATATGGACCTTTTTCCGTTGAATATCCTAGAAGTTGCCGCCACAACTGCAACATTTGAATCATTTTTCCATCGCTTCGATCTCCATGGATTGTAGCTTTCGGAGCAAGTGAGATTGGGAAGTTTCGCTGCCGCTGAATATTAGAAACCATGACCTTAAGCGCTCTCATTTCACGTTATTATCTTTTTGCATGAGTTTATGGAAAGATCAAACTTCTACTTAATATTGAACTTTGTTCAACAATTAACCATTTTTTTCTCGACAAATTTAGGATTTTATGTCAGGAGGCACAAATACATATAAACATAGAAAAATATCAGGTATCCTTCAATTTGCACCTTATAATTGAATAATGTTTTAATTTTCATCTTGACCTTTAAAAAATTCACATGTGTCAAATGAATTAGGCATTATAATTGTTCTAAATTTGTAAGTCTTGACAAGATTCGATTACATGACATGAGGTAAGACCTGAGGGTAGGGGCACGAGGAGAAAGCCAATGTAGCACACACTATTTTCTTGCTGAGATATTACAAATCCAGAGATGGTATGTGTTCCAGTTCCTTGGCGAATCTGTCCTGTTCAAGAGTGTATCTCTCGAACCAATGAAATCAACAAATTTCACAAAAGGTTATTAATTCATTAAAATTAGTAGCGAATATGATCTTAAACCTCTTTTTGTTTGAGTTAATTAAAGATCAAACTTTGGATAGTTACCTTTAAGTGTGTTCAAAAAACCCGACAATCTGACGAACCCAACCCAGTTGGATTGAAATATTATCAACCCGACCGGTTCGGGTCGGTTCTCGGATTGGAAAAAGAAAATTATTGTTCAACCCAAACCGAACCGATTTTTGTTAATATATATATATATATATATATCTTTTTTTTAGGTCTGTGCACCGCCTCCTCAACAATCTCTCTCTCTTCCAACAATCGTCTCTTCTCCCTTTCTCAACCCTCATCCCTCCCTTTTCTTTTCCCCTTCCCTCTCTCTTTCTGGTTTCTCCCCCGTCCCCTCCCTCCCTCTTTCTCTCTCTCCGTCTTCAAAAATGGATTTATCAGTGAGACTTCTTTGAATGCGTGACAACTACTCTACTTCAACTCTTTCTCCCATCCACATTTTAACTTTAGATAAATCGCTGCCGGCGTCTGCATTGCATTTCAGATTGCAAGGTCTCCTCCTCAGATCTACCTCATCATCGTCGTCTTTATCCAAGATTTGCATCATTTGCGATATCTCTATTTTAGATCTACTTCACTGTTGGTGGTGTGAGATTCAGATATTTTCTCTGATTTCTCTCTTGTTCACACACTGTAACCTGAGCACTCAATCCGAACCGAACCGAAGTAATAAGGGTTGGGTTGAGTGATTCATTTGGTTTAGTCGGGTAAGCGCACCAGGTTCAAAAAACATCCCCAAACCGATCAAATCCAACCAGTCAAACCTTGAGTCCACCTCTTTGTTTCAGGAGAAAATAGAATAGTTAAATTTATTTTAATTAAATGTTTAAAACAATCTCCTCAGATATGACATTTTATTCTAATAAGCTACAAATGCAATTTTAAAAAAATTAGAGTAAAATACCTTGAAGTTCGAGATTAGTAGCTATTTGGTATTTCCAAATGAACAATTTTAGTCTCTAAAACTTGAAAGACTAAAATCGAAAAATAGAAAAATAGTTCTAAATGGGACCTCGATTGACACTAACCTCATTCCATCTCATTTAGCGACAAAGGTTGTTTTATATCTAGAACAAGGGAGAGGTTCCTCTCCCGTTATTCCCTCTTCGTGGTCGATGAAGGTTGCTGGAAGTTAGCAGTGGCAGCGCCGTTGATAGTCGACGAGGATTGAGATGGCGTCCGACGATGGTGGGTTTCATCGAAGGGAGGAAGATGAAGGTGAAAGGATGAGAGATGATTTGAGAAGAAAACAAGAGAGAGAAGTCTTATCATCAAATTAAATTATTTAATTAATATATTTTGCAGAATAATAAAGTCAGAAATTCAACCCCAAATCATCCTACCGGCCAAATTCTCTTAGAATTAGTCAATTAACAATCAAATAATATTGATATCGTGACGGTTTATAAGTATTTTTCAAACTTTAGGGATTACAAGTATCTCTAGACGGAATATACATTTTTCCTCCCGAAAAGTGGTGTTTTTTTTAAGCAAAACACAAGTGCTTTTGGAAAACAACATCATTACAGTCACCAAGAGAAGAAAAAAAGAAAAAACACAGACATAATAAAGTGCAAACACAAAGGATATTTTTCAATGTAACGACAACAATACCTTTAGAAAGATCTCTCTTTTCTTCTTTGGGGATATCATACAAGTCATCTGGGAATCAAATCAAGAGGTAGCCATTTGAATTTCATATTTTCTCATGACTGTAGTAGTCTTCTTGTACCATTGAGAATTGCTTTCTCTGCTTGCGGAAGAATCGGAACCAGTACTACTGTTGGTTTCTCCTGAACTTGTTGTACTCGTACCGAGCTTCCTTGGGAACGAATTCAAATACTGAAATGGCTTTGGTGGTGGCATTATCTCCACTCCTCCCTCCAACATCTTCACCACCGCACTCATCGGCGGTCGCCCATCGGGGGAGTCCTGGACGCACCAGAGAGCGACCTCGCACGCTTTGCTTGCCTTCTCCCTATCTTCCTCACCAATGCCACAAGCAACAATCAACTCAGCTAACTTACCATTTTCATATGCATCCCACACATGCTGTGGAAACCAATCAGGATTCCCAGAAATGGTCGTGCCAGCATTGCTCTTTCTTCCAATGATCTCAAACAACACCATGCCGAAGCTATACACGTCGCACTTGTGTGTTATCGGATAGTTGGTCATCAGAAACTCTGGTGCCATGTATCCAGGAGTGCCTCTATAGCCACTGAATGATATGTGGGTGATGTCCCGGTTGCAGAGCTTGGCAAGCCCAAAATCACCAACTTTGGGAAAGAAGTTGTTGTCTAGAAGAATGTTTGCAGGCTTTATGTCATAGTGAATGATTCTCTGATGGCATTCCTCGTGCAGGTAAGCGAGACCTCTAGCRGTCCCGATCGCTATATCGTGCAACTTTCCCCATTCAATTTCTTGCCTTTTGCCGAACAAGTACTTATCCAGTGATCCATTATCCATGTACTCAAAGACAAGTGCACTCATGAAATGGTCATAGCAAAATCCATAAAGCCTGACCAAATTTATATGATAAGTTCTGCAAATGGATCCTATCTCRGCCATGAATTGCTCTTCAGCCCTTTTGTCTGAGCTTTTCTTCAAAACCTTCACTGCAATGTTCACCCCATTTGGGAACTTTCCTTTGTAAACTTCGCCAAAACCTCCAGAACCAAGCCGTGTTGAGTAGTTGCTTGTGAAGTTGTAGAGTTGCTGAGCAGTGAATCTGACTGGTTTTTCTTCGGCAATCTCCTGAAAAAATTTCTCCATTGTTGGTGCATCAACTTCCCAAGGAACTGCGGGAGCCATGTTAGGAAAAGGGACAGGTGGAGGAGGAGTATTTATGTTTCTCAACTCTCTTACAACGCCTGGTGTAGCTGCCTTGGCAAACTTATAAGCAGATATGCCAATCCCCGCAAGAACCAACAAGGAGATCACCGAGCCCACCACATCTGCAAACTAATAATCGGTTCAGCTGGTGAATCATATTGGATGCAAGCTAAACATATGTTAAAAGTGGCGGACAGTTTGGAAAAATTGGCATGGATCATACTTGGAATCGAATTGAGGTTGATCGAAATCAAGTATTTACCGATCGAAATTGAGTAGCATGATACTCCAGTTGATAAGAAATCTAAGCTTTAAGCGAATTCGTGGAGTGAGAAAACAAATTTTGGCTCATCATAGTAGAGTACTAAATTTTGTTCCTAATTCTGTATTGGACATTTTAGGTTAGTTCTCGAGCATATTCTAAAGTGTACAGTATGAACAAGCCTTTCAACCAAAAAAAAATCCCCCACCAATATACACACTGATTATGCATGTTGTTTTAAACCAGAATACGAATCTCAAATTAAATTGTTTCTTTCTGTTTGCTAACAAAATAAATACATAAGTATATAGAGACAGTACTATTTCTTTGATTTTCAGAACAAAAAAAACCTCTCGCCTTCCAAAGACAGAGCAGTAGCACCATGTAATTTCAACAAGATAAAAGATACTGTATGCTTACAGAGAGCAACTAAGGTATTGGCTGGATTTCCACCGCCGCCGAAGTCCGGCGCATCTGGAGGGGAGAATCTGAGAGAAACAGAAATTAATAACATAGAACCGAATTCGAGAACCGAAAAACTCAAATTACCAAAATAAAAATGTTAATAATATAGAACCGAAGTCGATAACCGAGATGTATTAGCCGCAATCCGGTGTAATAGAATCGCAGAAAGAGGCGCAGATACTTACTGGCACAACAGAGCTATTCCGATCATTCCTCCACGCCTTGTAATGCGCTTGAAACTTGCTAGGGCTTCGAGAGAGAGGATTTGACAGGCGAAGAGTGAAAATGGAGAAGATGATGGATTGAAGAACGAATCGATGAGTTCATGAGGAGTTTTCTTCTTAAACGATTGGGGAAGAATTGGAAGTAACCTTGAACATTCCAAGCTTGACTTCTTCGATTCATAAATCTCGAATTTGACATTTTCCAATTGTTGCGAGAGAGCGAGACGTGAGGGGGAAGGAACAGGGGAAGAAGGCGATGGCTTCTAAGCGTTCACAAGAACCGGCTGGCATAAAGAATAATATCGAGTTGAAATTTCATCTCTTATATGATATTTCATCCTTCAAAATATTTATGTTAAATTATTTCTCAAAAAAAAAAAATATATATCTATTTATGTTAAATTATATGTTTGGTCATTTAAACATCAGTCACACACGTGGACATTATATTTTCATACATCTATGAATTCGACATCGACATGGCAGTAAATCGATATGTCCATCGTATTTAAAAAAAAAATTAACAAAATATGAAAAATATCAACAAAATGTTACTAATGTATACATAATATTCAGATTGTACTAAAAAATTTATACATAATATTAATATTAATATTAATTATTTTTTACATATTTAGAAATAAAAAATGTTTATTTTACAACTTTTTTCTAATTTCTCTATTTTTTACAAAAATATCTATTGATATCGATATTTTTATGAAATTGAGACCTTGATATTTCTACTGACATCGACATTTAAAATCTTGTCTACGGTTAACTAAATTTTGCCAATATCAAAACGTGTATGAATTGTTTTATTTTTTATTTTATTTTGAGGACAACCACGTAGGAATGGAGGATCAAACTCACAACCTCTTGAAGATTATATCAATTAGCGCTCAGCTATACTTGCTTTGATTTTAACTAAAAAAAAGTTAATATTAGGATTTGGTACTTTAATATTTACGCTTACAATCTTACCATATATTCCTTAAATAATACAAACAACATGGTCGTTCAGGGCATTAGCAGTAGTGACTGCAACAATGACAAACTTCACTGAAGAAAAAGATAAATGGAGAGAGGAATGAAATGAATGAAAAAGAGAGATAAATCAAGTCGTCGTAAAGAAAGATTAAACTAATATATTTTACAAAATCGGCAAATACAATCATGAGCTAAAATACCATGTTGCTTTTTGATTGGTCAATTTATAGAAAAAAAAAACAGTTTTCTAATTCTAATATGCATTTCATTTGTATTTAACTTTTACGGTATGGAATTTACCTCTTCTAATTTTCGAGTTCATTTGCCACATAATTTATAAAGAAATTGACTAGTTAGCAAGTCATGTTTTATCATTCAATAGCTCAATCAATATTTTGTAAGGTCATTTACTTCATATACTATTTTAAACTATTTTTCAAATATTTTCTTATTAAAAATACATATTTTATAACTTACAAATAAACACCTACTCAAATTTGAGAGATTTAAAGTATATTTTACTTCTAAAAGGAATTTAGAAATTATTTTAAAAAAAAAGGTCAACGATAACACATTAAAAAATGAATTGTATTTTTGTCCATGGTTTTACGTAAAGGTCAATGGTCAACACAATAATAGGAGCGTAACATAGTAAAATGAAATATAAATTTGTAAAAGTCCATGAAGTACATGCAACCATTGGCAGCGTTGACGTGGCATGGGATTGCATGAAGTAAGGGGGAAAATCCAGTACTATAGTACCTCATTTTGCATGCTACATCAATTCCAGCTGTAGAAGATGAGATGAATTTTTTTGCCAAAACATCGGACATTTATTACCAATAAAAAGGTTGTGAATTCGATCCCCACCACCACATATTATAACTAAAAAAATATTTATAAATAGTGCGGACTCGTTAAATAAATATAATATATTATTTAATAATATGTCAATATGTGAATAGAATGAATAGCTCAAGTGGTTAAGGTACCTATCTCTGACCAAAAAGTCATGAGTTCAAGCCCCCACCCCACATTATGGATAACTTTCAAAACCTTAGTATTTGCATTTTTTAGGATCAGCCGCTTCTCATTACACATTACTCGACGATCCACGCAAGGTGCAGGAACTACAATTCGCCGATCTTCGGCCTGCTTTCTGAAAACAACTTCATTACAGTAATCAACAGAAGAAGAAAGAAAAAAGACCTAACAAACTGGAAACACAGAGGATATTTTTCAGTGTAACGACAACGATACCTTTAGAAAGATCTCTCTTTTCTTCTTTGGGGATATCATACAAGTCATCTGAGAATCAAATCAAGAGGTAGCCATTTGAATTTCATATTTTCTCATGACTGTAGTAGTTTTCTTATACCATTGAGAATTGCTTTCTCTGCTTGTCGAAGAATCCGAACCTGTACAACGGCTGCTTTCTCCCGAACTTGTACTCGTACTGATCTTCCTTGAAAACGGATTCAAATACTGAAATGGCTTTGGTGGTGTCATTATCTCCACTCCTCCCTCCAACATCTTCACCACCGCACTCATTGGTGGTCGCCCATCGGGGGAGTCTTGGACACACCAGAGAGCGACCTCGCATGCATTGCTCGCCTTCTCCCTATCTTCCTCTCCAATGCCACAAGCAACAATCAACTCAGCCAACTTACCATTTTCATATGCATCCCAAACATTCTGTGGAAACCAATCAGGATTCCCAGAAACAGTCGTGACAGCATTGCTCCTTCTTCCAATGATCTCAAACAACACCATGCCGAAGCTATACACGTCGCATTTGTGCGTTATCGGATAGTTAATCAGAAACTCTGGTGCCATGTATCCAGGAGTGCCTCTATAGCCACTGAATGATATGTGGGTGATGTCCCGGTTGCAGAGCTTGGCAAGCCCAAAATCACCAACTTTGGGAAAGAAGTTGTTGTCTAGAAGAATGTTTGCAGGCTTTATGTCATAGTGAATGATTCTCTGATGGCATTCCTCGTGCAGGTAAGCGAGACCTCTAGCGGTCCCGATCGCTATATCGTGCAACTTTCTCCATTCAATTTCTTGCCTTTTGCCAAACAAGTACTTATCCAGTGACCCATTATCCATGTACTCAAAGACAAGTGCACTCTTCAAATGGTCATACAAAATCCGTATAGCCTGACCAAATTTATATGATAAGTTCTGCAAATGGATCCTATCTCGGCCATGAATTGCTCTTCAGCCCTTTTGTCTGAGATTTTCTTCAAAACCTTCACTGCAATGTTCACCCCATTTGGAAACTTCCCTTTGTAAACTTCGCCAAAACCTCCAGAACCAAGCCGTGTTGAGTAGTTGCTTGTGAAGTTGTAGAGTTGCTGAGCAGTGAATCTGACTGGTTTTTCTTCGGCAATCTCCTGAAAGAATTTCTCCATCGTCGGTGCATCAACTTTCCAAGGAACTGCGGGATCCATGTTAGTGACAGGTGGGGGAGGTTTAGCTGCCATGGCAAAATCATAAACACATTTGCCAATCCCCGCAAGAACCAACAATGAGACCACCACCGAAACTGCAAATTAATAATCGGTTCAGCTGGTGAATCATATTGGATGAAAGCTAATATATGTTAAAATTGGCAGACAGTTTGGAAAAATTGGCATGGATCATACTTGGAATGGAATTGAGGTTGATCATAATTAAGTATTTAGTGGCTCAGAATGATTACTCAGTTGATAAGAAATCGAAGCTTCAAGTGAATTCATGGAGTGAGAAAATAAATGTTGGCTCATCATAGTAGAGTACTAAACTTTGCTCCTAATTCTGTATTGGACGTTTTAGGTTCTAGAGATGTACAAACCTTTTCAACCAAAAAAAATAAAAAATTCCCCTACCCATTTACACACCGATGCATGTATGTTGTTTTAAACCAGAACACGAATCTCAAATTAAATTGTTTCTTTCTGTTTGCTAACAAAATAAATACATCAATATAGAGAGAGAGTGCTGTTTCTTTGATTTTCAGAACATAAGAAACCTCTCGGCTTCAAAAGACAGAGCAGTAGCACCATGTAATTCAAGGGTAATTTGTTGTACTAACATTAGCTTCAACAAGAATAAAAGATACTGTCTGCTTACAGATAACAAGTATGAGATAGGCTGGATTTCCATCGTCGCCGGAATCCGGTGCCCCTTGAGGCGATAATCTGAGATAAACAGAAATTAACAACATAGAACCGAATTCGGGAACTGAGATGCATCATTTGCAGAACTGACATTATTAAAAAAAAAAATGCTAATAACCGAGATGTATTAGTCGCAATCCGGTGTAATAGAATCGCAGAAAGAGGCGCAGATACTTACTGGCACAACAGAGCTATTCCGATCATTCCTCCACGCCTTGTAATGCGCTTGAAACTTGCTAGGGCTTTGAGATAGAGAGGATTTGACAGGCGAAGAGTGAAAATGGAGAAGATGATGGATTGAAGAACGAATCGATGAGTTCATGAGGAGTGTTCTTCTTAAACGACTGGGGAAGAATCGGAAGTAACCTTGAACTTTCCAAGCTCGACTTCTTCGATTCACAAATCTCGAATTTGACATTTCTGTGATAGGGAGAGAGACGTGAAGGGGGAAGAAACAGGGGAGGAAAGCAATGGCTTCTACGTTCACAAGAACTGGCTGGCATAAGGAATAACATCGAGTTGAAATCTTATCTAATTTGATATTCCATCCTTTAAAATATTTTATGTTAAAATAAAAAGCTAGGCCCCTTTTTTTTGTTGGCCAGTGGCTCTTTTTTAACGTTTTGAGTTGAAGTACTTCATATCTATTATAAATGATTGTAAATTTTATTTTTTTTCAAATATGAAATCCTTTTAACCATCCTTAAATAATACATATAATATGCTCGTCCAAGGCAATAACCGATAACGACTTAGTGGAGGTGATAGCCTGATAGGTGGAAAGGGTCGTGGCAGTTGCAACAGTGACGAACTTTGACAAAAACAAGAGAGATGGATAGAGGAAGAAAATAAAGGAATAATAGAGATAAGTCAAGTCATCCTACATAAATATTATTAAATTAATATATTTGACAAATACAAACATAAACTAAACTATCACATTCTTTTTGATTAGTAAATTAATTAGAAAAACGAGCCTATTGTTGTTATTATTGTTGTTATTATTATTATTATTTTGATTAAAGAGGAAAAATTAGCCTGTAAACTATTTAGATCAATCTTCTAAATCTTATGAACAAACGCGTATTTTGTTTTTATTCAATTTTCACTATATACCTCTTCTAATTTTCTAGTTCATGTGCTACACACTTTACAAAGAATTTGACAAGTTAGTAAGCCACGTTTTATTATTTAATAGCTCAATCAATCAACATTATGTAAGATCAATTTACTTCATCGACCATTTAAAACTATTTTTCAAATTTTAAAGACCAAAAATATCTTGATTATGTAAGATCAATTTACTTCTTCGATCATTTAAAACTATTTTTAAAATTTTAAAGATCCAAAATATCTTTTTTAAAACTTATCCGCTCAAATTTTGAAAGACTAAAAGTATATTTTATTTCAAAAAGGAATTTAGAAACTTTATTTTTCCAGAAAAGTTAACAGTAACACATTAAAAAGTTAATGTGTTTTTGTCCGAGGTTGAGAGTCAAGGTAATGACTCACTGGTCAACACAATAATTGAGGAGGGCAAAATAGTAAAATGGAATATAAATTTATAAAAGTCCATGAAGTACATGCAACTATTGGAGAGTTAACGTGTCATGGCATGAATCTGTAAGAGGTAGGGTCGTTTTATTTTTTTTATTTTGAAAATAAGTTTCAAAAGTAGCATTTAGAAAAAAAAAAAAAAAAACTTTTATTTTACCATTTGAAAAATATGAATTTTTATTAATGTGGGCCCCGAATGAATTTAAAATAATTATAAAGATTAGTTGGGTAGTCCCGCTCAGAAAACCTTGAACTTTGACTTTTGCTATTATAATAACATGCAAAGATAGTATTGGCAATCTCAATGATCAATACCGGTAAGTTAAACTCATATTGGTCTGGGACCATGTTATTTAGAAAACAAGGATCGTCCAAGAACATAAGGACTCATTTGGTAACGTTCCTGTTTATTGTTCTCGTTTCTTCATTTTTAATGAAGAAAAATGAATTACATGACTCCAACATCCATTAATCCAAGTATGATAAAACAATTTTTTTAGTTATATTTTGAAACAAAGTAGAAACGAGAACAAGAAAGAAAAAACTTGTTTTGATTGTTTCTAAAAATTTTTATAAAATGTTCCAAAATAAAGAGAAACAATAAACAAAGTTAACGGCAGAATGCTTAGATTTCTTAAACAAATTGGAAACAAGAAACAAGAAATGGGAACATTAGCAAAGTAGACCATACATTTTATAATTTCTCTTACATATACATCCAACGTCATAAAATCATAAAATTATCGACTATTGTCCGATAATGGCCCACAAATGAGATATGTCATTCCTCGAATATATCCCAGCTCCAAACACTCCCAACATGGCAGAGTTTAAGAACACCTAATCATCTCATCTACTTATCCCGTCTTAAATAAGACATAAATCACATCCATCCCTTATTAAGATTTATTTAAGTTCGACTTTCGCATCTATCTCATAAAATGTCCCATGATAAGACATTTCATCGAGTTTTCCAACAACCATACTTCACCTATAATCTTTGAAGTAATTATAAACACCAAATTTCTCTAAAAGTTCATCGTAAAAAGTTAAAAATAGACCATCTATTGAATAGCTAAGAGCATAATGTAAGTTCTCATAGACGAGTACCTGTTTTTCGAGTTGTAGGTTACACTGTCCTCTTCTCTGTCTGCAATAGAATATGCTAAAACAATGTCACTATAGCAAAGAGAATCAATTTCCTTCTACTGATAATGCAAAAGAAACAAAATGGATTACCTTTTCCCATGGATAAAAAGGAGAGCGAATACGAAGATTTCAAACTTCTAACTCACTTCCGAGTCGAGAACTAGCTATATGCAATTCATACTTCTAGATTGGAAGTAGCCTTCTTGTACCAATAAGAACCGCTTTCTTCGTTGCACGTCGAATAATCTGAACTGGTTCTAGCTTGTTGCAGATTCAACTTACTGTTCCCTCTTGTAGTTAGAAGATTCAAGTAGAGAAATGGCTTTGGTGGCGGCATTATCTCTACTCCTCCCTCTAGCATCTTCACCACTGCACTCATCGGCGGCCGCTCGTCGGGGGAATCTTGAACGCACCACAGAGCCACCTTGCACATTCTGCTCGCCCTCTCTTTATCTTTCTCTTCAATTCCACAACTTCGAGTCATTTCTTCCAATTTTAACTTTCTGTATTCCTCCCACACGTGTTGTGGAAACCAATCAGGGTTCCCAGAAGGAGTAACACCAGCATTCCTTTTTCTTCCAATGATCTCAAACAATACCATTCCGAAGCTGTAAACATCACACTTGTGCGTAATTGGAAAATTACTTAATAAGAACTCTGGGGCGGAGTATCCGGGGGTGCCTCGATAGCCAGTGAGAGACATATGGGTGCTATCCCTGTTGCAAAGCTTGGCAAGTCCAAAATCACCAACTTTGGGAGAGAAATTTGCATCCAGTAGAATGTTAGCAGGCTTTATGTCATAATGAATGATTCTCTGTTGGCATTCCTCATGTAAGTAAGCAAGGCCTTTAGCAGTCCCAATGGCTACATCATGTAACTTTCCCCATTCAATTTCTTGTTTTTTGCCAAACAAGTACTTATCCAGAGATCCATTTTCCATGTACTCAAATACCAGTGCACCCATATATTGATCATAACAAAAACCATAAAGCCTAACCAAGTTTATATGGTAAGTTCTGCCAATTGTTCCTACCTCAGCCATAAATTGCTCCTCCGCCTGCCTGTCCGAGTCCCTCTTCAAAATCTTCACAGCAATCTTCATCCCATTTGGGAACTGTCCTTTGTAGACCATGCCGAATCCTCCAGACCCAAGTGGTGCTGAATAATTGCTTGTGAAACTATATAGTTGTTGAGCAGTGAACCTTACTGGCCTTTCTTCTGCTATTTCTCGGAGGAACTTTTCCATTGTTGGTGCATCAATTTCCCAAATCTGAACTGTATTTTGGGCAGGTGAATGTGCCACATTTGGTGCAGGTGAAGTAACTACACTTTGCAACTCTCTTACAATACCTTGCCTAACTCTCCTAGCAAAGCAGCAAGAGATTGCACCAATGACAGAAAAAATCACCAAGCTTAAAACTACATCTGCAAGCCAATGTTTTTGTAAGGTTGTGAGATAAATAAAAGTCTACTTTGTGTCAGGTACGATTTTTCATATTTCTCACAAAAACAATGATAAGATACTCACAGATAACAGTTGAATTAGTATTGCTCCCGCTACTGTTATCTGGTAGAGAAAGGCCTGATGACATTCTGAGGGAGGCAAGTTGATATTTTAAGAAAGAGTAAATGACACAATAACTTTTGACAACAAAATTAACCACAAAACAGAATTGTATAACAAATTATGGACATGTACAATTCATTTGGTTCATGTCTGTTTCAAATTGCTATTGAGACTGATATTCTATCTCTTCCAAACGCAAGATCGACAATCAGAAATAATAAATACAGAGGAAAAGTGTATGGTACCTGCAAGTTTTGAATACAGCTAATTGAAATGCAAAACATCAATCTATGATTTTTATCTATCTCGACAGATATTGATATTTTTTCTCTATTTATCTGTTGTAAAATCGTTAGAGTTTCTATGTATTCTCCTGCAACATATTGCAATAACCACTTCAGTCTCTGTAATCCACTTAAAGCCACTATCCCAATTTCTGCCACAGCTCAAGAGAGAAAAGGAAAGAATTTTGTTACTTTCAAAGAAAAAGAACTACAACAGTGTTGATATGAACCGGGAATTGGAAGGGAAAATTATGATAACAAGGAGCCATATTTTATTACTATTCAAAAAGAAATGGAAATTAAATTTTATACTTTCAGGAGGGTTAGATCTCCCTCACTAATTCTGCTGAAATCTGACGGTCCTCTTCAACATATTCTTCTGATGGGAACTGGAAATTGAAGGAGAAAAATAAAATAAAGATGTTACTCCTACAAGAAAAACAACTACAATCTTCCAAGCTATTTGAGAGGCCTTGTGCTCTTCCAGAACTACTCTCCAAAATTTGCCTAAATTTCCTAACTCCCGTCCTCGCTCATCTTACAACCACCCGACTCCGCTAACCAACTCACTAATTATTACTAATACAGTCCTTTTGAGTACAACAAATGGGGTGGGGGAATTCGATCTCACCATCTCTTGGTCGGAGACGAGTGTTAATTACCACTGAGTTAAGCTCATGTTGGCTTATTACTAATACCGTCCTAATAAAAATTCTAACACCTCCCCCCTACTGTCCTCCTAGCTACTCAACAACTTCATTAACTCACTCTCCCCGCCTACTTAAAGATCAGTATTGGTATTCCACTCGCAACTTGAATGGTCGATCCATGGAACACAATATAGCAAGCAACAACTAAATTGATCGAAACGTATGAAGAACAGAACCATTACAGTAAAAGCAAACTAATCCAGTCATATTGCTCAAATATGTTCGTTTCATCGCTGTTTCCGATAGATACAGAGATAGAGAGCGAGAGAGAGTTACACTTACTTGGTAGGAAAATCAGATGATTGTTAAATCTGGTTCATGTACAGTACCTTTTCTCCTTTGACCTTTCGCCTCTCCATTTCCTGCTATTCAAGAAATCTTTTCTCAAATGCATAAATAGAATAGGGATGAAATTCCGAAGAAGATCCATTCCACGGCTCTTTCTTATCCCGTCACTGTTGCTACTTGCAAAGTCAATTCCTGCATAAATCGACATTTTCCATAGATCATAATTACATCTCACTTAATCCAAGACAACGACAGATAAAATTGAAGGATCGATACTGATAATAAAAGCTTCAATTTCAAAGCTGACCCGATCGAGTCAATCTACGCTGTTTGTGGCATAGAACTATTCTCCCTTTCCCCGAGCTTCTCCCGCTGGCAAATTTCATCTTCGTGGGGCCGCTGATGAGACTGAGAGTACCCGCCGTGGCTTTTCTTGACACCAACCTTTGAAGGCAGAACTTGCAAATCTATACTCAAAACTAAAAAATATTTTTGAACACTGTGCCGTTTACTAAATTTACAAATTATGTCATTAATATATTATTACAAATATTAAATTAGTTATTAATTATCAATACTATAAATGCATGGAATATAAAAGGTTAGAATGCAAAAAGTTTTCCAACAACATAAAATTAATTTTTTCTTTAATTAAAATTCATACTAGAATTTCAAAAGTTGTAGAATTTGAAAAGTTTTATCCTCTTTCTTAGTTCCTTGAAACATCTCTCAAAGATGATTCAATCTTGAAAACATCTCGAGATATTTGTGACATATTCATCCAATTGCAAGAGAGGCATATGTTAAATCTACATATCTCGAATACTAGGTTTGTAACATTACCCTTCCACAATTTTACAAAGTTGAATAATAGTATCTGTTAAGCAATCTTCAAGAATGAACATATTTACTCTAAAAAATGAGTGTATAGTAAGTACTTGGATTTTTTTTGTTACTATTGTTATTTTTCTAATTAGTGTGTTTTTTATTTGGAATGTTTCTTTTTTTAGCAATTTTATTTAGTTTAGGATTTGGACTTTTTTTTGTTACTAATGTTTTTTATTGTTTAGTGTATTTTTTTTATTTGAAATGTTTTTTTTAGCAATTTTATTTAGAATATTTGTTTAAAATATAGATAATTACAAGCTCATGTTCTTATTGTTGAAAAAAAAACAATCATATAAGTTAGTATATAAAAAATAATTAATTAATAAATTAATTATAAACAATAATTTGTATAGAATCGTAAAAGGTGGAATATAAAACTTTTGGTCATCTTATTTTTTAATAATATAATTTGAAGAATTTTTTTTTAATAATTTTAATTATAATATAAAATTAAATCAATAAATTAATTTAGTTTTAGTTAAAAAATTCAACATATACAACAAAATGTCAGCCCTAAACAAATATTTAATAAACAAACAAAATATTAAAAAAATAAAATAAAGGATCCATACTAGGTTGAAATAATTAAAAATAAAAATATTAAAATACCTATTTACTTTTTTATTAATATATAATTTTTTCCTTTACTTTTAATTTATTTATTTACAAAATATATCATTAACAATTAAATATAAATAGTATATTTTAAAAATAATTATAAATAGTACATTTTATTATTAGTAATTAACTGTCAATAATAATAAATATATATAAAAATTAATCTTAATTATTTTTTAAAATAATTATACTTAAAATATTTTACGTGAAATTATATAAAATTTAAGTTACCTTATAATTAAAAAAAATTTATACGTGCATTGCACGTGGCAATACACTAGTAACTTTAAAAGCCTCGTTGGGTACTATTGTCGATTCTCGTTCTTTATTTTATTAAAAAATTTAGGTTAAAAATTATTTTTTTCTTTTAACTCGTCTGGTAACGATTTAGTCCTGTTTTTAAATCAGTAATAAGTTAATCTTTGAACTCTAGGAGTAACAATTTAATCTTTTTTTATATACACAATTTAATTATATTTAAAGTTTGTAACAATCTAATTTCTAGCATGATTTTTTTTTTAAGTTTCTTATATATTAGATCGATAAATCGATAAAATATCGAATGTGTTTATAAATTACAGACAATAAATTGTTATACGACAAAAATTGACATTAAATTTTGATAACATTTTTCACGATATAGACTAAATTATTATAAATTTTAAACTATAAGAATTAAATTATTATATACAAAAGTTCAAAAACAAAATTGTTACAAATTTAAAAGTACATGAACTAAATCGTTATATACTAAATCGTTATATACTAAAGTTCACTAAATTCTTACTAACAATAATAAGTATGGGACAATTTATATCCGTTGATTCTCATTAATAAACAATTTTTAAATTGTATAGAAGTTTTGAAAATAGCAAAAACATTTTTTTTTTCATTTCTATTTTGTTTCAATATAAAAAAATATGTTTTTATCATACTTGGTGTTAGAAGTCATGCAATTTTACTTTTTTTTATTAAAAAATAAGAAATAGAAACAAAAACGATAACATTACCAATGAGGCCATAAATTATTAATTAAATTAAAATAACATCTCTTCTAAACAAAATTGCGTATTGTAAAATAAAAACTATTTTATTTTACTAAAAGACAAAATATGTATTGTAAAATTTTAACTATATCATGATTTATATTAAAAATAAATAGAGGTGCAGTTTGAATAGAAAAAAATTAGTAATATTAATAGCTTGATAAATATTAACCAAAAACTGGTTGAAATTTGATGTTTTCCGAATTAATGGAGGTTGGTGGGTTATTTTGGGAACCGATTTACTTCTATTTTGACTCTGCTACTTTTTTTATATATATATATAAATATTTTATCTATATTATGTGAAATTAAATTTTGGTGTCTTGATCTTTTATTTTCGTGTCTAATAGTCTATGGTTTTTTTTTAAATGGGTGCAAGCTTACACCACAATACTTGAGAATTTATTCTGAACAATAGTGCACACTATATAATAGTAATAATAAATTCTTAGACATAGAAAAATAGGAAGAAAAAACTGCTTTTTGTAATTTTTAAAATTTAGCCTATTTTTTAAAAAAGTTTCTCAAATTTACCGTTTCTATGGACCAGAAGAAAAAATAAAAGGAAAAGAAAGGTTACTAAATGGATCTAAAAACACCTATCTTTGACCAAGAGATATTGAATTCAAATTCTCACCTCATATATTGTCTTAAGTTGATAATTTCAACTGACGAATGTCGTACTATAAATAATAATAATAAGAATAACTAGTTTTTTTTAACTTTCACATAAGAATTACACTAATCCCTAATATAGATGGTCATCGTGAAATTTGAACTCATTCTTCATAATTAACTCTGGTCCCTTTGGACCAATGAACATCTTACGATGGTTTACCTTGGCATATTATTTAACAACACGAAAAGATCATTTCCATTTGTTAAAACGTAATAGAGATACCTTATGGATTAAAAAGGAGAGTGAACGGGAAGATTTTAAGACACAATCTTCCAACTCCTAAACTCACTTTCTAAATCAAGAACTAGCTATTTGTATTTCGTATTTCCTCATGACTGGAGTAGCCTTCTTGTACCAGTAAGAACTGTTTTCTTCATTCAACGTCGTCGGATAATCTGAACTAGTACTAGTTTGTTGTCGATTCTGCGCACGGTTCTCCCTCGAAGTTGGATCCAGGAAGCGAAATGGCTTTGGTGGTGGCATTATTTCTACTCCTCCCTCTAGCATCTTCACCACTGCACTCATCGGTGGTCGCTCGTCGGGCGAATCTTGAACGCACCACAAAGCCACCTTGCACATTTTGCTCGCTCTCTCTTCATCCTTCTCCTTGATGCCATACTTTCGAGTCATTTCTTCTAATTCACCCTTTTAATATCTCTCCCACACATGCTGTGGAAACCAATCCGGGTTCCCAGAATTAGTAACACCAGCAGTCCTTTTTCTTCCAACAATCTCAAACAGTACCATTTCGAAGCTGTAAACATGGCACTTGTGTGTTATTGGATAGTTGTTCAATAGAAACTCCGGTGCGGAGTATCCGGGAGTGCCTCGATAGCCCGTGAGAGATACATGGGTGCTATCCCTGTTGCAAAGCTTGGCAAGTCCAAAATCACCAACTTTGGGAGAGAAATTTGCATCCAACAAAATGTTAGCAGGCTTCATGTCATAATGAATGATTCTCTGTTGACATTCCTCATGTAAGTAAGCAAGGCCTTTAGCAGTCCCAATGGCTACATCATGTAACTTTCCCCATTCAATTTCTTGTTTTTTGCCAAACAAATACTTATCCAGAGATCCATTTTCCATGTACTCAAATACCAGTGCACCCAATGGCTACTTCCAGAGTCAATTCCAGGATGAATTTAAAATTCGGCCTTCTCACTGACATTTCCACACCAGATTCAATCCAAGACATCGACAGATAATATTAACGATCAACAAAAAAGAAAATACCTAATAATGAATCTACTGATAATTGAAACCTCGAATTCGAAGTTGCCCGACCTCGAGAGTACAAGAATAATCGGTCTCCTCCTACTGTGTGTATCATCGGATTCCTCCCTCTCCCACGACCATGAGCAGATGGTAATTTCTCCTCCATGGGCCGCTGAGAGGACCCGCCATTGATGGCTATCTTCGACCAGGCCATGCAGAAATTGCAATTCGATAAATTCCACGCGGTTTCTAAATAAATAGCCACCCCTAATTCAACGTTACATTTGTTTTCGTTAAAAGGTCAATTTTGACCCCCTCGTCTATACCCATCCTATAAAAAGGGAGAATCTTAAAAATAAAAAATAAAAAATAAAAAAAATAAGCATACCATTTTTTATTCTTAATAACTTTGATTATGAAAAATTATATTTATTTATTTCTAACAATATTCTAAATTAATGGAATTCTAAAAATTTTGGAAGTTTTTGGACTTATATATCTCATCTAATTTTCAACTTATATATCTCATCTACATATATATATATACCAGTTTCTCATTACTCAATGTTGCAACAATTTAGTTCTCTCCCTTAATCTGTCTAACACATAATCGACTTATAGGAGTTGCAAGATAATATTGTTCAAGTAGAGGTCATTGAATCATATAATGCAATTTGATCTCAAACATCAATCAACACAACCAACACGAGCATTCCCGACAAGAATAACTGCAACTCGACACACTTGTCGGATGCTTAAACCTATAAATAGGGATCTCACTTCATAGTGAGACATCTCATTCTGTGTCGATCTTAATATCAAGGCTGACTTGAACATCAGAGTGTTTGCTCCCTTGTACAAGTCCGTCATCGATAAGAGATCTCTCTACTCACTCTAATTTGCTCTAGCTCACTCAAGCGATTCACCTCGACTTGGTCGGCCAAGACCGTTTACTTTTCTAATAAAAATATTAAATTAAAAGCTCATAATTTTTTATTTTTTTTAGTTAACTAAAAGTCGTCAATTTCGTAGCAGAATTGGATGGAGTAACTGGGCCGAGCTTGTAGCAGCAGATTGCATTTTTCTGAAAGAGAAACCACGGCCCAATGGTATAAGGCCCAAATTACGGCCCATAATTGGTGACGTTAGAGCATGCGTCCGTCTAGAGCCGAAGTTTGGAATGGAAAAGAAAGTTGTTTTATTAAATATCTCCGCCGATTCATTCACCGACTACGAGCCGTCAACGACGAGTTCTCTCTTCAAACCGCTTATCTTCCATTTTTTCCTCTCTATATTGGTTGATTGTTCATTGTTTCTCAGAATCGATTGAAGTTAGAATCTGAAAACTGCGGAGAAGAATCAGCGGCAGGCTTCAAGAAGAGGAAAATGCCGGGCCTAACCTGTAACGCCTGCAACAAAGAATTCAATGACGCAGAGGAGCAAAAGCTCCACTACAAGTCCGAATGGCACCGCTACAATCTCAAGCGCAAGGTTCTCTCTCTCTGAAACTCTTTATTTATGCTGATAGTTGAAATCAATCTGGTGGGTTTATTGAAATTGGAGGTCTCTTTCTAATGGGGCAGTGGGAACGTTTTTGATATTTTTATTTTCCTTTCTATTTTGGTGTTGGTTTTATCGTGACCTGATTATTTCGATTCCCTCGTTATTATTTCTGTATGTGTTTGTTAGAAGCGAATAATTTCCACGTTGTGTTTTCGGGTACCTCGCGTTTTTCTTTATGAAGTTAGCTCAAATGATTGTTCTAAAGAATTGTTCGTATTTTGAGATAGATAGTTTGAATTTTAGCGGCATTAGCTGCTGTTGTCTGCTCAAACAGTTTTAGGGAATTGGCCTTGAATGAGTCGATTTTTTTTTTTTAAGGAACTTGTTAAAATTCTGGAATATGGTTTGCATACCGGGGGGGTTCTGTTCCTTTTCTGTTTACCATTGTACATGCTTGTAAATTTGTAGCGCTATCATGCTTCCGGTGTCTCCAAAAAAAAAATTTCTCTCTTCTTTATTTCTTCTACTTTTTGTTTCTGTAATTTAGTTGAAGATATCAGAGGATTTTTTTGTCGAGTTTTGTTGTGCGGAGAAAGCCTGTTATGTATTTTGCAGATGATTTTTCTTACTAAATATAGATCTAGTTGCTTGAGGATTTATTGTCTTCGTGACTTATTAGTCATCATGTGGTTGCTAAGCAGTTCTTTTGAAGAGCTTATTAGATTTTCGATCCTGCTGAAGACACCTAAGATGCCATAGGCATTTTCAAGAGACAATAATTTTATTGACAAAATCCCCACATTAACCTGGCTGTACTTTTTGATTGTTTTGGAAGTGTCTCTGTGAATGAGGTATCATTTTGTTTTGAAAACCCACCCTTTCTTAGCAATTATCTAATTATATTGTGAATGAATCAGGTAGCTAATGTTCCTGGGGTTACAGAGGCCTTATTTTTAGCTAGACAATCTGCTGCTGCTGCACAAGAGATTGACAAATCAAGAGAGACCTCAATGTTATACTCTTGTGGTCTTTGTGGCAAAGCCTATAGGAGTGCCAAGACTCATGCCCAACATCTTAAATCTAGGAGTCACATCGTCCGAGCTTTGCAAGGAGAACACGACCAAGAAGTTGAAAAGCCAATAATTAAGCCCCTTCCTCAGCGAATTTCGAATAAGCCTCCTCATCAAAGTGAGGAGGAAAAGAGTGAGGACGAGTGGGAAGAAGTTGACCCTGATGAAGACTTGGTTATTGATGCTACAAAGTCCCTAACTGATTTATCTGTTAATGACTCAAATAATGATGTGGATGGTAGTGAGGATGATGGTTATGAGGCCATTGAGGTGGATTTGGATCCATCATGCTGCTTCATGTGTGATCTAGAGCATGATACCATTGATAGCTGCATGGTTCACATGCATAAACAACATGGATTCTTTATTCCCGACGTTGAATATTTGAAGGATCCGAAAGGCTTCCTTACATACCTCGGCCTGAAGGTGCCAAAATAAATACCCCCTTTTTTTTCTGTTTGCTCTGTAAAATCAGAAATTGATTTTCTTCTCTTTCATGCTTGTCCAGGTGATGAAGGATTTCAGGTGTCTGTACTGCAATGATAGGTGTCTTCCTTTTAGCAGCTTGGAAGCTGTTAGGAAGCATATGGAAGCTAAAAGCCATTGCAAAGTGCATTATGGCGATGGAGATGATAATGAGGAAGTAGAGTTGGAGGAATTCTATGATTACAGCAGCAGGTGCTTATTCTTATATTTCTTGAATTTACAAGTTCTGATAGCTTTAGCTAGACATGGTTCCTCAGTTGAGTTGGTTTTTGTTTTCTCTGGTTTTGGTGGTACAGTTATGCGGATGGAAGTGGCAATCAGCTGGTACCATCAGGTGCTGCGGCCAATTCTGTTGAACTTGGCAGTGGTGGAGCTGAGCTCATCTTAGTTCAAAAAAATAGTGATGGGCAATCGACCAAGACACTTGGTTCGAGGCAGTTTCTGCGTTATTATCGTCAAAAACCACGACCATCTCCTGCAAATGATGTGGCCATAACTGCAGTATTGGCAGCAAGGTATATTCTGATCTTTCACCGATGTGAACCTTCAACTGATATAAATCACAGGAACTCATGATTTATTGTTTTCACCGAGAAAAAATGGGAGAATACAATGGGCCTACCAAGAGAAATCAATGAAAACGAGGCCTGGAGATTATTTCAAAAATCGGGGCGTGGGTTCAACATCTTAAGCTTGGGATTTTAGTGGAGAGTTTAGGAAGCATAGGTTTAGAAAAAATGTGTTTGGAATGCAGGTTTGGGAAGATTGGATTTAAAAAAAAAACTTACTGTGTGTGGTGCCCAACCCACGCCCCAAACGATCCCTTAGAGACTCAGTCATTGGAACGTAGCTATTGCCCTGTCTCGAACGGAAGGTGAAACAAGACTTCCTCCGTTATCGAGCGACACTATTTCTTACAAATCAAGCCAAGTCTTTAAAGAAAAACCAATGCAGTATTTTTATCGATCGAGGAAGTTGATGGGTGAACGTGATCATGATGAGAGATTACATTTCGAATTGCAGGTACAAGAGCATGGGATTGGCAACTGTCCAGTCAAGAGAGAGGACGATTAGGATGAAAGTGATGAAAGAAATCAATCGAACCGGGGTGGAAGCCATGCGTACGAAGATCGGATTGAAGAACAACGTGATCCGAAACCTGCCCAAGAATGTTCCATTCTAGTGGGGTATTTTTCTAGCCTTACATCACATCATAATTATTAATTCAAATGCTTATGATAGAAGAACAATCGGCTCTAATAGGGTGCGATTGTATTGTTTTGTAATCTGGGATATTTTCTGCTTGTTTTCTTTTAACACTACATAGATTTGTTTGTCTTTTTTATGGTTGATTTGCCATTTTCCAGATTAAATAAGTTTTCCATTCTAATATGAAGTTCTATATTTTTCCATTTTGGAAATTGTTTTATAATACTCTTCAGTTCTCATAGATAAACCAGTTTTATTTTTAGTTTTCCTTTGCCTTTTTCTTTTAAAAAAATTCAAAATAGTGATTCGAACTTCATTAACCTCTTTCTATAATAATTGCCGTATTTTGGAAAATGAACGCTAAAGAAAATGGACAAGAGAAGGAAAAAAGTTAAGCTAAGTCAATAATATAATTGTGATCGATTTGCATTTTTAGCTAGTTGAAAAAATAAATTAATAATAAATTTGATTCTGACTGGTATGTTTGGTTCCATTTATTTCTGGCCTTAACTTCATGTTTATGGTTAACAATTAGTTTTCAAAATTTTGATTTAGTAATAATATATTAAATTGGTTTAAAAAATGCTTTTGATTTTTGTACTTTCATTGAAGAACAAATTGATAACAAAGTATAGATATCTCAACTAAATTGATAACAATATATGGTTGTTGCATGACTTAATGAGATTTTTTATAGTAGAAATTAAATTATTATAAATAGTTAAAATTTTGAGATTAAATTGTTACCCAGTCTAGATGATTAAAATAATTGTTTAATGACTAAATCATTAATTTAGCAACTAAACGTGTTTTTTAACTTATATTGAAATACAACCGTTAAAAGATCTTATTAAATTCAAGGTAGCTGCATTTGGAAAGTTTAAAATTAATATATTCAATCGTGTAGTGAGTGAAAAATTGTATGAGCAAATTGTAAAGGCATATAAATCAGTTGAGTTTTTAACAAATGTTAGGAAAAAAAAAACATTAAAATCCGAAATAAAACAAAGATATTAGAATTTCCTTTCTGTACTTTCTAAAATATTATGTTAAATTTCAAAATGATTTTGGCATGATCAACTAAAATTGCTTCTTTTCATAATAATTTTAGCATGGTGGAAGCAAGAAAAAACTCATTTTGAAAATTGCTTGATTCGATTTGGTTTAATCTATAAGTTTAACATGATACAAAAATAGTAACCAACCGAAGTAAACATGTTGGAAAGAAAAGTTAGAATGGCCATGACCCTATTGCATTTCAGCCCTCGGGCCTCCCATAGTCTTTCTTTCATCCAACTCTCACACGAGATAACAAGACAGCCAAACTCGCATCCAACCGAAAGTTTCGATTGCACTACAGTTTCACAAGATTAAATCTTTTTGGTTTATCATGCAATGTAGTCGTCGAGGCCAAGGGCTGAAATGCAATCCAATGTAAATGTTACCTCGCAAATTCTTTTATTGTGTTTGGTTACATTAAACGTTTTTATTGAAAATTTGCTTCACTAAAAGCGCTACGTCTAGAGGTCATCCAAAACTCGCAGTTTTATGGACTACAACTAACATGTAAAATTGATATACAAACACCCATAGTTTCCCTTACAAATTACATGTACTTCGTCAGAACTCTAATTTCTCCATACTCATATGTGACCCATTTTCTGCATTGTAGCTACTCAGCTACAAATAATACTAAAAGAAGAAGCCATAAATTTATCCAAAATTATGCCAAAAAGTTTACCTCAAATACAAGATATGTTGTGTAGATCCATTACTCAGGATCTCCAATTAGTTGGGTCACAATGCCGACCGCTATGGTTCTGCCCAACGCTCTCAGAAACACCCTCCCGAGAGCCCGACTAGTCGAGAATGCTTCCACACAAACTGGACTTGGCAAAACAACCTGAGAGCAAAGAGAAAGAAGAGGTGGTGATGCTGCAAGTGGCCTGCAAAGTGCAAATTATGATTGAAACAGAGAGTTGTAGCTTTGGTTCACCTCAATCACTGCACTTTGTTTAGCACTGAGGCAACGCGGCGCCTTCTTTGCGACCTTTCCCGTCTTTGAATCAATCAACGACACTATCCTTGCAACTCTAGCAGCCTCCTTCGCGTGGTGTACATGAACTTCCAACTGGTCATTTTAAGAACCCGGATCAATACTCAATAATGAAAAGGAATCAATAGAGGCATGCAGAATATGTACCTGAGATCCTATCAATATCGGCGTAGCAAATTCCAAGGTGAGAATTTTCAATTCCAAATGTTTTGCAACAGCAACAGGAAAATCAGGATGGCATAGAACTCCCCCAGCCATCACGCTACTTGCTTCGACTCCTTGTAGAGTAACGGTCACATTGTCTCCTGCTCTAGCAATCTTGCACGCCTGAGAATTGCGTTCTAAAGTGCGCACAGTGCCTTTATCTCCAGATGGCATGACTAGAACCTAGTTGGCAAGTTAAAAAAGTTCACATTGTTCCTAAGTTTCAAAACATCATATTTTAACCTTAAATGTCGGAAAAATGTTTCATGGAATAACTATCATGTTAATGACACAAATGAAAATACATCGAGGTAAGTTCTATGATGATGTGACTTCATGTATGTAGCCGACTTTAAATGACCCTGTAAGTAACAAATGCAAAAATTAAATATTCAATTGGGTATGCTCATCTGCGAAACATAAATCTACACTCGATAAAGTCAGCTGAGTCAGCTTACAGGCAGCACGTACCTTGGATCCAGACTGGAGAGCTCCAGCTTCCAGTTTACCACAGGCAGACACTTGTCCTAGAGAAAGTGATTTAATAACGTCGCATACCGGCATAAGCAGTGGCTTTGAGAAATCTCTGGTGGGTGGTTGAAGGGAATCAATTGCCTCCAACAGATTAGGTCCACGATACCTGCATACAGATTACCGTTTGTGAGATCAATAGCATAAGACTTTCTGGGAAAGTAGGGGTGCTCCTTTCTTAGCTACTTTCTCAACATTATCAAATTTATTTTCTGTAGTATTTCTTTTCTTCTGAAACCACAAGGATGCTCCTTTTTGTATGAGCCCACTACAAAAATTGCTACAGGAGAAGAATAACCTTCCACCTGAGCGCAGACCAAAGGCAGTAAGAAAATGCTCCCCAATTTGTTTACACCAAAAGGAAATGGAAGAGACATCCTTAAGAAAAGACACAGAGCAGAAGACTAGACTCCATTACTCAATCAAACTTGTCATTAACTATGGAAGCTTTGCTTTAATTGGTTGAAGAAAGGAATGCATGCAACGCTCACCAGGACAAAAATTGAGCATCAGAAGGGGCAGTCACCAGATTTTGATTTGCCATGGCACTCAATGGAATCCAAGTCAATGATGAATCTTTATAACCACAAGAACGAAAAAATGTTCCAAGTTGCAACTTAATAAAGTCATAGCGATCTTTGGAATACTTCACCACATCCAGTTTGTTAACTGCAACAATAATCTGATCAACACCAAAGCTTCTGATCAATTGCACGTGTTCTCTTGTTTGCCCCTTTGAACTGTCCAAACCGGCTTCAAATGCACCAACAGAGGCATCTATAACAAGAATCGCAGCATCGGCTTGTGTTGCCCCAGATATCAAGTTTGGAACAAAATCTTTATGGCCTGGAGAATCAAGCACAACAACATGATACCTTTTGGAATCAAAATAAGCAACACCAACAGTCATAGTTATTCCTCTCTCCCTTTCCTCTGCACTCTCATCCAGTGCCCAGGCATAAGCAAAGGAACCCTTGCCCTGAGGAAAAATACCAATCATCAGTTAACAAGTCCTAGATGAATGAAAAAAACAATAAAAATTTTTACCTGGGACTTTGCTTCTTTTTCATATTTGTGCATTTCTTTTTGGGATACACGTCCCAATAGGTGCAAAAGTCTTCCAGAAAGAGTTGACTTTCCAGAATCAACATGACCGACCTACAAAATGTTGAATAAAAATTTATATGCCATGATACAGATTGATGTAAGGAGTAAAAAAAAGACGCCTCGAAATAACTCATAAGCCGTTATTGGTGGACTTACTATAGCAAGATTCAGCTGAGTCAAATTATCGGCAGCTTGATCAGGCAGCATCCATTTATCATGTTTATACTGCACATTTGACGTTTTTCCTAGCCCATTAATATAATTTGCATAGGCAGATTTGACATTTAGAACCATGTTGTTCAAACCACTGGCAAGATTTTGGGGCTTTTCCCGCTCCACAGAAGAGTTACTGCTCTCATCCGTGCGGCCAAATTTGCCTGCAGACTTTGATGTGGAAGTGCTTGATGACCTGTTATCATGTGATTGTAAGTTCATAGTTGCACTAATTGATGTACTACGCTCTTCAACGACCGCTGTACTTTTTCCAATTGAGGAGCCCGAGCTGTTTGAACTTTTGGTACTTGATTTACTATCTCCTAGACTGTCTAATTTGCCCTTTGGCAATATAGCAGATGATGCACTTTTTGAAGTCAATGTTGCATTATTTGCACCTTCCTTAGTTATGCCTGAAGAAAATACTGAAGAGTTGAACTCTGTATGGCTGACCGCTTGAAAATGGAGAATCAATAAAAAGACGGACTTTAATCAGATGGCAATATTAGGAACAAAAATACATATTAATTAATTTAGACTCAGAAAGACCAAATAACCAACAATTACAATGAAATTGAAAAGTAGGTAGGGGAAATACATCCTTCTAAATGAAATTGAGTTCAAGCTGAAAGTCAAGACCACGCACTAGACGAAAAGTTTGAAGCCTGATTTTAGCATTAATTGATCAAGGTAATCCTAATATCAAATTAATAACCAAAGATGTCAAAATGTTGTGGTACAATAGATATCTGGTTATCAATATATTGCGACAATCAAGTAATGGAGATGACAAAATGTCAACATATGTTTATGAGCTTTTATTTTCCAAAAATTATACTTTAGGTCCATCATCTTCAAAATAAGTTACATGATAGTTAATCCAGACCTATCATTAAGTCTAGAAACTTGGATATGAATGACCCCAACTTTAACTTGAAAACAAAATAATCCAAAAAGATTTTAGCACAGAACCAAATTGAAAAGCGAGAGAGAGTAATTGATCCTCTAATAGAACTATATAAGAATTGCTTAGGAGACTGCATACTTGAGATAATAAAGGATAGAGGGCATTATATCTGACATAAGATAATGACAAAAAAAAAAACAAAAAAAACAAGCTAGTAACATCATGGCTTCAAACTATCTGATCTTGTCATTCAAGAAGACTACAGGAAAAAGACCTTACAACTAGCCTCACAATAAAGCACCAGATGTTTTGAACATAGTATTTGAATTTATTATATACTACGATGACAACCAACCTTCTACGAATACGAAGGAAATGCGGAACAAATATGCAATAATATAACAACCTTTTGAAATATAGGCAGGTAACCCCCACCCCCAAAAGTATGGGCAGGGGTCCTAAACTAACAAACACTTCTTTGAAAAATGTTTTTAGTTGACACTAAAGATGCTTAAAGCAATTAACTTGAACCTTGAAACCAATAGATGCTAGCGACCCTTCATTTTCTTCAGTCTATACCAACCAAATGCTTCAGCATCAAAAAGAACAGCACAGATGCACAAACATCAAATCGTCTAAATGTACGTCCATAGATTTGTTGCTTTCTCGAGGTTCGGTAGCAAATTTTTTATTTTGCTTCTCAACTGATACTAAATAAACAACGAAATCTGCAGCCACCAAAACATGTACCTTTTAAACCAACTTTGGAGGAACGCATTCCATTAGAAACCACATCATCTGGGGATGGAATATCAAACTTGAAAGGGACTGTATCATTCCACATGAGTGAGGTTAGAAATCTAATGGAATCATTAACTGAAGATGTTGTCTAACAAAGAAAAGATATCTCTGAGTAATTACTTGAAGATATCTTTTAGTGATTACTTGTAGGTCAAAAAATATGTTGCATTCATTCATTGGATGTCTTCAGGAAAGCAAAAGGTATCTTTTTAGATTTCATTATTGTTTAAAATAAGATACTTTAAGCAACTTCAGTCTAGCTTTAGGTATTGAGGAAGCAGACCACAAGAGGACTTGCTCTAATTCTGTGGATCCACGTCTTACTGAGAATCAATGAGCAAAGTGCAAACCTATATTAGTACGGAACTGACTACGGGTACTAAAAGCCTTATGGAATTCATGCAAATGGCCCCGGATATTCCCAATCTTGTGGATGTTACCTTCCCTTTCCTCCACAAATTCCTCATTCTGCTCTTGAAATTTTACAGCACTTTTAGGTATCTGTTTCGGCATTGATGATGCAAATAGAGACTTGGCCATTATAGATACTCCGGAGTCTTTGCAAATGTTCTCAACTGCATGAAAGAGATCTAATCTATGAAAGGGGAACCAACTATCAAGGGAAGTTTAAACAAAAAAAGACACTAAGCCTCGTTTGGAGCTTCCTCGAAGCATAATTAAGTCAAGTGCCGATTCTGTTACCTAATGCAACTAAAATACTAAATCAACCATAAACCTTCTGAAAAATGGAATATTGAATATAAAGAAAAGAGAGCAGATGAAAATAAAATGCCACATGCAAAATAGTCGCATAAAACGCCATAACAAGGGCAGTGAAGTCTGTTTATACTTTATACAGCACTTGATTTAAGTACCTGTTCTATCATCGCGAGTATTGCTGTTGTTGACCAAAGGGATGCGCAGAACCCCACATATATCACATGCAGAAAAACTGTCTTCATTGTCGTAAGTACAAATTGGACATCGCCAAAGCTTATGCCCCTTAGTTTCTTCCTTAGTCTCATGTGTTTTGCCTGTTACGGTAAATAAAAGCCAAACCGTTTGGTATGACAGAGACAGCAACAAAGTATCACCATAACATCGCGAATTACAGCAACAAAGTATCACCATAACATCGCGAACTGACTGACTGCTCATAATAGGACCAAGAATAGTCTACTCCAAACTTATTGATGAGTATGTTGATTTAATTAAGGTCAATTTTCCCATTTCATTATATCAATGAAATCGTTTCCTTTCAAAAAAAATATTGATTAAGGTCAATTTTATGGGAAAGTATAAGAACCAATATTAGGGTAAGAGTTAAACTACAGTTCATAGCAAAATTAGTGCCCGCCAATCATCTGTCGAATCGTCATTTAATTACTTACGTGATCGTAATGCTCCACGACTCATTGAGTCTAGTTTATTACTTAAATTTGCTAAATTCAAGGTAAAGTTCCCGGAGTTATGAAGACGCCGAAATTAAAAGTTGTTAGAGAGATGTTTCTTGCCTTTTTCTTCTACTTCAAAATCGTTGTCGTAATAATCATAATCCTCATAGTCGTCGTAATCTTCGTCGTAATCAAGACCGTGGCTCACCTTACGAGGCATTGTTCTACCAATAAAGGAAGAGATATACAGGTCAGAATCTCGGAGAAAATGGAAAATATATGTTCTTCTATTGATCCCATTCCAGAAATTCCAACATATCATGAAAACTGAGCTACCTTTATCATGCGATACGTTCTAAATTGACAATTTAACTACTTCATCGTGTAAAAATCTTCTCCAGCGGGCGAATTAGATAATTATCACCACCTTCGCAACTTCAAGCAAGCAACCGAACATATGAAAAACCCAGAAGTACATGCACTGATTATGAACTGCACATATATTCCTCCATTATTCGCCTGGACGAAGCCGCGCCGCGTAACCGTCAACTGAAATCAGCAGAAACCAGAATCAGAAAAAAAGGAATCGCGTGTTTCTCTCCCCGTCATTCTCGGGAAACAATCAGAAAAAAAGGTAACGCCCCATGGGTTAGGGTTTACCGGGGACGACAAGCAATCAGAGAATCTTCATGAACCGGTACGGTATGAGCTCGAGCTTCAAATTCGTAGTTCAGAGGCTCCTCTTCTTCTGCTTTCTTCCCCAGATACCGGATCCGAAATGAGGCAATAGTATTTATAGGTAAAGGTATGCCCCGGGAGTCCGCTTAGTTAGCGGGTCGAGGCCCGTGTGGGAGATGTTGATGGGCCTACCTCGGTTCGGGCCGTAGGCCCAACCCATTTTAAATCCCGAATCGCCTGTTCAAGTCAATTAGGTCAAAGTAAACTTTTGTAATTATGTTTTTTTAAATAAATTCTATTTGGAATTACGTTTATACAAATTAAATATATTTTTAAGAATTACGATAGATTATCAGCTGTATTTTTCCTTTGTTTTCAAAGTTGAGTGGAAATTTCCACCCTTGTCCTGAAAAATGATTACGTTCTTATTTATCTTACTTATTGTAAAACAAAAAATTTAAACAATAAAATACTAAAAACATTATTATTTAAGAAAATTCATAATCTCACTTTGACTTACTGTTGAGCTATGCTCACTTTGACTTCGTAATTCCATTAGTAAGGATGTCTCTCGTTCAACTTTGATTATTTTATATATTATTCTAGAGTGTACGTTTGTGCTACTATTGCATAACTTTTGTTCTAGATCTTAGCCATTAATTGAGTAAATAATGAGTCTTATTTATTTATTGGTTACAATGTATGTTGTGTTTTTTATGTTTTCATGTTTTAGTTATATTGTTGTCTTTTTGTTTGAATTCCTACAATATTTTTTTTACATCTATATGTTGTTTTTTTCGTGCCTTTAACTCAAAATGTGATTTTTTTTCCTTGCAATATACCTAATGGTAGAAAAAAAAAAACACGCACAGATAACATTAAACTCATTCTACAAGGAAAAAAATAGAGGCAGATCATAAAACATATTTTAAACTTGTATCCCATGATTATTATTTCACATACAAAATTCAACTTTGCATGATTATAATTTTTACTAATTTTTTGAATGCTCATGTTTAGTTTTACGCCTTTATGTAAAAAAAAAAAAAAAAGTGAACAAATTACACTGAAGGGGTTAAAATCGAAATAGATAAATATTACAGGACACTAACATAAATAGATAGAATAAAAGGACAAATTTTGCATTATTATAATTATCACTTCCATGCGGCCCATGGAGATGGGCCCAGCCCATTTTATCTGCATGGACAGTAATGGCCCAGAGATTGGGCTTCGTGGGCTTAGTAACTCCTCGACCGACCTGGCCGCTCACGAGATCGGGCGGGAAACATGAGCATCAATGGCGGGAAACAGAAAGCTTATACTTCACAAATCGTAACTTCGTATTTTCATCGCAATTCGTTCAGCGTCTCCGTTGTTGATTGTTGATCGAGTTCTTCCTCACAGGATTCTCGAGAATGTTCTCCAGCAGCCAGTTTGATTCCGGCAGTGGATTTACGTCCTCCCAGGTCCCCGACTCCACTTCGGCGAAGGTTAGTCGCCGATTTAACTTCTTAATTTCTGTTTGGTTGAATGAGAATTTCGGAAATAAATGTTAGATGTTAGAACAGCCTCAAAAGGAATCGATACTCTTCAAGCTGATGGATGCATAGAATCCGGCGAAATTGAAAGGGCGAGTCTAACTCGGTTTTCATTTTTAGACGAAGAAATTATCGAAGTATAAGTAGGCGTGTTCATAACGGGGATCAAATCCAGTTCCGTCATCCTCGGTTGTAGACGAAATTCCGTTTATCGAATTTGTACACTGGATAAAGCATGAGAGGAAACTGTGAATAAGATGGCGATTGGTGATTGCTTGATTTAATAATTTCTTAACAATCCGGACAGATTGCATTTTGTATTACCCTCTTGAACTCTTCCGTGCAGAGTCGAGAATCGCCGGGTTTAGTTCCAGTAACTGTAAAACAGATAAGCGAAGCTTTCCATTCCGGCGAAGAGAAAGCCAACTTTGTAATCAATGGCGTTGACATTACAAATGTATATTTCCTTGCCCTCTCTTTCAGTTTTAAAACTATTGTCGCTATGCACGTTAATAAATGTAGCAGACAGTTCACACGACAAGAAAATGCAGTATGTTAATTTTATCTGACAATGTAGTAACGCTTCCTTGTTCTTTTGTGCTATTCACATTAGTCATTGATTGTCTTCCTGTCTCCAACGATTGGTGATAAACGAAGGAACGTCTCTTTGTTGTGATTTGTTGTTGATTTTGGCTCTCTTTCCAACCATGGAGAGGCTTTATCTTTCCTCTAGACTAAAACTACTAGGAAATACGATTTACCTGCCTGCTCCCAAATTCTGGGGTTTGTTTAATCGTTTTTGGGGTCCTCTAGCTTTTAATCCAATGTAGCATGTACACTATGTTAGCTGAGTGTTGAATATTTCGATGCAAAGGGATGTTGTACATTTTACTTTTTACATCATATATGTTATTAATCTGAAGCATTTTAATTGTAAAATATTCAAATGTATTTTTCAAACGTACATGTTAATGTACAAGTAACATGTAAATTTTCATTTCTTCTTCTTCTTCTTAAAATTAAAAAAAAAACTTGCAAATGAACATATTCCTTGTGATTCGATCATGCGTTTGTATATGTGTGTGAATTTCTCGTTGTCTATAGTTTTTATGTTTCTACAGATTCTCCGACTTTTTCCTCTGATTTGCCTTACATATAGACTATGAAGTAAATTCTCTGTATCTCCCAAATTCGTCTGATTTTTACGTTTTTAGCTTGAGGATGTCTCCTGTATACTTTTAAACTCTCTTTATTTTAAATACTTATATAATAATTATTGGGGAAAAAAAGGTTACAATCGTTGGGAAGGTCTCTGAAAAAGCTGAAAGGAATACTGACATCACATTCGTTGTAGATGATGGAACAGGAAGAATTGGCTGCAAAAGATGGTATACTCTTCCTAAACCCTTCAACTAGATCTTCAATATCGTCGAGTATCTGCTCCATTTACTAAGCAACGTGTGTTGAAATTTATTCAGGGTAAACGATACATTTGATACTAAGCAAATGGATGACATACAGTAAGTTCTCGTGCTATTTAACTCTCTTATGATGACAAGTACTTTAGTGGTCTTTATGACACTCGCTTTGATTTTCTATGACATAGAGACGGAATGTACATACGGGTGAATGGGCATTTGAAAATATTTCAAGGCAACATGCAAATATTCGCATTTTCCGTAAGGTATGATATTTTATTTCTGTTCAATCTATTTTCGTTGTTTGGATACTCTTTTGAAGTTAAATGTTTGACATACAAGGCTGTCATCCTGCGGCGATTCTATTGCATGTTGAAAGTTTGAAACTCGAGGATTTTGGGGAAAATGCTAAGCACCTTTAGGGGAAAATGCTATATATGGTCTAATCCATAGTTATAATGAGCAGAAAATATAATGTACGGATTGCTATGTAGGATGGCCGGTCTTTCATTCTAATTCATTTGTCTTTCTGTTTGATTGTTATGGAGAGAAAGAACTTGTTATTGGTGCGAAGGAACTTAGAGCCTAAAACTGAAATTGGTAGTGCCGGCGCCAGTAGGCAAGTTTTATTCACATTTTACAAACAACTGAAGGTGGCATTTTATCCGTTTCTAATAATAGTGCTTGCAAATTTCAAAGTCCACATGTCTGAGTAACAGAGCTTATTTTCCAAGTGATTATATAAAAAATAGTTACCTTCAGTTCTAAGGTTGTTAGAACATTTTTGGGGATGTGCAAGTAGAAGAGGACTGTTAGGTGCTCTGAGAGTTAATTTTGGAATTCTCAAACCTTCATTTTATGGATTTAAGATTTCTTTAAAATGGCATTAGCATCTCACGTTGCCTTCTTTCATGAGATGTGACATTTGTTAGATGTGAGACATAGGTAGTGGCATCTATGTCTTCAAGTCAATTTTTATTAATACTCGGACTTTAACTAAAGTATTAGTGGCTAATTAATCGAATAAGTTCCGGGAGTATATAACCTTCATAATATTTAAATGATACCAATTGGGTATGGAATTTTGCAAATTTTCACTGGTGTTTATGTTAAGAGATGTTCTTTTCTTCCTTCAGATTTACAGTAATTGATTTCTTGTGATTGGGAAAGGATAGTACAAAGAAAGACATGCCTAATTTTGGACTTCGGCAATTATTAGAAATGCAAGTTGTTGCAATCTTTGGACTCATTGCAATTATCTTGTATGTGCCACGTAGTTTCTTCTTGTGATTGCCTAAAGGTTTTGCTTGAATCTACTATTCTATGAATTTGATTCTTTTCTCCAAGCTTGGTCCCTAGACAGTTATTGCATGCAGGTAGTGATCAACATCAAGTAATTATTGGGATAGCGGGAACCATCTAATTCCAATTTTTCGTTGCTGTGGTATATTTGACTGACTAACGGGATCATGAACTTGGGTTATGTTTTTCCAGGCCTGTCACAAATTGTGATGAAATTACCTTCCACTTTATTGAATGCATACATGACTACTTGCGGAATTCCAAGTTGCAGGTACTGATTGCTGGAGCTGATGTTGATGGTCGTGATTCTGACTTGTATTTTTATTTAATCAGTGAAATTAGTAATTCGTCAATATCATAATTGTCAACTCATTTGTGCTTAAACTGCTTGAAGCTCAATGGAGTTGCATCAACACAATCCCAATCCTCGGATTCAACTGTGAACGCCCTGGTGCAGAGTGGCTCGAGTGGATACCAGACAGCATCTTCAGAACTAGTAAGAGTCTTAAACCATGATTATAATTATGCTTCTATAACATATTCTTGATGATTATATAATTGGAATTCATATCTAATTTCTTTCTGCAGTCATCTGGGCAACACACTGTAGATGTTAAAAAGAATCCTGATGATTTGGTCCTTGATTATCTGCAGCTGCCCTCCAGCGTGTAAGTTGTCCCAGACCATATTTTATTTTCCCGTTTTGGATTGTTTTATTTGTTGGCTGGTTACTGTGCATTATCGTATATGAGATTGACTTGAGCTGCCTTTGGTCCGGAAACAGGGTGGTTTTAGGTGTAAATAATTGAATTCAGTGTTCTGATGTGAGTCTATTGTGGTACTTTTAAAACTGTCGTGAATAGAAAACAAGACGTGAGGTCGGTGGTTGACTTTTAGTCACAGGTCACTTCTTATTGGCCTTAGTATAATGACAAGGGGACAAGGGGACAAGTTAAAAAGGTACGGCTTTAGGGTTTTGGGTTCAATTTCATTCACATATTAAATCGTAGATTAAGTAGTTATCTTGATTCGATGTATATATTAACTTGTCCAAATACTTGCGTATTTGAAAAAAGAATATATTACCTTGGGATGGTTCTCCCTACTCTCCACCTGTAGTTGTTTTTGCCCTTTTGCACTCTTTTGATAGGGATGCATTCTCTATGTTTCTTATTAAAAAAAAAATATATATATATATATACACACACGTACGTATATGTATGTATGTGTATATATATATTCTTGACTTTGTTTTAGTTCCATATTATGGGGGTGACGATTCGAACTTCTAACATTTTGGTTGAGATATATGGTTTAATCAATTGAGTTTTAGCTAGGTTGGTCTTTCACTTTTGGTAGGTGTGTTATATTGGAAAAATAGACCGATTTGACTGAGCTGTTAGTTTGGACCATGAAATTTATTATATTTTATATTTTGAAACTGTTATTTTTTTCAGAGCAAAAGAAAAGGGGATACACAGAGATGAACTTTCCCAACAACTGAAAATTCCTTTGGAGAAAATACTGTACGCTCCCTCTCTAGTCTCTCTCCCCACTGCCCTTTCGCGGCTTCCTATGTGGTTAATATGGTAATTTAACTTGTACCATTTTGGGCTAAATTTTGTTTTTCAGGGACTCCATTAGGTCTCTTGAAGATGAAGGTTTGATATATTCCACCATTGATGAGTTTCATTTCAAGTCTGCTGCATAGAATTGACAATTCTATAGGCTTTCTTTTCTTTATTTAATTTTACCATGCTCCATATGCTTTGAAATAGATCCATTTACTGCCTGACTTTCAACCTCAAAAAGTTCAACGTATATGTATTTTTAAGCTTGATTGTCTAATCTCCTAAATTTTATTACCTATTTCTGTGGGTGAAGTAGAAAGCGATAATTAATTCTTTTCCTGGTCGGTTTTGTCAAAAGGAGAAAATAAATAAATACTTTTACCGTTGAACTATGCCTATGTCTTGATTAATCGAAATTTGAATTGTTATCCCTTCATCAAAGTATAAATTTTGAGACTTCAAATTTTTTACACAAACTTTGAAAATACCATATGTTTAAATGCATTTGAAATTTAAAAAAATACACCTTGAAGAGAGTTACGTTATGAATGCATTTTGGCTTTTGGGTTGAAGGACTTTTTCTGTTTTCGTTAGTTGTGTAATCAAAAGTTAAATTTTAGGACAAATAGATTCTCATATTTAATAAGTCAGTTTATTTATTTTTGAAAAACAATATATATTTTTTAAAAAAATTTTATCGCGAATTGTATATATATATATATATWTTTTTGGAGTCCAAAGTAAAATTTTGAGCCAAAAGATGTCGTAGTGTTGATTCTGAATTTGGAAAATTGAAAGTTGGACTGGAAAAGGACCACCTCCTTTTACATCAAGTTGTTCTTTCCTTTTCTTTTTGGCCTTTAAATATAATTAAATAAATAAATGAATTGATATCCTTCACGTGCTCCCTGGCTTCCTCCCTCCAAAAGTTATGGCCCACGTCCGCGTGGCAGCTCTCACTTGGCCCCTCACGTGAAACCCCATGCCCCCCTTCTCTCCCCCGGGACCTCACAGCTCAGCATCATCCCTCCCCCTTCCTTTTCCACATCGTATCCTACAAAAAGTTGGTTTGTACAGGGCCGATCATGACTTATCTTGTATTTAATTATACTATCATTAAATATTTGATAATTAAGAGAGATAAATAAAATATTATTAGATTTGAAATATTGTTATGTGTAAGCAGGGATATACCGGATAAATTAGTGATTATAAAATATATTAGAAGGAAACTTCATATGTCTAAATTTCATATTCTAGATAGACAGTTACATGTTTCTAAAACTTCTTTATTATTTTTGGTCCAGTGTCATTAAGCAAATTTATGGTGTAGTAAATTTTACTAGTTGCACTAAAATTAACAATAACTTCACCAAAAATGATATTTTTTTAAATTAATATTTTAATAAATAACGTAACATATCCTTTTTTTTTTCTTAAGATAAATATATTCATTACCGTGTTGCATTTTGGATAAAATTTAAATTTTATACAAAGTTGATTTTTTATAAAAACGGCAAAATAATAAAAGAAGTCAATTTAATTATTGCCGATACATCATTGGACGACAGTTCTACTTCTATGATTCATAACCATTTTGGAAACAAAAGCAACTAAAATGTGGAATATTTTCTAATTTTGAAAAGAAAAAGAAATAAAAAGAAATAAATAAACAGAAATATCCCTGTCCGTGAAAAAATCGCTGCAAACGCATGCGCGGTACACGTAATGAAACCGAAAACTCCATTTGTCAAACCAATAAATCACATCCAAACAAAGAACTCAAAGTCAGATAAAATTTTCCAAATCATAATGCACAAAAAATCACATAAAATTTAATATAATAACAATAATTCCTATGAACAGAAATTCCCGACTGACTCCGCTTATTCTACTACGTACGTACAGATTGATTACATTACGACTGATTGGACTACACACACACAGAGAAAATCGAATTAAATATACGAAGAAAAGAGGAGGAGAAGAAGAAAATTAGGATTCTCGAACGTGGAAGACGTTAGGGTTTTTGATGACGAGATCGTACATGTAAATGGAGTTGAATTTGGAGAAGTCCATAGGAAGAGAAATGAGATCAATGGAGGATCGCTTGTGGAATTGGAAGAAATCGGGATCGCCTTCGTAGTATCGCTCCCAGCCCAAGCCTTCGAGAATCTTCTGGAGGAAGCCATAGGAGGAAACCGGCTGGCCGGAGGGAAGGTGAACGAGGACCTTCTTATTCCGGCCGCCGCCGCCGCCGCCGTGGTTGGCTTCGGAGGAGAACTCGGCGGCGTTGTCGACGAGGCACATCACTCCGTTCGATCGGAAAACCCAAACGCCTGACATTTTGATGAATTCTGATACCGAATAATCGGTGTTATCGATCGATCGAGCGCTATGAAATGAAATGAAATCCGTAAAGGGGAGTTTTTAGCGAAATTTGATTTTGGAATTGGATTTGATGATTTTGGGTTTTGGAGGGATTTGAGGGCTTTATATATAGGGCCGGCCTGGGGAGGGGATTGTGGGGCCCACTCTTGGCCCCACCCCAACCCCTTCCTTTGGATTGTAAGGTATATTTAGATGCCTGCCCAACTCCTTCAATTCCCCAATTGCATTTCTTAATTATGCGATTTTATTTTATTTTTATGTTTTTTTTTTCCAACTTATTTTTGTGTACGATTTTTTTTTTATTTCTCAACATCGATGTCGTGTCGTGTGATTTAAACTATAAATACCATGTGACTTCATTATACGAACCAATGATCAGCACAAAGTTTGAATTGTCGTGGTCGATAAAATACTACAACAATTCAATGTCTAGGACTCTTGTCACTATTGGCGGTTAAAATAATTTTGAATGTCTGATCAAGTAATATTAAATTGTAGTGGTAATGATTATTTTTCAAAAAATAATATTTTAATATTTCAAAAGATCTGGTTTTGACGAGGTTATGTTTTAGTGTTATTGGCCTTGGTTTTAAAAATTTAGATTTTCAGACTACGGAAATTTGATACCTCCGTTTTATTTGTTTATTTCTAATGTAGTTAAAAAAAAAGGATTTTAGACCTTATTTTTTTTATAAGTAGGTTTCGTGGAATTATACTTTTGATTTCTAATTTTTAAAATTTACCTAAATTAGTAAATATGCATAATTTCTAAGAACAACTATATTACTAAATGAAGCCTCAGTTTCCAAAATTTTCATCTAATATCTAGGAATTTATTACGTTAATTAGTTAAATATCATATCTTATAAATCTTCAAAAGTTATAGAGTAGATAGAAAGTAAATTCAAGCCAACAACTCAACCGTAATTGACATTTATTTATTCTCTTGAAATCGGAGGTTCAAACTTTCCAATTTATTATATATAAAAGAAATAGATTTCACAATATTAAAAAAATAAGGAAAAAAATATTTTAGTAGAATATTTGATGAGGTAAGATTTAAATTGAATAATATATATATATATATATATATATACAGGATTAGAGAGAGAGAGGAGAGAGAGAAGGAATTTGGTCCCCAATTTAGGTCACGAGCTGTCCACGTGAAGGGAGTGGGAGTGATGGGAAGTGGGTTAGTCTAAGGTTGCAAAGATTGTTGGTGGGTTATGTGACTGAAAATGACTTTCAAATCATCATTGGATTTCTCTATTTTCAAATCTTCTAAAACTTTTTTTTCCCTTCTTTTTTTTTTTGTATAATTTTGTTCCCATTTTTTATATTCCATGCCTTTTTCTCCTTTCTTTATTATCCACTATTCATATCCATTTCTCCCCAACCCATCATTAAAAAAATAAAAAAATTATTCAATTACTTTTCTCGCCGTATTTAACTTATGGGTTTTGTGTGATTTTTTTAAATAATTTAGACCATAGATATTAAATAGGAAGAAAACGACATTGTAGAGACGTACTGTGATTGAGTAGTACTTCTCGTTCGTTACATTACCATTAAATAAAAGAAGATAAATTGATAGACTATAACATTAACCGATCTTTTTAAGATGAGTTTGACATGATTTGTTTAAACGAGAAAAATACTGTTAGTTAATTAAGAGCGCTCTAAATTTATAATAGTCTTAAATGTTCGTTTCTATTAAATTACCTTTGCATAAAATTATAATAATCTTGATTTTCAAATGATGAATTAGATAAATTAAAATATATACTATTTAGCTCAATGTTGCCTCCCTTAGACAAAAATTAAGAATTAGAAAAATCTAGAATTTTTCCATAATTTTTGTAAATAAAAAGTTATAATATAAACTTTTTGTCTTTCTTATAAACATTTGTGGCTTAAAAAAAAGTCAAGGGCTCAAATAAAAATAAAAATAAAAAAGTGAATTTGAAGGGGGAACAATGATAAACAAAAGAAAAACACTTTTGTTTGGATGTCTCATTGTTGAAGAAATGGATATTTGTCTCTTTCATCCTTCACGATAAATTCTAATTTCAATCGACTAAACTTTCTTTCTGGATGGAATATAATCAAGGTATTAAATATTCGACATTTTCATATATTCCTAAATTTGACATCGATATTTTTATCATATAGAAAAAATTTGAAAAATATCAATAAAATATCACTAATATAAACATAATACTAAAATTAATAAATTTTAACTTATTTTAAAAGGGTGAAATATTTATTGGTTAATTTAAATGTTTATTTTCTATTTTTTAGTTTTATAATTTTTCTAAAAATACTTACTGACATCAACATTTTACCGACATTTATTTCAACATTTCTATAGAATTGAGACTTTGACATTAACACTAACCTTGATATTTATATCCTCGAACATACATAACACAATTATTATTATTTTTTTATCACTACAATAATCGACCGTCTTCTATTCATTTATAACGATATAAATGGTATTTTTAAATAGTTATTCTTTAAGAATGGGGATATTTTAAAATTAGATTCAAACTATTTTGGTTGGTAGTAAAACAATCTAATTTTAATTATTGTGAAATAAAAACATTAAAATTGGGGAACAAGATTCAAACAAAAGAAAACTACATTGGTTGGATGTCTCGTTGTCTAAAATGTGTACGTGTGCCCATCATCCAACATCATGTAAATTCTCATTTCAATCAATTAGACTTCTTACAATAAATTATAATTTAAATAAGATTATTTTTTTAATTCCTCGAACTTTTTGGACCAATAAATTAACCATGATAGTTTATTTAAATAAGATATATTTTTCCAAATTTTCATATTTAATCTGTATTGTTTGAACGTGTTACTTTCATCAAAAAGCAAGTATTTCTTACATGACAACTTTTTTTAATATGATAAATGTGATACTGTCGAGATTATTGTTTATACATATTTGTTTTTTTTCCTCTGAGTATATTTATACATATTTGTTATGACGTAATCTACTATTAGAACCGCTAATTGAAACACACCTTAATGGATAAGAGATCTATTTACCATCTCAAAATTCGATCCACCATCCATGCAATTGTTGAACCAGAAAGAGAAAAAATTACTATTAACATAATTTTAAGAAATTAGCCAATATTTGAAAACTAAAGAAATAGCTTTGAAATATTTATTTTAAATTTTAGAAACTTGAAAAGTTGGGAATATTTAAAAAGTGTTTTTGTAATTTTAAGATTATAATATTAAAAAAGTTTTTGGTAGAATATAATAATGCATGTTTAAGCATGTATGTTAAAAATGTTGGGAGTCCAAAATTTTGTCAAGTGGAAAAGGGGCAGACAAGAAAGGGCCTTCACTAATCATTTGTCTTATAATTGCTTTTCAATGCCACCAAAACTTCCAACCATTACTACATCTCCATTGTCTTTTCATTCCTACACATAATTGAGCCCTAAATGTACTTCTTGTTTTCTAATATCATCATTTTCAAGTTTGTCCCGATTTACGCGTTATTTTACGACGTCGAACTTTCCATAACCACTCTTCTTTGCTCTTGAAACTTTTGAATGTTATGGTTAAAAATTCAAACAAGACGACTAAAATAGATGTTTCTGCGTTTCTACAGTGTTTAGAGATTGACTTTGATGTAATATGATGAATTTATATGGTATTTTTGGATATACGCAATTATCTTGTGTATGTTAACTTTTTTTTTCACTGTAGTTTTTCGATAGCAAGTAAGGGGCAAAAGAAATATCTTATTCTTTCCTTATCAAAATTTTTTGATCTATTGTGGACCTCTCAATAGAATTCGAACCCAGATGAAATTCTCATCATTTGATCTCGATTTTTTTCCGTTGAAATTTTATTCTAATCTATTTTCGCTCTCATGCTTTTAGATATTCTATTTTGATTTTAAACTTGGTATATAAATAATGTGCAAGCACTGGTAGCTACCTCCTCTCCTTTCACTTCTGCACCTCCCACTTTTTTTTATCTTATATCTTCGTGTGGAGGTTGTAAGATATGCAAACAAAGTCCTATAAATTAGTTAGAGAAGAGAGTGATTCATGCTATATAGATGAGGACAATTATCTACGTTATTGTATAAGACTTTTTGGATGAAATCAAAAGTAAAGTTGTGAGGATTATGTTCAAAACAGACAATATTCATGTCATTATGAAAATATTTAGGAGTAGTCTGTATCCTTAACGGGTGGTTATTATACATATATATTGTAATATAAAAAATGTGATGAAATTGAATTTTTTTTTTTTTCTTTTTTAGGTTTTAGAGAAGAAGATTTGAAGATAGGAAATGGGATGTTAACCCACATGGCACCACATGGGCCTATGGTCCCTGCAGCATGCATGCACACATTTGATTAATATTTGGGTATAAGATGAAGAACCTATAATATTTGCCCCCACTCTATATGTATCTTCCTTTTGTCAATTTCAATCCTTTTTTTTTATTATTATATTCTTTTTAAACGTAGCTCTTCATTTTTTCCCTTTTAATTTTGTGTTGATATTCAAAAAAAAAATACCCCATTCTCCCCTCTCTAAATTCCCACTCTCAAGTCTTCGTCTTCTTACGAGTGTGAACGGTTGCTAGTCGCTGCTTTAAATGGGAATGGAGGAAACGAGAGCACATTCGTTCCTTTCTTCTATCTTAATTATTTTAATGTTTCTTTATAGGTATCGCCTCCAAGTTCTTATTTTCGGATAACTTAAAATCAAAACTTTTTATGAATTGGCTATGTTTACAGTACTTTCCCTAGCTAACATATAGACTCAACGTTTCTTTTTTTGCCTTATACGACTTAACACGTAGACTATTAATATAAATGATAGAAAATAATTAACATTGTGTGCAAATTTGAATATCCACAATAACCCTGTAGTTTATGATGATATTAAATTACCGAGCCAAAATAGGTGTTAAGGCAATTGATTAAATATTCTGGATCGAGAGTAGACCGAAAAGTTATGGATAGATATCAATAATAATATAATAAAATGTTTGAAGAGAATAAAACTTTAGGAGAATGAGGGAGAAGCATAGTATCTCTTTAGAGTGATGGGGTGTATTTAGAAATGGAAGAAATGAGTATATTTTTGAGTGTGTGACTTTAGACATCAAAAATTCCAAGCCCACGAGGGGGTTTGGTCTTCTTGTTTCTACTTTGTTCCTCTTTTTGTATGCCATGGAATCCCTATGAAATTGACTCTTCCCACTATTTATCTATCAATAAATAAATAAATATGTTTAAATATTATTTTAGGAAAATTTAAAATTACTTTAAATTGATTTTTAAGATATCACTGAAATGATGGATTTTGAAAAATCAATTATACCTAAATCTCTTTTTTTTTCAAAATTATTCATCGTACCATCACTTCGAACATACGCTTAGTAAATGAAGTGTCATGTTCTTAAAATCGTGATCAAAAGAAATATGGTAAAAATGAAAATAAAGAGACTAAAATTGTCAAAGTAAATATATTAAGATGAACAAAATTGAAAGTACAGATACTAAAATGTACGTTCAGTGGTCAAAATGAACCAAAGTCGAAACTGAAACTAGAAAAACCAAATTATATATATGTGTGTGAAAACAATTTAATCCCACGTGGAGCCAAATTCCCTTTGCTTTTTGTTTCATTATTATTATTCTTCTTAACTTTTTGTTGAAATAAATATTTTGTTATCGTTTTTTTTTTGTTAACATTATCCAATCTTGAATTTATTTTAATAATTTTTCTTGTGACATTATCCACTACGGGTTTCTCGCTAAATTTTTTCCGCATCGCTTTCAATTTGTGTTCAACTTGAAAGCGATGCGAGTGTGAGGCTATTGAACTCATGTATTTCATAATAATTAGTTTAATTGAGAGTGATATTATTAATACTGTCTTTTGAATTTATTTTTTTTCAGGTCTGAATTTCAACATTTAATCTTTACAATATATATGTATAATGTTTTAATTAATTTAGTTTATATTCGAGTTAGCATCTTAAGATTAATTTTAAACTATTCATTTACGTGTTGTGCTCGTTTGAAGGGCATCTAAACGTAATGAAAAGGCAAAAGCGAGCATAGCTCAGTTAATTGACAAACATCTCCAACCAAGAGATTGTGAGTTCGATCTTCTACCCCAACATGATGTATTGATAAAAAAACGAATTAAAAGGATTAAATACATTATAAAATATTTGTTTGAGTTTTTTTAATAAAAGTCAACGTTAAAATTAGATGGATAAATTAATATTTTTACTATGCATTAATTTTCTTTCAATATCGACACGATTTGTGTAATTTAAAAAAAAAAGGTTAGATAACTATTTTGTTTCAACTTAGGTTATAAATGAAGTATTGTAATTTAACCCAAAGATAAAGACCAAATTGAAGTTTTAAAATGAGAAAATTTTATTAATTTTTTTTAATTCCACATTTTAAATATAAATGAGTGATGGGGTGCTGGTATGGGGCTTGGGCTTGGGCCTGTGCAGGCGGGAAAGTTTGCGTTGTGGGCCGCAGGGAGCCCATATAGCCTAACACCTGTCCCTTCAATTTTATAATATTACTGAAATTGTAAAAGGAATAAAAGTAAAAAAAAAAATTAAATCTATATTTTTAATAGACAAATGTGAGAATAAGGATAGAGCCTCGGATTCTATCTTTGGATAAATTTTAATTAAGTAGTTTAATTATAATAAATCAATAGTTTAATTACAATAAATCAATGTTGATTAAATTAATTAATTTCTTAACTTAAAAATACCACTTAAATCTCAATATGTCAGGTTACTTAGATTAATAATTTCTAATTTGATACAACTATTTTTTTTTAATTTAACAAAGACAATCATTTATAAATTTAGCAACAAGAGAGTGAATTAAAGCCATAATTTGGGAAACTAATACAGTTACTTAAAAGATTTTTTTAAAAATATTATCACAAATTTATTTAAATTTCTACAAAATCTCCAATTTTAGAGAATAAATTATATATCTCTACTGCTACTCATGTCAGCGGCGTTTTTAAGGGTTATAATTCAGATAAGGTGGGGAAAGTTTTAAAATCTAAATACATTTAAACTTTCAATAATTAACTTTAAAAAGTATTGTGGGTCAAATTTTAAAACTTTAAATTTTTTATATTATTTTTTTAATTTTAAAAGTAGGAAATGGTCTTTTAGAAGAAAAGAAAAGAAGGAAGAGAAAGAAGGTAGGAATGGCCCCAACTTGACCAATGAATTATATATTAAGGAAAAAAAAAACAGAAAGAGGTTAATTATTTGATTTTTTTTCTTTTTTTAATAGTTCATTGGAAAGGTAGTGATTTTTTTCATTTTTTTTTCTTTTCCTTTTTTCCGCCAATTCTCGTGCAATTGAGCGCGTACATAAATTTGATAATTCCAAATCTTCAAATTCAAATTGTGGCCGCCATGGTTTGGAGAGCTCAGAGAGCCATCATCGACGAGATCACGGCCATTACCACCGCACCTCCGGCGAAGATAATGCGTGAAGCGTCGGAAGAATCGCTAGGTCCTGGTGAAGCCGCATCGGCGTCGCCGCCGCTATCAGCGCCCTTCGGTGGAGAGCTCGCCGGAGCGTCGGCTTTGGCCTTCGGCTTATCGGCGGCCGGAGCATCTGCCTTTGACGGACTGTCGGCGGAAGGAGTCGGTGCCTTCTTAGGCGATCCGGCCGGAGACGATGCCGAAGGTGGCGGTGATGGTGGAGTGGAGTTGGTTGCCGTTGATTCGATGCCAGGAACCTGAATCGGAGAACTGATCTGAAGCACGGAGATGTTGTACGGCTGAGACGCGACGGATTTCACCAATTTCGAATCGAACGTTCCTCCATCGGCGGCGGATCCGAACGCGACCTCGCCTTCGTTAATCAGCTTGACTTTGAGGAAACCTTGCTGTTTCGTGGCGGCGCCGGTGGCCTGAAACATAGTGGTGAGAACGGTTGTGTTATCGCTCGACAATTGGCTGAGCTTCTTCTCATCGTAGTAATCGAGAATGACGTGAACGCTCAAGATCCGCTTCACGAGATCCATCGGCTTTCCGTTGAGACCAGAAACTGCGCCATTGTCGACGGCGAGGACGGTGATGGTTGCGCGGCTGTTAATTTCGTCGGCGAGTTTTGTTTGCGTCAGGAAATCGTTGAAATTGGTGAAATCGGGGAACTGGCTGAGGAGTTTTGTGACATTGAAAGCAGAAGCCGCGGAGAAGAGGAGAAAATTTACAAGAAAGGCAGCGGAAATGGCTCTGGAATCCATTGTTTTTTTCTCAATAATTGATTCAACTTTGATTTCTCATTCAATGCGCTCCAATCCAAATCCGAAACCGAACTTGATGATCTACGACGGAGACGAGGGCTTTAAATAGCAGCCAAAAGGTAAGAGGATTGATTTTTGTTTGTTTGGCTGGGAGTAAAATTCTGCCTGAAATTTTCTTTTCCCGGAAAATGTCAGTTCTAATTTTCTAAATTGGATAGTTTGGACATGGCGATGAAGATCGCGAAATCGTGTGGAATTCCGTAAATGTGGAACACTGATGCCTCTAAATTTCTGTTACTCTATCGTTAAATTTAGAAAATTAATTGACAATCCATTTTGAGCATTATTTTTAAAAATACTTTGCGGATGGCAATATTTTAATAAATATTTATATTTTAAATAATATTGAAAAATAAATGTTTTTCAATTTAATTTCTTATATTTAATTTTTTTAAAATTTATGCACTAAAATGAGTTGATGACAGACTTGTATAATACAATACTTAATGAATTAGAATAAATTTAGAGAAGAAAAATGCCATCTAGAAAAAGAAAATTTTCTAAGTTGTCTTCCAGACTTTTTTAGAAAATTTCCTTCCTTACGGTTCTTTTCTCCCTCCTCTAAAATTTTGTTAATTCACTAAATATTATGTCATGTAAGTTGATGGTTAGTAAATTTTAACATTAACTAATGGTGAATGACTAGAAATGTTAAAATATATTTTTTAAAAAATGTTAAATCATGAAAGGGACTCAATTGGAATTTTTAAACCAAAAGAGGCTAACGTTGGAGGTAATTTATTGCCTGCCATGTGTCAATATCTAGGTGACTTTGTATGATGAAATGATTCGACGGAAAACCTACGAAACGATGCATTTCTAGCCACCTTGGCCACGCCACGTTGAGCTGACTTAAATTCACCCATTGACTGACCTTCGAAGAGCACCCACAGGTGCGAACGCAACGAAAACATTCTTTGACAAGACATTGTATTTTCTGGAGTGTCAGACCATTAAGGCGTTGTTGGAAGCTCTGTCGAATTTCATCTCTATAAATAGAGAGTCTCGCTTCTCATGCAAGATATGCGAAACTATTATCAGATTGAGTAATAGATCGAATTGGAACTAACTTGCTCATCGGAGAGTTAACGTTGTCTTGCAGGTATCTTGAATGTCAGCGTCCCTCTTTCGAGCTTCACGGATTCCAAGTTTGATCATTTTCAAGATTGAATGCTTAAGATTAAAATATATATTTAGAAGAAAAAATAAAAGGAAAAAACCAACCCGAATGCACCTAAAACATTTATTACCTTACTCGAGTTTAAACCACATTTGTTGAAAAAAAGGGTTATGATATGTAGTTTTAAGTTATATAGAATTTTTATCTCATTTAGTTATATGGTTTGATAAAGTTTACAGGATTCTAATTTAGTCATTCAAATTCTAATAAGTTAGTCCAAGAAGTTTTTAACAGAAAAGTTGACAGGATTCTAATTTAGTCATTCAAGTTTTTAATAAGTTAGTCATTCAATTTCTTTCAAACATGTATTTTCTTAAATGCTAAAAACTTAGTAGTAAGTTTTATATATATATATATATTTTTTTTTTCTTTTTTCTATTTGATTGTTAAAATTATTGGGGACAAATGTAGGTAATTGTTTTAGACTCAAACCAATATAAATCTTTAATTAAGTCAAGTTTTTTAGATCGAAATTTAACGATTTTGGAAAATTCTACAACATTGACCGACCAACTGCCAGCTGGCTGAAACCAATGCAAGATTAAAATTCTTAGGAAAATATCATATAAAAAAAAACATTGTAAGACAAAGAGTAAGAGAGAAAAACCTCATGAGACAAAGTGAAGCTTCAACCTTCAACATCGTCTTCTTCTCAAAAGGAAATAATTTGAAACAAAAAGAAAATTAAGGAAAAAGGAAGAGAGAAATGGATATGAAGGGGAGGTGGGAGAATTGTTGAGAAAAGGAGATAGGAGAGAGAATAGAAAAAGAGAGAGGGGAAAAAAACCGACGGAAAAGAGAGAAAGAGGGAAGGAGAGAAGAAATTAGAGGAGAGGTGAGAGTGGAAGGAAGGAAAATTTTTAAAAATAATTAAAATTTAAAAACTATTACACCACCCGAAAAAAGCAGCGGTCAAGGCAATTCGTAGTGCTAGAGAAATTGGCAGCAAAAATCTTTTATATATTTCTAAATTTATCATCTTTTTTTTTCAAATTTTTAAATATTAACAAATATTTTCAATTATATCTAGTATATCAGATATTTAGTATATCGGTAATATATCTGACATGTATATCACATGCATATATCAGTAGTCATATATATTACAGATATATATTATTTAGGTAAGGTCGTTATTTTAAAATTGGACTTCCGTTCTTTTTGTAAAATGAAAAATGTTATATTTGAAAAGACTAAACGTGGTTGTTATTTTGCTAATTTTACTAGATATTTTTTCCATATTTGCAACTTTCTCTTGTATATATATGGGTTGAAAATTACTTCTCTGGCCATCTGATTGAACTAGTCATCAAACTGGTTTATCAATATCAGTTCAGTCAATCGATTTTCAGATATTTTTTCATCCCTATCATGGATGAGCTCTAAGTCCATTTTTCATTTATCTATGTATACGATGTACGGTATACTCATGCTATGATAATAAAAATGATCATATTATTTTTTTTATCAATTTAAAAACTAGTTTTAGAACTTAATTTTGAAGGATTAAAATATAATTTTAAGAGTTGACGGAACATAAATGAAATCTCCTATTTCTGTTGAAGTTGAAAATTCAAATTCTCATACTCCATATTTATTATACTAAAAAAAGTACTTTAGGCAACAAATCAATAACACAGAGTAACTTTATAGATTAAATTCATTTTCAGTCTCATAATTAGTTCACCAAATTAAACTTGATTATTAAGTTACCTTTTCTTCATGATGTATAAACCTTTTTTTTTTCGGTATAAATAAACATTATTTACATAAAACAAAATCTCATATATAATTAACTTAATAACATGTTGATATTTTAATACTAAAGTATAATTCAATAAAGGGTTAAATTGTAGTGCATGATGGAAAGCTCTCAAATTAGATAACAACCCATCAACTAAGAAAGAAGTTTTTCATTGCAAACTAAATAAATCTAGAGTTTTTGAGAACCAAATGCTCCAAAAAGTTAAAGAAAAGGAAAGCGTGTGATCCAATGAAATAAAGCAAAAGCAAAGAGGAAGTTTGTACAATAACTCCCCATCCATCTGAGAAGTCATCTTATGAATTGGGAACTCAAATAAGACCCAAAAATAAGCTAAAAAGGCAGGGCACTTGCCAATCATTTCCACTGAAGAAAATTTTAGTTTCCATAAAATCCCAAGCAATGGTAAATTTTGCTGAGTGATAACAAGAAAAGAATACAGTAAATTGAGTTAGCCAGGTCCAACTTTAGGAATATCATGGTGCTCACTCAGATTGCCCAGATATTGATTGAACTCGTGAATCCGACCCCGGTGAGATTTGCTGGCCATCTCGGCCATTCTTCGAAGATCAATCTTCTCCCATTGCTGAAGATATCGCCTCTCGGCAGGTGTCAACGAATCGTCGTATGTAGCATACTGCCCTTTGCTTCCATTGGTATCGGTATTGTTCATGCTCTCTTTAGAACAATCAACCAATGAAGTGCGGTTCCTTCCTAACAATCTCCAAAAGGAAACGATGCCAATAAGCTAAAAAGCATTTTGATTACATGATTGTTTGAGTAAAAGAAGACGGATCAAAGTACTTGAATGCTATAACCATCTAACCAAATGGGATGGAAGAAAAAAGTTAATTGAATTGGATTCTCAAGAATCGCTCAATAAAATGTGAGTAAATTGTCATTTTGCTATCTTCAAACAACAATTACAGGTAAACGCTCCATTTTTCATCAATTCTATAAGAGTTAAATCCTCTTGAACTATTAGAATATCCAAACTCATCTCTCTACTTTGAATAGAGGATATAACAATTTATATGAGATTTATCAATCTAAATGGAGACAATATCATTCTTTGATTTAAGGAATCATCCCATCTCAATTGAGAACAAAAATATTTTTAAGTAAGAAATCAAGATCTGATTCCGTATTTTTCTGTAGATATGAACATACGTCCCAAATCGACTAGGAGGGAAATCAACTAGAAGAGAAGAATAAAAGATAACATCCAAAATGTTTTAGTACCTACTCCCTATTCCCTAAGTCCACACTAGGATTTTACCTTTATAAATATATCTTTAATGTTGGAATATCTTTCTCTGAAGCATTTATGAGAGTTTGGCAGTTTGTTTTGGATAAAGTGACTAATGAATGTTTTGAGTTTGTAAAGTTTAAGGTTATTAAAGAACTTGAAGCCATTTGTCCAAAAGCCCAATGAATTATTTTATTTTCTAAAGACAGAACAATTAACTAATAAAAGCCTGAAAAAAAAGTCAGCTAAGGGAAAATAACATCTAAAACCTGACCATTTGAACATATTTTTACTGGTATAAGAACAAAAGGTATTTCTGAACTCATATCCTAAAAGATCTCACAACAATTTCTTCAGACAAATTCCAGCTTCGCAAAATTTAGAATACAAGATTTTATCAATTCTTTGCAAGTAGAGAGATTAAGCAGCACTAAATTGAATACAAACACAATCGAACAAGAAATTCAAAAGACATCAACTAACCTGCTGAGGAATCGTCTTCTCTCACAGGTTGAGAAAAATTGCCAAATTGCTTCTTCGGCTTCTTTTTCTTTCCGATCCCGCCTCCTTTAACGCCCAAGGCCTTCCCCTTCAGCCTTAACTTCCCCACCACCACATTCTCGTACTCCGACATCGTTCCGATTACGATCTATCATCAGAGAGTCAGAGACAATTAAAAGACGAAACTGAGAGATCAATTTAAACTATCAAAACACAATCTGAGTTGCTCTGTATGGGCAACATTTTGAAAAGACAGAATCGGAGTTGATAACTGTTCCAGCGATGAGAAAAATCGATCAAAAAACAGGAAAAATACAATTCGGTGTTGATCTAGAGTACGAGAACTGCCAAAAATAAGACAAATCGGCGAAAAAGAAACAGTACGAGAGTTTGGATCGTCATTTACCTTGAGAACTGGTTCGAGCGAAGGCTCTGGAAACTCGTCGAAATCTGCAAACATAAATCTTCCGGTTCATACGAAAGCGGCCTAATTTGTAAGAACCTTCAGAACTTTCTGGACGCCAATCGAATGACCAATCACCACCTGTCAATACGACGCCGTATAGATTAAATGTCACCAAAAAAATTTTCTGACAAAATATACAGAATGGTCCTTGTCTAATAGTAAATTAAGAATTTGGTTGGTTTTTTTGGAAAAAATAATTTCCTCGTTGTATTCAGAAAAAGAAAAATAATAACAATTTAGTAGAAAAAAAGAGAGAGAGAAAGAATTTCGTCCTCAGTTTTATCCCTTAATGTATTAGAATTCGTTTCAAAAAGATTTGTTAAAATGTTTTCATAAAAAATTATTAAATCATCCATTTAATAGGATAAACCTATGTTTAAATCTTATCTTAACACGTAAAATTTAACGAGTAATATGAACTTAAATTAGTGATAATTGACATTTGTTTCATACTAGTTGCTATTAAGTTTGAAAATAGAAAAAATTTAAAATAAAATATTGTTTTTAAAAGAAAACGACGAGTGGATGATAATAAATAAACAAATTCTATATATATATATATTTTAATAAAGATAAACAAACTCTATTGATAATTGATGAAGAAAAATTTTAAGACAAAATAAAGTCTAAAAAATAAGATAGAAAATAACTGTCTCACCAACTTTCCAATCAAAATATTAGCTTGTATTTTCGATTGTATTGTAGTATAATAAAAAAAAATTTGGTATTTTTTAATTATTGTTTTTTCTAATTTATCCAACTTTTGCTTCCTTACGAACCCGTGAAAACCGACACGTCGTCGTCTCACGTATTTCAGCCTGAAGCGTCGGATCTTCTGAAATTCTTATCGAGTTGTTATAAATGGTTTCTGCGCTCTGTGCTAGCCTTTCCGCTTCTGCTTCTCCTTCTCCTTCTCCTTCAGGTACCGTCTTCTTCTTCTCTATGAGCACTTGACCTAGGTTTGGCTGGCGATATGTAATGTTTCTCCGTTTTCGAATTCCCAGGTGGGCGTTGCAAGTACACTGCACAATCTGTGGTACTTATCTCATTCCTTTTCTTGAAATAGTTTCGTTAATTTCAATTTTTGTATCTTCGTTGTTTGCTTCTTGTAATTTTTTTGTCTTATTTGTTAGTTTGTTTGTTTTTTTCCTTTTTCGGACTCGGTAATTGGATTTGGTGGTTCATAGAGTTTTGCAATGCCAATTTGTTAATCTCTGTTGTTTGGCGGAGCTCCTATTCTGAGAGATTACTTAGGATGATCGAGTTTTAGTGTGATTGTGACTCTGGATGGCTGAATTTTAACTGATAATGGCTATATGGACAATGGACAGAGAGCGGTGCCAATACGGGTTTTGACTGTGGGGAAGAAGAGGTCTCGTGGCGTGCAACTCGTCGTTGATGAGTATATTGAAAAGCTTAAGCATTACTGTAACGTGGAAGATGTTCAACTGCGGTCAAATCCTAGGAATGCGCGGTATGCGACTGTACTGTTCGTGTTAATTAGTAAATTTTCTTATTACCTTCTTATCTCTGATGAATGATGCTAGTCTTATCAAAACTTCTTCGTTCTATGTATTGATGTTTGAATTTTAGGGATCCCAGGGCTCAGGTTGACGATGAAGATATGGCTGTAGTGAATCTTCTCAAGTCTGACGATTGGGTTTGTCTCTCAACATTCATTTTTGTCGGATCACTATATATTTTGTTGCTCTGGCTGTGCTCGTTTGTTATAAACTAGTTTATAACTCTCTATCTCAATTACATCATTTGTCAGCCAAAAATGTGAAACAAAATTGATTTCTTGAACTTTTTACTTTAATATAGATAAGTCACATGGCCCCCAAGTGACAGCTCGGTTGACAAGGGCTTGAAGTCTCTACTGGCTTAGAGGTCTTAAGTTCGAATCTTACAGGGAGCTTAATACCAAAAATCTTTCGAGTCCGGGTCCTGGAGCAGGGGGATATATATATGTATATGTATGTATGTAGATGGGTCACAGTAGTGCTTCTTTTCCAACAGAAAAACATAGGTTGCAATGTGCTTCTCTTTCTAACCCTCAGATAAAAACTGATCTGTTGAATGGTTTATAGTAGCGGCGCTTACAGCTTAGTCTCCATTCTGCATATGCACCTGCAGGTCGTTATGTTGGATGAGAATGGGAAAGAGATGAGCTCTGAGCGGATGGCTGAGTTGGTGGCAGATGCAGGCAATACAGTGTGTACTATGTTCAACTCAAATCAAATTGGCTGCTTCATTATCATCAGTTCATCACTACTGGACAGTATTCATGATAGTTAATTTTTCAAAGTTATTAGCTAAGGAGTTTGGACTGGAAATATAAAGCTATGCTTATGGTACCTCCCAGTTTAGTTAGCCCACATGTTCATCTTCCATTTCAGTTTAGATTTCACCACGTGATAGTCTCTTGCTTTCTAATTTTATGTAATGGACATGCACAGATGTTTGTCTACTATATATGGTTTTTTTAAGGGTTTTTTTAAAGCTTAATTATGCTTTCTGATTAACACCATGCTATAATGGTTTCAGAAAACAATTTTTAGGAGAGTCAGGGGGTGTGCCAAGATTGGACATGGCATTTTGTAGATGAATCTTGATTAGGTACTGTCTCTTGATTTCTTCTTTTCTTCAGGGTGCTTCAAGATTATCATTTTGCATTGGGGGACCTTATGGCCATGGGCAACAACTGCGACAACGAGCTAACTTAACAATCAAGCTGTCCTCCATGGTCTTAAATCATCAAATTGCATTACTTGTACTTATGGAACAACTTTACAGGTTACTTTTTTTTACCCTTCAAATCATTATTGCCTTTAGAGTTTCATTTCAATTGTCTTGTTACATAAAAGGCTTCCGATGCATAGTTATCTCAAAATGATATGCTGGGTTGATTATCTATGTGCATTAGAGGCGATAGATAATCCATTGATTAAACTTATATGTTGATGATAATGAATTCAAGAGGTTCGACCTACGTTATGTTGATGATAATTCATTGGTTATAGTCTCTCTGTATCTTCACCTAGATTATATTTTATTCAGACCTCAAAGCTCATCATACATTTTGTAGTTTATTGCATCGGTGATATAATGCTTATTCTCAATACATGTATTATTTTTAGGTCATGGACTATTCTGAAAGGTCAGAAGTACCATCATTAGAAGTAGCTCATATACCAGCCCAGCGGTATTTTGCTAATCCTTTTTACGATTTCTGTACGAGTTTTGGATAATGAGAGTCTTTTTTGCGAATTTTGTTACAGTGTCTAAATCATTTCGAAAATTCTAAAAATAACTTAAAAGCATGAGTGCTTTTAGAGGGTTACTTCTTCCAAATGTATTTGGAGTGAGTACTAACATTCATAGATAGAGGGGTTTCTTGTTCAAAAAAGAAACATTCATAAATTCAGAATTGTGTTAAAATGATCTGTATGAAAGAAAATTGTGTTACTTCGTATTGCTCTCCTGATTTTCGCTTTCGGCAATGAACTTTCAAAAACTCTGCAATAACGTTGCTCCTGATCTAATTTTAGTTTTCTATTACTCTTGTTGATTTTAATGCAGAGAGTGGTAGTTGTACGCCATTTTTGCTCTTGGATACACGATGAATGGACATGGAAATGGAGAGTAACTATTTCTGCAACACTATACTTGGTTTCTTCTCTTTTTTTAACATGTGAGGGTCGAACTCAAACTTACGATCTTCTGGTCGAATATAGGTATCTTAACTTGTTAAGTTATACTCAGGTTGGCTTCCCAACCTTTTTCTTCTCGAGGGCGGGATGTTTAATAGTAGGTTTATTATTCTGCTGTAATTAAAATTTTGAGTCTTTAAGGTGTGTACTTTAGGAAAATTATTAGATATTGGTTTGTTTTGCTTGCGAATGATTTGGTTGTTTGAGCTTTTATGATATGTTGTTTACTATATGTATATTTTTTTTTTGGAATAGTGAAGAAATTAAATATATTACAATTATTAGAATACCTTTATCGTTTACAAATCCGTTAAATGGTATAGTACTACTATCATTTTAATTAAAACAATAATAAATTTTTATTTATTTTTATTTCTATTTTGTTGATAGTGATATTTTATATTTTAACAATTTATTTAATGTTAATCATAATATATAATTAAAAATAAAATTACATCAATTAGAAATATTAATATTATTTTTTATTGAGCGACAATTATTAATTTAAAATATTATTGAATTTTGTTGTTATAATATTTAATAACAATATTTTGATTGATATTAATTTGTAATATTTTATAATAAAATCGTAGCAACTAAAAAAAGTTAGTATGATTTTATTTATTAGAAGAAAATAGTAGTATAAATAAACAAAGAAATAGTAAAACTATAAAATAGTTAAAAAAAGGTCATGTGTTTCATTAATCAGTGAGAGAAGAAATATTAAAAGGTGTAAAACAATTATTGAGAATGTGTAAGGTCTATGAAATAAACCATGAGAGTTAAATTGATAAAAATTTCTTTTTTTTTAATGAGAGAAATGAGAATTTACATCTTTTTAACTTTTTGTCCATTCTTACATTTTAATAAAAACAAAAAAAAAAGAGAATTTTTCAAAGGCTTAAAGATCAGAGTTACAGATTATTGAAAAATTCACTACTAAAAGAATAATTTTCTGTTTAAAATTTGATTCTGTACTTCCATCAAAATAAATAAATAAATAAATAATTTTCCCCATTTTTCATTACACAAATTTAATTTGTCCACCGTTAAAACTAAAATATGCAAAACCTCCAAAACGATATTCTCACCAACTAATAAAACGGTCGTTTTGAAAATTACGCGCGTTCCGTTGAGCGGAAAAGCTACAAGTTTGGAAGCAACAAGTCGTCGCGTCGTCCAAATTCCAAAACGTAGCAAAGCAAGTCCTTCTATAGGTTGTTATAGCGCCACGTCACAACCCCTCGTCTAGTCCACGTGTCAGTATCTCAGCTGCTTAAATCATTCGAAAAGAAAAGCAGAAACAAAAAGAAAAGAAAAGGCGTAGTCATGAACATTCTCCGGATCTCATTCTCGTCTCTTCCATTGTTGAAAACACTACCCCATCCTCCGACTCCGAAACCGGCCATTATCGCCGCGAAATCTCCTCGCCATCAAGTTTTCCGTCGCTTCCTGATCATGAATTCGAGCTCGAAGCTTGATTCTAGACCCTCCTCCTCCTTGGCATGCCAGGTTCCGGGGCTAGAATCGGAAGAGATGGACCGGATTGCCGAACAAATGTTCCGGCGGTATTCGTCTCCTTCGTCGTCGGGTATCAAGAGAGGGAAGGGAGTCGCCATTGTTTGGTTCAGAAATGACCTCCGTCTGCTAGACAATGAGGCTCTGTATAAGGCGTGGATTTCGTCCGAGGCTGTCTTGCCGGTTTATTGTGTCGATCCTCGACTTTTTGGTTCTACCTGCTACTTCGGGTTTCCTAAACCTGGAGGTTTGTTTCTCAATTCATTATTTAACCCAGTGGCAGATGATCGCGTATTGTGTTATGAATTTATGCGTCGACTGTCTTGTAGAGTTCTGAATCAGGGAGTTTTAATTATCTTTGTTGTTGTAATTGATCATGAGGCAGTTCTGTACCGTTTTTTATTTCCTTGTAATTAGTCATTACTATTACGTGAGCGTGGTGCGCACACTAGTAGAGATGGCTTTAGTAGAAGTTAATTGCTATGCAGTCATAGGATTATGAATTATGCTGGAAACTTCAAAGTTTTGAGCTATTAATCGAATCGCTGATTAAGATTTAGATTTCAGGGTTTCAGAACTTATGCTGTCTTAGGGAGAAAGTGTTTCGACAGTTTCATATTTTCCTTCCTTTCTGGCAGCCTTGAGAGCACAATTTCTTGTTGAATGCTTGTCTGACTTGAAAAGGAACTTAATGAACCGAGGCCTTAACTTACTTATTGAACACGGGAAGCCCGAAGAAATTCTCCCTTCTCTTGCAAAAGCTCTTGGTGCCCACACAGTTGAGTAACTTCAATAGTATCCTTGTATGTTTGAAGGATTGTTCAAATATGGTTAGATTCAATCTATTAATTTTGTCAGGTATATGCTCAAATGGAAACTTGTAGTGAGGAACTGTACGTTGAAAGAATGGTGAGCAAAGGTCTCAAAACTGTGGTGTTGTCACCATCCTCACAGAAGTCCGCCAAACCAAGTTCTGCCGGTAGCCCTAGTTTCCAACTTGTTTGGGGCACCACTATGTACCACATAGATGACCTGCCATTCGACACCAACAGTTTGCCTGATGTCTATACACAATTTCGTAAAGTACCATATATTTTATTTGAATTTTTAGGTTCATTACATTCTCTTGCATTTTTTAATGTGTTTCTCATAACGCTGTTGGTCTTTTGATGGACCACCCAATTGCAGTCTGTTGAAGCCAAATGTGCAATCCGAGATTGCATTAGACTTCCAACTCTTCTTGGGCCTCCAGCAAGCATCGACGATTGGGGATGTGTTCCTTCATTAGATAAGCTGGGGCTTCAATCTCCAAGTGTATGTTTGTGTTTTTAGAATTGTGCTACAAGAAGATCTGCAATAAAATATATTCTCTGTGAGTTGACAAATTATTTGTTTTCTTCAGGTTGTCAAGGGCATGAAGTTTATTGGCGGTGAGAGCGCAGCTCTCTCCAGAATTTATGAGTACTTTTGGAAGAAGGTGAAATTGATGAATTTAGCCATTTACATCTCATTTGATCCAGACCCCAGGTTATGGTTCTAGAAAACTTCAACTACATTGTCAATATTATGCTTTATGTGTTATTTTTTATTTTTCCTGGTATTTAGGATTTACTACGGATTTATAAGGATACGAGGAATGGGATGTTAGGACCTGATTATTCTACAAAATTCTCTCCATGGCTTGCTTCTGGAAGCATTTCACCTCGTCTCATACATGAAGAGGTTGGTCATTTTTTGTTTTCCTTTAATGACAATGTGCGTTGCATATTTCAAGGTTCGAATTATTCTCTTAGGTAAGGAGATATGAGAGGGAGAGGGAAGCAAATCAATCTACTTACTGGTATTCACTATATCTTTCTGTTCATAATACAGTGCCATTACTCATTATGCATGTACCATACTAATTATCTCATGATGACAACGGAATAGCCTTCTAGTTCAAATTGTTTACTGTTATAAATTAGACTGACATAAATCACATCACATCTTTCCTTATCCTTTAAACTTTGATGCACTTAAGCTATTAGAAAGGAATTTTTTACTCCGTTGCTTTTTCTTGTAATTTTTTGCCACTTTGTTAATTTACATTTACCATTTCAGGATTTTGTTTGAATTGATATGGAGGGATTACTTCAGGTTTCTTTCAGTCAAATATGGCAATTCTCTTTTTCATCTAGGTAAGGGTTGTTATAAAATGTTCAGATATTTTTTCTGGTATTCCTGCATTTTACGACTATCTTTCCTAGTGCATATTCCCTCTTATGCCAGTTTCTTTTAATAGGTGGCCCAAGAAAAGTGGAGATGAAATGGAATCAAGACAAAAGTTTGTTTGAATCTTGGAGAGATGGACGTACAGGGTATTTTGTTTGCTCTGTGATTGTGTTATTGATTTGATATTATGTTCCTTTGCAGTCCAAGAGTGCGTGTGCATATTTTTTTCACATGTTATGAGATTTTTGCTTCATATATGATGTAGTAAATCATTCTGGGTCTCCAGGTACCCTCTTATAGATGCAAATATGAAAGAATTATCAACAACTGGGTTCATGTCAAATCGGGGACGGCAGGTATTTTACGAAGTCTATGATTTGTAAAGATTTAGTTATGCACAATGAGTGTGCAGCGTGCAATCAAATTGGAACTTAATCACATATACTTGGAATGCCATATAACTGAAGTTCGTCGCTTCTGAATATATCAAGTCTCGATTTTCACCTAAAGAGATTATAAGGAATGAATCATTCATTTGGTTCTTTCTACAGATCGTATGTTCCTTCCTTGTTCGAGATATGGGTATTGACTGGCGAATGGGAGCTGAATGGTTTGAGACATGCCTTCTCGATTATGACCCTTGCTCCAATTATGGAAATTGGACTTATGGAGCTGGTAATTCAATTTCCTCCCAAAATATAAAGCTGTGTGCTTTATTGCCCACACCCTGTATGTACTGATTTGCAATAAAAAAAATGTTCAGAATTCTTCTTTGACGATCTCTCATGTATTTTTGTTCTCCCATGTTATATTTTACCTGAAAAATGTCACTCATTACACATCCTCTGAAGCTCCAAGAAAGGTTTCCCATTAGATCATAATTTTTCTGAAGATATGTGTGTCATAATTTTATAGAGTTACCTTGTTGCCGATGACATGCAGGAAGAATTTTCTTTATCTTAGTCCCTTCTATGCCAGTTACCTCATCATCAAGGACTGCATTTATATGCCAATCTTAAATTTGTACCATATTTCAAATTGCTCTGAATGTTTATTGAATTTTATCGTTGATATATTGAATGCTCCATGTATACCATGTATGTAATAATTCAACGTTTTTGCAATCCCTAATAATGCTTGTTTTTATTTCTGAGAAATTTGGCAGTTGCTATGAACCATTAATTTTTATAACTGCGTCCTGTCTTGTTTTAGGAGTTGGGAATGACCCGAGAGAAGATCGCTACTTCAGTATCCCCAAGCAAGTAAGTGCATATCTTTTTCTGTATAAATTTTGTACACTGAAACTTTGACCAATGACTGTAGTTCGAGGTGCTAAACATTGACAAATCTATTAACTTCTAAGTACACATCGGTATGCCATTATCACCGTTATCGGTTCGCATCTGAGTCGAGATTTAGGATGATAGTAGATGAAATGGAATCAAAGCAGAAGTCCATGGGTTCGGCATACATTTGCCCTGAAAAGTGATGCAATCTAGTTACAAGATTGAAACACAAATAACATTTATTTTTTTAACACGAGGAGGTAGGGATTCAAACCTAACCATTTGGTTGATGATATAACCATATTCAGGTTGCAAACACAAAAAACTTACATTACTATTATTTCTCTCTTTTTTTCTTTAACCTAAATGGAATAAATGGTATTTGACCTATCCATGAGTTGTATCAATTATTTTGGATTATTTTCTTTTTCTTTTTTTTGAGAAAAGAATTATGTAGGTTGAGTCTTATAGAATCCAACCTATTATCTATTATGGTATACAATTCCTCTTTCTGTCAATTGCAAGTTCTTTATTTTATCTCATATATAATGGCTGTTAATTTTACAGGCACAGACATACGATCCCGAGGGCGAATACGTGGCGTATTGGTTGCCCGAACTACGAAAGTTACCCAAAGACAAGAGGCACTTCCCTGGGAAAATGTTGTACATAGAACAAGTTGTAGCTCTAAAGTTTGGGAATGCTGGAAGGCCCCAAAGCCAGGATTCTGCAAGAAGAAAAAACTTTGGTGGGAGACCAGCAAAGGACTTTAGAAGATGACACTTTTTGTTTAACTTGGTGTCCTTTGGCTTCTCCCAACTTGTCAACTAAAATTATTATATAGGAAAATCAGACGGCTCTGATAGTTGGAAATGTCAAAGCCTACGATCCAATCATAATTAATTAATTATAGATTTAAAAATACTTTTGAATACTTACGTTTTTATTTTATTGGACTAACGATTTAGTTTTCGAACATTAGTTTGTAATCATTTAGCCTTTATACTTTAAGAATGGGAACAATTTAGTTCATATCCTTTAGTATGTTACAATTTAATCCTTATAATAAGATTCAATATAATTTTTTATATGGGTAGATTGATTAACTTTTGTTATTAGAATATCAAGACTAAATCATTATATAATAAAAATCATTACTTAAATTTGATGAGATTTTTCCGGGATTAGATTGTCATCAATTTCAAAATATAGTACTAAATTGTTTTTTATTAACAATAGTGGTTAAATTGTTAAATATTGAAGTTTATGGACTAAATTGTTATTAATTTATAAATATGTAGACTAAATCATTGCAATTTAGAGACTAAATTGTAAATTCACAAAATAATAAAAATAATTTTTAATATATAAAAACTAAATAAATACTATGGTGTTTTTTTTAATAAATAGTAAAAATATTTGTAATATAGCAACTCTCTCTCTTTTTTTTTTGTTAGGAATATATAGCAACCATTTTGCAAATATGGCCATATTTTTAAAATCATATTTTCGTTTTATTCGTGATTCCAATTTTGCTCTCGTTAATATAAGTTATATATACCTAATATACCGAATACAAAGTATATTATTGATATGATTGATGTAATTGATATGAAGTATATTAATCACACGATACATACTAACTTGTTACAAACTTTAAGCTACGATAATTAAATTGTTACATACTATAATTTAGAAACTAAATTATTATCAATTTAAAAGTACAATGACTAAATCGTTACAAACTCAAATTCAGGACTCGATCGTTATTTTAGTGAAGTGTGTTTTTTAACTGCAAATTTTCTATTTTTCTATTTCGATTCGACCTCATGATTTTTGCTATTTTTATAGATCATAAAATTAGTACTAACGAGCATAGTTCAGCGGGAGTTCGAAGTCACTGTATATATATCAGAAAATGAGTGGTTATATATATATTTATAATTAATTACTAATTTTTTATATGTGCAAGCCGCCCTTGAAACTGCGAAAGGCAGTAAGAGAGGCTGGCGCGCGTGGGACGTGGGGGCCATAATACAAACAGCGCACGTGGGAACTGAGAGGAGTGGCCTCCATTTTCAGGGATGTTGCGCATTTACATTCGCCAATTAAGTATTAACTTCATTCCCCTATAATGATAACAATAATTTTTTTTTCAAAATAATAATATAATAATGATGATGATTTGCCATTCACTTTAATTTTCAATATTTCCTAAAAAAAGACCTTTACTTTTCAACAACATTAATAATAAGTTTTTTCAAAACAATCATAATAATATGTTTCAATGATAACTATAAGGTTAAATTACCAAATTAGGAAAATTGATTTATATAGTTCTAAAAACTAATCACCATAAACTATCATAGGAAGTTCATAAATAGTTTATAAGATATTGATTCAAACTTCAGTTTAGAATAAGGTCATGTTTACTTATTAGGAATTGGAGTTAGAATGAAAATTAATCGGAATGAGAATATTATTTATTTGATGTTGTTTACATTTTTTTTTATATCCTTGAGTATCCGGACCAACCTACGTGCATTTTGACTAATCTCGCTAGGCAACTTTTTGTATTGATGTTGTTTACCTTAAATCAGAATCAAAATTCATATAATTTTGTTTACCAAAATTGTATGAAATCGAAATCAGAATTAGATATATAATAATTACTAATATACCATTTTCTTATTTTTAGCTCGTTACAGATACATCATTGACAGAAGAAAAGAATAAAAATATAAAACAATTAATTGAAAAAATTATGGATATCCTTAATAAAGGGTAAAGATAGTAAAATTGACTGCAATAAATATGTGGAGCCCATGAAATAATGAATAAGAATGAGAATGAGATTGATAAGACTATGAAATGAATCACACTGTCTCTCTTAAAAAAATGTGATTAGTAAATTTGGGGTGGTTTTCAATTGGATTAAATTCTTACAATTGGATATATACCATAAAAATTCTTACAATGGAATGTTGAAAAAATTGTTTCTCATTCTAAACTTTAGAGCGTAGTCGGGTCCGTCTCTAAATTATAATACTCCCAACCCAATGCTTACAAAATTAAAAACAATAGTTAATAATAATAATAGAGAGAAAAAGAACGAAATACGAAACTTAGGGGAAGAAAGACTGAAGATGAATAAGCAAAAGGAGACCCCTCAATTTTGAAGCCACTTTTTTTTTCCCTTTCTCATCGACACGCTCACTACGCGAAGGAAGAGATTACAGTTCATCTTTCTGGTTCAATTTCTTGCAGCTTTACGTATCCACCACGGTCTCTGTTTTCCATTTCGTATTTATTATTGTTTTTCTCTCTCTCTGTGATCCGGAGGGGAGGAAGATTTGTTCAGTATTCCGTTGAAGCTATCTAATCCGGATCCACAATTTCCAGGTATTTTCTAGATCTGATACTTTCTCCTTCTTACTTTGCGTTTCTGACTGTTCGCCGGAGGTTTTTGCATCGCTGTTTACTCTATTTGCGAAGGTGATGCTCGTTCATCAATCGTTTCTCTGGTGTTCAGCTTTGTTTCGTGATTTTAGCACTTGATTACTTGAATCACTGCCGAATTTCTACCTGTTTGATTTTGATCGTTTATCGATTTAAATCATCGCGTGTTTGTGTTTATGGTTATGCTGTTTGGTGTTTGCAGGGATATCTGCGATATGGCCGAGGAAAAAGCCGCTGGTGAAGGTGAAAAGAAGGATACTGCTGCCGATGTTGCCGGGAAGAAGAAATCCCGGGGGTTTTTATCGCGGCTTTGGAGTGGTATCTTCGGAGTACGTGGTGACGATTTCGAGAAGAGGCTTCAACACATTTCTAAGGAAGAAGCCGCTGTAATTGCTAGGTTGAAGCGTAGATCCCTAACCTGGCGGCGAATGGCCAGAAATCTTATTGTATCTTCTGTCATTTTTGAGGTAATCCTATTTGTCTATTTTATTTGTGGTAATTCTATGTTTTGGAGCATGGTTTACAGTTCGTATTGAGTACGTTTTGTTGCTCTCTATACCAATTGCAGTAGTTTATGATAATGATACTGAATTTCATTCTACGTAAGACTACTTTTTCTTTCCAACTCTGTTCATCTTTTCGTGCTGAATGTACTTCTGTAGGAATTAATTTGTGTGCCTTTGTTGCTCTTCTGCGCTGCTTTGGCTGACAGAATATGTATATTTCATAATTTTCTTTTTGCCAAAGTACAAGTTGAGAGGAGAGGAATCGAACTCTTTAAGGGTGATATATATAAACTGAACTATATTTTCCAAGTTAAGTTCTCATCAAATTTAACACCCATGACACCCTCCTTCCCCAGAGGGTGGGTGGTGGATGGGAGTGAGCAGAAGGAATAGAAATTTATGGAACGACATACTAGGAGATTTTTCACGTGGAGTAATTGTTAGATATTCCTTATCCTGAGGATTTTTTCAATGATTTTTCTTCTAATTTTCAGGTTGTTGCAGTTTGTTATGCTATCATAACTACAAGAGCTGTAGATTTGAACTGGAAGATGAGAGCTTTTAGAGTTTTACCCATGTTTCTTTTGCCTGCATTAACAGCTCTGGCTTATACGACATTTCTCAGCTTCACAAGAATGTGTAAGTATCTGCTTGGTTATCTGTGATTATTTTTATTTACATCATACTCACCCCATAGAGTTTTTTCTTTCTTATTTTTTTCCTCGACATATTTTGTGGTTCTGTTTGTTTATGCTTTGTCCCTTGCTCTTCACTGTTTTGTCTTCATCGATTTTCTTATGCGTTAATTAGTGATTGTATGTAATGCTTAACCATAAGACTTGTCCAAAAGTCTCCATGAGTGTCTTCATTGGTTTTCTTTATTTTGTGGTTCTTACGTGTTAATCATTGATTTTCTTGCATGTTAATTAGTGATTGTATGAAAACATGAGTGTTATTAGAAGTCCTGCTTTTTTCATCCCAAATTTCCAAAGGACATTTTCCATTGGCTCTTGGCTTGTTTTGGAAGGTATGACCACCCCGTAAGACTTGTCCAAAAAATAGTTTACCGATGAAGGGTGAGTGCAGTGCATGTTGAATCTGCTGTGGATGGCTGTTCTGAACATTTTGCTACAAACTCACAGTAAAGTTAGAGAAGGTCTAGATTTCTATCCTGTTTTTAACACATAATGCACCAATTGTGAGATAGCAGCATCAAATGTAACTTGTCGTTCAGTTTTCCCAGGGTGAAAGTCCATACAAAGACCTTTGCTTTCATAGGAGTCTTTCCTTTCCCTATACACTTTGCCATAAATATTTTGAGAATGGACATAAAAACATTGGAATGCTACAGAGAATCCGTGAAATCATAATTAGCTTACCTCTCTCTTAAGGCTCACTGTTTTTCCATTTACTTAGTCTCCTTTGACACAACACAATGTGTAGATTGTATAATGGGTTTCTTTAAATAGTTTGTGTGTTTGCTGTTTTTAATTCGTCATTTTTCTTAGTTTATGGTGATATCTCGTGCAAGTCTTGCCTTCGCCTGCTGTTAAGATTGTGCTTGTGCGAAGAATTAGCTGGTGTTCTTCTGATGACTGCAGTACTTAACATTAATATATTTTCTGTCACCTTGTATGGGATCTTTGCTAATTGTATCAGTCATCCGCCTCCAACAATGAACATTTGGAATGAACATTCTCAAGTCCCATCTAGATTTAGTAGTGTTACTTCTTTCTATTGCTATTGATATTTCGTTAGTTCCATGTTCGTTGCATATTTGTGGAGTCATGATACGAAATTTGACACTTTGATACAGTGGCTCATGTTTTTTGACTGAAATCCAATTAGAGATTTTATAACTTTTTCTGTCTTGGATTTTATAATCTAGCTAATGATCTTAGTTGATAATTTGTTGAAGGCTTTATGTTAAATGTCTGGTGGCATATTGGAATTTAGGATTACATTTCATATTACTGAATCTTTAACTTTTTGGCAACTTATAGGTGATCGCAAGGACCAGAAAACCCTTGAAAGGCTGCGAGCTGAGCGGCAAGCTAAAATTGATGAACTCAAGGAGAAAACAAATTATTACATTACACAGCAGCTCATCCAGGTAATGCTGATCATCCAATATGTTTTTCCAGTCTTGTTTCTTGAGTTGGCATGGGATTTCTCTAATCTATGATTCTCCTTGCACATCATAAGAGCCAATCTGTCTACATAAGCCTTATCAGTTTAATCTTATTGGTGCCATTCGGTGCAGTCATTTAAAGGTCAATTTCCTGTCTTTAAAATAATTAAGTATTTAGGAAGTTGTCAATTCTTTATATTGGATGTTGATGTTAGCCAATTTAGCCTATCACTAATAGACGAAATGGAGGCAGCCTAATATTGAAGTAAAAATTAAAATGGCTGATATTCTCTCTAAAATCTGTAACCTCTTTGTTATAACTATGCATAGTAAATGGAGGGTTAAAATATTGTTTAGGTCCATGTACTTTTAGCTTTTAGCTTTGGTTTATTTTAGTCATGTATTGTCAAAATGTTCATTTTGGCCTTTCTACTTTTAAAAAGTGATCATCCCTTTCGTACCTCAATGGAATTGTTTCTTTGACAAAAAAAAAAGTGATAATCTTAATCCCTATTTGTAAAATTTTAACATAAATTCTACACATAACGAAAATCCTTTAGTATAAAGTAATGGTAACATTTTAAGAAATATATTAAGTGTAGTGTCGTGTTAAAATTGTGATAGAAAAACTAAGATTAAAAATAAAATTAAGGAACCAAAATGGTCACTTTTTAATAGGACAAGGACCAAAACGAACCTTCCAGAGTACAAAGACTAAAGTGAATCAAAGTTGAAAGTAGAGGACCAAAACGAACCTTTTAAAAGTACAGGGACCAAAATGAACCAAAGCTGAAAATATAGGCACCAAAACAATATTTTAACTTGAAATGTCCTTTTAAAATATGCTTAAGCTTCTGATAAAAAAAAAATGCACAAGCTCCAGAAATCTTCTCTTCTGTTTTGATGATAGAAAACACCATATTTTTTTGAAAGCCAGTCTTTTGGGGCATGACACCACTGTCTATTCTGAGAAATGAAGCTGATGATTGCCCGTTTCTTTATTTTTTTGATTTTACATTTGTCTCCCTATAGCTTTACTGCAGAGGGGGTCATGTCTCCAACTGGATTGACCAATATTGCTCAAGTTGTGCAGCCTTTTTTCTTCACAGCCTCATTATCTTGGCTTTTCTGATGAGGATCCATGTAATTTCTGTTCCCATTCTTTGACAGAGATACGACCCTGACCCTGCTGCAAAGGCGGCTGCTGCAACTGTATTGGCTTCCAAGTTGGGAGCAGATTCAGGCATGAAGGTTCATTTGGGCGATGAACCCAATGTTAATGTCCCATCAGGGAAGAGCAACGATGTTGAATATGTGCAACCTGGTGTTGGACTTCGGAATAGAAAACAAGGTCAGAATCGTTCCAGCAGTGCAGGCAAAGCTTCATTGCATCATCCCGAAGAAGAGACACATCTGCCTACAGTATCTGAAAGTCCCCATGCTCCTGAGAACAATCAGTTGGTTGTCGATCATTACAATCCCCAAGGACCAGCTGTTAATGATGGAGGATGGTTGGCTCGAATCGCTGCACTGCTCGTCGGAGAGGATCCAACACAGTCTTATGCGCTCATCTGTGGCAACTGCCATATGCACAATGGTTAGTGGTCCTGTTTTATCCTTTAAAAGACGTTCGTTCTTCAAGTACATAAGCAGATTATGTTTGAGGACACATTCTTATTCTTGTACACCTAAATTGTGAAAATACATGCACTTCCCTTTCAAACGTTCATCACTCAACAAAATCAACAAGATCAACAAGGATAAATATAGTTTCATCTCTTTTTTTCTTTTTATCCTTTTTAGGGCTTGTGAAGAAAGAAGATTTCCCTTTCATTACCTACTACTGCCCACATTGTCATGCCTTGAATCGGTCGAATCAATCAGAGGAACCAGCTTCTAGCCACGGCACTCCTGGTCCTGATTCTGCAAGAGCTGGAGACAGTAGTGATCCATCAAATACTGCTGGATCTGTTATTGACAGTGTACTCACCAGCAACGTCCTTGCGGAAGCAATTTCCGAGGTTCAGGACACGGTCAAAGCAACGGAAGCTGAAAACTTAGTTAGTGAAGGAGAAAAGGTATGCACAGCTGTAACTACGTAACTATAATACCACGGGACTAGAGTTTGATCATCACTTGGGCTTGTTTTACTTACCCCTTGTTCATATCATGGGCGTTATTGAGCAACATATTGTTTTCATGGTTTGCTTCCAGCTTCCTGGCTTGGTCTTGTAAGCTGGCACTGTTAAAGGTGAGTACTTTTCATTCTCTTTTTAATTTTCCTGCCCTCTTTTTTCTCCCCCTTAGAGCTGATGATGTATACATAAACATAGGTTACATGGATTTTGTTGTAAACATGTAAAACTGTTGAATTTTTGGACTTTTAATGGAAGTGTCTAAAAGATCTTCTTTTGTTAGCTTTGTAACATTTCGCTTGTTTTTCTAAATGTTTGGGAGTTCTGTTGTTTGCATTCACATATGGATAATACTTTCTTGCTGATTGGGTAGTACAAAATTCTTGTTATATCGGTCAAAAACACATAGGGAGAAAGAGAGAAAAACGCGCTCTCTAGCTATACATTTATAGTAGGAAAGAATTATTCTTTTCATGTCATGTCCACAGTTGATGTACCTCCCACGCCCAAGTCCCGTAGCTTTGTATCTGATATCCTGATCATGATTTTCCTACCTCTAGAGGAAAAAAAAACCTTCTTCGGCTGATTGTGGGCGTAAGTTTTGATTTTATGTAGGTTTTTCTATATTTATGACTTCGGTTCATCTTCACCTCTACTATACTTCCAATGTTGGTTTATTTTAATTCATAAAAAGATGATCACTTTTATCTATTTATTTTGATTAAAATTTTAGCATGGGAATAATTTGTACTAAAAGATTATTTAAACGTTTTATTAATTTATTTATGGTATTGGAGTGAGAAACTTGGGATTGGTTGAGATTGGAGATGCGGTGTGTTTGAATTTTGCATAAAATGTGAATGTAGAATGAAGAAGGTAATATCTGATTAGTGAAATTAAATTCGTTGAAAATTATTATTTAAAATCGAGTTATTGAAACAACTTTTTTTCATTAGTATTCAAGTCTACAAGAATTGTTTATATTCATTATGTTATGATTTTCAGAAAATCAATGTGTGCAAGGTGTAACTTTATGAACTTTTTCTTTATTTTGAAATTACTTCTTTTTAAATTAATTTCATCTTTACTATTTTTTAAAATCTCTATTTGATGGTATGAAAATAGTTTAACAGGTCATTTAGTATTGGAATCGATTAAGTAATGGATGATTTTTGAAGTTAGTAAATTTTGTTTTTGCTATATATATTGTTCTCACTCAATCCAATTAAAATTTTAAATTGACTCTAAATCGCCTTCTAAAGACTTGCAATTGTTCTTTTGTTCGTTTGATTTTCTATTTTAAAAACATCCCTCTTGGCTCTTCTAATTTTTTTAAAGTGATCCTTTTAATCTCTATTTATAAAGTGAAACATAAACCTAAGTTTTTTAATACAAAATTATGGTAAAATTTGGATCGAAATAGATGACATAGAATCGGAAAATGAAAAGGCCACAGATGGAGAGATCAAAATGGTTACTTTTTTAAAGTACAAAAGTCAAAACCGACTTCTCAAATTGAAACATAAACAAAAATTAAAAGTATAAAAACTAAAATAGTATTTTAACTTTTTTTTTACTTAGTGTAGTGTTTTTTATTCATACAATCAACTTCTTCCAACTTGTGCATTTACTATCATTGACATACTAATAAAAGTGAAATTCCAAACCGAATTATTTCTATAGAATTGTTTACGTTTTATATAATTAATAAATAAAATTTATTCGTACGTTTAGCAAGTATAAATATACTATATTTAAAATAAATAAAAAAAACTAGAAATTTGTAAAGTCAGGAGCCATGTGTTTTTTCCATAAGAAATAATCTCGCATTTTGTGCTTGTCTACCTATGGACTTCTTATAAAACAACGATAAGACATTCAACGGTCTTATCTTTCAACCACTTTCTCTCAATTCTCACCACAGAGAAAATACTTACAGAAACTTCTCTACGTGTTCGTTTATTAGTAATATGTAAGAACGAGGATTCGAACTCATAATATTTAAATCAAATCATTTATAGATACCTAAATCTATTGAGCTGTCTATGATCGGATTAACTCGTTCATGTTCTTTTTAACAAATATGAAATTGTAAAAGTTATCAATTTCACCGGTAAACTTTAAATTCTGAAATTTGTCAATATTAATAAAGAAAAATGCTTGACGTACAAAATCTATTTCTACGTTTGACCACTATTATTATTGTTTTCTAAAATATTTATATTTTTATATTTYCCACTTCTAATTATCAAATATTCAATGGTCTAAGCACAACATAGATCCTCATAGTAACGGCCTACGGAATAATTGAAACAAAACAAAAGTGAAATTCCAAACAGAAAATAATATGTGACAAACAATGATGAAAAATTTCTTAAAATATAAGTAAGAATCGTAATGAGAATTACTGAACCCAAAAACTTTTACATGACGAAACGTTGCCGTTTCGGTTCCCCCGAGTCTTCTCCTTTCTTCTGCACATTCTGGCGGCAACCGATCTCAAACACCTGAAAATCAATGGCGATCGCGGGAATGGATCTCTCTCTCTCTTTTCGGAATCAGATCCACCGTCTGTGGTTGCGGCTGCCGTGCGCTCCTCGGAACCACTGATCCCAATTGGCGTCCGTCGGGCCTCTTGTTCTGTAATTTGCATCATTTTTTAGTTGATTAGGCCGAGAAATGATCATTGATATTGATGATTGATGATAAGAAATGTTAATGGCGACAATCTTACTCTGGAAGCAGCGGATCAGGAAACGACTCGACGCTCGAGACGAGTCTGTACGTAAACAGGTGAAGAAATTAATTTAAGCCCTAGAGTAATGGGGGCGATGATTTTGTTTGAAATTGAGGATGAATCATGACTGCGTAAATAAATTGGAAGTGTTGGAAAAACGAAAACCTAATGAATTGATTAATCTGCTTACTCTTGACAGACGGTGGAGGCTTCGCCTATGCTCTCGAGCTTCTGCAACTCATCCTGCATCACGATTTATCATCGTCTTCAATTTCTGAGGAAAATAATTGGTGCAAACATGAACTGCGTTACTAGATATTAGATGAGGAACGCCAATCACCTCGATGATACTGATTTCATTCTGGAGTCTGGTTATGGCCGCTGTGATTCTGTGTCTTCCAAACAAATTATTGTTGTTGTTGTTGCATCGAACTGCAGATTTAGGTTTGGTTTCAGAATTGGCCTCTTGTTCTCTCTTCGCCGCTTCTTCTCCTCCACCTCCCGGCGGCGACGGCGACGGAAACGGCTGCGATTGAGGTTGGTCGTCCATTTGCCACTACAGTAAATCAAATTCTTCTAGTACTCTCTAAGCCTATATAGTCCGTATTACGCGAAAGAAATCTCAAGAATCACCGTGGAAAAACCATGCTAAATTCCAAAAGCAAAGAGAGAATTAGGAATCTTAAATAAACAAAGGGAATTGGAGAGAGATGGGACGGATTTTGAGGGAAAAAAAGTGTAGATCACATTCACAGCACAACATTGACACATGGGAAAAAGGGGAAGAAAGAGATTACTGGACCGACCAGAGATGGAAACAAATGATGGAAGCAAGGTGTGTGTGTCTATGATTGTGTTCTTCGTTTCTCTTTTTTGTAATGTTAATTGGAATAATTGAAGAAGGAAGAGACGAGATTATGATGAAAAAGAATAAAGTGGGCAGTCAAAGTTTCAAACTCTGCGGAAAAGGGGAAGCAAAAAAGGCCCAAAACAGCAATTTCTGGACTGCAGACTACAGTTGTAAGGTATGCCCTTTTCCTCTCTCTCTCTCTCTCTCTCTCTCTCTGGCTCTGTGTTTTCTCTGCGTGGGAGAGAGATTTTAATAATGTTTTGGGGGAGATGAAGAGCAAGTGGGGGGGAGATTGGGGATAAGGGAGATGAGATTTTTAAATGGAATTTTGGATTTGTTAAGGTCAAACCAAACCCATCAAAGCCGCCATCACTCTCTCTCTCTCTCTCTCTCTCTCTCTTCCATTTTCTTCAACTCCATAATTGCTCAATTAATATCTAAAGATAGAAACTACCTCCATCTCTCCATCCCCAATCAACAAGACTTTTCCTCATTGTTCTTCATTATTGCTCTACTTCTAATCTAATGATTTGTTGATTAGTTGTCATTGAATCTCTTTTACCCTTTCATCTTTTTCTTGATTTGGGTTAGATCAAAAGTTTGATCTGTGTCTAGTAAATCTCTTTAATTTTTAATTTTGTGTCGAATATGGTTTGACTTTTTTTTCCTAAATTAATGGTTTTTTTAGTATAACTACATTTGGGGTAGAGATTCGAAACTCATTATCTAAGTAAGGATACATTATATTCTGATTATGTTCAAGTTGACAAAGTTAATTGGTCTATTCAATATAAAATTGAAAATTTTGTGTCCAACGATACTTTAAACTTACAATTTTCTGTCTATTAGACATAAAATTGGATGTTGAGAATTTATTAGATGTTATTTTTAAAGTTAAAAGACATACAAATTTAAAAGTAAACTTATAGTTTGTATTTATAAACAAAAATAGAATTGCATGATTCCAACATCTATAAATTCAATAATTATAAAACAGTGTTTAATTTATGTTTTGGAACGGGAACAAAAAACAAGAAATTTGTATTTGTTGTTTACAAAATTTCTATACAATTTTTAAAATGTTTCTAAAAATGACAAATAATAAACATAAATAGTTTTCAAATGTTTCGTGTAAAAAAAATGTTGTCAAATGTTTAGAATCTTAATAAAATTGATAACGAGAAACAATTACCAATTACCAAACGGGCTTTTAATTAGCTAAAGGTTTATAAAGAGAAATATATTTATTAAGTATACATTATATTGATTAATTAATTATTATCAATAAAATAAAGTTATGCTCGTGGCATAGGTGAATAAAATGAAGAATATGATATGATATGATATATTTAAGGAAGTTTCAGAAGGTATTGTGAATGGGAAAATGAAGTCAACAAAATTCAACTTGCTATTTGCCATTAATTATAAACCTACAATGAATGTCTAATATAAAACTTAACTAGTTGACTTTAATTAATCATTTGCAATTCAATCAATTTATCTTCAAAAAATATGATTGATAAAATAAATTTATCTTTTTTTTTACAGAGATAAAATCAATTTATATTACAGCGTATAAATAAATGTTCTAAACATATCTTCATTTCCATACAAACATAGTTCTATTTTACAGTAAAATAGTCGATAACATTACTTTTTTTATTTGCTAACATTGAAAAAATTATCAAAATTAAAATATAATCTCTCCCTAATTGGCATCGAGTTTATTTGTTCAAATTCCTCGTTCCACTTGTACTCGAAGGAATCATCAACCTTTTCTAGTAAAATACCAAAATATCCCCAGCGCTTCCCACAATATACCATAGTTACCCTTATCCCCACGCGTTTGAAACTCATTCTCAAATAAAGGAGAAATTAGTAATATTCTTTTATTTAATTATTATTGTTTTTCTTTTTTGGGCGGGAAGGTAAAAGAGGATAAGCCGGTCCAATCGGGAAATTAGGGCTCGGGAACGGAAGTGTCACAACACAACTTCCCTCCATTTTCAGAGTTTATGGAAGACGAACACTCTCCATTTGACGAACTGCAAGATTTCCGCATTTTGCACCTCCACAAATTTCGTTTTCTGATCGGAACGGCACTGAAATGGCTTTGAAATCAATGGCGAAGCTCCCGTTGTTTTCTCCTCCTCCGTCACAATCTCTCCGTTTTCGGTCTTTGATCTCCGCCGGTACTTCTGCGCCGCCGAGATTTCTACGGTGCTGTTCTTCCATATCTACCGCAACTGATGTTAGGAACAAGGCGAATAAGGAGAAGCAGAAGAAATCCAGAAATCTTAAGGCGAGTACTGCTTCGTCTTCGTCTTTGAAATTAGCTTTGGTGAAGGAGAAAAGGAGGACTCGTTCCACTAAGGAGTTTGATGAAAACGCCATCCAGTTCGGGGATACGGCAGCTCACATTCCGGTGATGCTTGCGGAGGTATTGGACGTGTTCTCTGCTTCTTCCGGAAGGCGGCTACATTCCTTTGTAGATTGCACCGTCGGTGCCGCTGGACACTCCTCTGCTGTAAGTTACTCTCTTAACTTGTTTTCGTTCTTCTGTTCATCATTAGTGATTGACTCCTCGTCTTTCTTGTTAACAATTGTTATTCAAGTGCGTTTTTCTGATTGTATTTCTCTAAATAGGTATGTGCATGCTCACCAAGTTTTCTGAACTATAATATAATTCATGTGTATTGGCCTGCCGGTTTATACGCTCGTCCAACATTTCTATTTAAATTTTCAATTAATAAGCAGTACAATATGTGTTCATCTGCATTATTACATTTTGTTTTTGTGTTCTATGTGGAGCTAAATTTAGCTATTTAAGCGACCGATCTTATCCATGTACTTATTTCTCTACTATTTGGAAATGCCTGCGCCATTTGACGATTGACGTAGTGTTCAGTGTTCATGATTGCCCCTTTATGGACTGTGGCTATATGCGTTCTCTTAGCATTTTCTGTTTGAGTTGAGTTCTCCTTTTCATGATGTCCAATTCTGATTTCATGTCCTGGAAAAAACAGATAATTCAAGCGCATCCAGAGTTGAAATTTTACATGGGAATGGATGTCGATCCAATTGCAGTTGATAAGGCTGAAGATCGGATAAGTGCTCTCTTTAGTGAGGATTCTGATCTGAAAGCATATACAGTTCTGAAGAACTTTAAATTTACGAAATCGCTACTGACTGAGGCAGATGAGAAACCTTTAGATCCTGGAGTTGATGGGATTTTGATGGATTTGGGAATGTCATCCATGCAGGTACGTTCCGGAAAATGCAATGCTATGTAAAATATTGAGCTCAGCTTGTGATGAGAATTAGGTATAGTTCTTATCAAATGGTGAATAGAGTAAACTTGTCAGCTAATATATAAGGCAAAAACAGAATTCACTACATAACGACACAGTATAAAGGTAGTGAAGAAAAAAAATAAGATTTTACAAATAGTAGACTTGTAATATTCTTGACAATTATCAAAGGCAAAGGGAAACAACTTTAGAATTCAAAGTGACTGTCTTTCATTTTTACTGTTATTTTTCTTTACACAGAATGATCACAACTTTTGAGGAGGGTAGGTCTACCTGAACACTTAAGGCCGTTTAGTAACATTTTCGTTTCCAAATTTTAAACCTAAACATTTTGCAACTAATTATGTTTATTATTTCCATTTTCAATTTGTTACAAAACATAAACATAAATATTGTTTGATCATTCTTAAATTCATTGGTGTTGTGATCATACAATTCTATTTTTTTTAATTAAAAAATGAAGAAACAGAATCAAGAAACGAGGACGTTACTAAATGACCCTTAATTGCCTTATACTTGATTTATGTTAGTTTATCTCAAACTTCTTTCTCACCTCATCAGTAGCAAGTGAGTTGGTTACAGCTTGAAATTTGGATTTTGTTTTTTGTTTTTTTTTTTTTGCGTTTTCCCTGTCTGTGTAGGTGGACGATCCTGGAAGGGGCTTTAGTGTCCTTTGTGATGGACCTCTTGATATGCGAATGGATCCTCAGGTACAAACTTTTATAGTAGTTAAACTAATTCATGCATTCTGTAAATTTGAGTTGGAGTGATGCTCTAAAATGTAGTCATATAAATGTAAGTATTTTTGATGTGTTAGGTTAGGTATAGTGCAGAAATTGATGGATGAATTAAAAATGTGGTTTTGGTTTGGGGATTTGACTGATGGAAACAGGTTAATGGCAGGCAAGTGTGAGAGCGGAGGACATATTGAACAGTTGGCCAGAAATAGAAGTGGGGCGTATCTTGCGGGTTTATGGAGAGGAGAGCAATTGGTATTCACTCCAGAATAAAATAATGAAAGCTCGATCACAGGGTGGATTGCATTCCACCACTCAATTAGTGGATCTCATACGCAAATCTACTCCTCCCTTCAAAGGTAATCCACTGTTTCCTTTTTTAGTTTTTTTTTTCGCCCTCTGAAGTCCGAACCATGTGGATCTATGCTTATTATGTTCCCTCTTCCATGCCATATCATCATGATTGTCTCTCTCCCTGAATTTAGACACTTTCTTTTCAACACCTCTTTCTGTAAGTTCCTAAGTGTTTTTTTTAAATAGTTTTTAATAAAAATTATCCCTAAAATTCTCAATTAAATTATTTTATATATAAAAAATTATTGTAATTTGTTTATAGTATCATTAACTTCTAGGTAAAATATACACTTTTGGTCTCTAAAGTGCGAGAATTGATATTTTGGAGCTAGTGTCTATGTGGTTCTTAAAATTTTAAAATAGACATTTTTGGTCCTTGGAATTTGAGAAATAGTTATAAATTTATTTAACCCTTAGTTGACTAATATTAAAATACTTTGCTGTTTTTTTTTTGTCATGTAAAATTTCATGAAAACAGGAGGAAGGCAAGGTTGGATAAAGACAGCAACCAGGGTATTCCAAGCTCTGAGAATTGCTGTTAATGACGAATTGAAGGTATTAGAAGACTCCCTATATAGTTGTTTCGACTGTCTCGCCCCGGGAGGTCGACTTGCAGTCATCTCCTTCCACAGTCTGGAGGATAGGGTTGTGAAACAAACATTTCTCAACATCATTAATAACCCGGAAATGGAAAAAGATGAAGATATAAGAGAAGATATCGTTGAGAATGAAGAAGAAGAATGGATTAAGCAAACTGTAAAAGGTTCAGTGGGAACAATCCTAACTAAAAGACCGATAACTCCATCTGAAGAGGAAGAGAGGTTGAATCGACGTAGCAGGAGCGCTAAGCTAAGGGTTATTCAAAAGAATAATTAACGAGTGAGCATTTCTCTCTATATCTTTATATGAAATCATTTGCATTGCATTTTATTACTATTCTGATTGCTTTTATAATAGCCTTTCTACCTCCATAAATTCGGAAGCTCCTTAGCAATGCCTAAAAGACCCCATGCTTTTTTGGTTGGACCAACTATTTTTGACAAGTCTTTATTCATTGTTCAAGTAAGAAGGGAAACTACAGAGATTATTTACAAAATGTCATTTTCTCATTGAATGGGAAACTTTTAAAACAGCAGAGAAGAGAGTAGAAAATGGAGGTGCATTGCATGCACCAGCAACCGTGTCAAATATTAATTCTACATAACAATACTTGAGATATAGAGAGACTAAAATACTACAATTTCCGCCGTTCTTATAGGCCGACCCAATATGAACGGCCGTTACCGTTATGAAGCGGAGACTGTGACGGAGATGACACACACCACTCGTACCAAACCTGCACGTGCACCCACACATTTAATTTATTATATGATTAAACAAATAGGAAAGAAAAAAAGAATCACCTTATTAGGACTACAACATCGCCAGAAATGTACTTCTAGAGGAGAGCCAGGTGGCACGCATATCGGACTCCTTAATGGGAAAAATATAGCGAACCTGAATAACAACAAATATTAAGTAATTAGAAGATATTATGGAATGAACAACAGTTCAAAAACAAGTGAGATCATACCAACTGAACATGTTTGGTGTGGCTGTTGATGGTTCAATGCCCAGATGTACGTCGTCGTATAATATTGCATCAAAATAACCACCAAAACCTTTACAAATTTAATTCTATAACTCTCAGCCAAAATATTCCCAAAAAAAAACCACAAACAAACTCAAGATACAAATAAGAGGTCTTCAAATTACGTTGGAGTTGTTTTCACATTACCGTGTACTAAGGCTGCACCGGTGTCATTGGGTATCTCAAATACGAGCTTCTTATATCGCCGATTGCTTCCTTCAGATGCTGCGTTCGGATGTGCAAAGCTAAATACCTACATATGCAGTTAATAGCAGCAAGTGAGCCATACTAGGACACATATATAATCAATCTGGGTATCATTCAAGATTTCAGTATAAATGACATACTTGATATCATCATTTAAGTCAGTCCCGTATGATGACGATTTCATTTCTAGTTTTATGTTTTAAAAAGTCTACTCACAACTTCTTTGACATGTTTTCAGATTTCTTAAAAACACATTTGCATTCTTAAAAACTACCATTTTTTTAGATTTCAAATTTTGGCTTAAGAATTTGAAAACATTTTTAGAAAATAGATAGCAAAATAAAGGCACACAAGCTTAATTCAGAGGCTTAGTAAAAGCAATTGACACTTACAGGCTGAGGGGCAGAGAGTCTTGCTACATTGTGCAGTTTGACAACATAAGCAGTTTCAAAGTGGACCACATCTTTATGTGACTTAACCTGGCGACATTAGCGAACTAAATTAATATACCGAACGGAGCTATGTGGAATTAATTATGGCATGTGGAGAAAACACCACACACGTACATCATTGTATAGCTTGGAGGCTGTAATTGGTTGGAGGAAACTCGTGTACCTGAAAGTAACACCCAATTATTTCTAAAATAACATTTCAAAAAGATACAACAAATAGATGTCCATGCAACAATTGAACTAAAGTTTTAAGCACTAGTACATGGCCATCTTGTTTGCACCATTATGAAAAAGTTACTAAAAAGAAACTAGATCACTTACGAAGAGGGTATTGAAATGCCATCTTGTTTTAAAAATCTCTGGGCTCCATCAAGGCACTCAGGAGAAAGTTCATTGTCGCCAAAAGAACCCAGCAGCTCACTAACCTAAAAATACAGTAGATGTAGAAGTGAAGAAAAAAATAATAGTAGTAGTGGCACATGGGAACAAACCAATGACCATAACAGATACTTACGTACCAAAATGTCAGCCTTCTCTGGAGCATCCCAGTGACGCATGTCACAAGAAATTATGGTAACAATTTTTTCCCAACCCTCCATCTTAACCAAACTCTGGAAATAAACACAATGTCATTTAAAGAGCTTTGGTGCATCAAATATCAAGGACATCGTGCAAATATTTAATTAACTGAACATTCTTGAGCGAAGATTTCGATAAATAGACATTTCATTCACCCGGAAAGGAAGAAAGAGGGGGGAAATTTTGCACAACACTTCATAAGAGCAAGCATTTATGTGAAACACCAAACACATGGTGCAAACAAGAGTGACAACTGAAATAAAGAACATAGCAAATAAGTAATATAGAGCTCACGTGAAGAGTGACAACTGCATTCGGATTTTTCTCCACAGCATAAACTTTCAGTTTGCGGCCAGTTTCTTCTGCTGCCTATAAATTAACCAGTGTTTAAAATAGGAGAAGAAATTAAAGGTAATCCAGTTCACTTGAGTGAGGAAAGGAACCTGCAAAGCTGCCCTAACAAGAGGTCCGCGGCCTGCACCTACGACCATCAATACCTTTCCACGGAAAAAGAAGAAAAATAAAGTTTCCATTACGTTCAAGCTCAACTCATTCTAAAGAAAATAAACCCAAAATGAAATGGAATGGTATGAGAAACAGAAAAGTTGGAAGCTACTTACTGTTGTTACTGAAGTTGCCTTCTCATCTGCCACCCTATCTTTCAAAGCTTTAACAATTGCACGTTGGTACTACCAAAATTAAAGCAAATGTTTAAGACAGAATACAATAATAATAATAATAATAATAACAGCAACAACACTACATAATTGCTATCTGTAACCCTAGCCATTGACACACATCTCATTCTCAGAGACACTAGAAGAAGGGAAAATCACATATAATGACCCTGATAAGTATATAGTAAATTATAACTCAAAAGCAGCACCAATTAGCTAAATTATGAAAAATATCAACTAAATATTAGCTAAATTGGAGAATCATCATATCAAAGTAACTTTGAGCATTCTGTGGTTATGGATATGTACAAACAAATTATAAATAATAGGGCTCAAATCAATAACTTTAGAATAAAATGCATTTAAAAATGGAGAATTGGACTACATAGCAGAGATTTAATATATTCTAAAAAATGTCACAACTTTTTGTTTTTTTTTTCCAAATATTAGAATACATGTAACTTCCGAGTGTGTTTTAATTTATATTTGAGACTAAGTTTGTTTTGGATTATACTGTTTTTTCAAACTTTCTGCTATATTTAAAAATACATATTTATTGCTATTAATGTATACGTTTTTTTTTAAATCTCAGTAAGCCTGTGAAGTGAAAGCAAATTGATTGTCCAAATTCAATTATCATTTAATTTCCCAAATGAAAAAGAAGAATTGGATAAAAGGATTACACCATGTCATTACAAGATTGCGATGCTCTAACGAAGCAAAACAAGAAAACAAGAAGTAGCATAAACAAGCTTTCATTAATTTATTATGCACTGTATGAACTTCCAAACGTTATATAGGGGGAAAGAGCTGCTTGACGTTCATAGAGCATTCCTACAAACAATCAGATAAATTACTAACCAGTGAGAAAAGAGAGGAAGGAAGTTTCTTTGCCCATACCTGAATGTATTTGACTGCATCCTTCTCGAAAGTTTCATAAGTTTGAGACTCTAGGTTATCCATAAGAGGCTGCAATAACATTAAACATCACCAAAAACTAGAACATGTCAGGAGTGTGCACGAGTAATGATTCAGTATAGGTTATGAAAAATCTAACAAAACTTACTTGCAAAGGAGCCTGTAAGAAGTCCCTGTATCCGAGCTGAAATGAGAAAATGAGAATAAGCTGAATTACTATATCCTTTTGCTTGGGGTTATACAATTTACAAAATACTGACAGTGTTTGTTTGTGTAAGAGAGAAACAGGGAGACTGAGGAAAGGTAAATAGAATCTACCTCAACTCGTTCTTGCTCAGGTAGTGGGTCCATTCTCTGGTAAAGAAAACCAATATAATCTAAATAGCACCTTAAGGGATGAGGCTGTACACCTAAACATTAGAAAACACTAAATTATCAGACAATAAAGACCATGATTAATAGCCCTAATAAAGCAGAAACATAAAACATAAAAACCACATTCATCTTTTGCTAGGTGAAAGATAAATTTTAGAAACCAGAAGCTTGTACAAAACGAAATTAGGCATACCATCAGAAGGATTTTTGTTAAGACCAGTAGGCGAATTTGTACATCCCCTTGAAACGTTGTGCAATGTCTTCCCAGATAAAACTACCTGAAGGAGGCAGATGAATCAAGGTTGGTTAACAGACCATGCAGCCAATAATAGATAGTGCCAAAATTAATTATCTCCAATAATGCACCGGTTGCAAACCAGTGAAAAAAATGCTACATTGGTAACTAACTAAAATCATGGAAAGTTCTTGAAAGACGGAAGGAAATGAAATGAAATCAGGTAGTATAGCGACACAGGAGTTTGAACATACCTGAATGGAATGATTGAAAAATCCAGTAATCAACTTTTGGTGCCGTTTTGACAGGCATGGATAACCCCGTGAATTTGTCAAGAAAGACTGAGAAAATAATCCAAGTATCTTTGTCAGAATCCAGGCAAACAAAGTATCTGTTCAATCTTAAGAAAATAATCAAATATAATTACATCGGTGTTAATTATGGCTGCTCTAACAGGCTCCCCAAACCATCGTCCAAGTGAATTTGGTGAAGGCAACGTACTCCTAATATACAGAAAATACCAATTTCAACACTATATGATAAACAGTAGCTCAAGTATGTAAAATAGACAACCATAAATTTGAAAACGCACAAAATGTCAAGTGCAATTGATAACTGACTGTGGTGCTCGCAAAGCAGACGAAATGAATTCCACAAATCCCAAGAATCAGCCTACAGGATAGAGATTAAATTAGCAATAACTATGCGAACATCATAAACATTTATGCATGGAAAACTAAAAAAAAATTGAAATTTCCACCCGAGAAAGTCAAGAATTGTTGTACACTGATATTTTATAATGGAAATAATTGCATGCCGATTTGCTCAATACTACTTTGCATCCCCAGACAGAGAACCAAAACTTGTATGGAGTTACAGCCACTTCCCTTAAAGAGCACATCAAGAGAAAGATCCAACATAATTAAAAAAAAAAACTTTACTCACCAAATGATCAGATTTCACATCTGTAGAATCATCATCAACCTTCACCAGAGGTATCCTTAGCCACAACTACAGAAAGTTATCAATTAGAACAGTTTACAAACCTTGGTAAAAGCGTACAGAAAAAGAAAAGTATTGATCATTTATTAATAAATAAGAGCGGCACCTGAATATTATTAAGGCCCTGCAAAATCTGATGAACACACCTAGCATAATTAGCATATGATGTTCCCTTAGGTACTGGAAGAAGGCATGCCTGCAGTAAATCAGCTCTTAACTGTTTAGATGGATGTTCAATTATTTTAATGCACCTCCTGCATTGAGAAATTAGACAGCTAACAAAACATTAAATGCTTTCAAAGTCAAGAGAGTTAAAAATCAAGTATAGCAAATTAAATTAATCAAAGAAAGCAAGAGACGATGAAGACACTGCTAGGCATGTAATTTGACAGATTAAACAGAAGTATGATGGCACGTATTGTATATAAATCATTTTGGTGCAAACTTTTTTGAAAGAGCAGAAGTTGGACTGCCAAACTGGAATAATATACACCTGCAGAGAGAGATGAGAAGCCCATGCTATCTCTTGCTTTAGGGTTGTCTCAGAATCACTTCGCAGAATTTCATCTTCAGAATCTAAGTCAATCCAAGAACTAATTTTTCCTGGGACATCAGAAAATAAAATAAAACATTACAAAGTATGCCTATGATATGCTACAATAAGGTTAACAAACCAGATTGTAATCATGCAATCGAATAATCATTTTTCATAAGAGAATACCAACAACATGGCTGCTCCACTGTGCTGGGCTTAAAACCAAATCGGATCCAGCAAATGGAAGAACGCCGGAACCGCCATTCTCTTTTTGCAGTAAGCTTGGTCGATAGGATGGATCCATCTGAAGCAATATATAATCACATACTAGTTTTTGGAAGTTATGGAATCAAAATATCCCCGAAAAGATCCAGATCTACAAGGTATAAAATCTGTAAAAGCAACCAATCATCCGAAAAATTTGTATAAAAACACTCATCAAATGTATTTAACAGCTCAAGTGTGAAAATTACATGGTCTATATTCACTGCAAGAACCATTAATATATATTGTTTTAGGTGAGCTTACTGACCATTCACACAAAAAAGACAGCTAGGAGCTGGTATGTGACTGGCTAATTGGCCACCATCAGTACTATTCTAATACAAGGTGAATCAATACAAACTACTCATCAAAATGTATTTAACAGCCCAAGTGCGAAATTACATGGACTATATTCACTGCACAGACCATTAATAGATATTGTTTTAGGTGAGCTTACTGACCATTCACACAAAAAAGACAGCTATGAGCTGGTATGTGAGTGGCTAATTGGCCACCATAAGTACTAGTGTAAAATGTGTAACACAAGGAAGGAGAATCAATACAAACTACACGGTTGGATCGTTTTCTAATAGCATTATAATCCAAACATCTATAACCTAAGTTGTGGCATGCATATAAGCAGGCTGAATTATAATAAATTTTAGTGCTCTGAAAACTTGAACCGGGTACGTAGTTCCAATAAAGATTCAGTAAATAACATGAGAAATCAAGGAAATGTAATCAAATACAAAACAACTCGTGATCCTTCTTATATTATTAAACCAGATTACTAATGTAGGTATAGCCATAAACTTCAACATGGTTGGGGAAAATGTACTTGACAGCCATGGAGTGAAACTACGTGATCTACCTCCACTGCAATGGCTATCAAACAACATTGCTTTAGGTGAGCTTACTGACCATTCACACAGAATATACAGCTATTTAGCTGGTGTGTGACTGGCTAATTGGCCACCGTAATAACAAGAAAGAAGATAAAACGGCGAAAGATGAATATCTAACAATGGCGCTCCGTTCTCTTACAAGCGAACGCTCTTCTTGGCCACAAATTCGACACATTCACAGACGCAAAAGAAGATGACACTCATCGGAAGACGTTTCTCAGCCAGTTCACTTCCGAATAATACGTTCTAGCAATACTAGCAAATGAGATGATCATTTTCACCGGTAGAATTCGAAAAAGAAACGAAATGAGAGCGAAATGCAAAAAATGCTAACCAGCGGAGCGACGACGTAATCAAAGCCACCAGATGATAGATTCGTGACCAAGAGCTGAGGCATATCGTCATCAAATTCCGTCTCCACGCCACAATACCGAGACTCGCTCTTGTCGCCAGCCCTATCTCCAAGCGGCATTTTGGAAGAACAGCGCCTTCCTTCTTCGACTGCTGCTTCTCTTCGGACAATGAATGGAGATTGAAGCCGAGACCGAGAGAGAGAAACAGAGAGGAGAGAGAGAGGGGTTTTGATAGGGTTTTTGATGGAAGTTGACAGGTTCGAAACTTCGGGACGTATAAATAAGCGTGGACTTGGAGGGATTAGTAATAAAAAGAAAACTAGGGTTTTGAGCACAGGCCCAACGAAGCACCAAACGACATGTCGACTACTGAAGGAGAACTCCAATATTATCTTAATGGCCATGGGCAGCCTTTCATCGACATATCGAGTGAGATTGATGAGTGAGCTTCTCTTTTCTTTCTTTCTTTTTTCTCTATTTTTCTTTTCTTTTCCTTAATTTCACGCGTGGTTTTAAATATCCGTTGACATTTTTATTCGACAAAATACGATAAAATATGAAAAATATGAACAAAATGTCACTAATATATACATAATATTAATATTAATTATTTTTAATTTATTTAAAAATAGAAAAATATTTATTTTATTCATTTAAATATTTTTTACGATTTTTTAATTTTTCTAACAGAAATATCCATCGATATCGATTATCAATATTTTCATCGATATTTTCATAAAATTGAGACTTCGATATTTCTATGGTTCCACAGCAAGTGAGGATTCTTTAGGTCAGTACTATTTTGATCCATTAAATCTTGTTTTTTTAATAACCATATAATATTTATATATAAAAAAAAAAAAGGATCATGCATGGTCAATATTGTTAGTAAAGAAACAAAATGGTGAAAGATTATTTTTTAAACCTACACTTTAAAAATATATTATATAAATATTTGAACCGCTTAATTTGATAATCTTAATTTTAATACTCTAACTCATGTAATTAAATACAAGTATGCAATTGCCAACATTCACGCCAGGTATCAATTAGTAAAAGGACTGGATTGATTAATTTATTTGTCCTATTCTAGAGAGAGGAAGAGACGTTCATACTTTAAAAAAAACGACACCGCAGGGACTGTGTAGCCAATAGTAAAATTATAAGAAAGAATGCCATATTCACAAGTAAATCCTCACTCAATAACAACTAAACTAAACTATAGAGAAACCAAATTATCACTAATCCTAAATTATCAATTATCACTAAACCTAAACGAAAAGCCTTTCTTCTTCCTTCATGCACTGCTCTTAAGAGCTTCACTGTTGGTTCCTGTTTCCTCAATTTCTTCAAAGTAGTCCTCTCGAGCATTCCCAGCCAGCATTAAAGCAACCAACCAGAGGAGGGATGAATCCAGGGATAGAAAAGCACCGCCACCCAGAAGACCGGTCTTAGCGGTCGGGCACTCTGTCTCGAGATTGTGATGAACATTGCGCATCAAGTGAAGTTGCTCTGTGACCGTGGGCCATACGAGCAAAGTTATAGCTAATCCAGTCGTGAACCTGCAAATAGAGGAAGAGGGTGGTGCATTAGATTGTGCCACAATGTCTTGTAGAAACCATAATGCAGAATTCTCATAAAACAATTATATTAGACCATAATGCAAATACTACAAAGTTAAAAAGCTTTAATTAACAACCAGGGAAAAAACTTACACAGCAATATTGAAGAAAACAGAGAAACTGCTGCTCCTAAACATGGCACCTCGAGGAACAGATTTTCCTTGATAAGGATAGAATAAGGAAAAGTATCCAGCAATCGATGAGGCAAGAAGAAACAAAACCGAAAGATATCCCAACGCCACAGTTGGGTCGCCTGGATATTTACAGATAACAAGGCCCTTGCCTTGGATGGGAGTTCCAGCTGCAGGCTGTTCAAATCCAAGTAAAGACAACAAAAGAAGATAGATATTAGATAGTGACAGTTAGTTAAAAGTAAAAGAGAGGGAATATTTATTGAGATTTCGAATTTAAAAGTGAAATATCGTAAAGAAGAAAAGAATGATAGCTCTGGTGTTTGGCACATCATATGCCTCAAATAATAATGTAAAAATCGTCTCAGTCATGCCTAATTCTTGTTATGAAATAAACAAGGAAACTAACAAATTATACAGGATAACAAGGACAAAATCTTCATAATTTCACACATTAAAGCAGTGGCAATCAAATTCACACCAACATATAGATTTCAGATAACTGCTCTCACATATAGATTTGCCCAAATATATCCATGAAATTATAATTTTAAGGTACAATTGTTTTAGTTGATTTCAGTTAGTCTACAATCAATCCAAGGTCCAAGGAAGATGGGAGAGAATATTATTCAACAATAATTCAATGAATACTCATTCTTCCAGTTGACAATTCCAAATGAAAAAATATACACGGTAAGAATCAAACAATTGCTCAGATTATAGGATTGCTCATGAAAATTGGAGATGCTTACCTTCTTGTTTTCAGCTACGACTCCAAATATAAAGGATATCACACCAAAAGTTGCGACAATGAGAGCCATTGACTTGACAGAAACGGCCATTGTTCTTCAGAGAAATGTTACCAGCGAGTGACCTATAGAGAATGAAACGGGTTTTCAGAAATCAATCAAAAATGATGACTGAAAAACAAAATATATATACCACTATAAATCAGAAAGTGTAAAAAACATCAAACGTCCCAAACTTAGCATTGTTATGCAAATCCCTAGAGAAACCAATTTGAGAAACATCTTTTGTCACTAATAAGAAGGCTTCCACAGATTTACTTAACAAACTAATACGAAAGAAGAAGAAAAAGAGACCAAATACATAATTGAAGCAAGAAGGGAACCGCAATCGCAAAAATATTATCGAAACATGTTGACAAAAAAAAATCGAATAATCCAACCAAAAACTTCTCCGTTCATCCTCTGATCGGCACGCGAAACAAACAGCGCGGCAGTAAAAATTAAGCTCCAGCCAAGCGACCATGATCATGCGCACAAACACAACACAATTTTGAAAAACCCTAAAACAGAAGTTCTCCATCGATTTTACAGTAAAACATAGCTCGTTTACAAAACTGCGATCTCCAGTGATCGGAAAAATTGCGGCCATGGCGACAGACAGTGAAATTTTCGCCAGAAACAAAGATTAGATTCGAGGGACGAGAAAGAAAATGCAGCAAACCTCAGATTGTAGATGGAAGAAAGAGTCCGATTATTGCTTTGTAGTTTTCCACTCCGGATTTCTGGAGACGACTGAAGGGATGAGTCAAGATTCGGATATTTATAGTGATGTGGAATCTATCTCGGAGGAGGATGCGGAATAAGAAATCCAGAAGGAAAAGGAATCTTTGAAAATGAAATTAAAATTAAAATATGAAAATTTAAACAAAAAAAAAAGTCTGAGCTACGCAAGCTGACCTTGCTTTATTAGGATTTAACTTCTAACTGTATTCATGGCCACGACAGAAATATTTTTAAAAAATCCGAAATTAAAAAAAAAATTTAAAAATACTTTTGACACGTATATTTCTGTTAAATAACGATTTAAATCTTTAACTTCTAAAAGTAACTATTTATTTGTTCCATTCTCAAATGGGTTATAATTTAATTATTACGTTAATTTTAAGTTGGAATTTAACATAAATATGACGTGGATCTCAATTAGAATCTATTTGTAAACCTTAAAAGCTACAAAATTATGATCCGTTTTGAAACTTGGATTAGGGCTTTAAAAAAAATTGAATGAAATAACGTGTCAATCTCATCTCCATATGGAATTTTTCAGAGTAATTTGGTTGTACTTGAAGTGCATAATTTTCAAGCTTTCAAAGTCTCAACTGCCTCAATAGAAAATCCAGTTATCGCCCAAAGGTATACTAAGCAAAAGCAAAGCTTTATAAATCTCGAAAGTCAATGTCTTATGGAAGACAGCTAGTGGCAAGTGTTTGAGTCTTGGAATACCACCTATCGAATCTGGTTACAACATTACTCAGCTCAAACAACAAGTCTGTCGATAATATAGATTCACGAGCGCAAGATACACAACATCGATTACGAAAAATAAAAATAAAAAATAAAAAATTTCAAAAGCCACCCACACCAAATGTGTGTTTCTAACCAAGAAAATTGTGAAACTCACTAAAGAAAAGTTATTCATATTTTAATTCAATGGTGAGACGATACTTTACTAATAAATAATATATTTGTAAAAAAAGAAATTAATATCAGTCACATGAACGGGGTGGAGATTTGTTGAGAGATGAATGAGATGATTATTTTCCGAATAATATAGAAATGATTAAAATTAAAAAGATAAAATGGGGAGATAAATGATATTGGGAATTCTTTCATCTTCACTTTTGTGCATGCCCAGCTAAAATATGGGCAATTTGGACCACCGTTTTAAGACCCAATTCTAAAATGAGTCGTATTTTTCATATATGTTTTTTTATGGTTAATTATAAATTTAATTTAGAATATAAAATTATATATTTATCATAAAATTTGCTTACAATATTAAAATACAATCTAATAACATATATAAATTTAATTTAGAAAACTCATAATCAATGAACCCGTATATATAATTCATTGCATATAGCTTTCCGATATGTAAATTTTCGCTCCAAATTTGAAATGGTACGCCAACGGATGTCAACAGCATCGACAGAGCGAGCATCATCGAACGACAGCAACACAAAGGCAAGGTTGCAAGGTAAGGTTGTGACGGAGGACAAGGAAGAAGAGAGAGGAGAACGATAGTCTAATCAACACAAAATAATATAAAATTAATATATTTGACACTTAATTTAAAACTACAACTTAATTATGGTTCAATAAGTATGTTAACTGCCACGTAAACATTCTATTAGTTAAAATACTATTTAGAACCATTTTCGGGACAAAAAAATGTTAATTTTAAAATTTCAGGAGCCAAATAAAATACCTATTTCAAATTTAGAAAACTAAATATGTATTTTTCTATTAAAAAACAAAAAATCATACATCGTAAAAAGTAATACATATATTTTTTTAGTACAACATGTAGGGGTGAGAATTCAAACTCTCAATCTCATAGTTGGATACATATACTTTAACCCATTGAATCATGTTCTAGTTAGTACATTGTCAGTAATATTAAAATGTCCTATATATATATATATATATATATTATTTTTTTTTTGGACTCAGGCAACTTTTCTATCACCATGGAGACGAAATGGTGACTTTCAATTTTTTTTCACAAGTGCAACAGCAAAAATATTTTATTTTATTTTTTTTGTACACTTTGAATCATTAAATATGATAACAAGTGTCTTTTTATCTATTAGACTATACTCAATTTAGCAATACATAACTAAAAATATATAAATATTCTCAATTTTTATACTCCAAACCATGTAATTAAATATTTAACATGTTAATAACTTTATGCAATTAATAAAGTTTTAATTCACATATTTTTTTATTTTTTTAGTACAACATGTCAATATGGAGATGGGGGGTTGAACTTACAAATTGGAGATATATGTCAATTATTGTTGAGCTATGCTAGCTTCGATCACATATTTTTCATTTTTAAAACTACAAAAATCTAACAACAATTTATATTTTATTTTTAAATCCAAGCGAACATCTTTTAATCAAGTATATATATATGCCTTATCATTCTAAATTAAATCATTATATAATTGAAATATTTGCAACTTTAATTTGACAGTAGGCATAATGTAACACAACCATGTGGTAAAAAACTTCAGAGTTCATTTGGCGTCGTCCATGAAATATCAATAAAATATCGATTGATATTTCACAGCAAGCATCAACTAAATTATTTTGGAACATTTAAAAAAATCTAAGATGAAGGTACACACTAACCTATTCTATTTTAAAGAGAGGGAGAGATGTTTATACTTCAAAAAGATAGATTATCCTATAAAATAGAAATTTGGTCTATGTTACAATTGATGTTCGCAAGGACTGTCCAGTCCAATAATAAAATTATGAGGAAGAATACCATATTCACAAGTAAATCCTCACTCAATAACAACTAAACTCAATAGTAAACAGAAACCAAATTATTATTCTCATTGAATGTAAACCAAGAGCCTTCCTTCATGCGCTGCTCTTAAGAGCTTCACTGTTGGTTCCTTTTTCCTCTATTTCTTCGAAGTAGTCCTCTCGAGCATTCCCCGCCAGCATCAAGGCAACCAACCAGAGCAGGGACGAATCCAGGGATAGAAAAGCACCACCACCCAGAAGACCGGTCTTAGCGGTTGGGCACTCTGTCTCGAGATTGTGATGAACGTTGCGCGTCAAGTGAAGTTGCTCTGTGACCGTGGGCCACACGAGTAAAGTTATAGCCAATCCAGTCGTGAACCTGCAAATAGAGGGAGAGGGTGCATCAGAATGTGCCACAATGACTTGTTGAAACCATAATGCAGAATTTTCATGAAACCAAGGAAAGGGAAGTGATTTGCAAAGGAAACTTACACAGCAATGTTGAAGAAAACAGAGAAACTGCTGCTCCTAAACATGGCACCTCGAGGAACAGATTTTCCTTGGTAAGGATAGAACAAGGAAAAGTATCCTGCAATCGATGAAGCAAGAAGAAACACAACCGAAAGATATCCCAACGCCACAGTTGGATCGCTCGGATATTTACAGATAACAAGGCCCTTGCCTGGGATGGGAGTTCCAGCTGCAGGCTGTCCAAATCCGAGTAAAAACAACAAATGAAGACGGCGACCGTTAATTAAAAGAGAGGCAATGTTTATTGATACAACAAGGGCAAAATCTCCATAATTTCACACATTAAAATATAATCTCACTGAAAGCAATAGAGAAGAAAAAGAAGATTATTCTGGTGTGCGTATCATCATATGCCTCACAAAAACAATTTAAAAACTAATCCGAGTCATGCTAATTCTTGTTATGAAATAAGGAAGGAAACTAACAAATTATTCAGATAACAAGGGTAAAATCATCACAATTTCATACATTTAACTACTGGCTATCAAATTCACAACCAACATATATACATTTCAGATAAGTGCTCTCACAGACAGACCAGAGACCACATGCTGAATTAAACCCGAATATATCTATGAATTTTTAATTTTAAGGTGTAAAATGTTTTAGTAGTCAGTCTACAATCAATCCATGGTCCAAGGAAGAAGGAAGAATATATGGGATAAAGACGAAAAATATTATTCAACAATAATTCAATCAATAGTTAATACTCATTCTTGCAGTTGACAATTCCAAATGAACAAATATCTAGTAAGAATCAAACAATTGCTCACGAAAATTGCAGATGCTTACCTTCTTGTTTTCAGCTACGACTCCAAATATAAAGGATATCACACCAAAAGTTGCGACAATGAGAGCCATAGACTTGACAGAAACAGCCATTGTTCCTCAGATAAATGTTACCAAGTGCCTATAGAGTTTTCAAAAATCAGAAGTGATGACCTGAAAAATAAATTATACCACAAGGCATTGGCCAATGTTAGGAGAGGAGGCAGAACTGTTAGGATAAGTCATGATTTCAGAAGGAAGAACAAAAAGAAATTGAACAGGTTTCTCTTCCTTTTTTCCCTTTTTCTACAGAATATAGTTCGTCTAAATTCATAATGTAGAAGTCAAATACACAAAATAACAGTATGCTAAATGAAAAATACAGCCTCCTGATTGCTCAGATATCCATATATGGATTAAATTTATCAAACCCATTAACTTAAGCTTTTAGGTTAACCTTTAATAATGATGTCTTCTAACACATTCTACACTCCACAGAAAGGCAGTGAGACAGTAATAACAATTTTAAAGGAAAATACACCACATGGAAAGCAATATCAGCCTACGACAAATTACATAAAAATTCTTACGCTTTAATTAAATGAGCAAATAGTGTAAAAAACATCAAACGTTCCAAACTTAGGGTTGTTACACAAATCCCTAGAGAAACCAATTTGAGAAACATCTTCGGTCACTAACAAGAGGGATTCCACAGATCGTGCGCTCAAACACAACATAATTTTCAAAAACATAAAACAAAACTGCTCAATCATACAATTACCATCTCCAGTGATCGGAAATTTTGAGCCATAAACAGTGAGATTTTCGCCAGAAACAAAGATTAGATTCAAAAGACGAGAAAGAAAATGCAGCAAACCTTAGATTGTAGAGGGAAGAAAGAATTCTGATTATTGCTTTTTCGTTTTCCCACTCCGGATTTCTGGAGACGACTGAACGAATGAGTCGGATATTTATAGTATTAGTGATGTGGAATCTATCCTCGTATTGGGAGGCGTGATGTATGTAAATTTTGTAATTAAGCGGTTTATTTTAATTGTAAAAATTATGCGGAATTAGAAATCCACACGGAGAATGTCAATGATTTTTATTTATTATTATTATTATTTGAGTCTAAGGAGAAGGATTCTTTTAGGAAAATAAAATAAAATAAAAAATGTGAAAATAAAAAAAATAATAATAAATCTGAGTTGGCGCAAACAATAATAATAATAACAAATTTGAAGAAATTTAACAAAAGTGATTCGTCGAAATAGATTTTGATCCGATGATTAATTGTGATGTTGGACGATTATTTACTAACGAAATAATAGAAAAATTAGTCTATTATAATATAACATGAGTTTAGAATTAAACAATAGACCATTTTTTATTGTTTTCAAATATAGAATAAATTTGAATATTATTAATGTGCTTTATATTACATCTGAGTTTAAGTTTGATTTTTTTCTTGGACGGAAATTTTAAGTTTGATTTGTTATTATTATTATTATTATTTTTATAYATATATTTTGTAAAATTTCAAATTTTATGTTTAAATTATATATATGTATGTATATATATATATCTTTTTTTTTAAGAGACTTCAAAAGAATAATAGCCTAGAGGTAGACTAATGAGATGGCCCTCCCCAAAAAACTAATACAACACTGCTTGCTAATCCTACATAAGAATCGTTAGGTTATAATCATTGTTGATGGTAAATATGAGCAAGACACGTCTTGCCTTGCAGGGAGACAGCAAGGCACGGGACCATGATCAGTTACACAACATACACTGCAGGAGCAGGCGAGTGCATCTCCACCTCTTCTATACGAAGAGCACGTTAAGCGCTACGACCTAGCACATGCAGGCGACATGTTTCAAGCCTACAAGTGGAGGTGTCACCCATGGATTGTCGGAGGCGCATATTCCACCGTYAGGCCCCATACAGCTTGGTGCATTGCTGTCACCCCAACCGTCATCTTCCCTGGTCGGTCATCCGCACCTATAAAAAGCAAGAGCTCTCACCTTTGCTATGTAAGTGGAAAACATGTCACTTAAACCCTAAAGGTGTCTCTTATTATTTTTTACTATGATTAGGCGGGACACCGCACTAGCGTCGAGTTATCTAGTTATAGGCTCATTTGCTCCTTAACGAAGGCATTCGTCCAAGGGACACGTGAACCTCTCCGAAATTCACCGTCAACAATTACAAAAGAATTTATCGTGTTGCAACACCATAAAGAAAAAGTGATTTGAATATTAGTCCAAAAATAATCAAAAGGGAGAGTCGAGTTATTGAACAATCGATGATTTCCCTCTCCGTACATCTCTAACCACACAACTCCAAAGGATCATTGCCCTTTTTAGATGCAACCCTCTCATCCTCTTTATAGGCAGCACGCTGAGGGGAGAGGGACCACCCAATGGGTCTTCTCCTTGAGTCTTTTCATATGTGCTGAGGCTTTTATAGGCAAGATTCCCAAAAAAAAAAAAAAAAGTTAGACTTTCTTTGGTAGACAAACTTCTGTATCAAATTTATGAGAAGAGAGGTGATTTTAGGGATTGTTTATGAAATTTATGCTATAGACTTATAGAGACATCTAATCTAAATTTGCTATTAATGGGTAATTATATTGTTGCAGATATGTATTCGTTTAAAATTAACCAAGTGGAATTGTATTTTTTTAGTACACCAATATGATTTTTTTAAGGAAAAAGTATAATTTTTCGTAATTTTTAACTATATATTATTTTGGTTCATAAATTAAAAAGAAACACACTTTTCCCCTTTATTTGGGAAATACGTTAAAAAGGTTAAAATACGATTGTCCATGTATTTTCGGTCTATTTTAGTCCATCTATTTTGAAAATATTCATTTTTGTCTCTATATTTTTAACTATATTTTAGTCCATATACTTTGAAAATGTTAAATTTGGATTATGTATTTTTTAAAAGTAATCATTTTAGTACCTATTTTCAAAATTTTAACACATGTTTTACAAATAACGAAAACTCTTTAGTTTAAAATAATATTTACATTTTAAGAAATATGGTGATTGTAATACCGTATTCCAATAAATTATTTTACCGACGGTGTTGTCAATAAATTCCTTTTTAAATTTCCCCAAACGCATTATTAAAAAGCTCCAGAAAAAAAAAGGTAAAGATTAAGAAGTCATATTAATAAAACTAACCACGGTAAATTCAATTGTTATCAATTATCAAATAATTCTGGCTGGAAATAAGAATTAAATTATATTTTTAGTACATATATGAGAGTGAAGATTCGAACTCAAGACATTTTAATCGGATATAGATGTCTAGATCAGTCGATGCTTAAGTTGACAATAAGTATTAAATATTACTGTCACCAATAGCTGAGTTATGTTCGCTTTGATCAGAGGTCAACTTGATTTTTGTCCAATTTTTTAAAACATAAATTTCCTATGAATTTATTGGTGTGATTTTTATGTGAAATTACGTAATTTATCATTTTTCAAATCGTCTATTATTCTATTTAGTCTCCTTTCTCATATTGTAATTATTCTTCTTCTCTCTCTCCCTTCACTTTGGTAACCCCTTTATTTGTATTATTTTTCTTTTCTCAATGTCATCGATTTGACAACATTGTCCTTCTTGCTCAGCAAACCCGAACGAGGCCAACACTCTCTCTTTTGCAACGTGAGAGATTGAACCTCTAAAAAAAGAGCGAGGTGAACTAATAGTTGAACATGAACTATGTTCATTTTGACTAGTTGTATTAATGACCCGAACAAAAGTATTTTTAAAATAATAATAAACTGCAACACCTTTGACACGTGTAAGAAAGACGATTGATTTTGATTAATTGGTTAGAGGATAATAGCAAGTAACTAATGAAGTCGTTTGGTTTGATTGTGTATTTAATATATAATGATTTCTTTTTGTATTAATCATTAAAGGGGTTAGAGATTTTTTTTTTATTTTCAGTGCATTTGTAAAGTGTAAACACAAACAAAACAAAAACAAATTGAGAGCAATAGGCATTAAAATTACATGGAACAAGTTCCACTTGTTCGAGACATCTTCTGTTGTGCAAGAATTTCTCATATTATACATTCTTCCATCTACACTGACCTAAAGTATTATGCCTAAATTTTCATATCACTGGTCAACTAAATTAAATTGAAATATTTATAAATATCTAAAAACGAAAGTACACGAATCAAAATCTAAAAGTACGAGGACTAGAATGATACTCTATTTAGCCTGTTTTAGAGGGAGGGAGAAACCTTTATACTTTATATATATAGATATCCTATAAAATAGAAATTTGGTTATATAACAATTGATGCTTGAGACGATACCACAAAGACTATCCAGTCCAATTCCATATCTACAAGTAAATCCAATAGTAAAGAGAAACCAAATTTTTATTGTCACTAAACGTAAATAAAGAGCCTTCATGCGCTGCTCTTAAGAGCTTCACCGTTGCTTCCCTTTTCCTCGATTTCTTCGAAGTAGTCCTCTCGAGCATTCCCAGCCAGCATCAAGGCAACCAACCAGAAGAGGGACGAATCCAGGGACAAGAAAGCACCACCACCTAGAAGACCGGTCTTAGCGGTCGGGCACTCCGTCTCGAGATTGTGATGAACGTTGCGCATCAAGTGAAGTTGCTCTGTGACCGTGGGCCATACGAGCAATGTTATAGCTAAACCAGTTGTGAACCTGCACATAGAGGGGGAGGGTGCATCAGAATGTGCTACAATACCTTGTAGAAACCAGTAAAAATTCACATTCTAGCAAATCTACCTAAACGTACAGTCTACACCAATCGAAAATCCTTGTTACTCTAGAATGATTCGATAATGTTTCCGTTTAACATTTTTTTTTTTTTTAACATTCGTGAGTGTCTGGGCCACCTTACGTGCACCTCGACTAATCTCACGGGGTAGCCGCTTGACCCTACAAACACTTGGTGCCGAAAAACACATAGGAATTAATTCCTACGGTTGGTGGGCTATCATGGAGTTTGAGCCAATTCCCTTTTACTTTCCCCCAACCCCATTTAACATTTTTAAACAAATCATAGAAACAAAAAGAATTTATGGTTTCTTGTTTATCTTACGAGGATGGAAAGTAAAATGAGAAGTGAAGAGGTTAAAAATGAATAGGTGGTGCATTATTACTACCCCTCCACAAGAAACTATTCTAACAAAGGTAAGGATTGGTCATTTGTGATACGTAAATTACACAAATCAAACTGTAGGAGTATTTTCTCAAGGAAAGGCAGAACTTTCAAGAAACTATTCAATTGGACCATAATGCAAACACTAACACTACAGAGTTGAAATGCTTTAGTTAACAACCAGACTAAGGGAAGTGCTTTGCAAAGAAAACTTACACAGCAACGTTGAAGAAAATAGAGAAACTGCTGCTCCTAAATATGGCACCTCGAGGAACAGATTTTCCTTGGTAAGGATAGAACAAGGAAAAGTATCCTGCAATCGACGAAGCAAGAAGAAACAGAACCGAAAGATATCCCAACGCCACAGTTGGATCGCCCGGATATTTACAGATAACAAGGCCCTTGCCAGGGATGGGAGTTCCAGCTGCAGGCTGTCCAAATCCAAGTAAAGAAAACAAAAGAAGATAGCGATCGTTAATGAAAAAAGAGAGAATGTTTATTGAGATGCTAGAATGTATTAACTTTAAAATTATAATCTTACAGAAGTAAAGAAGAAATAGAAGATAGCTCTGTTGTACGCATCATATGCCTCAAAAAACAATTTAGAAACGCATCTCAATCATGCTATGTTATGAAATAAGCAAGGAAACTAACAAAATATTCAGATAACAAGGGCAAAATCATCATAATTTCACACATTAAACCACTGGCTATCAAATTCACAACCAACATATAAATTTCAGATAACTGCTCTCACAACTACTACATGCTAAATTAAACCCAAATATAACCATTAAATTTTAATTTTAAGGTACAATGTTTTAGTAGTTGGTCTACAGTGCATGGTCCAAGGAAGATGTGAGAGAATATCTGGGATAAAGTTGAAAAACATTATTCAACAGTAATTCAATCAATACTCGTTCTTCTTGCTGTTGACATTTACAATGGAACAAATGTCTACAGTAAGAATTGAACAATTGCTCAGACTATAGGATTGCTCATGAAAATTGCAGATGCTTACCTTCTTGTTTTCAGCTACGACTCCAAATATAAAGGATATCACACCAAAAGTTGCGACAATGAGAGACATGGACTTGACAGAAACAGCCATTGCTCTTTAGATAAATGTTACCAGCGACCTACACAAAATGAAACAAGTTCTCAGAAGTCAGAAGTGATGACTGAAAAATAAAATACACCACTAGGCATTGGCCAATGTTAGGAATGGAGGCAGAACTAATAGAATAAGTCATGGTTGCAGAAGGAAGAACAAAAAAGAAATTGAACAGGTTTCTTTTCATTTTTTCCTTTTTTACAGAATACAGTGTTATGCTAAATGAAAAATACAGCCTCCTCATTGTGTTCTAACTAACACATTTTACACTCCACAGCAAGGAAGTGAGACAATAATAACAAGGTCAAAGGAAAATACACCACATGGAAAACAATATCTGCCCACGACAAATTACATAAAAAATTCTTTCGCTTTAACTAAGCGAGCAAACAGTGTAAGAAAAAACATCAAACGTTCCAAACTTAGCGTTGTTATACAAATCCCTAGAGAAACCAAATTGAGAAACATCTTTTGTCCCTAATAAGAAGTGTTCCACAGAATTATTCAACGGACTAATAGAAGGGAAAAAAAAAAGCCAATACATCGTTGAAGCAAGAAGAATAATATCGAAACATCTTGACAAAAAAAAAAAAATCGGAAAATCCAACGAAAAACTTATCCATTTATCCTCTGATTGGCACGCGAAACAGACAGTGGCAGTAAAAATTAAGCTCCAGTCGAGCGATCATGATCGTGCGCACAAACACAACATAATTTTAAGAAACCTAAAACAAAACTACTCAATCGCAAAATTGCCATCTCCAGTGATCGGAAAATTTGCGTCCATTAGCGACAGACAGTGCGATTTTCGCCAAAAACAAAGACTAGATTCAAGGGACGAGAAAGAAAATGTAGCAAACCTTAGATTGTAGAGAGGAGAAAGAGTTCCGATTATTGCTCTTCTCGTTTTCCCACTCCGGATTTTTAGAGAAGACTGAAGGGATGAGTCAACATTCGGATATTTATAGTGCTGTGGAATCTAGAAATCCAGAAGGAAAAGGATTCTTTAAGAAAAAAAGTAAAATTTAAAATGTGAAAATAAATAATAATAATAATAATAATAATAATAATAAATCTGAGTTGGCGCAAGCTGGCCTTGCTTTAATAGGATTTGGTTTCTAACTTTCTAACCGTATTAAAAAACCAAACAAAACAAAAATAATAACAAATTTGAAGAAACGCACTTGGACACATTGTAAGAAAGTGATTCGTGGTAATAGATTTTGATCCAATGATTAATTTATGATTGCGTTGAACCATTATTTACTAATAAAATAATTTTAAAAAATAAGGACAATTACAACAAAAATATTTAATAAAATCAATAAAATATCAACGACATTTAGTTTTTTCAAATATAATTTTTTTTTATAAAAAATAGAGATCAAATTTTAAAATGACATCTTGAACTGAATGTAATACATCTGTAATATATATGATTACTGATATGAATATATGATACACTATGTATGTGATATACAGTTGATATGAGTGTGTACGATATGTATTCGATATACTACTTATATGAGTGTCTAATATACTAATGGTACAAGTGAAAATTATATTTGAAAATTAAAAAGAAAAAATATGACATAATTTAAATTACATAAACGAGTTTTGTTACCCACTATAATTTTTTAAAATTATACTATATTTATGTAGTTTTTTTTTAAGAAACTCTTTTAAATAGCGCTATATATATGTAGTTTAAATAATGAGAATGTTTTTTTTTCTTTTCAAATATGGCATAAATTTAAGTGTCTCTAGTATATTTCATGGTACACTAAGTTTAAGTTTAAGTTTGATTTTTATTTTACAATCAAAAGAAAAAAAATTGATTTTTATCTTCTTCAAGTTGTCAGAGTTTAGGTTTGTATTGGACTGTACTATTTTTTTATTAAACTTCTTTTTATAAAGTTTCATATTTGAGAATACACGGTAATTTTACGATATTTACGTAAATATTTCTAAATAATATATTTTTCCCTTCCAACATGTTTTACTAAAAAAAGCCGGGCAATATAGTTTTTTTATTTTATTTGTTGAGATCAATCACAATTACTATTTGAATTTATGACGGTACCCAAAGAAAAATAATATTATATATATTTTTTCCCCTTTATCTGAGAAATACGTTTAAATAATTAATTTACCAACAGTGCTGTGAATAAATGGTTTTTAAATATGTGTCTATATTTTAAACCGTTCCATGTATGTTTTAAAAAAAAAATATTTTTAATTTACTCTTTTAATGAGGTTGTAACAAGCTAAAGCGAGTATAACTTAATGGTAATTGGTATATACCTCAAACAATAAGGTTGCGAGTTCAAATCTCCTCCTCAACATGTCGTACCATGAAAAATAAAAACACGGTCACCTTTGATCATATCAAATTGCATTTAATGAAACAATTTGGAGACATTTTTTTTAAATACGAAAAAAGTAAACCTCGAAGCATACCTTCAGTATTTCGTACAGTGATTGTAATAGATGATTTTTTATAATATATTATTTGGATTTGAGACCACATAGAAATATATTGTGTGATTGAAACTTACTTTTTGATAAATGTGTGATATCCAAATTTATGAGATTCCATCTCAATTGGTAATGAGAATAGTAGTTTATGTGTATTATAAACACTTGTTAGGTCTATTTTATTTTCAATGTGGGATTTATCTTAAATTATGACCGTATCTACAAACTTATTCATTTATTTAGAGTTTAAATTTATAAATTATGAAGAAAAAATGGGTTCTTTATTTATACAATTATGTGTATTAACACAAAATAATAATAATAATACTTTCCTAAAAATAAAATCATTTTCAATGTTTGGTTTTTTAAAAAAAAACATATCGAAATCAGAAATCTCATTTTGGTCCAAACATTTTTTGTTCCAAATACATCAAATTTGGTATGATTTAAAATCAAAACTTACCTAATTTTAAATTTACCGTCGCTCTACCTTACACCTATATAATATTGAGAGCAATTTCTACCATTGATTTTTTTTATTCTGCTCCCATTCTACATACACCATCTTTATTGTTATTCCAATTTTTTATAACAGTAATTTAGGTAAAAAAAATTTCGTTTTTCAAACAGAACCGATTTTGCAAAGAGATTGCATTTAAAATCTCTTTTTAGTCTTTGATTTATTTCTGAAAGTAATTTTGCAACTATCTTTTGTTTTGCGTGTGTGTTTTTTATTTTTTACATTTTTATTAGTTGAAGTCTTGTTTTGCAGTTCTTGGTTTTCTTTCCGTTGTTTTGTTTTAGTATGAGATTTGTTTACTTTCATTCTGAATTTCTATATTTTCTATTGCGAAATGTTGTTTTCTCTATTTGAAAAAAAAAAAAAAARTTTGGGGGCTGCAACATGGTAAGAAGGATAAGAAAAAATAAATTGATCGAGTATGGAGAAAAGTTGGTTTAGGATTTAGAATATGTTGGAGAGTTATGGTAGGATTAGTGATTTTCTAAATCTATAATACTCAAAAATCAATTTAAAGGAATTTCATGATTATAGGAAAATAAGTGATTTTGATAATGGGGTAAATTCACTCTCAAACGCATCGCTTAAGTTATTTTTAGTTATGTTAAAGTTGTTTTAGTTTATATTTGAAATAATTGGATTATTCAAGTTTTGTTTATTAATATATTTGAGTGAATATCTTTTTTAAAAATTCATTTGCAAGTTTTAATTTATTAATTGTTTTGATACAAATTAAATTGAAACTATACCTACATATGGGGACAGATTTGTAATTTAACATAAATAAGGTTCAAAATATTAACTAATGCTCCGTTGGAGAGTATTTTTAAAGGTAAAATAGTATAAAAAGTATTTTAAAAATAGAGTTAGGATTAGGATTAGGATTAGGATTATATTTTATAATTTAGAAAGAAAGGGAAATGAACCATAGCTCAGCGAAAACGATCAAATCATCTAGCAGTACTGCGCACGAACTAGACCAAACAATGTTCACATGTCGCCGGCGGACCAATCGGCGGAAGACGAACGGCAACCACCGCACCGCCGCCGGAAAGTGCCTCAATCATCAAAAGTCATATATGTCTCACAGGCTTCAACATTCTTCGATTCTCCGATTCCTCTTATTATTTTCACTCTCCAGCTCGAGCTCGATCAGAGCTCCGATTCGATTCAACGACGTGCAGAAATCGGGGAAAAAATACCGAAAAATCGACGAACTACACTTGAAATCACTTAAATGTGGCAACGCACTTCTAACTCAATGCTATCTTCTGTCTCTGTTCGTTTCGCAGTAAGTTCTTCTTCTCCATTTTTATATTTTTTTTCAGGTATCGGAAGTTGCTTCGTCTTGGAATGTGTACGGAGTTCGAGAATCCGAAGTTTATACCGCTACGTAGGTTCGGTATTTGGTATTTGAGTTTTGGTTTGCTGCTATAAAGTTGATTCCGATATAATTTTCTTCTGTTGCTGTTCTACTTTCGCTTACTTTTTCTTTATTTGACGTCTGTCGATTTTTTCTTTCTCAACTTTTGCCTGTTGGTGTTTCCTTGCACGATAAGAAATCCGCCATTCCCAAAGCTTTCCACTCTCCTGCCCTATGCCCTACCATTTCTGCATCTAAGTTGCTTGTGAAAACGACCGAACTCACTCTCCAATTCCATCTGTTTGATCGGTCTTTTTACCCTTCCATGATTCTTTCTGTAAGTAATTGACAAGGATTTCGCGATGGAATCGTGGAAATCTGTGGCCGTCCGGGGATTTTTTCTTGTCCTGTTGCTCTCTTCTGCGGCGGTGAGTTCAGTTTTCGGAATCGGAGTGAACTGGGGAACGCAATCTACCCACCCGTTGCCGCCGGCGACGGTGGTGAAGATGCTGAAGGATAACGGAATTCAGAAGGTTAAGCTTTTTGACGCCGATCCTGTAGTTCTAAACGCTCTTGGCAAGTCTGGGATTGAAGTGATGGTGGGAATTCCAAACGACCTGCTTTATAGCTTGGCTAACAGCATCCAAGCAGCTGAAAATTGGGTTGCCAAGAACCTGTCATCTTATATTTCTGCTGGAAGTGTGGATATAAGGTAAAAAAACACAAAAAATTAGCAATCTCTTTCTGATCTATCTTTAGATTTGACCTGATCTGATGCGATTCAACAACTCGCTGATGTGTTTGATATTGTTTTTCGCTTCAAATCTTCCTTTGTTTCGAAGTTTCCGTGTGCAATTGGCTTGAATTTTGTTCATCAAAATGTTTTTTTGGTGTGAATTGTCTTGTTCAGATGTAAAAATTCGACTTGATTCTTCATATTTTACAAGGTATGTTGCAGTTGGGAATGAACCATTCTTGAAAACGTTCAATGGAAGCTTTCTAGGAACAACTTTTCCTGCTCTTCAAAATGTCCAAGCCGCCATTGTTAAGGCTGGATTAAGCAATAGGGTAAAAGTAACTGTGCCTATGAATGCTGATGTTTATCAGAGTCTCACAACTGTGCCTTCAGGTGGCGATTTTCGTTCCGATATCCACGACCTCATGCTCTCCATTGTCAAGTTCTTGAGCGACAGTGCATCCCCTTTTACTGTCAATATCTACCCGTTTATAAGCCTCTATGAAGATCCCAACTTCCCTATTGACTTTGCCTTCTTTGATGGCTTCTCGCCTTCTTTGAACGACAATGGACGAGTCTACGACAACGTTTTTATCGCAAACTACGACACCCTTGTATCTTCTTTACAGAAAAATGGATTCTCCAACATGTCCATAATTGTTGGAGAGATTGGATGGCCAACTGATGGAGACCGGAATGCAGACTTGCAGTATGCCAAGAGGTTCAACCAAGGCTTCTTATCGCGGTTCATCTCGGGACAGGGAACGCCGATGAGGCCCGGCCCTATTGATGCATACTTGTTTAGTCTTATCGACGAAGATGCCAAGAGCATTCTGCCGGGCAATTTCGAGCGGCATTGGGGTCTGTTTTACTATGATGGTCGGCCTAAATACATGCTTCAAATGGCAAATGGGTCAAATGGTTTGGTAGCTGCCTCAAATGTGAAGTACCTTTCAAAACAATGGTGTGTCATGGCACCATCAGCCAGCATCGACGATCCACAAATCGCCCCGAGCGTGAGCTACGCTTGTGAAAACGGCGATTGCACAAGCCTCGGCTTCGGTACTTCGTGTGCAGCTTTGGACACTCGGCAAAACATCTCGTACGCATTCAACAGCTACTACCAGATAAAGAATCAGCTGCAAAGTGCCTGCAAATTTCCTCACCTTTCTGTTATCACAACTCAAGATCCATCAGTTGGAAGTTGCAGGTTCACAGTTATGACTCAGCCTTCTGAAGTTGCTGTGAATGAAAGATCATCAGAGGCTTTGAGGAGGCAATCTGCTGGATTGTTGCTGTTTCTCTGTTTGTTCATTGTGGCAGTTCTGTGATCAAAACTACACAGGTTCCTCCATTCTCTTTAATTTATAGACGTTTCTAGTATACGGAGTGGAGTGAACTCTGAGTCTCAGCAGCCCAAATTTGTCATTTTTTTTATTTTATTTTGAGTTGTAATTTTGCATTTGGTAATTATAGTCCAGCAATTTGATAAAACTCCAAAATATGGCTTTAAAAACATATTAGTTTGTTAAATTGTTAATTAACATTTTTGTTGAAACAGATTTCGAGTTTGTATTGTTAGTTTTTTAAAAATGTATTACTGTGTAATTTAAATATTACCATTCATTAAAATGTGGTATTTACTAATAGTTACAGTTACTATAAATTATAATTTCTTTAATTATTATTTTTTAAAATTGGTATGAGAAGATTCTAGTTCATAAACCTAACCTGAGCATTTCTATTATGAATGGTTATTTTTTATTCTTTTTATAAATTTTGAGTGATAAATTAATTGGATTTTGTTATCCAATATGGGTGGTTCTTTGGTCCAAATAGGTTAGGATAATTAAAAGGGAATGAATTCAAACCCTAATGACCACTTATCCGTCTTTTCGCTGTAAGGTATAATTGGATTTTGTTGGTTGCCAATCATTGGTAAAAGTATTCCACTGTCATCGTCGAAGTCATCTTTTAGTAATTGTTTTTCTGTTACTAATGAACACGGATTTTAACTCCTTGCCAATTTCATATTATATATAAATTTTTACCTATACAAGAGATTTTTATGAGTGAAATACTGCGAGATGATCCATGGCCCATGATATCTGTTATTTGCTTTTCCCATTCTTGAAAATTAAGTACTTCTTATCATTATTATTTTTCTAAAATATTTATCCGTAGACAAAATATATTTTGAGAATTCAAACTTTTAAATTAATAGATGGGTTAACTGTTACATGATAAGTAAAAAATGACTCAATACATAAAAGAATATAAATAGCAAGCTTAAAAAATAAAGGACAAAATAAAAAAAAGGAAATCAAGGATAAAATTAAAAGTCTAAATATAATTCAGAAACAAAACAATATATTTAGTAAAAAAAGAAAGCTCTACGGTCAGCATTTAATTAAATATCTTATTTGTTCTAGTTTCTCCTTTCAAAACTTGGGCTAACGGGCCCAGTTCAAACATTATTGGGCCGAATTCTAAGGCCCAATGTATAGACAGGCTTAGAAGTGGGAAAGGGTTTCTCTAAGGGAACGGGTCAGTAATTTCCGGAACATTCCGAATCCATCTTCTGCTCTCACACTAATTTTTTTTGTCGCCATCATAACACCAAAAAGCCACAGCAAGTTCCTTTCTTTTGCTTTTCTTTTGTCATTCCTCTCTTCCTCCACTGCGGCTCCAAACAAACGCAGCTACTGTGTGTGTATCTTTCAAAATTCCGCAGACAACAATCCCGCGGCTGAATGTGCACAACAAGATACACGAAGTAAATTGAATTGTACAAACAATAAAGCCCTACATCGATTTTTGATTTTGTTTTTCTCTATATTTGATTCTGTTACGGATCGTAATCTTGAATATGGAACCAACCACCATGGACGAGCAATCGAACGAAGCGCAAGGTCAGGGCGAAGAGCCGCCAGTTCCTTCTCCGCCGCCGGCGACTGCAGAAATTCAATCGCAATCGCAAGAAGGGAGAGGGGAGGACGACGAAGAGGAAGCTAAGAATGAAGACGACGAGTTGATTGCCAGGGCTCATAAGTTGATGGAGAAGATCACCGCGTCGCCTGATAACCCTAACCCTACCGTTCTTCATGCCCTTGCGTCGCTTCTCGAGACTCAAGAGTCCCGGTAAGTGCTTCACGTTATTAAGCCAGTTTTTGAAGCCGAATTTGCAATGTTGTGATGTAAGTATATAAGCATGGCTGATTTAGTTCGAAATTGGCGCTGAAGTGCTCTATAGTATGGTGCGCAGTGGTAAGGTCTTCGTGAGGAAACGGTTGACGTTTTTTCGTTTTCTCTTGTTCGTTTGATTTTCATTTTTTGTTTTGCTTTTGTGTACGTATTGTTGATTTTTTTTTTCTTGCTGGGGATATGGGCCTCTGAACCATATTTGCACATAATACAGCTTTAGTCGATTATAGCTCAAGTTTCTAAATAACGTTATAAATAAAAAAGAGTTACGTCAACCCTAGCCTTAACAGACATTACTGCGTCAGTATTGGCGATGAACTTCAGTTGACTACCTGTGGCCATGGAAGACTTTTTTTTTAAAAAAAATTTGGGGGGGGGGGGTGTTGGAATAGTGGTAAAAATCAATGAAGTGATCAGGAGATTTAAACATCATGAAGTGGGCCACATCACCTACTTGGAAAGTTAAAAGTATTACTAAGATTTCTCAACTACTGGAGTCCAGTGTCTGCTACCATTCCTGGTTTCTTATCGGATAAGTTGGACGATTTTTGGGTATCAGAACCAGTGAAAAGTTTGATATTGACACAGTGTTGTGGTATAGATGGTCTGTGGACTTGTTAAATTTATTTATACTACATGCATGTATCTAATGTTCTTCTTCAGTTAACAGTGTTTACTATTTTCCAGGAAAATAAGGGCCACCTAATTCAGTTTTTATGCCTTTCATATTTCGCTCTTGTCATTCATGCTATATGTGATTGAAGTCCAAAATTTTAAAAAGGATTCTTAACCATGTCAGTTAGGCTATGGAACAAGGAAAACAAGCATGAATTTGATCCAGTATGACCACATTTATCTGTGTCAATAAACTAAAATTTCATTTTATTATAACATTCAAGTGAGAGTTTTGTTTTTAATCTCATTTATTCTCATCTATTAGGGCCAGTGTGAAAAAGTTTCCATGATACACGATACTTTTGATGAAAGTATTTTTTTTGGGCTTCTAGATGAATCACTCTCTCTAAGAATGCTTTGTAATTCTTCTCCTTTTGATATCCAAGTAAATTGAGTGCTCTTTTGATAACTCCGTTGGCTAAAGGGGAGATTCCCTTCCCCTTTACCTCTCTTAGATGTTTTGTAATTCTTTTCCTTTGGCTGAAATTAATCTCAACCTAATAGTTTAAGACCAGTTCTAATTTAACATTTGCCCAAGAAATAATGTGGAGGCCTTGAATAGAGCTTGCAGTCGCTTTGATGAATCTTTGAGCGACATTTGTTCTGTTCTAAGCTTTTATTAGCTGGCTTAATTTCTGGAAATATTTTCCTCAGTATAATGCATGGATAATAGTCCCATTTATTTCTTTCAGCAGCCATTATTTTGTATACTTCATTGTCTTATTTTATATTTCTATTTCCTTTGCCGTTGCATGTTACCATGTCTGTTCTAAACCTATTTTATTACACACACAATAATGCAGATACATGGCAGAGAATGGTCATTCTTCCAGTAATGGTCGTGGATCTCATAGTATTGGAAGGCTAGGGAACGTAGTCCGGGTAACCTAAATTTGAGTTGTCAGTCTTTTCTTTTATTTAGTTATTGTTAAGTTAGGTTTTATGGGTGGGATGATTCCATTCTATACTTGTATAAGGTTTTCATTATGGGGAATATAAAAAATATGGGTTTGTGTTGTTATTCCTAATTCCATACATTAATTATTCTGACATTTTTTTCCCACTTTGTCAGGAGAACGATGAGTTTTTTGAATTGATTTCCTCAAAGTTTCTTTCAGACACCAGATACTCATCCTCTATACAGGCTGCTGCTGCAAGACTTCTTTTAAGCTGTTCGCTAACTTGGACGGTAAATTTTCTCTCTCTCTCACACACACACACACACAATCTTATTTGTGTAGCTATTTGTGTGAGTTTAACGAATGTGATAATATGTTGCAGTATCCTCATGTTTTTGAGGAAGATGTTCTGGAAAATATCAAAAAGTGGGTGATGGAGGAAGCTGGAAAATTTTCTGCTGAAGATCGCAACTGGAAACATGAATTAGGAGGAAAAGAGGTGTCAGATTCTGAAATGTTAAGGACATATTCTACCGGACTTCTTGCTGTATGCTTGGCTGGGTATGACATTGCTGTAACTTTGCTTGCCATACTCTTTCATGGAGTTGTTAATTTTGTGTGATATATAATGTTTGTTTTTCTAATTTTCTCAGTGGAAGTCAATTGGTAGAAGATGTTTTCACCGCTAGATTATCTGCAAAACTTATGCGCTTTCTCCGTTGTCGTGTTCTTGGAGATGTGAGTCAAAAAGATAGTAGTCATTTAATAGAAGCCAAAAATGCATCTGGTGCTAGTGGCATTAAAGTTAGGGATGAAAGTCGAGTGAGGGTACGGCAAGTTTTGGAAACATCTCATTTAGATGATTCAAGAACTGCTGACGAGAGATCTTTAGATGAACAAGTTTTTGATAGGGACCGTGAGAGAGGCTTAGGTAGGCTGGCACCAGGAGAAGAATGTTGGGATTGTGAAGAAGCACCTGATGAGTTGGCTACTAGGGCTGATGCCTATGAGATGGATGTAGAAGGTGAAGACAGATGGCACAATTTAGATTTTCGTGATGGGAGGACAAAATATGGTGAGATTGATGACAATGCTAGAGAGGACTCTACAAGACGCAAAGTGAGCCGTAGTAGATCCAGAGGGAAAGGAAGAGTTAATGAAGGTGCTCTTGAGATTGATCATGCCCTCACTTCACCAATATCTGGTAATAGAGGGCGGAGCGCTAGAGAAAGGAGTTCATTTAAAAATCTGGATGTTAAAAAAGTACCTGGTGCTAGTGGGGCTGCTGGAAGGATCAGTTGTGATATTTCTTCTATGGAAAGAGATGATAATGATGATTGCTACCAAGAATGCAAAGTTGGATCCAAAGACATTTCTGAGCTAGTAAAGAAAGCTGTTTGTGCTGCAGAAGTTGAAGCAAGAGCAGTCGGTGCACCTTTAGAGGCAATAAAGGCAGCAGGTGATGCTGCTGCTGAGGTTGTCAAGAGTGCAGCTTTGGAGGTATATGCTCTCGCTCTCTCTCTCTCACGCTCACATACACACAGGAAATTGAATTATTTTTCTGTCCTTTACTTCTGAGGCATATGCTTCTTTACCTATTTAGGAATTTAAAACTTCTAATGATGAAGAGGCTGCAGTTTTGGCTGCTTCCAAAGCTGCAACTACTGTGATTGATGCTGCCAATTCTGTTGAGGTTTCCAGGTTTGTGACTTTTTATTATGTTCATGATATACTAAAGTGGATGCATGCACTTTTTCATTTCACATATTTTAGAAACCTTCTCCATTTTGTGCCTAAAAATGTGAGGATGGATTGGTACAGGAGCCAGAATAATTCAAATACTGTTAGTTCAGCAGATACAGGTATCACAGTAAAAGAAATGAATGAGCAGACTGAAGATTTTTTCATCCCAGATTTTGACTCTCTCACACAATTGAGAGAAAAATACTGTATTCAATGCCTTGAGATTCTTGGGGAATATGTTGAAGTACTCGGGCCTGTATTGCGTGAAAAAGGTATAGATGTATGTCTTACACTTCTGCAAAGGAGTTCCAAGCATGGTGAAGCATCAAATGCTGAAATGCTATTGGCGGATGTGATGAAGTTAATCTGTGCTTTGGCTGCTCATCGTAAGTTTGCAGCACTTTTTGTTGACCGGGGTGGCATGCAGAAACTCCTTGCAGTTCCCAGAGTTGCTCAAACATTTTTTGGGCTCTCTTCTTGCTTATTCACAATTGGTTCTCTGCAGGTACCTACTGATGCTTAACGTTATCCTTAGCTTCAGTTTATGTAGTAATCTTTCATTTTTGTAGACCCATTACTTTATCTCACTTGCACGGACTCCCCCCCCCCAGGGAATAATGGAACGAGTCTGTGCCCTTCCTTCAGATGTTGTGTATCAGGTGGTTGAGCTAGCCATCCAGCTTCTTGGGTGCCCTCAAGATCAGGCAAGAAAGAATGCAGCCTTATGTTTTGCTGCTGCATTTGTGTTCAGAGCGGTTCTCGATGCTTTTGATGCTCAAGATGGCCTACAAAAATTATTGGGGCTGCTGAATGATGCTGCTTCTGTGAGGTCTGGCGTAAACTCTGGGGCTGTAGGCCTATCTAGTTCAGGATCTTTGCGGAATGATCGGTCACCTGCTGAAGTACTTACATCATCTGGAAAGCAGATAGCTTATCATACCTGTGTTGCTTTACGTCAGTATTTCAGAGCTCATCTGCTTTTGCTTGTGGAATCTATTCGTCCAAATAAAAGTAGTAGAAGTGCTGCTCGAAACACTTCTAGTGTGAGGGCAGCATACAAACCACTTGATATTAGCAATGAGGCTATGGATACTGTACTTCTTCTTTTACAGAAGGACCGGAAGCTTGGTGCTGCATTTGTAAGAACTCGTTGGCCTGCTGCTGAAAAGTTCTTAAACTGTAATGGGCATATTACCATGTTGGAGTTGTGTCAGGTACTACTATCTAACATTCTGCAGTTCTCTGTATCCACTTTTTCTGACCTTATCAATTCTTAATTTTGATTTTATAGGCCCCTCCTGTTGATCGTTACTTGCACGATTTGCTTCAATATGCATTGGGGGTTCTTCATATAGTAACTTTAGTGCCTAACAGCCGTAAAATGATTGTGAATGCAACATTAAGCAACAATCGTGTTGGTATAGCTGTTATTTTGGATGCAGCAAGTATCGCTAGTAATTTTGTCGACCCAGAGGTAATTGACCAATTTTCTATTATTTTTATCATATTGCAAATGCTGGAAACCAGACTTTAGAGTAGGTAAAGTGTTTGACTGGGTCATCTAATGGCTTTAGCTTGATACTTAAAAACCTTTTCAGATCATTCAGCCGGCATTGAATGTGCTGATCAATCTTGTTTGTCCTCCACCATCAATCAGCAATAAACCACCAGTAGTCATGCAAGGACAGCAAGCTATATCTTCCCAAACCTCTAGTACTCCTGTTGTGGAGAATAGAGATAGAAATGTTTTCATGTCTGGTCAGGGAGATCAGAGAGAGCGAAATGGGGAATCGAGCGTTATAGATCGAGGCAATACTTCGGTAACTGGTCAGGCTACTAATAATAATTCTCAAAATCCCATTGCAACAACATCAGGATTGGTAGGGGACCGTCGAATATCTTTAGGAGCAGGAGCAGGCTGTGCTGGTCTTGCTGCACAATTGGAACAAGGCTATCGTCAGGCCAGGGAGGCAGTCCGTGCCAACAATGGTATAAAGGTTCTTTTGCATCTTCTCCATTCAAGGATCTATCTGCCTCCTGCCGCTCTCGATTGTCTTCGAGCTCTTGCTTGCCGGGTCCTGCTTGGTTTAGCCAGAGATGATGCTATAGCAAACATATTGACGAGGCTTCAGGTAAAGGTATATTTTGTGTATGAGGAGCCTTCTGTTAATAATATGTGCGTCTCTATTTATATTTTTTTATGTGTATCCAAGAAAATAGTAATTTATTGTGGATAAATTGGTCTTTTTTAACTTTAGATGTTTGATGTTGCAGTATACGTTTATAACCTTAAACAGAGAAGGTGGCTTGCATAGTAGTATCCAAGCTAAAAGTTTACCCATCTGATCGGACACTGAAAAAATTTAGTTCTAAGCGTTCAATTAGGAATTAGGTCTAACATCTCGATTCCCGAGAATATTCCTTGATCATGACAAGGCTACAAGACTCTCGTGTTCTTGTTTGAAAAAGGAATTGAGTTTCTACTCCAACTGAATTTGAAAAAGGAATTGAGTTTTATGTTTACCATCTGTCTTGTTGGCTCAGTGTTTGATGGAGTATTGCTTAAGTTCACTCCCACTTGAGATATGAAGGAAGCTACCGGGTTTGAAGGTGTTGAGTTTGCATCCCCCTCTTTTTATTTTTTTGGAACAAGAAACGTGAAAAGAATAAAATTGTTCTGGGATTCAAACTCTCATAGGGAGTGAGAGAAAAAGACAACACAACCAACCAAACATGGCAAAACAAGCTCTTCAAACCTAACAAAAAACCAACCAAACCTTAGACATCAAATTAAAAGATGCCAACCACGGACTCATGAACAAAAAACCAGCGGGAAAAAAAACCAAGAAAAAGCCACAGCCTGCAAAGCTTCGTGAAAATAACAGCCTCCAAACACCACCAAAGCAAAAGTTGAGCAACGTGAGAATCCACAAAGAGACCTCCTTGAAAACTAATGTGAACCCCTTAGGCTTGATTTCATAGAGAGTGATTCCTCACCTTTCTTCAAAATCATTTAGAAGATCTTCCTTATCCGATTCAATAGAGGGAGGACAAAGTATTTCACTATCCTTGGACAACCCAAGCTCAGTGTCTTCCAAACTGGATTGCACATTATTGAAAAAAAGTCATAAATAACTCTTGAAAAGACTCTTCATCAACTCTCAAGCTTGGATATCATCATGAATGTCAGAAGCATTACTACTAACACTAGCATTGTACCAAAGGTTTTTTAATGTAGTTTTCATTTGAAGAGTGAATTGTACCAAGGGGACCCTCTCTCTCTCTCTCTCTCTCTCTCTCTCTCTCTCTCTCTCTCTCTCTCTCTCTCTCTCTCTCTCTCTCTCTCTCTCTCTCTTTAGAAGCCTTCTACTTGAGCTTAATTCAATCGTGTTAGGATACATTTTATATTTCTATTAGGGGGCGAAATGAGGAGTTGGGGGTTAAGACCATGATATTGAACTAGGATGGGTTCGTGATGGTGTTTTAATATAATTTCATAGGAACTAGCATCTATAAGTAGTTGGGCATATCTGAAGATGTAGCGACTTCCCAAAAAACAAAGGTTAATGGATCAATTATTTGTTACTGCTGCAACTTACTTTTTATATTAAAAGAATTATTGCCACAACCTATTTTTCACTTCTTTATTTTCTTTTCCTTTTTCAATCTGGATAGTTTTATGAATAAATCATATTGTTATGGCTTCTATTTTCTGTTACTTCAATACATTCATATACTGCAACCTAATTTTTGTTAATCTCTCTCTTTATACATGGAGATAGTTTAAATAATCCTACAATGCTATTTTTTGAAAATCTTATACTTTTTTGAACTCTGTTTTCTTTAACAAGATACTTCTCATCAAAGAAATGAGAAGATACAACAAATGTTCAAGAAGAGATATACTCATTTGAATTCTGTTATATCACAAACTGGTCTTCAGGTAGGAAAAAAATTATCAGAACTAATTCGAGATTCAGGGAGCCAGATATTGGGAACTGAGCAAGGTAGGTGGCAAGCAGAGCTATCCCAGGTTGCTATTGAGCTGATTTCGGTAAGCATCTTTATTTGTATGCTGTACGAGTATGCCAGCTTGTATTTCCACTTCTCTCTTCATTTCATTGAGAGAGAACTCTCCGTACCTATTTCTATGGTGCTTAACTACGTTTATATGCATGCTGTTTGCCTATGCTTTATGGAACTAAATGATAAAAAAAAACCTAGCATTTGAATGAAGATCGGACATGCATATAATATTTATATAACTTTATATAGAAAATGTATTAAATACAAGCAATTACAAGTTATTGTTGTTTTAATATCCAAGCAAGGAACTGATTATGTCATTCATTAATGTTCAGATTGTAACAAACTCTGGGCGGGCAAGTAGTGCTTTAGCAGCTAGTGATGCTGCTACCACCACATTGAGACGGATAGAAAGAGCAGCCATAGCTGCTGCTACACCTATTACTTACCATTCCAGGTAGTTGCCGACTTATTTTCGAAGTTGAATTTTGTGCTGTGGTTAAGGAACACCCTTATGATTATCTTGGCATTTCATCTGTTGGCTTCTTATATTGAGTGTGTAATGTCTCAGGGAACTTCTTCTCTTAATGCACGAGCATCTTCTGGCATTGGGATTGACCAAAACTGCCTATGCACTGCTCAAAGAGGCTGAATTGACGCCTTTGCCTCCTTTAGCAGCTCCATCATCTCTTGCATACCAAGCCTCCAAGCTGGAGACACCCTCAGCACAATTGCAGTGGCCATTCGGTCGCTCCCCATGTGGATTTCTTACTGATAAAACGAAACTGTCGGCACGAGAAGAAGATACAAGTTTGAAATGCGATTTCAAGTCATGTACAAGGAAGAAGTCATCGGTCTTCTCCCCTCACTTTGGTACACATTCAAGGCATCTGCCTAAATCACTGGAATCTTCCTCATCAGGTAGAAAAGTTCCTAGTACTTCAAAACAATCTGCTGCACCTCTATCATCCAACGAAACAACCGCAATCATTGATGCTGAGTCTCAATGTAAAACACCAATTATAGTGCCAAAGAAGCGGAAGTTGTCCGAGTTGAAGGATACTGGCACCATATTGTCCTCAAAGCGACATCACTCTAATGAGCCAGGACTTCATTCTCCAATTTGTCCTACTCCCGTCCCCTCGCGCAAAAGTAGTCTACTGACAGATGTTGGGTTTTCTACGCCAAGCACTTCTAACATGAGAGATCAGCATGGGCGACCCACGCCGGGTTTTTGGACGGATTGTTTGGATGACAACCAACAAGGTAGTTCCCATGTTGGTTTGGTTACACCATCATCACATCCTGGGAATATAAATGACCCTCAACCCAGCAATAGCGAGAGGCTAACTCTAGACTCCCTTGTTGTTCAGTATCTAAAACACCAGCATCGCCAATGTCCAACGCCAATAACTACTCTCCCACCATTGTCTCTTTTGCACCCTCATGTTTGTCCTGAACCGAAACGAAGCCTTGATGCCCCATGGAATGTAACATCTCGGCTTGGTTCACGTGAATTTAGAAGCATTTATGGCGGTGTACATGGAAATCGTAGGGACCGCCAGTTTGTCTACAGCAGGTTTAGGCCTTGGCGAACTTGTCGGGACGATGCAAGTGCTCTTTTGACCTGTCTTACTTTCCTAGGGGACTCGAGAATTGCCGTCGGCAGCCACTCTGGAGAGGTCAAGATCTTTGATTCCAACAGCAGCAGTATATTAGAGAGTTGCACCAGCCACCAGTCTCCTTTGACTCTCATGGAGTCGTATATTTCCGGCGACACTCAGCTTGTGCTTTCTTCTAGCTCTTTAGACGTTAGGTTATGGGATGCATCGTCCATTTCTGGCGGGCCCATGCATTCATTTGAAGGATGCAAGGCTGCAAGATTTAGCAATGCTGGGAACATTTTTGCTGCGATGGCATCCGAGACTGCACGACGGGAAATACTGTTATATGACATCCAAACCTGCCAGCTAGAATTGAAACTATCTGACACCAATGTCAGTTCCACAGGTCGAGGGCACGCATATTCACTTGTACACTTCAGCCCTTCTGACACCATGTTGCTCTGGAACGGAATCTTATGGGATCGACGGGGTCCAGGACCCGTCCACCGCTTTGATCAGTTTACTGATTATGGGGGTGGCGGTTTTCATCCAGCTGGCAATGAGGTAAGCTGAACCATCTTCCGATTATGGGTGGCGGTTTTAGTTCTCATCTGAAAAAACAAAATAGCAACCTATTGTGGAAAAAAATGTTCTCTGTAGATGAGAATTTTTCCTTTTAGTTCACATTTTCTTTAGATTCATAATCGTTGGTTCTTACATTGAGCTCTAGGATCCTAGATTTTTTTCATTTTTTTCTTGATACTTTTTGCAACTAATTCTGTATGCTTGCAGGTAATTATTAACTCTGAGGTTTGGGATCTCCGAAAGTTTAGACTTCTGCGAAGCGTACCTTCGCTCGACCAAACAGCGATAACGTTCAATGCGAGCGGCGATGTAATTTATGCGATCTTGAGGAGAAACCTTGAAGATGTAATGTCAGCTGTTCATACCCGTCGTGTCAAACATCCGCTCTTCGCTGCATTTCGAACCATTGATGCAGTTAACTATTCGGACATTGCTACTATCCCTCTAGATCGTTGTGTCCTAGATTTCACAACGGAGAAAACTGATTCCTTTGTTGGTTTGATCACAATGGATGATCAACACGAGATGTTTTCTTCAGCAAGGGTCTATGAAATTGGGCGACGGAGGCCCACCGATGATGATTCTGATCCTGATGATGCTGAGAGCGAGGACGATGAAGATGAAGACGAAGACGAAGACGGCTTGGATCCAATTTTGGGTCCTGATATGGATGGGGATGGTGAGAGTGATTCGGATGATATGAGTAATGACGACGACGACAGCGTGAGCGATCTTGATGACGATGACGATGGAGATTTTGTGATGGATGATGTCGATTTTGATGGCGGTCCGGGAATTTTGGAGATTGTGACAGAGGGGGATGATGAAGAAGATGATAGTCAACTGCTGGAATCTTTCAGCAGTGGGGACGACGATGAGGATTTTGTGAATAGCGGGTATGGCTTTTAAATATTACAGTACAATCAAAACAATCAGGTCAATCTTGATGTATTTATTTAATTTTTAGTCAGATTTTTTTTAGTCAAAATATCTTTATTTCAACAATTTAGTTAGATAAAAGGAAAAGAAAAAAGAGAAATTCTCCATTTTCAATCTCGACGTGTCTGGTTTTCACCTTTGATTTTGCCTTTTGATAACCGTCCAGATTATCGTTCCAACTTGAGTATAGTTCAATTGAGGGTCGAAATGTCAATCTTATCGTAGTACAACTGGTTGAAATATATATTTTTGACCAAACGTTGTGTTCGAATTTCTATTTCTACATGTTATACTTAAAAAAAAAGCATTATTTCTACTCGAGATAGTTCAACTACAACTTAGACAAATAATACATCCTTAGACGATAATATGAAGATTAATTTCAATTCATCATGTAATTAATTACTAAATAGAAAAGGTATTTATTATTTTCTTTGAAGCTGAACGGTTCAATTTTTCATTCATATTTATTGTGTTTAAAAATAATTACAAATTATTTAGGTGAATTGTGAGACTGATTGAATGTATAATATTCCAAATTTAAAAACAATTAAATACTATTTAGGTGAAGTTTTTCGCAGGGGCCTACCAGGTGAGAATTTCTGGCGAGGTTGGGGACCCCGACACCGCACCATTCCTAGTCTCCCCCCGAAATAAATTTTTGGTCCATCAATTTTATAATAGTTGTCTATCTAAAGTTAAAAAAAAAAGACTTCTGATCTTGAAAGTTTTTAAAATAGTTTTAAATTAAATTACTAATAATATTTTGCTGATGCTATTAAAATATATAAATTTAATAATATTTTTACTTATGATGAGATTTTCTATTTTCTTCCCTCATCTCCTTCCTCCTCTCCTCCTCTTCTCTGCCGATGGATCTCCACAACATGCACAATTTACCTATTGCTAATCTCCACCCCAATCTCCCCACAATTAAAGAGAAATTTTGTGGGCGAGAATGACGTGGAGGCGGAGATGGGGACGACGAAGTCATACTTCAGTACCAAACAAGTTTTGAACCTTAAAAAAAAGTTGTCAAATTTTCTAACTTCAAATAACAATGACAAACTATAAGGAAAATCTGTACCAACTTGGAATTACAACAATATAAATAAGGCATCAGTAGGATCAGAATTTTATTTTTCAAAAACTGACATTGCAAGTAACTGGCGACAACTCTCTCTAAGGAGCAATCCTCTGTGGGTCGCGAGGGAACAATGATGTCTTGCGAATGTTATTCAAACCACAGAAAAGCATCACCACGCGCTCCAAACCAACTCCAAAACCACCGTGAGGAGGAGCACCATATCTGTAACAACAGCATTCGTGTACAGGTGAAGAACTCATAATCAAATCTTTGCTTATTCAGTTTGATTTCAATTTCGAGCAAGGGGGAAATCGATAGCAGACATTTCAGAGAAGTCGTGATAAGAGCCAAGAGGGAAGTGTACCTGAATGAATCGATGTACGTTTCTATGGTCTTTACCTCGATCCCACATGCTTGAGCTCGCTCTGCCAAAAATTCGGGTACGTGAACACGCTGAGCACCGGAAATGATTTCTTCCCCTGCGTGGACAACAAGACAAAGCTTCAAGGGACTTACCATGGAGCGCATATTCTTGTTTTATAAAATGAATGGGTACTCCTAAAATTCTTAGTGCATAATTTATTTTTTCTAACGAAAAAGACAACTTCCTTTGAGAACAAATGAAACAATATAAGAGGACAAACAAAAGAACGGCAATACAAAAAAAGGAAAGTCCTAGTCAAAAGGAGCCCAGAAGTATCCAAGACAAAAGAAAGAAGAAAAGCACATTATAAAAATGGCTCCAATTCAAAAGAATGAGAGATAAACGTTAATTACCAAAAGTCCAAGGTGACAGAAGCCCAAAGGAGACACTGAATTTAGGTACTCGAAAAATTCTAGTCTTATCAAAAGCAGAGGCAAAACAATTATACAGATGGAACAATGAAGTGTATACCTCGAATAAATACGTCAAACGAGTTACTATAAGTTGGGTTATCATGGCAAGGCATTGTATAGAATGGTCTAACCGCCAAAGGATAGCGGTGAAGAATGTAGAACTCCGTGCCATATCTATAATTGGGAAATTTTAATCAGTGAAATTGACGTATAAAATAATTTAAAAATTAAAACTATATAAGCAGGGACTAGTTACTTCTCTAAGACGAGCTGCCCCAATTTCCTCTCAGCCTCTGTATTAAGATCCCCAAGAGGATCGATTTGAACGCCAGCATCCTGTACAGATAATCATTCATGAACAAGAAGAAAGTGTCACATTTGGGATTTCAGGATCAAGACTCTATAGGTACTACATTAGTTTGACAGCAAACCTATGGTTTCAAGCATTCAAAATTAACCAATTTGTAACTACGTGTAAATCACATTATAATATCTTATCTGGCACTATACTAAAAAGTATTTAGAGGAAAACAAAAAAATAATTTCAATTCCTCACCTTCAGCATCTGAACTCCTTCCTCAAATGTAAGCCTTAGAGTATTTCGCAAGTACTGCATATTCGTGAATTCGAATCAAAGATGGAAATGAGAAAAAAATCATTCAACTATCTAAAGTCGATCACATATCCACATTTTATATATCTACGGGCATGAATCCGTAAGTATGAGAATACCCAACACTTCAGAGCTATGTAGATTTCTAGAAGGTCGACAATCAATAAAGAAGTTCACCTTCAAAGGTTCAAAGGGATACTGTCTATCTACTGCTTCAAGCTCCTTCTTACAATTTTGATTCAAACTGTCAAACATTGAGACAAATAAACGGTCCACAATATCCATGACCTACACAAAAAAAGTAAAAAAACAGATCAAGATTAAATTAAGATGCCTAGGACATAACAAACAAAAAGTCAAGTTAGGGTGTGTTCGAGAGTGATTTTGGCATGTCAAAATCACTTCCCTTCCTATTGATCACGTTTGACAAAATAAAAATTGATTTTAGGAAAGCTTAAAATCACTTAAAAATCAGATTTTTAAGGTATCATTTAGATGGTGATTTTGAAAAATCAATTATACTTAAATCTCTTTTTTTAAAATCACTAATTCTACCCAAACACACCCTTAGAGCATTACCTCAGAATAATGAGTCTTAAGTTCCATTTCAACATCAAGTCCTGTGAATTCACATAGATGCCTGTGCGTGAATGAATCCTCTGCTCTGAAAACAGGACCAATCTCAAATACACGCCCAAAATCACCACATATTGCCATTTGCTTATGTAGCTGAGGTGACTGAGCCAGGCAGGCGGGTTGGCCTTTGTAATCCAACTTAAAAACAGAAGCACCACCTTCACTGGAGCCCCCAATCAACTTTGGTGTATGGATTTCAACAAAGCCTTCGGACAGCAGAAATTGTCTAAATATCTGCATGGTGAGAATTTATTCAATAACCATGTTTCTTTAAACTTAAGCAGTGAAACTAACAGGGAAAGTGGTTTATGTTGCAGACCCCTCGTTCATAATAATACTAAGAAAGACTCAAGCACTAGCTAAATTTAAACATGACTCGGTAATTCCGTTGATAAATCTACAAATGTGAACAAGACAATCACAGAAAGATGATGGATACCGAGTGAGAAAACTATGTTGATAATACTAAATGTGGGCTGGACGCCATCAAAGGCTCCAATTGAATAGACGAAACTTCAAAAAGTCCACCAGTCAACAATTTATATTTTCTAAAGATAGCCAATGAATTATGCAACACAAACCAAGCTGGCTAACAGTAGTTGCATTGCGCTAACGTTATCAATTTTGAATAAGCCCGTATGCTTCAATTTTGTACGTTATAACACAAATGAAAGATCAACTATTAGAAGAACCAGAAAACAGAAAATGAGAAGGAAAACTCACGGTTCCAACTTGACATTGAATGCGGAAAATTCCTTGATTAGCTGGTGTTCGTATATCAAGGACTCTATAGTTTAACCGCGTATCCTGATTAACACGTACTAGTTGCTCACCAGCCTGCGGGCAACAAATGAGTCTGACGTTAAATAGGAGGTCAACAAATCATTTCTTAAAAATATATTAGAACTTCTACTACACGACTCTAAATTAATTACGAAGATAAACAGATATTAGACGATCGAGTTGAATGGATAATCCATCCACGAAGAAGATTACATCAAAAGAAGGCGATTACAAAAGTATACCTGCAATGCTTTCTCAATTTCAACTTCACTTCGAGCAGCATCTTCAATATTTATAGGCAGACTCGGCATTGCCTTACTGATGCAATATACTTTCCTCACTTGAATCTCCACCTGCTGCGTAGCACCTTTAATGGCAACATTGGGCACGGACACGACTCCTTCAACATCGACAATGGACTCGCGGCTCAAGCCAACCACATACTTCACCATCTGGCGACTAACAACCTCAGGCTGCTCCGACACCACGCATTGAACAGTGAATCCCTTTTCTCTCATCACCAAAAACGCCATCTTCTTAGCAACTGCACGGATCGTCTGAATCCGTCCACGCAGAAGCACATACTTATCTTTAAGCACCTCCGTCAAAGAGCCAACCTGAGTCCAGTTCTCGATATTCTTAGCCTCCTTGGATTGGAGGTCGGAGAGCGGAACGTCGCCATAGTTAGCGGAGAGTGGATCCTCCTCGACGTTGAGAGACGAAATGGCAGCTTCGGCCGCTGCTTCCTGGCGACGGCGCAGCTTTTCCTGCTTGGCAGCCTCCTTCTTGGCAGCCTTCTTGCTGACGGCTCCGGCGGACGGCGGCTCCTCGATCGGAGTTTCGGATGGAGCAGACATGGGTGCAGAGAGAGGATTAGATTAGGGTATAGTAGAAGAAGTTGAGAGATCGGAGGGAGGAATTTCAATGGCAATAAACCTCGTTTCGGTCAGCTATGGCTGCCGCGAACTTTCGCCGGGTAACAATTAAGATGGGCTCGACTCATACAATGGGCTTGTTTTTTCATTTTTGTTTCACCGAAAAAAAAGGAGATTAAATATTCTTTTGCTACAAAATATTTAAGGGAGAATAGTAATTCACTATTCTTAACAATAGGGCCCGGCGACTTCTTGGTTCATCATGCTATTGCTTTAGGTTTACATACAACTACATTGATCTTAGTAAAAGGTGYTTTAGATGCACGTGGTTCCAAATTAATGTCGGATAAAAAGGATTTTGGTTATAGTTTTCCTTGCGACGGTTCGGGACGAGTTGGTACTTGTGATATTTCGGCTTGGGACGCCTTTTATTTGGCAGTTTTCTGGATGTTAAATACCATTGGATGGGTTACTTTTTATTGGCATTGGAAGCACATCACATTATGGCAGGATGAGTACATGGACTATTTAAAGATCCTAATTACATAAAAGGATGGAAAGTATAGAATTTACACGTTTGTCGTGTATCAACCAGGAGGGTACCCATCATATAAATTACTTATATAGCCTCTTGTATTTACAAATTAATTTTAAATTCATTTTAATATGCAAAATTGATTAATTGGAAAGTTATAATTTAGATCTCATAATTTTAGGTTAATGATACTTTCCAAAACAAATTAAAACATCAAAACATTAAAATCATAACCTCTCAAAATATCTCCAAATCCCGTCCAAAAATCTCCCAAATTCGAAATCAAGAACTTTTTTCGCTTCATCCATGAGACGTTTAAAACTTCAATTTTGGAGGACTCTTTCTACATTACTATAGGATATATGCGTTTATATCTTATATACAACTATAAAATATATACACATATACAATATATACCTATATATACGAATATAATCAGGAATACTGAGAGTATGAGATATTTAGAACTTCAATTTTCTATACACATAAACAAAATATATCCCCATACATATCAATCTTAACGGAAGTCTAATAATTACAAATGGTATGGAGGACCCTACAGAACTATAAGATATATGCATACACATATAAGATATATTCACATATACAATATATACCCATATATACGAATATAATCAGGAATACTAAGACTGTGAGACGTTTAAAATTTCCATTTTTGTACACATATATAAAATATATCCCCATATATACCAATGTTAACGGAAGACTAATAAGTATCAATGGTAAAAACAGAAGGGGACAGGAGGCGAGGAACGCGCTGAACGGCGTCGGAAACGTTCAAGGAAGTCGACGGAAAGTTTATTCGACGAAGGAAATTGAAGGAATAAATACCTTGTTGACGGAAGCACACTGCACGACGCCGGAAACGTGGAACGAGGTCGACAGAAAGTCTATTCGACGACGGAAATAAGAAGGAAAAAATCGCTCGTTGATGGAAGCTCTGAAGAAGTATACAGACGATAAGCACTTCAATGTTGTCGACGTTGATGAAGGTATGTACGAAAAAAGGGAAGACGCCGGAAAAAAAAATCAAGGTTGGAGAATGAAGCAGATGCAGCAAACAATTTGATTAATTCAAAAAATGATTTCACAAATTTGAGAATTCTTAATTGGTGAGAGAATAAAATCTTTTTTGAATGATATATTTGAGGAATTTAGGTTGAATAATTGAACGGGGCCACAATAATTAAATGAATATAATAACAAATTAAGGATTCAAATATTTTAAATTTCAAAATTATAATAAAATAAAAAGCAATAAGGATAGAAACGGTATTAGAATAAAATATTATATAAAAAATCTAAAAGTGTAAATTTAGAAAACTAAAGACATTTATGAAATTAAGAATTAAAAATAGATATTATCTCAAGTATTTATTTCTCTCTGGATACTGTCACATTTTATTCACTTTTATTTCATTTTGATTTTTATATTTAAAAAATAATTCTTTTTGTTCCTTTTAAATTTTAACATCACGCTTTATTCGCTTGAGTTCTTAAAATACAACCATAAATTTACATTAAAAGTTTTTCATTTTGGATTAAAAATTTTCAATAAGAGCAAAATGATTACCATTTTTTTTTTAAGTATTGAACCAAAATAGACGTTTTAAAATTATAAAGACCAAATAAATAAATGTTGAAAGTATATGGATTAAAATACCCATGTCAAGAGAACAAAGATCAAAATGAATCCAAGTAAAAAAATATATATGTGGATTGAAATAGTATTTAGATGGTTAAAATATTGGTCAAATCATAATGTTTAAGATTTGGGCACAGTTTCAATTTAATTCCTATGATCAATATTATTTTTAGTTAAACACGTCACATGCGTTATGCATTTTATTTAGACGACATGTTGGTGTAGTGTATTATGGTTTAATATTGAATTTTTGGCTGAGTAAAAATAATTTAAGGATCATTTGTGAAATTTTAACTAAATTGGAAATTGAATTCTGAAATTAAAAAATCATTCCAATTTGGTATGTTAGATATATTTTTTTAAGACAAAAAAAGGGTTTTTATCAAGGCAAGCACCTTTCACCATTATAACATCAAATAATGGGCAGCCAATAGTCCATAATATCCATAACTAAATTAGAGATTAACCAAAACAAAATAAGAAATCAAATAAAATTTCATCAATAAGACATTTAAAATGTAGCCACATAAATGTCTAAATCCACGTGAAAATGCCTAAATCAAATAGCTTCAAGGGAAAAAAAAATTAACTTAGTAATAATAAAAGATAAAAGGAAAATAATTCTTTTAAAGAATTATCTTGTCCTCCCCCTTCTTAAATATTTGGAAACTTAAAAAAGAAATGAAAAACAGAAAAAAAAAATCAATAATTAAATGTCGATTTTTCAAAGTGGCCTGAATAAAGATAAGTCATTACCTTTGGTAAGCATTTTCTATAATGTCTAAAACCCAATTAGGAAATATTCAAAAAAAAAAAAACCATCCTTTCAAGAAGTAACCTTGTCTATTTACAAAGATAAACAAATCAAAAGAAATATATTGATTTTATCACATATTTACATTTATGATTTAGTTTAGTGAAAAAATAAAATATTAAAATAACAAAAGACAACGCCAAAAAAGTCATTAAAAATCAATCTAAATCATTAAAAGTAAATCTAAATCTAACTCAACTAGTTAAAGGAACTATCTTTGATCATGTATACTGACAAAAAAAAAAAAAAGTCGCTCATAGGAAGATAAGCCAAAACCCATTAGCACACTAGAGTCTGACCTTCTCCCATCCCAAAAGGGAGCTCAGGGCTAAATATAATTTAAGTGAGAGAATCGTGTTGTGGATGACCTTATTGCACGATTTTACTCGCCCATAAGATTTCATGTTGTGAATTTGACCAGCACCAGAGCACAAGTAAGATCACAAAGACAGATCTAAAAGGGAAGGAAAAAGAATTAATCAATCCAGTCCAGGTTGAAAAAACACTAGATTTGATATTCAACTACTAATATTTCAAACATTCACAAAAATTTCTTAGAATCATAAATCAAGTTCCTGCTCTAATCTCCTAACATATTCAACAAGATCATTGGAAACAACAAGTTTCCAAATCACTAATGGAACCAGTGCAATTCAAAATTCCTGCACCAAAAAATTCAAGGAAAATAATATATTCACTGGTTACCATATAATTCATAAGCATTTACCCAATTGTTGACAGTGGCTGGAACAGTGAAGGGTCTTCAATTTTCATCATCTGAATCAGGTACAGCAACTGGATCAAGGGCAGAGTTGAGAACTGGTCTTTGTCTCAACCTGCTTTTGGCACCCACCTTTCTATTTTCATTACCAGAGTGGCTCCTGTTTCTATCCTGCCTCTTACTGCACCCTCCCACAGGCATTTCGACATTGGTCGCTGCCTGCTTTTCGGAATGAAGCGTTCCTCCATTGTTCTCTTCTGCATCAGAATAATCAGAGTTGCATTCATCATCATCGTCATCCTTGTCCTCATAATCCTTGTTATTGGTATCATCAGCGCTGTCAAGAACAAGCGTGTTACTTTCAGTATCATCATCATTATTGCACTCGCGGCTAATTCTGGAGTCATCCTCTGATGAAATCCTCGTGTCAGGATTCTCACTAGTGGAAACAACATCTCTTCTACCGCGCTTTCGATGCATTCCTTGCTCTTTTTCATCAGTGCTTTTCACGTTCCTGAACAACTTATAATAAGGTATGATGTTATTTGAATATAAATATAGTATGAAGAGGGCTATGTTGGAGATAGAATTTAAAGATAAAATATGTATTCTAACTTCTAAAACAGAGTGGAAAAGGTTAACAATGAAAACAAAAAATAACTATTCATTTGTATGATTTTATTCAGGATATGCCCTTAGATGCCAAAAACCAAACTACAGGATTGAGTTCATACAACCGCACCGCTTCAACCAGCCCAACTGTTCCCACTGTTGAAAGCATATTGATGAACAAAGAAAACAGCTACAACAAACCTCCCGCACGAGAGGCATAAAAGCATAGACACAAATATGAGACATACACAACACGGAAATGGTTACGTGTTATTTTTTTACAATCTAAAATACGAACACTGAAACACACCAAGTGTTTATTAAAATATACATTTTTAAAAATACATATCCTTTTTATACTCGAGGAAACTTAGAAGTCCATAAGCATATCTATTAGCATACTTAAAAAAGCTTGATATATTTTACTCAATCTATTATTTTTTGTCCTATTACTGTTTATGTCTATTTATTATGCGTGCCTAATAAATAATAATAATATCCAAGACATTTATGTTGAGCTAATAAATGTCCAACATATGACCCAAAAATATTGAAGTATCTGAGATGTGTCAGATATGGATATTTTACCCAAACTCAAGTGTCCGTACGTCATAGGGAGAGAGTAAGCAACATCAAGCATCCTCAAATGCAGCAGAATAACTCACCTCCCTCGAGAGAAAATGATATCCAAATATTGAGGCCCCAATTTGTACTTGTGGGCTTGCTAAGAGTCTAAGGCTAAGGATCGTTTGATAAACATTTCATTTTTAGTCTTCTGTTTAAAAAAATAGAAAAATTATGTTTGTTTTGTACCATTTCATTGGTAAATTTTTTACCTCTAGAAAACATATTTAAATTATTAGACAAATTTCAAAAATAAAAATAAGTTTTTGAAAACTTTTTAGTTTTCAAAATTTGACCTAAATTTTGAAAATATTTATAAAAACTATATAACAAAACAAATGAAAGGTAAAAGTAATGGTTCTAAGCTTAATTTTAAGAACAGAAAGCAATAGCGAAATGGCTGCTAAATAATTTGGAAAAGCTAAATAATTTGGAAAGTAGTATCAACTGAGTTATTTGAATATTTTTGAAGAATAGATATCAGCTCTTATTAGATAATGAATGAATACTCTTGCACTACAAAAGCGTGGACTCAAAATGAAAGCAACTTGCTTTCCTAGCCACTAAGTACATATGGCAACTTCCACCACCGAAACAAAGGAATTTGAATATATAATCATCAAGATCTTTTATGCTATATTAAGAATGTTTCATTCTGAGTCATCCAGATGGCTGCCTCTTTCAAATCAAAGGCTCCATAGACATTAGTCTACCCCCCCAAAAAAAAAAGAAGAATGTATCTAGTCAAAATATTGTCCTCAATGTTTGATATTTCATTGAATAACGAATTGTAATTCTGATCAGAAGTATACAATCAACAACTGCTTCCTATAACATCAAGTACGTAATCAAACACGACCCAAATATTAGTCATCCGTTTGAACGTGTATTTAGCATTACTAATCTATTTCGTCAAATTATTGAAACTACCCAGCTCAACCAGAAAAGATGAGACATGAAACCTCACAATAATCGTTGTTACAGTATCGCCTAAAAAATAAACAGTGTCTTATTCCTTGTTCAGTCCACTATACTATCTTTTGTTTTTATAGATAAGTACAGTACTATCTAGAAAACTAAAAAGAAATTAGTAATTCGGCTTCTCTGACAATCAGAACATTCTATAGTTATACAAAACAATGTAAAAGGTAGTAAATCTAAACAAACAAACAAACATGAGAGAGAGAGAGAGAGAGAGAGAGAGAGAGAGAGGGAAAATGGTTACCTAGATACCCGTATAGCATCATCAATAGCCCGATTATACTCCTCTGCACAACATTCGACAAATGAACGCTTTATTGGGAGGTGGTAAAGAAAATAAACATTGTGGACATGCACATAGATCGCATTTCTAACATATTTTAAGAATAAATTGTGGCAACATTTTAAGGTCAAAATACTGTAAATTCCCATAAACAAAAAGCCAAATAATCAATTAACGTTGATCGATTATTAAGAAATTTCAGTGGAACTAAATCACTATTTAACTCCAATTTATTCATCTTGACAACATACTGTATGTGTGAGACAATATCACTTTTCCAAGTGCAACTCTAATCACTAAAAATGCAGCGGGAATGGTACCAAAATGGTACACCATTCCATCCATTGTGTGCGTACATGGTACTAGTACTATACAACGGCAACAGAGACAAAAGAATGAAGATAACCATGCATTCGTTACTAGAAACTTCTGAAATTTCAAAAGCAGTTAATTTTATAACCAGTATAATAGTAAGAGGAACTTCATTCTATACCAAATGTATAGTTCACGGGCGCACGAATGCGACAAGTGCGTGTAATTCCAACTATGCAGGATTTCTTTAAGTCGTTCAACAGCATGTCCTCCCTATGCTTACGTTTCAATAACCTTTCTTTCTTCTGTGACATACAACAACAGAAACTTTCAGAACCAAAACAAAACAAAACTATAGGTTTTACAAGCAAATTTACAATGCAAAGCATTAAATCATTAACCAAATTCATAACCATAATGAATCAACAACGACCTTCTGAAGTTTCTCAAGAACGGGAATGGCATCAGATTCAATTTTCCTTCCAACAGCAACTTCACTGGTGATTTTGCTGCATAACAAGTTGTCCTGCCATAAGCAAAAAAATAAGTCATTAAGATTTCTTAGCCCTTTCTAACAATCCTCGAGTCCATAATGAAAATAACAGTCAACTTACTTTAACTTTATGAAATTCCTCGAGATTTGTGGCCATTGTTTCCCATTGAGTGCTGAACATTGGAAGGGAGAAACTTCCTTTGTGTTTACCTTTTATCTTTGTATCAAATTTGATGACTTCCCTGTATAGTCTATAACCAACAGATGGGTTCCCATCATACCTAACATCACAGTAAGAATTACTGATATAATCGGTCATGTCACAGAGTAAATATCAGACTTCAGAAATTCAATGAAGACAGATAACTTTAACAAATTACCAATAGGAAATTCCATTTCCATCTCCTCCAAATCTATCTTTCTGGAAACAAGACATTTGAGTTTTATCTTTCAAGCATTCGCTAATATATGATACTGTATCATCTTGCTGCAAACGAAAGAAATCCATCATTCAAATTCATGAAGAACCCATAGTGCTATCTTTCCACAAGATTTAGATAAAGAAAGACAAAAGTAAAAAGGACCAAGTAAATCAAATACAGTGGTCTGAAGCATAGTGGTAACAAGAGTAATGAATGGTCCAGAAGTATGAAAGGAAAATGAAAAAGATGCAAAACCATACATCAGCTCGAATTTCACAAAGAACTTTTAGAATCAGCAAACGTTTAGTTGGATCGAGTTTCTTGTATTTTGATATCTCCTCCCTGCATAAAAAAATGGAACAAATATAGAATTAATAAAATTTCAAAATTACATACATCATAGAAAGCAAGTAATAAACACTATACCTACCCTTTAAAAGCCTTTATTGGAATCTCCCCTTCAGCAACCTGCAATAAATACACTTAAGAGCAGTTCTTATGCTCCTGACTGAGGTAAAACGAAAAATGAAGACCAGATCAAGCACAACCATATGAACGGTGACTTACCCAAGGCCACCACATGGCAAGCTTCTTACAAAGTACAGTCACCCATGCATCAGAACCATTTAACATTTTACTTACAGGTGGTATGCCCTGATAACATGATCAGCCATTAGTGATAATAAAGGGCTCTTTAATCCCACAACCCTTGTCTAAAGCAGTAATCACCACAATAAATTGTTGAACTGAACGTTGAATGACTACAAGAATACAAACTAATGCTGTTTCCATTAATGTCGTTTTTTAGAAGAAACAAAACTTCCAATAAAAACAGAAATACGAAATGTGACCAACAAAAGAAGGACTAGGATAAGAGGCAAAATGGCAACAAAAAACTCCACCCCACAGTGGAAGACATCAATTGTTGACAAGTAGTAATAGAGGAATAACTCGGATAAAAGAGGAAAAAGAAACTGCATGCATCGTGTGGATCATGATGATATTCAGTGACGCCATCACGTGAGTGATCAGAATTTCTAACATTTAAGGTGCAGTACCAGCATCGCGTTGAAACACGCATAGCAACAAAAGCAAAACATGCAGCTCAAAGCACGGTGTCCATGAACATAAATTATGATATATAAATATATCCTCGACCTAGGCAAACAAACACGAGGAATTTTTGTCTCTGAATTTCCTGTACAAGATTTAACGATGAAGATGCGAGCATAATGTTCCTATGACCAACAAAGTACGTGGATGATGCATTGAACAGATATAATAGTTTGAGTCAAATGCGAGTAATAAAAATCGATGATCAGTGCATTTAAACAGATAGGGAAAAAAACCTTTAACCTTCAAAAGTAGAATGTGGAGTTCCGCTAATGAACTTTCAGGCTTTACTAAACCCCTTTCAATCTCTTCCGCCGATATCCTCAAGCTTTTCCCAATTAACGGCTCGAAGACCTCCATAGCCATAGCAAAACACAAATAAATCAACAACATATTAACATCACCATTACACTATCTAACGCACTTCCGTCCTCTCTACACGAGAGAAAATTTTCCAATGCACTGTGCAGACGGCGTAAACAAGAAAACAAGCTTACGTTCAAGAAGTTGAGAACCGACGCCAGCTCCCAGTGACCCCGTAACTTCGAAACCTCCGCTTCGAGATTTACGTCTAGATCATCCGCCATTACTGAATCGTCGACACTTTCTTCTTTCGCCGACCTTTTTACCCCTCCGACAGCCTCCATTGCCGCCGGCAACCGGCGCGAAAGCCCATCAGCCATGACACCGACCAAACTTCTTACGAAACTATGCAGATTTGTTCTGCTGGACGTGAAAGAACTTGGTAAGTTTTACTGATCCAACAAACAACAAATAGAAAATCGATGCCGCCATAAAATTTCAGAAATAATTTTGGGGAACCTTTCCCGCCAAAAAAATTACCCTTGGGGACTGTTTGATTCTCGGGAAAGTGACGCCGAAGGAATGAATGACAGCGTAGTTGACGGCGGAACAGAAAATTTCACCCAGATCCTCTCATAATTTTTTGCCCTTGTCCCAATTTCTTACCAGGCTATTTCCATTATGTTAAATTACAAAATTTAGTATTTTAATTTAACAAACGTTAATGATATTTAATTATTTCTGACATTAAATATCCGACGACACATTGATGAGAGGGTAAATCAATATAAAAAATATCAACAAAACGTGATTAAGATATACCTAATATTAATGTTGATAATTTTAAAACTTATTTAAAAATAGACAAATATTTATTCATTAATTTAAATAATTTTTTATGAACCAATTATGGATGTTTCATTTGTCCAGATGGATTAAGATTAATTGAGAGATAACGAGTTCGATTAAGTGAGATTAGTCAAGCCAGCACCTTCACAGATATAATATATATGTGTGTGTATATATATTAACGATTTTTTAATTTCTATAACTTTTACATAAATATCCATAAACATCGATATTCTATTGATATTTACATTAAATTAATATCTCGATATCTTCACTAACATCAACATTTAAAATTTTTGTCATGTACAATATTGTCTTGCTATTTGCATTTCGGTTAAATTATAAATTTAGTACTCAATTTCAATTATTGGACATTTAACTTTGGTTTAAATTAATATATTACATTGCCAGCTTTATTTAAAAATAGTATAATATTTATTTATCAATTCACTTTTTTTTTATCTATAAGTGGGGTGATAGATTTGAATTCACTACCTCGTGACTTGAAATAAGTGTCAATTATAATTGAGATAAACTGATATTAATTTACTATTAAATTTTAAAATATTAACTTTACTTAATTTATCAAAAAAATACAAATGTAACGTTATAGTCGATAAAATAAGACTTAGTTTTAACTTAGTGCATTTATGCCCTCAAACACAAGTCAGCAATTTTCAAACAAATCCAATTTTTTCCAAATTTAACTTTTACAATTAAAAATTTAGAGGTGTCATTTTTTCACTAATAAACATTTAAAGATTTAACACGTGTTATCAAAAGATGAGGAGTATAATTTGTTAATTTATGAGAACCTGAAAGTTTAACTGTTGCAATTGAAAATTTGTGGGTTGAAGTTGTAGTTTGTACCATTTGTGTTAATATTAATGGAAAAAAAACCAATACACATGTTATTTTCACCACAAACTAGTATGCATAAATAAATAGTTTTTTTTTAATTAGAAAAATAGTAGCTCCTATTTACCCATTGAATAATATCATTTGTCATTCATAATTAATAACACCAACTCGAACACGGGTTAGTTTAGTAGATAAATACTGTTCCTTCCATCACTAATCATATAATCAATAACAAAAAAAGTAAATATATATTTATTAAATATAATAACTATACAAATAAAACAATTTGCATATAGCAAAGAAAAACAATTAAACATTTACCCATAAACTTAACACAGCACATTAATTAAAACCTTAACCCAATATTTATTAAAGAAATAAACCTAATAATTGAACGAATGAAAACCCTACTAAAAATTGATTCCATTTATATTGATAGCTTATGTCTACAGCTACTATCTCAAATCTCAAAAAGAGAAAAAGAAAAGAAAAAAGAAAATTACCGCGGATAAAAAAAAGCGCGCCACCAGAACAGCGAGGCGCCGTGGTAAAATTGTCGATTCGGAACAGCGCCAGCGGAGCCTTGCCTTTTTACCCTTTTAACTGTTCACACAAACAACGATTCTAGCCGATGAACTTTCCCGTCCGCTTCACTTTCCCGAGAAACAAACAGTCCCACAACCAGAGTCGCCATTTTCTTCCTCTCGCAAGTTATATATATGTCGAATCCGTTGCCTTTTCACGACATTCAATATCGTTTACTTTTCTGTTTATAG